TGAATTTTACAATAAATTGTAAATAAACTGAATAACATATTCTGGGGTATAATTCATTGGGTTTTAGAACAAACAATAATCCAGTGATGGGATACGATACTTATTATATTTCTTCTTCTATACGAAGAAACTCATTATTATTGAGTAGTTTTAAAGTACATTATCCTCGGATAATTTCAAATCTATAGTCACAACGTCCTACTAACTGCTGCTGGAAACGTTTAAGTTATATAGGCATCTTAACACATAAAGTGGTCTAATAAATAAATGCGCGTCTTCACAAGATGCCAGGTATCAATGTGCGTGTCCGCCAGTCATGAACTTCCTTAAAATTTGAAGAATACAAGCGCCCAGGCCACAGGAGAACTGAGTAGAGTGGTTTGGTTTCACTTTTTCGTCTCTTCATCACCGTTGTTCACCGTTGCTTTGCCTTGCGAAGGATTCGTTAGAAGTTTAATTTGCTTGAACTGATTTGTCTAATTGGAGCGAAGTTCGGAACTGAACTGAACGACGAAAAATATTTGATCTGAACATCCTTTATTTCGAAATAGTCGTCTCTCATCTCTTATCGCTTAAGCTATAGGTTTAGTTGGCTTAATTCACACGGTTGACAAAGCGAAACTAGAAGTTAAACCAAGAGATACGTAGATACCCTGCCTGTTTCACAGCAAGTGTACTGAAGATGAATGTGGGCATGCATGAGATTTGAGAATTACAGTCGTCTCTGACAGTTTACAATGTTATGGGTATATTAATTTCGGGTCTTCGGCAATGCTATGATATAAGGTAAAAACAGGCGGTTTGTTTTCTGGCCGTTGAATAAACATCAGTTTTTTCTGCAAATACTATTCACAACATGGATGAGCGGCGTCGTGTTGTGGATTAGTTAAAATAAACGCGGATGTGAATCGACTTCTGCTATGAGTCGATTGGAAAATATATTTCAGAAATAAACATTGTCGTTTTATCAATCAGCCGTGGATACTGGATGCAGGAATGCAGATAGGTATCGCCACCCGTAAACGTATAAATCAAAACCCTAACATCAAATGTGTAATGGTTGAACGTCATTTCGACATTTCACTGCTCAATAAATAAGATCTTTGTAATTATGTATTTATAAATCAGTGTACAAGCAGTTTGGTGCAAATGTGTCTTACATTCTCCTTATGTTATAATGCGGCTACAATAATTATATCGACATAACACTTATTAACATAACAGCATAGTCGTTCGTTCTCGTTGAATTGTGCATGTTCATGCACTATCGGAAAAGAACGACGAAGGATATTTGATCCTAACATAATTATATTACGAAATATTCGTCTTTTATCTCTTGTCGTTTAGGATATTATGGCTATAGGTTTAGACTATAGCTTTGCTTTTTCACACGGTTGGCAAAGCGAAACTAAAAGTAAAAGTTAAACAAAACAAAAAATACCGGCGTAGATACCCTGCCTGTTTCACCGCAAGTGTAAAATTAATGTAGCTAGTCATGCATGAGATTTGAGAATTATAGTCGTCTCTGACAATTTACAATGTAAAGGGAGGGTATATTAACTTCGGCAGTACTATGATATAAGCTAAAAACAGGCGGTTTGTTTTCAGGTCGACCTTGAATGAACATCAGCTTTTTCTGCAAGTATTTACAACAGTTAAACCAAGAGCGGCGCCGTGTTGTGCACGATCGAGTTAAATAAACGTTTTAGTGTTTAAACAGTTTACGTGAATCAAGACAAAGCTTACATTTTTAAGTCCAAAAAATACTTAAGGCAAAATTTATAGAATCCAGCATCTTCAAAAAGCGTCAGGCCGGGAAGGTCTTGGAACTCCACTGTTGGACAATCTATGGTTGAACTTAACTTGTCCATTGGCATTGTTGTCGCTGCTTTGGCAGACGGATAATCACAAAGATATCTGCATATGATCTTTTTTATCTTATTTTTACTGTTCCATTCTCGCTTAAGATCCTGAAGAATGTCGCGGTTTTCTGGTTTGTTGAAGTGGATAAAACAAGGAGTGAAATATCCAACATAATTCACTTCATCGCTTCCACAGGCGGACTGCACAGTCACACCACAACCATTCTGATTCCACGGACCTTCCTTGTGTGCCAACTTTTGTAAATCTTTAACCAAAATCCCAGAGAAACAACTGTCAGCTATTACTATTAGATGCTTGTTCTTCGTCTCGGGCGATCTTGTCAAAGCTGTGATCCACGGTTCAAGAAGACCTTCCAAATCAGAATAGCCAAATCTCTCACCCAAAACAAGCTCACCTCCTTTCAGATATCGTTCTGGTGTTATATGCTCTTCCCCAGGTCTCAGATCTTCTTTGGAAATCCCAACATCCTCAAGATTCGGAGAAGAGAGTGTGGATTCTGCATCTTGCTTATCTGTGTTCTTAATGTTAAGACCATGGCCGGTAAAATACAAGAGCAACGTCTCTGGTTCAGATTGACTGCAGAATGGGTGAAGTAAAGTATTGAAGGCCACATCAACTAGCATTTTAAACCGCTTTTCTGGATCCGAAGCGATCACCTTTTTTGTATGAAATTGTTTCGATGAGGTCAGCCAGTTTCGAACTGCCTTGAAATCCGGGCAATCAAAAGTGTCAGGAGAGCTAAGTATGACGCTTTGGTTTAATTTTTTTCTTTTTTCGCCGCCGTTGTTCACAGAAGATACTTTGCAAAGTGTCCTCGAGTAGTTTTTGATTAGATTTGCAAAAGGAAGACGGAAATCTACCAGTTTAAACATAGTCGTAACTGTTACACAAGTTCTTGAAATTGTAGTTTCCTTAAGTTTACACTGTCCAGGTATATTTAGTTTAGCCTAACGCTTAACGAGCGAACAAACTTACAGCTATAATTGATATAAACAGGTGGTTTGTTTTCTGGTCTTGAATGGGGCATCGCATACATAATGATGTGTCACGCAACGTTTCTATGCAACATGGGCGCCTGTGTTTTATACGATTTACAATATATGGAAGCAATTCCTTTTCCATTTGTGAACTAATTTATTCACAAGTAAACATTGTCTAAACTGGTAAAATCGAAGCTAAGTTAACGTGAATCTGGACAAATCTCGCATTGATTCAAAATTCATATAGACGATTCAATTTTGAACTGATTAATAATTCATTTTTTTAAGAATTGCTCTATCGATTTCCATGTAAATAGAATTTGTCTAGTCATCAAGGGGACGCTCTAAACGTAGGGTTAAAATATCGTATGAATTTTACAATAAATTGTAAATAAACTGAATAACATATTCTGGGGTATAATTCATTGGGTTTTAGAACAAACAATAATCCAGTGATGGGATACGATTTACTTATCATATTTTTCCTTCTTCTATACGAAGAAACTCATTATTAATGAGTAGTTTTAAAGTACATTATCCTCGGATAATTTCAAATCTATAGTCACAACGTCCTACTAACTGCTGCTGGAAACGTTTAAGTTATAGACATCTTAATACATAAGGTGCTCTAATAAATAAATGTGCGTCTTCACAAGATGCCAGGTATCAATGTGTGTGTCCGCCAGTCATGAACTTCCTTAAAATTTGAAGAATACAAGCGCCCAGGCCCCAGGAGAACTGAGTAGAGAGCTTTGGTTTCACTTTTTCGTCTCTTCATCACTGTTGTTCACCGTTGCTTTGCCTTGCGAGAATCCGTTAGAAGTTTAATTTGCTTGAACTGATTCGTCTAATTGGAGCGAAGTTCGGAAATGAATTAAGAACGACGAAAAATATTTGATCTGAACATCCTTTATTTCGAAATAGTCGTCTCTCAGTATCTCTTATCTCTTAGGCTATAGGTTTAGTTGGTTTAATTCACACAGTTGACAAAGCGAAACTGAAAGTTAAACAAAGAGATACGTAGATACCCTGCCTGTTTCACAGCAAGTGTAATATGAATGTAGGCATGCATGAGATTTGAGAATTACAGCCGTCTCTGACAATTTACAATGTAATGGGTATATTAACCTTCGGGTCTTCGGCAATGCTATGATATAAGGTAAAAACAGGCGGTTTGTTTTCTGGCCGTTGAATGAACATCAGCTTTTTCTGCAAATACTATTTACAACATGCTTGAGCGGCGTCGTGTTGTGCATGAGTTAAAATAAACGCGGATGGGCAGGATATCTACGCCGGTATTTTTTTGCTTAACTTTTAGTTTCGCTTTGCCAACCGTGTGAACTGAAAAAGCAAAGCTATAGTCTAAACCTATGGCCATAATATCCTAAACGACACGAGATAAGAGACGAATATTTCGAAATAGAATTATGTTAGGATCAAATATCCTTCGTCGTTCTTTTCCGAACTTCGCTCCAATAGTGAACATGCACAATTCAACAAGAACGAACGACTATGCTGTTATGTTAATAAGTGTTATGTCAATATAATTATTGTAGCTGCATTATAACATAAGGAGAATGTAAAACACATTTGTACCAAGCTGCTTGTATACACTGATTTATAAATACATAATTACAAAGATATTATTTATTGAGTAATGAAATGTCGAAATGACGTTCAACCATTACACATTTGATGTTAGGGTTTTGATTTATACGTTTACGGGTGGCGATACCTATCTGCATTCCTGCATCCAGTATCCACAGCTGATTGATAAAATGACAATCTTTATTTCTGAAATATATTTTCCAATCGACTCATAGCACAAGTCGATTCATGTTTCACCGCAAGTGTAAAATTAATGTAGTCATGCAAGAGATTTGAGAATTCTAGTCGTCTTTGACAGTTTACAATGTCAAGGGTATATCGACTTCGGGCCTTCGGCAGTACTATGATATCATATACTTTTATTGCAAGTATGTTACAACAGTTACTGCAATATGAGCAGCGCCGTGTTGTGCTCGATCGAGTTACAATAAACGGATATGAATCGCCTCCTACTATACGAGTGCATGAGAAAAAAAATTCAGAAATAAACATTGTCAGTTTACGAGAATCAAGACAAAGCTTACTATTTTAGTTGCAAAAATGATCAAAGCAAAATTTAAAGAATCCAGCATCTTGAAAGAGCGTCAGGCCGGGAAGGTCTTGGAACTCCACTGTTGGACAATCTATGGTTGAACTTAACTTGTCCAATGGCATTGTTGTCGCTGCTTCGGGAGACGGCAGATCACGATCATATCTGCATACAATCTTTTTTATCTCATTTTTACTGTTCCATTCTCGCTTCAAATCCTGAAGAGTGTCGCGGTTTTCCGGTTTGTTGAAGTGGACAAAGCAAGGAGTGAAATATCCAACAAAATTCCTCGCAAAATTCACTTCATCGCTTCCACAGGCGGACTGTACAGTCACACCACAACCATTCTGATTCCACGGACCTTCTTTGGATGCCAACTTTTGTAAATCTTCAACAAACCTCCCCGAGCAAATACTGTCCACTATTACTATAAGATGCTTATTCTTTGGCGTGGGCGATCTTGTCAAAGCTGCGATCCACGGTTCAAGAATACCGCCCAAGTCGCAGTAACCAAATTCCCCCAAGTCAAGTTCACCTCCTTCGAGGGGACGCTTTGGCTCTATATACATTGCTGCAGGTTCAAGCATCTTTTTCGAAATGCCAAAAAAAAAAAGGTTGGGGGACGCGAAGGTTGATTTTTCTGATCTCATCTCATCTGCTTCTCTTGTAGAAATAGCATTGCCAGTATAATACAACAACATCGTCTCTGGGTCCGTATCATTTCGGAATTGAGAAAATAAAGCATTAAACGCCACTTCTACAAGTATTTTGAACGTTTTCTCTGAAGTTTTCATTTCAACTGCATCCGTGTGAATGGGTATCCCCAGAAGATGAAAGTATTTCGATGCTTTCAGCCAGTCACGAACTTCCTTGTAATCTGAAGAATACAAGCGTCCGGGAGAACGGAGTATAGCGCTTTGGTTTAACATTTGTGTTTCTTCATCACCGTTGTTCACAGACGCTTTTGGAAGGATCCATGACCATGGCAAATTTAACTTGCTCGAACTCATTCGTCTAATTGAAGCGAAGTTCTGAAAAGAACGACGAAAGATATTTGATCCGAACATAATTCAAAGGTTTAGTTGGTTAATTCACACAGTTGACAAAGCGAAACTAAAGGTTAAACAAAAAAATACGTAGATACTCTGCCTGTTTCACCGCAGGTGTAAAGTTATAATGAAGTCATGCATGAGATTTGAGAATCGTAATCGTCTCTGACAGTTTACAATGTTAACGGGTGTATTAACTTTGGCAGTACTATGATATAAGGTAAAAACAGGCAGTTTGTTTTCTGGTCTTGTATAAACGTCAGCTTTTTCTGCAAGTATGTTACACCAGTTACTGCAACATGAGCGGCGCCGTGTTGTGCATGAGTTACGTATCTGGTAGCGGATATGAATCGACTCCTACTATATGAGTGTATTGGAAAACTATATATTTCAGAAATAAACATTGTCAGTTTACGTGAATCAAGACAAAGGTTGCGATAAAAACCGAAAGGCGTTCTCGGATGTAAACCACTTTATCTCCGTTAAAATGAAATATGAAGAACAAAATTTTAAGAATTCACTATCCAGCCATAGCGAGAAAGGGTCAACGGGGGTCCTTGGAATTCCATTGTTGGACTTGACTTGTCAAATGGCATTGTTAATGTTGTTGCTACTTTTGCAGAGGTTTGTTAATACGTTGAATGCACAACTTCCTTACCTTCTCGCTGTTTCTGTTCTATTTCTGCTTTAAATCTTCAATTACGTCTGTCGTGGTTTTCTGGTTCAGTTGAAGTGAACAAAACAAGCAGTGAAATACCCAGTAAAATTCATTAATCGCTTCCACAGGTAGACTGCACATGGAGATTTTGAGTATCATATAGACATAGTCGTATCATAGTCTACGACTGTCTTTAATAAACAAATTTAAAAGCGAAAATATGCAGCATGCAGTGAATTGTTTGAGGAAGAGCTTCAAATATATAGGAGGAAAATCCCGCCATCGACATGCACTTGTGTGTTTGTCCTTGCAACATCACATTGCAAAACCAAAAGCAAGTTCTGATACGCGAGGCTTGCAGGTGAAATAGTCCCGTTATTTCAAATTTAGTCATATATAGAGTTCCTTTCGACCTCCGTAATGTAAAGTTTTAAACACTAAAGTAATTTCAAATTGTACACGTCGTCATGCGAGTTTTATCTTACTTGCTTGCGAAAGCAGAGAGAATATATACCCCCAACACTGGTCACTGCTCTTGCAATGAATCGAAAAACCAGTTTGCCCAAAAAAATGCTATCAAAATCCGTATGTTATCGTTTCGATGAGGTCAGCCAGTTTCGAACTGCCTTGAAATCCGGGCAATCGAAAGTGTCAGGAGAGCTAAGTATGACGCTTTGGTTTATTTTTTTTTCTTTTTTCACCGCCGTTGTTCACAGAAGATACTTGGCAAAGTGTCCTCGAGTAGTTTTTGATTAGATTTGCAAAAGGAAGACGGAAATCTACCAATTTAAACATAGTCGTAATTGTTACACAAGTTCTTGAAATTGTAGTTTCCTTAAGTTTACATGCACTGTCCAGGTATATTTAGTTTAGCCTAACGCTTAACGAGCGAACAAACTTACAGCTATAATTGATATAAACAGGTGGTTTGTTTTCTGGTCTTGAATGGGGCATCGCATACATAATGATGTGTCACGCAACGTTTCTATGCAACATGGGCGCCTGTGTTATATACGATTTACAATATATGGAAGCGATTCCTTTTCCATTGCCATTGGTGAACTAATTCACAAGTTAACATTCATGTCTAAACTGGCAAAATCGAAGCTAAGTTAACGTGAATCTGGACAAATCTCGCATTGATTAAAAATTCATAGACGATTCAATTTTGAACTGATTAATAATTCATTTTTTTAAGAATTGCTCTATCAATTTCCATGTAAATAGAGTTTGTCTAATCATCAAGGGGACGCTCTAAACGTAGGGTTGAAAAATCGTATGAATTTTACAATAAATGTAAATAAAACTTAATCTGGAGTATAATTCATTGGGTTTTAGAAGTTGGTATATTTGGTAATTGCCGATTTAGGAATACAAACAACAATCCAATGATGGGATACGATACTATATAATGTCATTATATTTCTTCTTCTACGAAGAAACTCATTATTAACGAGTAGTTTTAAAGTACATTATCCTCGGATAATTTCAAATCTATAGTCACAACGTCCTACTAACTGCTGCTGGAAACGTTTAAGTTATAGACATCTTAATACATAAGGTGGTCTAATAAATAAATGTGCGTCTTCACAAGATGCCAGGTATCAATGTGCGTGTCCGCCAGTCATGAACGTCCTTCAAATCTAAAGAATACAAGCGCCCAGGAGAACTGCGTATAGCGCTTTGGTTTCACTTTTCCGTCTCTTCATCACTGTTGTTCACCGTTGCTTCGCGAGGAATCCGTTAGAAGTTTAATTTGCTTGAACTGATTCGTCTAATTGGAGCGAAGTTCGGAAATGAAGAACGACGAAAAAAATTTGATCTGAACATCCTTTATTTCGAAATAGTCGTCTCTCATATCTTATCGCTTAGGCTATAGGTTTAGTTGGCTTAATTCACACAGTTGACAAAGCGAAACTAGAAGTTAAACAAAGAGACACGTAGATATCCTGCCTGTTTCACAGCAAGTGTAAGATGAATGTAGGCATGCATGAGATTTGCGAAAAATAGTCGTCTTTTACAGTTTGGAATGTTAAGGTTTGGCGGCTTACCAAACGTAACTTATAATGATATAAGGTAAAAACAGGCGGTTTGTTTTCTGGTCTTGAATAAACATCAGCTTTTTCTGCAAATACTATTTACAACATGCTTGAGCGGCGTCGTGTTGTGTATGAATCGATTGGAAAATATATTTCAGAAATAAACATTGTCATTTTATCAATCAGTGATGCAATTATAGCCAGCTTTATCAACATGGGAGTACACTCTATCAGATAAATTAAAGAAAACAAACTGGATCGGTATTCCATGTTTCCGTGTCTTTATTATTTTTATCAAGGGTGAATTCAACATCCTTTTATTAACCCTACCCCATAATTACATAAACCTAATACAATGTTTTCAACCGAATAACATGGTTGCGGACATGGATTACCATAATATGTTATAATTAAATTATACGTTAAAATGTGATTATAATGATTATATCTGATCCAAAACCCAGGATCTCAAAGTGCTCAAAGTGCTCAAAGTCATTATTTCTAGATACAAGTAATCTAATCAAGACCTTAATTCTTTCAACTGCATCTTTATTAAAACGTCATTAAGACATTAGGTCAAAGAACGTGCTCCGATCAAAACCATTTTGATAAATCTTCGATAATTTCCACCAATGACCTATACAATCTTAGAAAAATCCCGATGATAAATACTGCGAGTCGATACCATGCTGATAACATCCGTCCACCAACGACCAATATTTCCCACTTGCTTTCCAATATCTCTGCTATGAAGAGGATAAACTGCTTCAACATTGGCGTCCCCGGCACGTTAGTCCCAATTATCTCAAGATGATTCAGATAACAGAATTTAAAGAACCCGACGTCACGGAAGAGGGTCAGTGGCTTCCCGTGCCTGTCACGGATATGATGGAACTCTAATGTTGGGGAATTAGTGTTTTGTGAAGTCAATGGCATCGTAGTTGCTAGTTGTGGAGACGGAAGGTTAAGTTTCCTATACATGTTTTTTACTTTCTCATTTTTTCTATTCCATTTTCGTTTGAGAACTTGAAGACTAATGCGGTTTTCTGGTTTGTTAAAGTAAACAAGACAAGGAGTGAAACGACCGACAAAATTCACTTGATTCCTGCTACAGGCGGACTGTACAGTCACACTACAGTCATTCTGATTCCACGGACCTTCTTCGGATGCCAACTTTTGTAAATCTTCAACAAACCTCCCCGAGCAAATACTGTCCACTATTACTATAAGATGCTTATTCTTTGGCGTGGGTGATCTTGTCAAAGCTGTGATCCACGGTTCAAGAATACCGCCCAAGTCGCAGTAACCAAATTCCCCCAAGTCAAGTTCACCTCCTTCGAGGCGACGCTTTGGCTCTATATACATTGCTGCAGGTTCAAGCATCTTTTTCGAAATGCCAAAAGAAAGAAGGTTGGGGGACGCGTTTGATTTTTCTGATCTCATCTCATCTACTTCTCTTGTAGAAATAGCGTTGCCAGTATAATACAACAACATCGTCTCTGGGTCCGTATCATTTCGGAATTGAGGAAATAAAGCATTAAACGCCACTTTTACAAGTATTGTGAACGTTTTCTCTGAAGTTTTCATTTCAACTGCATCCGTGTGAATGGGTATCCCCAGAAGATGAAAGTATTTCGATGCTTTCAGCCAGTCACGAACTTCCTTGTAATCTAAAGAATACAAGCGTCCGGGAGAACGGAGTATAGCGCTTTGGTTTAACATTTGTGTTTCTTCATCACCGTTGTTCACAGACGCTTTTGGAAGGATCCATGACCATGGGAAGTTTAACTTGCTCGAACTCATTCGTCTAATTGGAACGAAGTTCTGAAAAGAACGACGAAAGATATTTGAACCGAACATAATTCAAAGGTTTAGTTGATTAATTCACACAGTTGACAAAGCGAAACTAAAGGTTAAACAAAAAAATACGTAGATACTCTGCCTGTTTCACCGCAGGTGTTAAGTTAATGAAGTCATGCATGAGATTTGAGAATCATAATCGTCTCTGACAGTTTACAATGGTATATTAACTTCGGTAGTACTATGATATAAGGTAAAAACAGGCGGTTTGTTTTCTGGTCTTGAATGAACATCAGCTTTTTCTGCAAGTATGTTACACCAGTTACTGCAACATGAGCGGCGCCGTGTTGTGCATGAGTTAGTATCTGGTAGCGGATATGAATCGACTCCTACTATATGAGTGTATGGGAAAATATATTTCAGAAATAAACATTGTCAGTTTACGTGAATCAAGACAAAGGTTGCGATAAAAACCGAAAGGCGTTCTCGGATGTAAACCACTTTATCTCCGTTAGAATGAAATAGGAAGTACAAAATTTTAAGAATTCACTATCCAGCCATAGCGAGAAAGGGTCAACGGGGGTCTTGGAATTCCATTTGTCTTGTCAAATGGCATTGTTAATGTTGTTGCTACCAGTTGCAGAGGTATGTTAAGCAGTGTTTACACTAGAGACCTATACCTGACCTAAGACCTAACTTAAGCAGTTAGTCCTGAAGTGTAAACGCACTAGGACCGACCTAAGACACTGATTTCAGGCCAAGCATTAGAGGTGGCCTGAAAACATGGTATTAGGTAAGTCCTAGGTAAGTCTCAGGTCAGTCTGGCGGTGTAAACACATTTTCATTGACCCAAGTGTGATGGAAGCTAATTTCCATGACAACAAACGTAAATTCGATGTCAGCATTTAGCGGTCTTGAAATTTTAGCGCGATTTTGAAAAAATTAGGGGGAAATTCAGAGTTGATAATTAGCTACATTGCGAATTTCGGAACTTGCCGATAAGTTATATCATACATTTTTTAATTTTGCATGAAATCGTTGTTTGCCATTAATCCCAGTAATCACTACGTCGTATTCTTTTACGAGGCTTTGTAGTTTGTACGAAATAAACAAACAAAGAACTGCAAGCTTATTTTAATACTCTTCTCATAGTACTTTATGTTGCGTGTATGTATATAACTCCCGTTAGGGTAACTGGAGTAAACACACCCTGTAAAACTTGGTTAGGTACTTCTCAGGTACGGGTAAATGTCAGGTAAATGTCAGCCCCTTCGTGTAAACACGGCTTTAATACGTTGAATGTACAACTTCCTTACCTTCTCGCTGTTTCTGTCAGTCTATTTCTGCTTTAAATCTTCAATTACGTCTGTCGTGATTTTCTGGTTCAGTTGAAGTGAACAAAACAAGCAGTGAAATACCCAGTAAAATTCATTAATAGCTTCCACAGGTAGACTGCACATGGAGATTTTGAGTATCATATAGACATAGTCGTATCATAGTCTACGACTGTCTTTAATAAACAAATTTAAAAGCGAAAATATGCAGCATGCAGTGAATTGTTTGAGGAAGAGCTTCAAATATATAGGAGGAAAATCCCGCCATCGACACTTGTGTTTTTATCCTTGCAACACCATAAAACATCACATTGCAAAACCAAAAGCAAGTTCTGATACGCGAGGCTTGCAGGTGAAATAGTCCCGTTATTTCAAATTTAATCATATATAGAGTTCCTTTCGACCTCCGTAATGCTAAAGTTCTAAAGACTAAAGTAATTTCAAATTGTACACGTCGTCATGCGAGTTTTATCTTGCTTGCTTGCGAACGCAGAGAGAATATATACCCCCAATACTGGTCACTGCTCTTCCAATGAATCTAAAAACCAGTTTGCCCAAAAAATGCTATCAAAATCCGTATGTTATTTATATATATAACTGAGCTGCCTCTTAATAATATTTAGTGGGTTCCAGAGATATGCAGGGTTAATTTGTTCAGCATATTATGAAATTATCGAATTCAATCTATGAATTAGTGCTGGAGTGTTGGGTTACACTTCATGGACCTATAAATGTGCTGGTATAAATAGTATATATATTAATACATGGTTATGCTACATCGCAAAAAATAATTTGCCGTGCCTGTTTGCAGGAGTCATTTTGGTCAGTAAATGCCTTGCGAGATTATGTACTTTCCACGCGTGTTCCTCGCGGGATTACATGACAGCACACGCGCGACTGCCCGCGGCAGTTTTCTTTGGTCCGTCGAGTTTAGCCTGGCCATTGGCTTCGATGGTCGGCTGGGCTTTTAGTAACTGAAAAAATGATTGAAGATTAGACATTGGAGAAGTTTTAGATGTCTTTTCCCGGAGATGAGCCTTAAGCCAGCAAAAAAACTCTTTCGAAATGCACCTGACGTGAAAGTCGCAAAGAAAACTGTTCGCAATTTTACTACAATTCCCGGAGGAATTAACTTTAGGTATGATATTTTCCCTCGTTTAAAATTTTGAATGCTTATGTCTACCGCAGCAGAATGCTTACAATCTGTTACCACCAACTTGGCAATGCTGTATAAGACTGTATTGCCAGTACGATTAATCTATTTTTTACCCAAACACCAACACGTCTTTACTTACCGCCTGCAACATATGAACTCGGTATTTCAGTCGTCCGCTCTGGTGATATGCCGCTGCAGAAACCTGACGATGAAAGGCGCCAAAATCCTGCTCGGTTGCGGGTTTCTTCGCCCATTCTTCACAAAGTGCCTACGAGGAAATACAGTGTTATTACCGCGAAGGGAATCTTCTCACTAAACTAACTTTATTCAGCTCTATCAGTTCTAAACTAACTTTATTTATACTGGATAGCTTTATCAGTTCTAAACTGTTCTTCCTAGAGGTCCAGAAAGGATCATCTCTTATTGATCCAGTGTTACTACAGGAGGAAACCTAAACTAAACTAACTTTTACATGCATGTTCTTGTCAGACTTTCACCATCAAAATATTACCCACCTGTAGTCGCTTCTCTTTCTTCAGCAGCCGTTCGTTCTGTCGTTTGAGTAAAATTATTTCAGATTTAAGCTGAGCAATTTCATTGCTTCCTTCGACCTTAGTCGAGACGCTTCTTCTTAGGGACGGATTACCGTCTGTTCGTTTATATTGGTCCATTTGTCGTAATTCCTACGAAAAGCAAGAAAGAGAAACTCTTAATGAATCCAGTATTTCAGCAGAAAAAGCAATTCATACATTTCACGTTCTCTAATTTCACCCTAGATGCCCCCTCTGCTGTTATTTCTATTTGATCTAATTTCACTGTAGATGCCCCCTCTGCGGTTACTTATATCCCAACGCTAGCATTTTCCAACGCCATACCTTTGTTGTCATTTTTGATAGCCTTGCGTCAGCAGAGGACTCTTCTTGTATCGCATACAACATGAGCGTGATGCAGCCATTATCAAACCACTCGAGATGTTCGTCTCTTATGGCGGGAAACGAGAATATCGTTGAATGATTGAACTCGGGAGATAAGCAGTCTTTTATCACAGGAGATTTCGTGTATTCGTCTGCCTGATCGTAGGTTTTGTATTGAACGTAAAGTCCTCTTGAGAAACGCGAGTTGTGCACTTCCGCTGTACGAATTGTTACCTGGATAAAGTAGTTACAATTTTAGTTACAATTGTTCACAAGTCGTTGTGTCTGAAATACCTGAGAAAGATATCTCAAACGTGGTAGTCTGGTGCAGGTGGTATTCTACAATAAGTTGTCGTGGTTTCTGTCTGAACTATCTGAGAAAGATATCTCAAACGTGGTGGTCCAGTGTAGGTAGTATTCTACAATAAGCTGTCGTGGTTTGTGTCTGAACTATCTGAAAAAGGTTATCTCAAACGTGGTGGTCTAGTGTAGGTAGTATTCTACAATAAGTTGTCGTGGTTTGTGTCTGAACTACGTGAAAAAGATATCTCAAACGTGGTGGTCTAGTGTAGGTAGTATTCTACAATAAGCTGTCGTGGTTTGTGTCTGAACTACCTGAGAAAGATATCTCAAACGTGGTGGACTAGTGTAGGTAGTATTCTGCAATAATCTGTCGTGGTTTGTGTCTGAACTATCTGAGAAAGATATCTCAAACGTGGTGGTCCAGTGTAGGTAGTATTCTACACTAAGCTGTTGTGGTTTACGTTTGAACTACCTGAAAAAGAGAAGATTTGGAATGAATCTGAATTTGACCATAAGCGTTGTTAGCTAACCTTGTAATGATACGGTTTGCCAACTAGTTCCTTCGTATCATCAACGAAATAGTCTTCATCCAAAGATTTGCCACTTTGAGTGCAAGGTGTGACGTTCACGTAAAGAGACGCTTGCTCAGAGCCCTAAATGTCAAGAAATCAATATATAGATCACCTCCCGTGATCCCAGATTCACTCGGGCCCCAGAGACTAAAGATTACTGTACCTTGTAATCGGTAACACTGAGTTTATCATCGAAATCTAAAGCGTATGCCAGACTTTGTAAGAAAACGTTGGCAGTTCCAACAAGCAGATCCTCAGGAGGTTCCCAGAATGGATCCACTTCGTGAGAGATCTCTTTCACGGTCGTATCACCGTCCAAGAATCGTTGATATAATTCCTAGCATACAATTCAATACGTGAAATTTAATCAATGAAATAAAAAAATCGAGTACCACCCATAAACTGCAAAAAAGCCACACGATACATTACTTACCTGCATGAGATAACGACGGTTCATAAACTTCCCCCGGTCCCACAACCATGAATTTCCATTCAAAAGATCGGTCATTTTTACCATCACCCTGTAAGAAGCGAACTTTTAGCATTTATGCAAACAGCCATTCGAACTTGAATTGGAACAGAAAAATCGAAATTTCCATAAGGGTGCCACTTTTCATGAAAAGAAAAAATATTTCAGCCATGATTGAACTCTGACTCCATTCAAAATTTGCTACTTCGTCTTTCGTCCAATATTGCGGATTTACATTAGTTTTCATAACAGCTGTCCAGTTATACTAATATTTCGAAGTCAGTGATCTCTCACCAACCGAGCTCATTGACTAACATACTTACTTCGTACTTCCACTTAGATTCCCCTGGGCAGCTCCAGATATTAGCACGAGCTCAAAGTTTCTATAAGAAGATAACGAGCAGAGGTTAATTAAAAAGGTTCAATGAGAACGAACTTTGTATAAAGACCTCAAAGAGAAATTTCAAACTGGACAGTGCTTCCACCATACTTGTGTTTGTCCAGTTCCTCACTAATCGCGTTTGCTTCACCAACCAGCGGCAATAATTCCAAGACTTGCTCTTGGGCTAGCTGTTGCTCTATGTGATGGAAATTAAAAAGCAGTTTAGATTGGGACATATTCGACCTTCACTACTTTTTCATCACCAAAATACCTTTCGATAGTCCGCTTCCAAATCCAGTTTGGAAACCAGTTGCTTCCGCCATTTCTTTCTGCGCGTAGCTCCAGTCCACTTCATTCGGCGAACCTTCGCTCTTCTCTGAGTTCTTCGGATTAACCAGATAGTAGAGATGATTAGAACCTTAAATCAGTTCATTCATCAGATAAATAGGTGGATAATCATTATTTAAGGACATACACAAGTTGACACGCTGACAAGCGGACTTTCTTCAATTGTTTCGCTGACAGGAAAATTTGCGTCTATGCATCAACCGTTATCATTCCAGTTCTATTAGAGATCACTGAGTGGAGTTGGTTTACCAAAGACCCGACCTTTACACTTACCAAATAAAACCCTGTCGAGATGCTTTAAAACGCGTTCTCCAGGCAAAGGAACTCCGTTAACTTTGGTCTTGGCGCCTTGTACCGCTGGTTTGATTGTAATCTCGCCATTCTTCACCGTGATAACTGCATGCTGCTTTTGAATGCTGAAGTACGGAACACAGAGTTGAAAACCATCATGAAATACCGAGGGAGGAAAATCGTGCAGATAAACATGACAGACAAGCCTACTTAAAGGCAGGTAATAACTCCTAACAAACATGGATATTGGAGTTTCTGTGTATATAGTGTGGTTCATCAGCGAGAATTACATGTAAGCAAGTAAAAAATACAAGTTGTTTGATCGAGACTCGTTTGCAAGCAAAATCAGTTATCTGGTATTGGGGGATAGGCGTGAACGAACCAACCTCTGTGCTTAATCTGGGGGCCAGAGAAAAGACACTGGGTACGAGGTTGTGAACGAACTTGGGCCGGTGACGACGAGGAGTCGATGATTTACGACGCATGTCTGAACATACCTTAAACCACTAAGGGTTATTGTTGGAGCAGTCTCAGCATCCTTTCTACCAATTGTGATTTCCTCTGTACAAAATAAGAAACAAATTCAAGCTATTTCCTCGAGTTAATTGCCTTTCCTTCGGTCATATTCCGGAAATATTTCTAAAATCCTTGAATAACGCTTCTCTCTTACAGTCCAACATCGCCTCTTGTTAATGGAGGTGAACTTGTGTATAACAGGGAATAGAGATTTTTCTCTCCCAAATCACACTTTGTCAGAGGACTGCTTACAAACCTCCTTCAAGGAAATGTCTGACCACTCCAGACAACATCGGATCTTCGTTCAAGTTAACAAGATGTGGAACATCCGCAACTTTCGCCTGCGACGAGTCTCCGACCTCTTCGCTTCGAGAATTCTCCAACTAAACGAAAACATTTGTATGTTTGTTAGACGACCCTGGATACGAGATTCTTCGCTTACAAGACGCTGAATCGCGAGACGAAAGCGAATTCTTGTGATCTTGTGGTTTACGATAAACGTAGCTCACCTTTTCATCCCAACTCTGCATCGCTTCCTGATTCAGAGCCAACTGTGCTCGAATCTCGGCTTCCATTTCCTTCCTCATCTTCTCTTTTTCTGTTAATTTTAATCATACTCAATTGTTGAATAATTCTATTCCCAACTATCGCGTGCGGTCAGTGAATCGTTTATCATGTTATATAACAATTTGCCAGACATACAAACCTTCAGCACTCAGACCACCACCCCCAACATCTTGCACAACGCCTCCACCTTCCAAAAATTTCTTCAATTTATCATTTTCTTCTCTGAGCTCTCGAATCAATTTGTCCATTGGGTTCTCATTCACCACGGCTTTGTTTTTGATCTTTTTCGCACGATCTGCATATCTAGAGGAGAAACATCATAAGGATCATCTCTTATTGATCCAGTGTTACTAACTTACTACAGGAGGAAACCTAAACTAAGCTCACTTTATTTATACTGGATAGCTCTATCAGTTCTAAACTGTTCTTCCTAGAGGTCCAGCAAGGATCATCTCTTATTGATCCAGTGTTATTACAGGAAGAAACCTAAACTAATAAAACTCTATTTATACTGCATGGTTTTATCAGTTTTGAAGTATTCTTCCTAGAGGTCAAGTAAAGATTATCAAAGCATGCACCAACAAACATCACTTCAACAGTCAACTAAACTGACCATCACACTTCACGAACCTCAAAGTTCCGAGTGTTTCATCGTAGTTGATATCAGCAGGCGAAAGAGCAGCGATCATAATCGTCTTACTGTTGCCACCCAGTGCATTCTGTAGCAACTTTGTAAGCACAGAATCACGATAGGGAACCATGACTTTCTTCTTTCCCATTGAGAGATCAGCAAGTGCGGAGATAACGTTCCCAAGAGCTGATAAACTTTTGTTGATGTTCGCGCCTTCCTTGAGACGATCCCCAGTGGCCCCGGTGCTATCGGCACGTTCACTTCCTACGAGAAATCGAGGAAGAGAGTTGAGAAAGTTGAGCTTTTTTAAGGCAGAAGAACACCTCTTTAAGCCCACCCTTAATTGAGATGCTTTCAAATGTTGGAAAACGAATTTATCCTAAAGTTAAAAAGGTTTCCAGGAGGGAAAAGGAGAGAATCGTTGACAGTCTTACCTGCCAAATCAACCAGGTTAATTGTACTGCTTTTCTTCGTCTCCTGTCCGGAATCATTTTTGCTGATCTGGTCAAAGGTTACCGTGACGACGGTATGAGCACGTGAGCTCGTTGCGTTCATCTGAGTCGCAGCGACGGTACGATTTGAAGTACCTTGAGAGAAAAGATAAATAACGTTACAGTGAGATTGTAACTTTGATTGCGTCATCCAAACTGTCACAGGAGAGAGGAGATCTAACCTTCTTCCGTTCGCTTTTCAATCTCTTTGTAGCTACCAACGGCGACCTTTTTCAAACCTTGCACGAAGAATGAACCCAATTTTGGGTTTTGTCGAACCTTCGAAAGGGAAAACACTTGAATGGAACAGACGTGCACAAACAACAATTTTTCATTAACTATAGCTAACAAGAAGGAAATGAAAAAAAGGTAGAGCCTACTATAATCATGTAAAGTTGGAATGTAGATTTGATATCTTGTATTACTAATGTTTAACGTACAACTTCAGCTAACGTGTTCAGCAGACCAGCTAAACACGTCCGCCCGTAATTTACAAAAGTATATACAAGTTTCGCTCACTTTCAATCAGCCAAGGCATATATTTTTTGCATCTAACAAAACATTTCGCAACTAAACTTGACAATCGTACTAATTTTTCGAAGTTCTTTCAGAGAATTCTCATTTTATCATCAAGATGAAAATGACAAATATTCGTTAGCGCAACTTAATTATCTATTTTCAGGTCAGTTGATCTAAACCACATTCAGGCATATAATCGGAGATTTAGAGGATCTAGAGGATCAGATTATCTTACTTGTAAACCTCCTTTAGGATTATCTTTCGTTAACAAATCTCGAACTTGCTCGTTGTAGATTTCAAGCATACTGAAAGTCACCTCGTAACGCTAAAGAAATTGAATGCGATGTCAAAAACACGACTTTATCATGAGACACGAGACAATGATTGATTCTTGACGTACGATATCGCCTTTATCTTTGTTTTCAGCAATACTTTTGAACAATTCATCACAAGTAATTGGAACAATGCCCCTAAAGACAAAAAAGTGGATTGGTCAGTGGATGGTTATTAGAGAGGGGTGGAGTTTTTCGAAAGGGACATATTTTTCAAGAGGTGGAAAGAGGTTGATTGGAAAGATATTAGGTTAATATAAAGGAGTAGGTATTTTTGAGGGTTGGGAGATTCAAGTGTGCCTGTCTCCATAGTGGGAGGTGGGGAGAGGGGTGGGCCTATTAGAGTTGGATGAGCTTTTTAGTGAGAAAGTTGTGCTCTTTGGAGAGAAATAGATTGACAAGAGAGAGGTACTAGACTTATTAAAAGGGGTAGCTTTGCATTAGAGAGAAAATAGGTTTGGAGAAAGAAGGGTTCATTAGGGAACTGTAACCATGCTAGAAGAATAGCCGTTTGAAGAGAGGCATGCATGCATTTTAAAGGATGCATCCTATTAGAGAGAAGCACATCAATTAGAGAGAGGCCGCACTGGTCAATCAGACTTACTTGTTTGGCCCATAACCAACCATGGAGTAGGACTTCCCGGCACCAGTTTGTCCATATGCAAATAATGAACAATTAAATCCTGGAAGATTTGAAAAATGGTTTTTAAAAACAAATGAGAAAAACTTTTTTAAAGGGTAGATAGCTTGGTTGTAATAGCTTGGTTGTAATAATAACATCTTCAAATTACAGATTTCCTTTCAAATTCATTGTTACTACCGAAGGAAACTTAACCCTGCACTCAATATTAATTCATTCCTACTGCATTGGAAATTCCACGTGCTCCTTATTACAAAATCATTAACAGCAGACAATTAAAGAAGTATAAACCAAAATTGAATGAAAAAACTCTAAATAACATCATCTTACAATCACAATTAAGATTTGAGTTATTAAACAAACAAGATACAGAATTCTGATGTTGTGTGTTTGATAACTCAAATCCTTTATTTGCTTCTCTTCACATTTCTTGCTACAAGATCTAGTACTTCAAAAGGCTTCTTATTGAAGCTGAGGGAAATGTGACTTGAATAACCAGCCAATGAATTCAATGCATAAAAGTAATCAGGCAATATCAGAAAGATGTTCTCTAACATAAATTGCCTAAATAAACCCAAAGCATTACAAGGAAATCTATAGAAATATGCCTAATTTTGGGATTTGCAGCTAAGCAACAGTCGCATCAAATATTGACAATGCACCAGTCTGACTTGACAACAAGTAATTTTAAATTGGCTGCTAAGTACACATTGGACTTAGCATCTTCTTAATGCTATCAATTAACAATTATTTTGTCAGCACTGAAGCCAATATATACAAGACAAATTAGCTTTAAAAAAATGTATTAACTACAAGCACAATGCAGGCATGTTAGGAGTGTGTGTTTTTTAACAACAAAATGAAATGCAAGCTTTGTGAGAAATGACAACTCAAGTAGGATGGACAGGTTAAACAGAACAGAGAAACGACATTGTTATATAGGCATGCACATTAATTGTTATGACAACATTGTAATTCTAAATCAGGACAGCTTTGGGTTAATTAATTGCATGGAATAAATATACTTTATCACAGTCTTGCATTTGACACTGTTACCAAACCTGCAGGTATGTTGCTATGAGACCTATCAACCATTAATATATATCTATGCCATGATGAATTGGGAAAATCAACGAAGGGTTAACACAATATTCAGAAAACACCTGTCAACATACATCAAATTAATATATCCTGCATTCGTATTTCACTTCTTTTAATACAGAACGGTTTTAATTGCCTGTTAAAGAATTTTGCCAGTTGATACGTTACAATAAGCATCTTAAAAGCAGCCATTTAAAACCGTTTAATGACGAAAGTCTTACAAAATTTAACGTTTATTGCAATTAATCAAACAACGAACTACAGTGGTTCACATTCAACTGCAAGCTGCGAAATTTGAATGCCAATTTATTTCCAAAACAATCATATCGACCAAAATTTATATCAACCTAATCGTGACGGAGGAAGCCGATTAGAAATGAATAGGATCATCATCTGAGAAGCAGGGGCTTCTATTACAAAAAGTATTACTCTGATTGCTTTGAAAACGAATTAAGCGATAGCCTGGAACATGCAAAAGTACAAATTCACATCGCATTTGCCTGAGCAGCCAGAGCAACTAGCTTGTGTGTATAAGACGAGTTTTATGGGCTTAAAAGACACATTTGCCGGTCAATTTCGTACCTTTAAAAGCGTTATTAAGAACACCTTGTCCAAGATCATCAAATACGTTTCTTTGATCTGCATATTTTGGACTCGTTGGAACGCAGAGGCCTTCTGCATTGACTTCGTAACCATCGTGCGACCTGTTTTATATTAATCGAAGCACAATATCTCTTTGAGAAAAATAATATATATTCATTATATAAAGATATGCAAATATCGTATCTAAACACATGTAGTCAAACAACTGCAAACGTTTGGCAAATATATATTAATTGAACTTACCAGTACGAAAAATCAAATGAAAACTAAAATGTGAAAAGAGATTTAGATTCAATTCAGTATAAAAATAATAGAACATAAAAAATTATTCTAATTGACGTTAGAATTTTCGTGCAGAATTCCAATTGAAAATGGTCCCATATGCAAAGTATGAAAGATAGCGTAACTATTCTTAAAAGTAGATTGTTGAAGATTATCTTACTTCTTTCGGCGTTTGGTCTGAAAAGAAATGGGAAAAGTTTATTAAATGTAGAAATATTTATCGGGCGAAGAATTTAAAGGGAATTGCTACAAAAATTCGAAAATTCCAATCCATTTGTTACAAATTAAGGATATTCCATGTTTTAAAGGGCACCAGTAGTTCTCTTAAATATTTCATATGCGTATCCTACCGGGGTTCTCGGGGTCGATGATACGAGTCATAGTTTTGTTCGGCATATCGATGCAGCATTTTGAATTGCGGTCCTTCTCCCTGTGTAAAAAAACGGCAAAAGTTCAGAGCTAAGTGTACAAAGAGAAGACAGTAATGCGCTATTGAAATTTACCTTTGATTAAAGGGACGAACGCGTACGGCTACTTTGACTCTAAACGAATATAAACAAAGTTTTAGCCTTTAAAAACACCATCAAAGAACTGCAAGGGACTGCTAGAGTTCAACTCACGATTCAGCCATGGCTTGGTTGGCTAAACTACCAGAAAATACTCTGATAACGGCCCAAAACGCAGCGAGTGTTCCGTGAAAGTTTAGGAGATAAATTTACAGAATCGGACGTCCATATTTGAACACGGGCCTTAGCAACGAAGAGATTTTATAGTCACTATAGCAACAACTCACGCGGAGGAGTTGGCTATTTTTCTACCAGACGTGTTTGTGTATTTTCGTGCGGAAGATAATAGCTTTATGTAAATATTGCATAAGGTTTGAGTGTAAAAGTCAATAGTTACGATGTAAGCATATAGTCTGGAAAAATCATCGCCATTGTGAAAGGCATATAAACTACACAGTCCAATACTATATATAGCACCAGATGTTCCCTGTTTGATTTTATCACGGTTTGTTGCACTTGTAAGTTTGGCATAACAAGGGCTTGTTGTTTGTATAAATAAAACGTCCTCTAAACAGTTGAACTTCGTTTCAACTGGATGGTGAGGTAGCAGAGGAACAATGACTGGTAGAGACAAATGATTCAGGAGGCACACTACCACATTCTCTCAAGTACTTTAAATTCACACTTTCTGAGAGGTCGAGAAAAAAATCAAGTCAAAGTTTTCGAGCTATGCTCCCTTCAAAGATGCTTGTTATAGGTCAGAGTAAGTGAAGAGCCATGAACATGAAGCATCCACACTCCAGTCGGAGCCTTTTAAGTTAATGTCCCGCGAATATCGAATTGCGCATGAAATACGTCATTGTTTTAGCCAGTCACTAGCCCCGTTTACCCTGCAAGGTACGGCTAAAACGGGTACTGTGCCCATTTCATCCGTGCTCGGCCTTTGCTTTGGTAGCCTGAGCACTAATAAAATTGAGTACGGCTACCCATTTTAGCCATGCCGTGCCAATAAATTGAGTATAGCGTGAACGGGGCTAATGTCCTTTCTGACTGAATCAACACGATGAACTAGCTTGCCCGCCGTTACTTTAGCCAGTCGATCGAAAAAATCGGGACACGTTCGTCACATTGTAAGCGTGGGACTTGGGTTCATATGGATGACTATGACGTCAAACTGATATACGTTCACAGTTCTCGTTTGAGAGGAAGAAAATTGCTTCCTGTTTAGAAGCTTCTCTTTAACAAATTCATATGAATACCAACTCATGCGAATACTGAGACCCTAACTTTAGCCACGGGTCACTAATGATTTGTCTTATCGTATATCAGCTTGTCTCAAAGTATTCCCATAAACTCTAAACACGAAAATACCTTTTTTAAAACAGCAGTACTGAAAGATTGCAGTATTCTAAAGATCCGACTCTGCCGACATCATAAATAATCTTTGCCTCTTTGCTAAAGTTAGCTTTGCCTAATTTCTATTATCGCTAAACGAAAGAAATGAATTCGTAGATGTCGATTCGTTTAACACGCTTACCTTGAAGAACCTTTGTTTTGCCTTTCGGCAGATGTTTCCACTCCTGTTCCCATAAGTAGAAATTCAAAATAAACCTATTTCTGCCATACTAACCAGATCTTTTAACGTCAAAACTCGCCAGCAAATGGCACCTTTTTCGCTTTTTCGCAAATGGCACCTTTTTCGCCAACCAAAATTTGTGTTCGAACCGTTCTAATTTATAGGAGTACAAACGGAGGGAATTAAAAAGTATTTTGAAGCAAAAATAAGCAAGTATTGTGACACTTTGGATTGGAAAGTTAATTGCCAACCAAAGCAGACCAATTGAATCGTATATTTTGATGCATGTCAAAAATTCGTTTAAATTCATCCAACCAAAATTTGTGTTCAATCGAACCGTTCTAATTTATAGGAGTACAAACGGAGGGAATTAAAAAGTATTTTGTAGCAAAAGTAAGCAAGTATTTTGACACTTTGGAGTGGACAGTTAATTGCCAACCAAAGCAGACCAATTGAATCGTATTTTGATGAGTGCCGACTTGCACAATTATTGGCTACGGTAATTGAAGTTTAAAATTAACAATAAATCTTTATTCAAATATGTATATTTTGACGAACAAAACCAACAACCTTTCTTCATTATGAAAGTATATGAAAGTACTGCATTGGTAACAAAAATATTTTCATCCAACGAACTCTTCCAATGATCAACTACCATATAGCAATAGGTTTTCCTCAATATTTAAGGTTTTTGTACGCTGAAGAGAGTTATTGATATCTATTTTACCAGCGCTTTTTCTCGGAGAAATATCCAGCATTATCCGCAGGAAAGCTCCGTAAAGCCGTATAGAATCAGACTTTTTATCGCTATCAGTCAAGTATACCTGTTGTGCGCATATACCATACAGTTTAGGACGAACTGCCCGTGTAATATTATTGAGTTCAAGAGGGGTATTCGAAGTCAAGCTTCATATAGGTTTGAAAAAATATCAACATGCAGTGATGTCACTTCAGTTGATGGACAGACACACTAACGTTATGCCATTTTAGTTTTATGCTTCAAATCTCTCCTTTAACCGCCATTTAGAAGTTTTGCTGCAATTTGCAATGAAGTTCTTTATGCAAAAAGCCATGTTGTGTATACAAAATGCACAGAAAAAAGAGGGACCGCATGCTCAAATTTTCAGTTCTCCGACGCCAAAAGCTCGTTCGTAACCTGCGCTGTTTCCCGAGCATATTTCACAAGGAAAACTATCTTTGAATATCTTCCGTCGCTTGCACTCACCTTGAATGACAGTATATCATATCTACACCCGAAAATCAGGCGCAATTCACGCGGGAAAAAGCGTCAGGATAAAACCATCGAAGAAAACAAAATATAAAAAACTTCATAATATACTTAAACAACACAGGCTTTCTTCGCCTTTGTTTTTCTTATTGCAGCTTGTTAAAACACAAGTTAAGTGAGCCCTATATATGTAACTGGAGTCCATAACGTGATATGAAAACATCGGGCATTAAACAAAAGTTTGAAAAAGGATCTTAAGAAAAAAAGGAGGTTTTTTTAACATAGCTGGAAAGAGCATCTCAACTCGCAAATAAAGTTTGATCGCGAAATATTGTAAGATGTGGAAAACAAAGGAAATATATTTGCTACAATTTTGCGTTAATATTATTCAAGGAAAATTCATTCATTTGCAAACACTTTAAAGAGCATATTTTCACATTTTGCATGCGAATTTACTAATTTTGTATTGCTCTTTCAAGCCATGACAAATATATAGACTTTTATTAAATTCTTTCAAAATTTTGCTTAACTTGGGTCAATACCATTCAATATCATTTGAGCCCTTCGAGATAAATACCTAGGAGAACGGTCCAGTTACACTCACGGAGCTCGCTTTATAACGCTATACAACAGTACATGCATACGATAGGAGCCAACAGTGTCAGTGATCTCTATGGATGTTTGCAGGCTCTGGATGCATGACTGTTTGCTATGTCGCCGACACGCTTGGGAATTGTGTTATATTGTCCAGGTTAGGGATGTCGAAGAGATCACATACGCCTTCGGAACTCGCGAGGTTGAACGTGTAATCGGAGTCCCCAGCCGGTGGGGAAAGCTGTAGGAGGGGGGCATAGACTGTGGAAAAGAAAACATGATTGTCTAAATTAGCGAAGATTCTCCCAGTCATGCGGGCTCATATTCTCAGCGGCTGTTTTATGTAACATTAAGATCGATAGGTAGGTAAAATGAAAAGCTTCATATTCTTCGTCTGTGAACCGCTGAAAAACTGAGCCGGCTGTACTTGAAGAAACGGCTTTAAAACTCGTCAAACGAAGACCAGTCCTTACTTTGATTGATGTGAAACAACAAACACTTCAATTATTTTTTAATTGCGAATAGGGCACAAATCTAATATGTAGTCGGATATATGTCGTGAAAATATTTTACCTTCTGCGGACACAAGATCTTCAATCATAGCTACGTCTAGTGATTCTTCTAGAAAACAATACAAAACGCGCATTTTTAGTGAAAATTACGTTATTCATTTTAATGCTTTATTAAACAACCACTTTATGAATGTTTATTTAAACATTCGACATTTATTTAAATATTCATACTTCCTGTATTATGTCAGTCATATGATGACAGAGCACTGGATGCTGAGTTGCAAAAAGTCATTTCTATGATTTCGCAGCGAGAGTTAATGTTTTTTACTTCTATTTCCATTTCTGAACGGGGTCCTCCATTTTACATCAAACCCTTCTTCGCTTAACAAATATTTAACGCTATACCTTGTTTGATATCATTGGAGAATATTATTTCATTTGCCACTTGCTTTAGTTCATTCTCTAAAGTAATTCAATCGAACATAAAAATTACAAAACTGGGAAACGTTTCCGAGCTGATATTTGGGTGAAATGAATGTATTCACGTTGTATGTCTAATTTAATATGATCCTTTAACTTCACATAAGCGATAACAACTGCCTAAAGACAGAAACACGTTTCTGCTCTGAATACGTCTTTATGGACAAAAGTTCAGTATTGAAATTTATTTGAAGATCGTGAGTTTCGCCTGTTTTTTTCATGTTCACAAACCTGTAGTACTTGTTTCCATCGGTAGCGGTCTTTTGATGTTCTTCTCGACTTCGGCTGGTTTCTCAGCCACCGTGACGACTTTTTCCGTGGCGAAGGCCGTGGGTATTTCCTTGGTGTTGTGGGGCGTGGTCGACATGGACATGGGTGGGGGAACGGGAGTGACCACGGGCCTGTTATTCGTGGGATCTCGGTTCACGAGAAGGACGTTGATTTCACCAGTATGACTTTTTAAGTGGATTTGATATCTTCTGTCAATTCCTAGTTTCTGTTGGTTTTGAAACAAAAGTCACTGAGCACAAATGTATTGATGTTGGTTAGACATTCCTAATAAGTTTGCTGAACAGAAGCACTATGCCATCATCCAGAAGTGCATGCAAAACCACCATGCTCAAGAGATTAACTTCTCTAACATCAGTAAGAAAACAGAGGTGATAGTACAAAAGATTTGTTGTTGTCCATGTTAGCGTTCCATCTGTGGTACATTGTTCTAAAAATTGTAGATTCAACGCCTCCTAGCTTACACAGTGCTAATAAAAATGTTTAAGGTATGCAAAAAATATTCTGATAGATTAGGCACTGGAAACTGTAAGTCAAAAAGGGTAGGTCCTTCTGGCTAAAAGAAATGTCTCAATGTCTTATTTTATATTGGCAATAGGTTGAGGCCTGATATATGAGTAGGGGTGGGATGAAAATCAAGTGGCAAAAATATTTTTATATCAGGAAATGTGAATATGTTAAAGCTGGTGCATTCATTAACTTAGGAAGGAAAGAGGGAAGGGGACACCTCTCACCTTGCAGTTCACTTAGAAAGTGGTATATATCATGACCACTTTGAATATAGTTGGTTGGTGACCTGTTCATGTGATTTTATTTGTGTGATGGTGTCTTCTTTACAAACATAACTTCAGAACTTACCTTCTCTGGTATTGGAACTTCCAGCTCTGTGCCAGCTGGGGCCTGAATTGCCAGAAGCGTATCATCACGGAAACAATGACAGAGATCCTCGTACGTAACAAACGCTAATTTCTCATTGTCGAAATCTTCTGAAACGATCTTTAAACTTTGCTGTATCCAAGATTTGTGTTCATCAAGAACTCTCTCCTTCTCGTCAAGCACCTCCAGCTCACGTTTTAAAACAACTAGCCTGTCCGAAATCTCTCGGGTGTTACAACCTGGGCCAGCACCTCTGTAGCAAAAGTGCACAGTTCAAAGGTTGTTTTGTTATCTCAATTATATTTCTCTGCGATTATTTGCTTTGCAAAGAAGTGACATTTAAGTCCACAAGTGCTTCATTTCCCCACTTTATAATATTACAAAGCAACTCTGCCAAACTAATCAGTTGGTCAACTGTTCACATGTATACAGGTATTTTGTATTCCAAGAACTTTATGAGAAACGAAATTAACCCAACCCATTTTATTTCAGAACACAAAGAATGAAAAAAATGCAATCTCGAAAAGAGTAACCTATCGGTTCTGTAACCGCGCAGGACACAAAAATTTCAACATTTTTCGTTTATATAAAATAATATAAAAAAATTACTGTAATTAACTTATATTATTTTCAACTCACTTCCATTGAATGCTATTTTTCGATTTTTTCTCAATCAATCCGATGCCTTCTAAAACATTCGTGATATCGTAAATCCGCCTTTTCTGCCGCACAGCCAGGGTATCGGCCGCCTATACGCGACACAAAACAAAACAAAACGATTTCTAGGTATTCACCCAAGAACGCGACATGTTTAAAACAGATTTACTGCAAACACACAAACCCTAGATTGAAACTGACCATTTTAAGATCAAGGACACCATCCTTGGCTTCTTGTAGGAGATTTACGAACTTTGTGGTGAGTAAACCCAGCGATTTTTCGTGGCGTCCAGTCGGCGTTCCTGGTGAACTAAATTCGGCCATTTTGGATTTACAAAGCCGAAAACGAAGACTAATCCTAGGATGCTTCCCATTGGTCCGTTTGTCACTTTCAAATATACCGCCCGTTAATATCGAAGATATTGATCTCTCCCGAGGGGTGTAGGCTAAGAAAGCACTTGTAACATGAAATAAATTATATATAATACTTTTATAACAAAGTGCAAACTATTATCTGTATGTAGAATATAGCTTGATATTCCCTCACGTGCTTTGATTTATAAAATTTCATTAGAATTTTTCCCATTTTTCCGTTCAAAATTAAGGCGGACATATTCACCTACCCCTCCACCCGTGCGGATATTTCCAAAAGGCGCGAGTTTGTGGTATTGGTTAATGAGGCGAAAAAGGCGCGAAAAAGAGTTCGACGAATTTTTAAGGCCCGAACTTTTAGGCGGGAAAATAGTTATTATTAGGTGTTGATCATTAGAACAAATTGCACTTTAGAATGAATTTACGAGTAATTATTTCTTAATTAAAAATTGGAATTGAACTGTTTTAACCAACAGGTAAAGCCTAACACACAAATCAGTACTTTCCATTGTAGATGATTTGTAAAATTTCGTATTAGAATGAATCTTGTACAGCAAATATCGAATAAATAGTTAAAAATTACGTTTAAATTAATACAATCATGTGGCATCGACGGTCTGTTCGAATAAACAATTCCGCCAGGGTCTTGTCTTGCTTATTACAAAGTTCTGGTATTCGACCTAGTATTAGATCTTTCACCACGCTTTCTAAAAAACAGCAATAAAATATACAGTTGGGGGGTGTACCAAGCAAAATTTTTTTTCTGAACCAGCCTTGGTAATAATTTGAACTGATGCCATGTTGTTGGAATTGTATAAGTTTACAACAGGGTCGGTAGCAAGATTTTTCGGAATATGTAAGTTCTACAAAGGTTGAGGGCAGGGCCCAGGGAGTCAGCCATATACCATCAAAGCACTAAAACAAGGAACACATACTTTTCTTTCCTTTGTTCGATCAACGTCTGAAGCTGATTCTGTTTTTCTCGGAACTCGGCGTCCAGCATCATCATCTTGCTCATTGATGGCTCCGCTTCGTCGTGGACCGTGATTTGCGACGCTTCTTCACCAATCCGCGTCGAGATTTTTTCCATCGCGTTACGAAGATCGTGGATGTTCGTGTAAACATCTTCGTCTTCATCCTGCGGTCGAAAACAAAGACCGGTTGTTGGAATTAAAATGGTGGATGAAGTTATCCACTGGATAGTGGTTTTTTCAACCATCGTAAAATCCTTAAAAAGGCTTAACGCCAAAGGATGAAGAATTTTTCAACGTTGGAAATAATCACTATCCTGTAGAGAACTTTATCCATCTTTCGAGCAACCGGCCCTAGATGTAAAGTCCGAGTTTTTTTAGCTCCTTTGCATGCGATAGATTAAATTATTTATCAAAGAAATATCAAGAGCAATCGTCATGCACGATTTTGACAAAGGTGTTCATATGGCTTACTCTGCCAGTTAAAGACTTTTGACCTCTGGGAAGAAGACCACGAAAAACCTTACCACTCTAACGCAATGAAGATGCGAAGTATCTTTCTGTTTATCCTCACTTCCACTTACCATAAATACATCTAAGTATACCAGGAGAGAACTTAATTCCAAGTCTTCGTTGTACGCATTCTTTAAAGGAACTGACCTGTAACCTACACACGTAAAAAAACACACAAAAAAAGAAATTACAGCTATAACAACAAATTCATCAAGAGACTGGAATAAGGGTGATCCAACTAACCCAATTTCAGACTTTTAAATGGAAAAACAGCTTGAGCAACGAAGTTTGGATCACCGAACATATCTTCATCATAAACAGCAAATCTTATGTAGGCCATTGGAGGACAAATTACGTCGAATTCTATCGTTTCGTTGTATATTGGATTCAAGCCATTATCAGCTGTGAAAACGACAGACATGAAGATTTTGAGTTTAGGGAATGCCATGGGTTATCATAGGGAATGTAGATTCAAATTTCAAGATTTCTCTGAACAATTTGTCTGATTATAACTGGCCAAAACTAGAAGAGCTCTTATTTAATCATGGGCCTGTAAGACTGAAGGCATTATTCGCCATGAACTGTGAAAAACAACACACCTTGCGTTTTTGATTTATATTTATACGTATCGTAGTATGCGCCGATTATTTCGACCTCCACAAACGGCGACGTAATCCCTCGGGCAATCTTCGGGAGATGTCGACCGGCGATGATCTAAAGGAAGATTTAGATAACAATGAAACGGTCATGTGCTGATGTACAAAGGAGCAACAATATCTTACAGCATATCGTTAAAAAGAGCATCCTAGAATGTGTGAAACTGCAATGTTTGGTGACAAAATCATGTAAATTCTTTGATAAAACGATACACTTACTGTCAAGTTCACCGTGACTGCTTTGACGCCTTCCAGCATACTCGGTTGATAAGGATCAAAATTTTCTAATCTCGTACAGTCAGGTTTTAGGACGTAACCGCATCTGGAAATTGTTGATTAGGTTAGAGTAGCGGGCTGAGAAGAAACGTCAGACATTTCAAGTGTGCTGCTCAGTGTGTATACACTTACCCCCCATTATCCATAAAACGCCCGTGATTTAGTTGCATCGGTCGATCTAGAATAAAAGTGCAAGGTGATATATAAGGTGATCACACAAGAAAAACTCACACTGAATACCAAAAACCCCATATGACCATGATTCACCCCAGTACCTGACGTTTGATAATTCAGTGCGCACATTTGGACGCCACAACTCCACATCATTGAAGGATCGTAATTTGTCGAATCAACCCGTGTGCCCTTCGGGTACACTCGTGTCAGCTGATTGTGGTTGTACAGATTAAAACGGGCGCTGTTCTTCGGGTTCGTGTATTTGTCGATCTTCGACTCGGATATCGACGACATTTCGTAATGTTTCCCCGTGCCAATCCCTACACGAAAATATGACAGGGGTAAGGGCTGACCCTCACCCAACTTTATCCCAAACTGTGTGCCCGGGGTTAGAAGAAGGAACACCATTACTAAACAAATCAATTGGGACTGGCCAGGTAGGGGGAAGTAGGTGTGGGAGTATGCGAGCAAGGGGGAGGGGGGTGATTGACACGAGAAATGAGTTCGAACTGACCTTCAAAATCGAATGGAACTGTCTGACAGTAGACGACCAAATCTGAAAGCATTTTATCAATTTTTTCTTCGCCTGGTTGAACTTTAATAGTTGCAGTTTTCTTGCTCTCCTGTCTATTCAGTTGGCTTGATGAGCTCTTAATACATTCCACCCAGGCTTCCATATCCTGTGAATTAAAAGATCGTCACAAGAGGCGCAAGGGGGGGGGTACGAAACTGTTCACCAGCTCACCTGAATGCTCTTCGCCGCGACTTCCAGCGGTTTCTGTCCATCGGCCGTGATTCTGATCAGCATTTTGAGTCCACCGCGGGGTGGGAGAGGTTCTAAAACACAACACAAGGGCAATCAATGATAACCACATCATCATCACCGTGTTCAAAAGACAATCAAGCAAACGAGCGAGAACCTTACCTATCTTACAATTGCTCACATTCATGGAGCCTTTTTGAGATTCCCCCAGCGGCCGACTGCTTTCCTGGGTGACGAAAAGTACAGCAAGATAGCAATGAGATACAAGAAACCAAATTTATACGCACTGGGACCAGAGGCCTGTTGTACGAAAGCTGGATAGCGCTGTCGACCGGATTGTGGTTCCTTCAATCGCTCTAAAACTGCCTTTTGTTCGATATAACCTGGATTAGACCTTGGTATTTTATGTATTGAGGTTATCTTCAATAACTGTTAGCTCCAAATCTGTAATTTTATTGCTTTTCAAGCATGATTGAAACGCTTGAAAGAACTAAACTTCATCTCTTCTCCAAAGATCATACAGAAAACTTCAACTAACGAATACAAAGCTATACGGGCAGTGTCAGGGCGACTCAAACAGCAAGAAAAATGAATGGTGTAAGGTGGAAAACTTGCTCCTACGCCGAGCACACGTACCCCTTCGCTGTCGTTTACGACACCAGTCATAACATTGATTTCTTCACAGAAATTTGCAGGAAACAGAGCTTGCTTGTAATCGGCAAAATCACCGCGCCACCTGAAACACAAGGCATTCGAAAGAAAGACTTTTCAAGACATTTTTAACTTACTAGTTACAACCTGAATGGTTGAATTAAAAGAGTAGAAAACTGGGAGCTTAAATGTATCATTCAAAAGGCCGAACTGTATGTCTCATTCTGCTAACGTACCATCCACGATCACCTTTGACAACATTTGTGATGAATGCTCCCATACAGAAGGACATCTCCCCTTCGCCTGTTGCCGTGTAATCCCATAATGCTCTGCACACCGGCTGGAGAGAGAAAAGGAATGAATCATTCTCCCAAAGACCAAAATGAAATGAAATAATAATCATTTTCAACACTCATACCTTCGTAGCAAACGTGGGATTCAAGTACAAATCTTGGTAGATGTCAGAGTCGTATTCGCCTGGATCCTGGAACGAAAAGTAAATATATTTACTGACAACAAGGCTGAAACGATTTAAACAGAGAGATCAAAATCTTACCAGGTCAGTATCTTCGTACATCTAAAAAAGAAGAGATTACGGGTAAAATAAGCTGATGAATCTTGGTTGGGAACTCTCGATATAAAGTTTCTCCCAGTTATTGCTGCATGTAAACCCCGCTTTAAATAAAGTCAGGAAGATTGTGAAACAGGTCATCACCTTAGCACTAATCGGTTTCTTTAACTTGATCTTTCTGTAGAGTGGAAACTTCGTGTAATGATCAACCAATTCAACGAGCGACTCAAATTGGGCTGTACCAATTGTGAACAGCCTTCCCTCTTGAATAATACGACAATGTTTTACTTTGCCTTCGGCCCTAAAGAGTAATTAATGAAGTAAAATCACAGGCCAGGTGTCGATGATAGATATAGGCATGTTAACAAAAAGATATCACTCCAGTTGTCTAAGAGGTCACTGGCAGGTTGTCAAAATAGCTCGGCATGAGCTGATAGAGCTAACACGTGCGAAAAAATGATCAATATAATTCAGTTGGAAGGTAAATGTAGTCATACTTGAATGAAATGGCAAAAGCCTCTTGATTTTTTTCCGTCGTCTCTTTTTTGCGAACGAGAAATGATCCATCCTGAGGTGCCCGCATCAACATATTCTCTGCCTGGTCGCGGGTCAGCGATGTGTGAAACCACCTGAAAAATGTAGGGCAGGATTACAATCAAAGTTCATGTTAAATTCGTCCAGTCTTGGAAGCTTCACTGGCAAACCCCACCAGAAAAATTCAAACTTCACTTACCCTTTGTCCAAATGAGCGTTTGGCTGAAAGATATTAGCAATGAGTGTTTAGTGGACAAAGAGTTAAAATTATAATTATGTTTTTTTTTAATTCAAGTTCGGTGTTGCTAGGAGACTAGGCAGAGTATTTGACGTTGCATTTAACAAGTTTCAACAATTTACACAAGAGATTTTTGCGATATTTTGTGGTATCTCTGTATTGGAAGATAGACCTGATTAGGAAAGAATTGATCCAAATGAATAGTATTCTTGACAAACCTGTGAAATTGGTTCGGTCAAAGTTATTTCAAACTGAGGCGTTCGTAATGGATGCGATTGATAAAAATCCACCAAACTGTAGAGATTGACAAAACTATCGGTCTCGCCGAGAGAATACGATGTCTCCCCATCAACTTGTTTTGTCTTGATTCTGCAATGTTGGGCACAGCCGTTGCGCCTGGAAATAAGTAATGTCTAATGTGAAGCCTCCTTGGAAAATATTCTATTCAGTGTTTACTTTCAACCTTCCTCAAAGTCAGTCGATCAATGCAGTACTTCTATACTTGACTAAGAATTCTTTTACAATATCTTACCAAAATGAAATGCTGTAAGTATTATCTCCCTTCGACGACTCTCGCACAAGAAAAGAACCATTTCCTTTGTTGTAAAGTTGAAGAAGTTTGGTCGCTGCAACTCCATCGATTCCGCGATGAAACACTAGGAAAACCCCAAGCCATGAATCAGCGACTTATTTGTATAAAGCAATGCAACCAGGTGATCACGCGCTTATATTTTAGCCAACCAACGCTCGGAAAGGATGTCGAAATTCATTCAGTAGTATTTAACCGATTAAATCTATTGCTATTCTTTACAAAACTAGTGGAAGTTTTGTGAGTGTGTTTAGTTATAAGAACTATTATAGCTCTGGCATAAATTTGAAACCGGAATAAAGGGTATCTGAAGAGATTTTAAGTGGTTTCAACTAAGAAATAGATTTTAAGTCCTTTCCCGCCTAAACCAGCTAGATCACCTGAATTTTACGATTTTAAGTCCTAGATCACCTGAAGTGAATTTCTAGAGGCAGGCTTGGAATGAACTATTTTGCTACCATAGTATTTACTTCAGACACTTACGGTTCGGAAAAGTGAAGTTCTTTATTTGACAGCTAAAACGAAAATATAAAAGATTTTTAATGACCATCGTTCCCTTTCGATGGAAGGTGATTCTATATTCAATGCTATTCTATTTTGTTACATGCAAAATATGAAGCCTGAAGTAACAGCAATGTCACGTGTGTTACCAGAGAATCACCCTGGAGTGAAACTTGCAAACGTTGTATGATTGGCGAGAAAAAAAGGCTAAAGTTGGTATAGGCTTGAGAGACCTCATCTTCTTCAGGTTGTTCCTCGTAGGAATTTTCATCATCATCTTGGTCTTCAGAATCAGTCTGTTCTTCCGTCCAATCAAGTCTGTTGTTGCTGAGCACAAAGAAATGAGGTCTCCAAATCTGACAAGGAAAGAGCAACAATCAGTATATTTCAGTTTAAAAAGGCCGAAGAACAGTTGGTGACCTCGAGAAAGCCTAGGAACAGTTGGTGACATCGAGGAAGCCAGGAACAATTGGTGACATCGAGGAAGCCGAAGAGGATTTGGTGATAATATAAAAAATGCTTGATTCGTCTACGATTTCTGTCGTGCTTTTCCTCTTCAAAAATTCTGATATTTCTTAAACACAAGTTGTTAGGAATAATCAAACCTTGTCAAACTCATCTTCCAAGTAAAGAATCCCGTCCATAGCAGTGTCACACAGGACATCGTCTGTACCTAAGATCAATTGCAATTCATTAACTACCTAATTGCTCTAAATTTCAATGTGAATCCAACGTACCTTGGTCGGTAGGAACAGCAGCAAGTTTTTTATTCTAAAGAAAAAAAATTTAAAATTTTTGACCGACTGAGATCTCTTCCTTAAGAGTCGAAGATCTGTCAAGATACCCATCACAGAATCTTACCTTAATGATAATTTTGTAAGCTAGATCTTCTGGCGAAGGTAGGGAACCCTCGCTTGGGTTTACAGGACTTGTTAAGAGATAATCTAAATCATATAAAGATTGTGTTGATGACAAAATGGTCGAGCGAATGGTCGGTAGATAAGCATAATGCACAGTCGATATCTCTTTTCTGTTCGGCCAAAATATAACTTCATTTTAACTTTATCTAAAGTCTTCTTTATCCACAGACATTTCAAACTGTGTAAACCGTTACCAAAACACAAGTTTGAACAAAATAAATCAAGAAAATTGTTAAGAAATTCAAATTCCAATTTTCCCGCCAAAAACGAGTGGCCTGTGCAAAACAAGCCTTTACCAGAGTTGTCGAAAACACGTCAATGTGTGTTTACCTCCGAAAACATCGCGAAAACTTTGCGCCATAACTCTTTGCTGGACATTGCTGCAGTGATTTTCAATGGAAAGAATGAGTGGGTACCTGGAAATAGCGAAAAACCATTTTCAGAAAAATCTCTTCAGCAACTTTCGTATGTCTTCAGCCGTTAGTCCGATAAAAATCATGTACAGTATTTCATCAGAGATTATAACCACTCACTTGCTTGCAACAAAAGCGTTTTCTTTTATTGCCCTGATGACATCTGAGAATTTTATTTTCGACGTAATTGTTTTGCCATGATAGATAACGGGTTGATTGTCAGGACCGTCCCAACAATCCACTAGAAAAGTGTAAGCATTTTGTATAAACTAGGATTTTACATGCAGTTGAGACGAGCTAAATTGGCAGTGTATAGACCAAGTATTTTCGTCAGGTAATTTCGTTGCAGTGAAGTAAATGAAAAGCCTTAAAAGGGTCTCAAAAGCCAGTAGATAGTCTTAGGTACGAACTGGATTTTTATCTACGCTAGAAAAGGTTTTATGTCGTGCAAAATTCCTCGAAGTGTCTTCACGAGCAATCAATCTTACATTCAACACAACGACAACCCATCCTCAGGCATCTTACATACGCTTCGACTGACGATTCACTCAAGAGTTGATTGCCAGTCAAATATCTACAAAAAAGCGCAACATTTCTTACAAAACGGTCTGAAAATTTCGAGAGGAGACGAGTTTACAAGATAAAGCAATGAATAAACACATCGAACGCACCATTCCGATAAGCGCTCAGAAGAGGGGATAGACAGAAAAGATGTTGATAGATCTGGGCATCTAACTAACTTACCACCACGTGGCGATGAAATGGCATATATTACTATCGCAAAAATTCAACCAAAATGCTGAAATTGACAATCTAGCTGCTCAATAGCATCCGAAACTAATCATTACCCTAAGATAGTAATTATATTTCTGACCGGATTCCGCGTTTCCAGTTCCTTACCTCTCGTTGCTTTTCAATACGGCTCAAGCGAAGATTAGAAAAAATAGGGTGTGTCGTTAAATTCAGACAGTTTATAATTTTAATTCAGTGAAATGATATACTTATAAGCCGTTCAAAGACTTTTACTACATGACAGGCGCCGATAATGACTTACGTGTTGTGTGAAGACGCAATCCAGTACTGGCTGAGAGGATGAGTCATGTCTTGGTAAACTTTCGCATGCTCCTCATTAAACACGCTGTTCGTCTTCGAAAATATATAATCTAAAAACTGAAAGATATAGCAAGGATAGTAGTTTAACCGGGCCTTTGTTAAAAAAAATGTAGCCAGTCTTCCAGTCAGCCAGTCTTCGCTAAATTGATAAGACATTCTGAAACTGTTTTTAAAATTCTCAAAAAAATGGATTTATAGAACATGCCGCAATTTTTTAACTCTGGCGAATTCCGGCTGGTATGAGTCATCTAGTGACAGATGATTGAAAAATGGTTTGGGGAATGTCTGAATTCACTTCTTACCTCTGGTAGAGACAGGTATGGTTCCGCACCTCTATCTCCGCCCAAATATTGAACAATGTGTTGCCTCACTGTCTCAACATTCTTCGCAAACGTTTCCTAAGATTTAGCAAACAGCTTTCTTCAATAAAGAGTTTAAAGATTTTCAATTCGAAAATCCAACCCTTCACGTGAAGCTAATTAAATTATTTAATACAAAACTATTTAAAAACATGTTTTTTAAAATTCCCTTTAAGCGGTGAGCAATAAAAAAATGAAAATTGTTTCCGTCCAACTGAAGACTTCTACAAAGAAACATGGCAGATATTTGAAGAATTGTTTTACGAGTTTCTTTTATTGGATAAAAGATCGAGTTACAATCTTTTTAAGTAGGTTTTCAGGAAGAAACTGTCGAAAGGGTCAGGAACTTTGGGGTTCAACTTCCTTAAAAATGATTGATATAAGATATCTACGTACACCCACATAATTGACATAATAAGATCACCAACCTTTTGGTCCATCATTAAAAAACTTCTGAAGTGTTTAAATAGAACATTTTTTCTGGAAATAAAAACGAAAATTTGGTTTGCCGCCGTTAAAAAAAATTCACGGTCGGCACTGCATTGGTGGTGGGAGGTCGCTGTCAAAAGTAGTACCACGCTTTCTAATATTGCTTTGACGCTTGAATGAATTGCTAATAGGAAAAGATTTCTTGTTCTCCATCAACCCTGCATGTGCTCTTGTATCGACAATTTCAATCTAAAATGTCGTTGGGCAAACGGACAGGGGCCGGTTGAATCAAGCCCGTTTAGCTTAAACGGTGGATAAGTTCAAAATAGAAAGCATGTCTATCGTTTTATTCAACAAGCGAACAAAATATTTTTGACCTTAATACAAAGCTACTGTTTACAACTACATATTCAGTGCATAATATTCAAGTTGACTAATTTAAGAGAGTGGTAAGACTAAGAGTGTTATTTAATTTTGTGTTTTGACTTATCCATCGATTCAACCGCCCCCAGGACTATTTCTTTGAATAAGTCAAGCCAGCCAAGCTAATTTTGGTAGAAAATAGTTTCTAATTCCGATTGAAAAGTAAATATAAGCAGATTTCGCTTGTTTTCACGAACTTCCTTAAACTCCATAATTAGTATTGTCATGGCTGCTTCCTTGTTTCTACTTCCGTGGCAAGGGAAACATAGAACAATTATTTTAATGGTCGTTTTATCGTTTGAGGGGCGCTGTGACTTCTCATTGTCAACCGATAATGCTGCATGTTAGTGTTAGATCAATCTCCCTTCGTCACAATTAACCTACCTATCTTTAGACAAGGTATAAAAATATTGGCCAACCTGCATTCAAAAAGAAAAAAAGGAGGACATTTTTGACTCGGATACTTTCTTGATTTAATAATTTTAGACGTTCTCAATTAAATAAGGAAATATTATCGACTCAAAAATATTTTTTATTGTTTAAAGCTGAAATACATGGATGGCTTGAAATGACTAAATTTAATGCTTCAGACAATTTAGTCTGCTCAACACTTACAGTTTGATGGTTCATTAAACTTTCATAGAATGCTTTGAATCCTTTGAAATCAATAACTGCATTGTTATTTACATCACTGATTGTCTATATAAAAACCAATAACTATTAATGTTGTAATAAATTATTGTGTGATGTAATTATGAATGAATGTCACAGTTTTTCATGCAATCAGACCAGGGATGCATGGAGGTGAGGTCTTACCTATCAGGACTAAATTGCTAAGATGTACACACTTATACAATAAAATTGGAATGGATAAAATAGGGTGGTGAATGCCCGCCTCCTGTTCAGTACAGTCCTTCATGTTTACCAGATACGTACTACTTCTGAGAAAAGTTCATTGTCAACTGATTACCTGAAATTTAGCCGTCATTTCAGCTACGCTCATCTTCACATTAGACCTCAGTAGAAACTGTTTTAATTCTTTCATTGTGATTCTAGGTGGCAAATAGCACAAAGGCTTATGAGTCATTGTCAACTAAAATATTCATGCACAGATTTGTAGGAACTCAAATACGGCAATAGATATATTGTTCACATTAATTGACAAAATAAAAAAAAGCGAATTGCCATCTAATGGAATGGGTAGAACATGATATGAAAAATTCTCCCTGCATTTGCATCTTGCGAACTGAATTCAGTAATTGTTTTACTATTTATTTAAGGAATGAACATTACAATTTTGTTTCCTTGCATTTGTGCCGGTTTGGTATGACATCATAATGCGCCAGATACAACTATATTTATTCTGCGTTATGTCAACATTATAGAGTACCACTTGTTAGATATGATGATATTACACAATTAGCTATTATCATCACAACTACTACAAGTTAATTTTACAAATTGAAAAGATATAGCTCTGTTTACCCATTTTGATTAACAGGAAGAAGCATGTTCCATTCCGTTTGAAGCCATCTACGTGAGGAACAAAAACAAAAAGTATTAAACAGTATGATATACTGTGGATGTGTGCTTGAAACTGACCTCCCACATGTGAAAGAACCTCTTTAATCCAGCATAACTAGAGTGTATTAGAATGATACTAATAGTTGATTAATATATCCAGACACTCACTTACCTACTCACAACAAAAGGATTAGCAATAGGCATATTTATTAGATAAGTCAAACCATCTACCCAGTAACTGCATTCTTGTGCTGTTTGAGCTAGGAGCAACATAAATACATATAAATATGATTAAATTTAATGATTGGTACAAGTACTTACAGTAATACAAAGGATAATATTTGGTTCTGTTTTGCTTTGTTTTATTCATCACATGATCAGAGCTTAACTATAACTTAGCTTAGTTAATCTAAATCACTTCAGTCTTCAGGGTACAGCCTAGTCCACCCTTGTTCAAGTCATTTTAAGGTCACATTTCTGGCAGTTCTATGATTCATTCTTGTCGGTTCAGTCCAGTCAATTTAGGTCTAGTTCTCAGACCTGGCGAAATAGCGTACATTGAATCGAGTTATCACAACTAATCTTACACACAAATATTAGTTTAAAAGGATACCAACCTACACAGCTCAGAGTTTTAAGATTAAATGTTGTTCCATACAGAATCACTAGGCAACAATTGAAATCAACCCTTCTCAGATAATCAATATTTTTTTCAAAATCCTTAGAACAGGTACTACGGCGAATAGCTTTGACGTCACGGATTTTCACTACAAAGTAATATATAACATTTAAAATTATCAAATGCCCAAATAGGATTCAAATGATCAAGGCAGAAATTATAGTTTAGCAAATGAATCTCGGTCGACTTAAATCAGACCTTAAATCAGAGTACATAACAAATATTTTGTAAGTCTTTGGTTCGGATAATCCCTTTGCACAAACAAGTATTGTAAACCAAATTTATAATAAAAGGCTCAAAAATTGACCACTATGATATTGTTTTACTTTGCCCCAAAAATGCTAGACAATGGATTAACTAAACTATGCTATTGATGACTAATAACATAAGAGCTAACTTAAACTTGGGTGCATCCTTGTGATTGGTATCATAAAGCAAGCAAAAGGTTACTTTGATGACAGACGTAATAAACTGGAAGTACAAAACTACAGCTGAATAAACTCTAGTGTATAATATCAGAAAAGGTGAACAAGAAAGATTTTATTACTAGCTAATAGTAAACTCAGACAGGTGTTATTATTAATTTACTACATGGCAAACTTTCCAAGAGGTGCAATTAATAATCTGTGTTTTAATTAAAACTGCAGGTGAATATCTACAAATCTATAACGACTGAAACGTGACAATGCAATTCTAATATTCCATTCCAAATTGTACAATTATCTTGTTGTTTGTGAATTTCTCTAGCGCAATATGACAATATCAATAATTTCATTTCGTTTCAAACCTAGCCGCTGCATGTTCGGTCAACACCGCAATCAGAGACAAATAAAGATATATTAGCGTTTTTTTTTTCACGGATTAAAAGAGACGATTGCCCAATATTATTCGCTAAATTCCAACACTAGTATATTTCATAATAATTCTCTTAAAAGACGCTGGCTCCACAGCTAAATATGGGATTATAAACAAACATATTATAATTTGAGCATCTGGATATCGATGTTGCGATCAGATTTAAAAAGAGCATACATGATATATTAGGTAACATGGTATTTTGATCTTGCTGGCTTGATCTCGTTTTAAAATGTATTAACACAGTTAATATAATAATACCTGAACCCTCGACCGGCCGATCAGGTCTCGTCCAGTAGAAAAGCATTCTCTCAACATTCACATAATAAACTCGATTTTCCGGCTTCCGTTTGCCTGACGGATAAAATCTCGTCATAGTCATTCCCTCTTGCATTTTGCCTATGATCTTGTCCATACTGATGGAACTGTTGGATTCCCGAGTTTTGAGTCTGTTTTTTAAAGATCGCTTCAACATGGTGTGTACTCTTTGCGATATTCTGAGTATATATTTCTCAAACAAGAACCGCCGACGAATCACAATTATTTCAAGGACATCTCATTCATTCAGCTCCGATCTCTCAAAGCAACACAATTTATCGTAATTCTTCCATTTTTGATACGATTTACAGACAATGGATTTTGCACTTCCTGGCACAATGTACACTAACTTCTCGAAGTTAATAAACTCCAAATGTTATTTACATTACTACTTCGCCCACTTCGCTTGCCATTGGTTAAAACAAATGAATATTACATAGAGACATTCTATACCCACCATGGTAACACGGGCATTATGCGAGGGTCAATATGTTGACAGTTTTCTAATTATTCCTCCCCGGGTTAATTAATGCCTCCCGGAGGGAAAGAGAGATGTTGCACCAATCAGCTTGAAGTTCCACGAAGCGGTAAACGATTACCAACCACCTGCTGGGACAAAGATATATATGTTTCAGGCTATTCTCCTGCGGTCAACAAAACCGTCAAAACGCAGTACCTTTTCTTTGGGATTTGTAGCTGTCCAAGGCTCCGAAAACGGTTTAACAACCCCCCGGCCAAGAATGATTCGTTTCCACCACACGTGGCTTTCGTTGAGAGGAATTGTCGATTTCAGACTGCCGCGGAAATCCAGGTATAATCTGTAACAGATTGCCCGACTGGGTGCAGAAAAAACATACAGGTTTCAACAGATCTGTTGCAAGCCGAATAAAAATCTACGGCATGAAACTCAGCATTTCTCGACAGATCAGAGAGTCTTAGAAACCATGCGACGACCTGTCAAGAATATTGCTACAGATTTTGAACAACGCCGGTTTGCATTGTTGCATTTGCGCTTTGATATTAAATACGCGCAAACATTCGAAAACGGAAGTTCTTTTTTATTTTTTTGCGACGAGCGTGGTGTCAAGTCCCGCCACAATCGCCCACTTAATTCTTTCAGACAGAGGCTTTTTTCAAAAGTGCACTTTCTTTACTTAAAGATTTTTAACGACTTTTACCCCGTAGAAACGTCACCCAGAACTTTCGAGCACTTCCGTCCAAAATTTTGCCTTGCTTCTACTGCGAAATTCGACACGTATGAACTGTTAAGGGACTCTATCCATTTGGTAAAAACTCTTGGTAAAACACCTTTGGAAAGGTATCTTGTCGAACAGTTATTCTAAGCTATTCAAATTGAGTTAGTGGCTGGCTTCTGTACTCCATCTACCGTAGATATTAAATCCTAACAAGTGGTAAACTCGCAGACATTTAAATATCAAAAAGATGTTCAATAAACTTAAGTGGATTTGTGTCTATTATGATCAACTTCCTCTCCCAAAATTCATTTTCATTATCGGCAGAATAAATCTCTCTCGTTGGAAAAATTCCAATTGATTTTTAAGAAAGTAGATAAAAATTTGATGAAGCCAAATTAATTTTATTTATTCATATTTTTCTACAAGATATTTGATACTTCAATCATACCGTATGACTTATGACAAGACAATTCGTCATGTCAGATAAGAATTTAAACAAGTCCTGAAGAAAAAGAAATTCCATTAATCAAAATTGATTACGCTTTGATTAGGGGCTGGTTCTACGAAAGCCTAAATCATTTCTGAGAAATTTCACAATAAAAAAATTAGACGTAGAATTAAGTGAGCTTCGTATAAAATCTGATTACAAGATAAATAAAGAAAATATTGGAAAATGAAGATACGACAAATTGGTTTAAAAAACATGCGCAGCTTTCGTTAAAACCTGCCCCAGACTGTGCGCATTACGCTTGTAGCAATGACCAGTTGTGATTGCATGCTGTGTTTGGCGAAAGGGTGGGGTTTGTAAGACACGTGTTTCACACGTCTGTGGATGTTGATTGTTGGCTTTTGTTCCGGGCGGCGTTATGTCTAGAAATGCGAACAAAAGAAAACGTGTTATCATGACTCTCTTTGAAAACTACTCTTTTTATTGCCCCTGTTCACTGCCCCCAGCTTTTTGCCTTTCAGTACCTCACTTCCCCACCTCATTGCCCCTGTTCACTGCCCCCACCTTCTTGCCTTTTGTTCCCCACCTCATTGCACCCGCTCACTCTTCTTTCTTATTGCCCCTTATGCCACCAGCTCCCATTATTGCCCCACCATATTTCCCCATCTCACCACCCCTGCTTTATATACGACCTCACCCACTGCCCTCCTACATTTACTCTCATTACACAACCTCATCGCCCACCCTCACTTCCCCACAGCATTGCCCCACCCTTATTGTCTCTTCAAATATCCCTCCTATTCTACCAACCTCGATCCACGCTCTTGAATCAGCAACTGTAATTCCTCTTGTTTTTCTCTGAACTGGGCGTCCAGTTTCTGCATATTGGTAATTCTATCCGCCATAGGCAGCCCAAGACCATCGCCGCTCGCCCGCGTGATCTCAGCGGCTTCTTCCTGGATCAGCGTGGAGATCTTCTCAATCCTGTCACGCAGTTCGTGGATTGACGCGTACAGATTTTCTTCATCACCCTGAGAAAAAAACAAATCAATGCCAAGTTGACTAGTTGGTCATATCTTTTCCCAGCGAGATGGTTGATTAGGTTGTAATTGGCTTGTTAACAAGTACAGTCAGGTACTGGACTGATTAATTTAGAGAATTGGTAAAGCAAAGTTTTTAAGGTATCGGAACAGGTAATAAAACGACAAACCTTTGCAGTGCTGATATCCAAGTGAATTAATAACGAACTTTGTTCGTATTCTTCGCTGTAGGCATTCTTCAGTGGCACAGACCTGTAACCTTGACGCATGACGAAAATGATCAGAGTTAGGCCGCTGGTTAATAGACGTGCGGCTCATATGATGCACTTCACACTTATAACTCTGCTCTAATATTACACTGGACACGGCATAGATTGATTTAGCTGATGTGAACTCAAGATTTTCATCGATTCTGGGTTAGTTTGATAGGTGTAGTCGCTAGATCTTGTGTATAATCAGACCAATATTCAAGACTCCCTAAAGACCGATCCTTACCCTCAAAAACACTTTACTGTACCTTGTTTTAAACTGCAAAGTGGATAGACAGCCTGAGCAATGAAATTCGGATCACCAAACATATCCTCATCGTAGACTGCAAATCTAATATAAGCCATTGGCGGACAGAAAACTGCTAGTTCTATAGAGTCACTCCACACTGGATTCAAACCGTTGTCAGCTAGGAAAGATACGTTGAAGCATAATTATAAAATATGCATGGCCAAATACTTTGAATAAAGCACGTTTAATACCATGGCAAACTCACATCTAGTTCCTGTTTTGTATTTATAATTATCATAATCAGCGCCAATGACTTCAACTTCAACAAAGGGAGAACTAATTCCTCGGCCGATCTTCGGCAGATGTCGGGCTCCGATGAACTAAAAACCGAATTCGAAAAAATCATGTGATTGGTCCGTCAGCATTGCGGAGCCAATCAAACCTCGTGTAATATTACACGTTTGACGTCATTATGAGAAATGTCTACTCTTACCGTCAAATTTATAATCCACGGAGTAATATCAATTAGGACGTCTTTATTGTAAGGATCAAATTCACCCATTCTCGCACAGTCCGGTTTCAACACATAACCACAACTGAAATAAGAAAAATGCAATGTAGGACGAAATAAAATATAAATAAAAATGTTTTTGAATTGGTATTAAGCAGCATTATATAGAAAACTGTTGTTGTTTGTGTCTTAAATACCAGCTAAAGGTATCTCAATTCTCAATCACAGTAAAGTAGTGTTTCAATGCTTCAAAAATCAATACGCTGTGATTTTTAACGGGAATTGTTTAGGGGAAATCACTTACCAGCCATTATCCAGAAATTTTCCATGATTGATTTGCATCGAACGGTCTGAAAAGTTAGGACGTTCAAAAATATGAGCATCAACAAGTGAACGAATAACTATTTACGGGGTAAAATGAGAAGACGCGAATGAATGAGAGTGTTTAAATTAAACGGATTTAAGACGAAATCATGAACGCTGCAAAAATGCAACTCGAGTCTTCCGCCAGAAAATGAAACCTCTAAAGCGGTGCTGTGATCACTAACTCCTGCGGAAAACGTTTATTTCTTTTCCAAACTAAATATCTAAACATAGTTCAAATAGCATATACGAAGCGGAAGGCCCTCCACAATTGCTTTACCTGGTGTTTGGTAGTTAAGGGCACACATATGAACCCCAGAATTCCATATGGGCGTTGGGTCATAATTCGACGAGTCTACCCGAGTCCCTTTCGGGTACACACGGCTAAACTGATGCATATTTTTCGTGTTTAAAGTAAAGGAAAACAGTTCATTTTCCAGAATAAATAACAAGAGCTATACTATTGTGTCTTCCACGCACTACCAGTTAAAGTAAAAGGATATTGTACAAATTTCGCGGCGTTCTTTACACCTGTAAATTTTTCGACTTTTGTTTCAGGAAAAGAGGACATTTCACAATGTTTTCCTTTCACTAAAAATAAGAAAACAGAATTGTAGACACAAAAAGGTGTGTAATGCAGGAAATGCAGCAATGTTCTGACACAAGTTTGTTTAGTTTTCATTCACTTACTTTCGAGATCAAACGGAACTGTTTGACAATAAATAACCAAATCTGACAACGATTTGTCAATTTTGTTTTCTCGGATAGCTGATCTAACTCTTTCTTCTCGTTCATTGGCCAAACTCATCGCGTCTTTGATACAATGAATCCACGAGGTCATATCCTACGAAATAAAAGAATATTTTAGATATGCAACGAAAAGTGATGAATGAAAGTTGACAAGATTTGACAAACGAGTGTTTCATCGACTTTAATCATTACAAACGAGGATGACAGTTGATGAGAGTTCATTCTATGACAACTAAAGGACAACTAAAGGACAACTAAAGGACAACTAAAGGACAATTAAAGGATAATTAAGGACAACTAAAGGACAACTGAAGGACAACTAAAGGACAACTAAAGGACAACTAAAGGACAACTCAATGACAACTCAAGGACAACTGAAGGACAACTAAAGGACAACTGAAGGACAACTAAAGGACAACTAAAGGACAACTCAAGGACAACTGAAGGACAACTAAAGGGTAAAAGACTGCAAACCTCAACAGTCTCGGCAGCAACTTCCAATGGTGGTTGGTTACTTGACTGTATTGAAAATATAAACTGTTGACCGCCACGGGGAGGTAGAATTTCTAAAAAAGAGCGAGAGCGCTGAGTACAATTAACAATTTTGCACACATCAGGGCAGGGGGTCGAGAGGCAAGGCATGGCCCCAGGGTGATCACCTTATTCTCCGCCCCCTCCCCGAAACTAATACACTTGAGAAACCAATATCAGTCTAATTAGCTAGCGTGAAAAGTCCTATCCTATTCCACCTATCCTATCATATCCTCTCCTATCCCATCTCATCCCATCCTTTTATACTAAACTATCACTCAAACGACCAGACCTTACCTATGGCACATCCCCTAATATCCATGGAGCCTTTCTGCAAGTCCCCCAACACCCTGTTAGCCTCTTGATCCTGGAACGTCGTACAGGAATTAAAATAAGATCATGTGATAACATTTTAGGTTACCATACATCGGGAAAAAGATTCACAAGTAAGAATGGATATCAATTTCACACATCGAATCAAAATGTAGTTCTATACCTCGCCAGATTGCTGTTCCGGCTCAATCATCACATTAATTTCTTCACAGAAATTGGCAGGAAACCACGCTCCTTTGTAGTCGCCAAAGTCCCCGCGCCACCTTAACGTAAAGATACATGATTTCCGTCATCCTTTACTTTCGTCACTTCACTCACTTGAAGTGCATCAAATCTACGACGTGACAGTCGCTGGTAAAAACATACTGCAGCTAGTGTCAAGAAATCCATTTCACTTTGTTCTGAATACGGTTCTGAGTTTGTTAAACGACTAGAAACTATCAATTTTCATCTCTCAAGTGAAACTTGAAACAATAGATTTAATGAATGTTGAAATGTTTGACACGCTCTTGCACTCTCTCCCGCATAAGCTGGTGAAAAAACCAAAAGAAATCTCAACTCACCAACCGCCATCTTCTTTAATTACATTTGTTATGAAAGCTCCTTTACAAAAGCTCATTTCATCCGTACTCTGCGCCTGATAGTCCCACAAGGCGCGACATACTGGCTACAAAAAGATAGAAATACACACTGTCACACGTGTTTTACTGTTTTACTGATAGAAATAGTATACACTGTCAGGGGACTCAGACCTTTGTCAGGGGATACGCGAGTTAAAATCAGAGCAAATAGCTGGGGTTCAACACCTACCTTGGTGTTAAATCGTGGATCAAGATACAATTCTGAATCGTCTACGGAGCCATGATCAGGCATCTGCATGGAAAAAAAAATTCCTTGAGTGGACGTATTAAGCCCTGACCCTCGCTGCAACAGAAGGGTTCCACCTCTACCTTTTTTCAGGCTATTGAAAAATATGTTTGGTAGGTACCATTTATCATGATTAAGATAAGTGAAAACTTACTATTCCAATCCTCCGTAGTATCTGAAATGAAAGATGAAGATTTTGACATATTTGGAATAATTTTTGTTATTGATTTTGAATATTAGAAATTGATTTTGTCTCGTGTTATTGATATAACTCTTATTGTCTTGCTTACTTCTTCATTAATTGGATGTTTTAATTTCATTTTTCTGTACAAAGGGTGTTTTTCGTAGAATTCAACAAGTTCAACTAAGCTTTCAAACTGCGCCGTGCCGATGGTGTAGAGTCTTCCGTCGCGGAGTATCTTACAATGTTTAATTTTACCCTCAGCTCTGAAAGATGAAAACAACGAAATGTTTTTTAAACGATGTTTTAATTGATGCCGTAACAAAGAATCTTTAAGAGATGATCCTTACTAGACATAAAGGAAGATCATTTTAGAACTGTTAGAGCTATCCAGTAAAAATAAAGTTTAATTTAGGTTTCCTCCTGTAGTAACACTGGATCAATAAGAGATGATCCTTACTGGATCTCTAAGAAGAACAGTTTAGAACTGATAGAGCCATCCAGTGTAAATAAAGTTAGTTTAGTTTAGGTTTCCTCCAGTAGTAACACTGGATCAATAAGAGATGATCCTTACTGGATCAATAAGAGGTGATCCTTACTGGATCTCTAGGAAGAACTGTTTAGAACTGATAAAGCTATCCAGTATAAATAAAGTTAGTTTAGTTTAGGTTTCCTCCTGTAGTAATACTGGATCAATAAGCGATAATCCTTACTGGACCTCTAGGAAGGACAGTTTATTTCAACAGTTGATTTCAAGTTTACCTGAACGAAATAGCATATTCAGAATCATTTTTCTTCCTCACAAGAAACGACCCGTCGTTGGGCGCTCTTTTCAACATATTTTCAGCTTCGGGTCGTTGTAAATTAGCGTGAAACCACCTTGAAAGAAAGATAATTTAACAAACGACGATAGAATAAAACAAACAAATGAAACAGAAACTCTTCAGGTGGAATATTTACAAAATAATGCTAGAAACGGTTCAACCTACTCTTTCTCCAAATGTGCGTTTGGCTAAAAAATCAAAATAAATTTAGTGATGAACTGTGTTTGAACTGTTACACGTTTCGGGAAAGTTTACAGGGCTTTTCAGAGCCGAAATTTGGGGGCATTGGGTAAAAATCCTTTGGAAAACCCCTTTCCCCATGGGCAAGGTTCACTCACTACCTTGATCATTTTGCGACCGCGCACCAGGGGCCAAGGGCAGAATGCCTCCCTCCTGTCTCCCCCCCCGTCCCAGCATGTCCCCCCTCCCCTCCATACACACCTGGGGGATAGGTTCGGTCAAGGTAATCTCGAACTGCGGTGTTCTCAGAGGCTTTGCTTGATAATAATTCACGAGATTGAATAGACTGTCAAATGAAACTTGTTCGACGAGGTAGTATTTTGCTTGGCCATTTTCTTGCTTCGATTTGATTCGACAATGCTGGACCTCGCCATTTCGCCTACAATATTACAAAAGTGTATAAATGTACCGGATCACGAAGCGTGCACGTTTTGTTCACGTGAAAGCACAAATTTGTCCTCATTGACACTCACCAGAAGGTTATACTAAAATCCCCCACAAATGCTTGCGATTCCCGGACGAGAAACGAACCGTTTCCTTTGTTGTATTGTCGTAGTAACTCTGCCGCAGCTCCTCTATCGATTCTCTGATGAAACCATCTGATAATATTACAAGTATTTGTCTTTAAATCTCCGCTTTCATTTGAAAAGAGTATGGGACATGTTCATGCTTACCGTTCACCGTAATGTAGCTCATCTCGCGACGACTAAAACAAAGAAAAATTGTGATAAGTTTGTGAGTCTTTTTTCATTTATGAATATTATCTACACTGGACCACCACTGAGATATCTTTCACAGACAGTTCAGACACAAACCATCACAGTGTATTGTAGAATACTACCTACACTGGACCACCACGTTTGAGATATCTTTTTCAGGTAGTTCAGACACAAACCATCACAGCTTATTGTAGAATACTACCTACACTGGACCACCACGTTTGAGATATCTTTTTCAGGTAGTTCAGACACAAACCATCACAGCTTATTGAAGAATACTACCTACACTGGACCACCACGTTTGAGATATCTTTCTCAGATAGTTCAGACACAAAACACGACGGCTCATTGTAGAATACTACCTACACTGGACCACCACGTTTGAGATATCTTTCTCAGGTAAAAATCTCGGGAATGTTAAACCAACCTCAGATGAAAGTGGTCCATCCCAGCTTGGATCCTGATCCTGTTCATCATCTTCATCTGCCTTCGTCTCTCCCGTCCAGAACAAACGGTTTTTAAACAACACAAAGAAATGTCGGTTCCAAACCTATAGAGATGGAGAATACAAGCAAATATAATGCAAACCTTCACAAAAGGAATATAAAACACCACGAACTTTCAAAGAAAACTTGAACCTAGTTCATGAAATAGACATAAGCAGAAATACAAAAGAAATCTTTTCTTCCAGGGGTCAAAAAGACAAAGACAAAGACAAAGGCATTTTCTTTTCAAATGTCTTTGTTCCAGCTTCGCTTATGCTTCGAGTCTTGTGCTTGTGCTTATGTCGATGTTTACGTCGCTCGCTGTATTTCTTTGTTTGCCTTTTGTCTTCCTCATGCATGCTTGTGCTTATATCACGCGTGTGAACCAGGCTTTAGAAAAGTTGAATGTTTTGCGATAAGAAAATACAAAACCTTGTCCATCTCATCTTCTAGATAAAGAATCCCATTTTTTGTCGAATTGCTCAGTTCGTCTTCCATAACTAAAAGAAATGATCGAATATTCAGGAAAGGCAGTGATAAAGAAAGTAAGAATATGTAAGCTAGTCATCAATTTCAACTTAGAATTGAAATAATAAGTTGATAATATATCTGATAAGGTCAAAGGCTTTTAGAAGGCGCCCTAGACATACAGATGTACCATCATTCATCATATCTCTCGCGAGAGATTCAGGACCCATGAAGTAAAAAGCTATCCCACCATTGAAACTTAATACATAATAATAAAAAAATCATACAAGTGAAATCCTTTTCCACGTTATGGATATGGTCCACGTCGTTGGCGTCACTTGGAAGTTTTTTGTGCTGAATATTTCGAAAAGGAAAGTTGAATAAAAGGCGATCATTACAGACACTGTTAAAATAAACGACTAAGGTAAACCCAACTTCACGATGAGTAAACGGCTGGCCGGAAAGAGGGCGTATAATTTGGGGGAAGGCAAGGGAACGATAAATACCTTTATGAGAATTTTATGCTTTAACTGTTCTGGTGAGGGCAAGCATTCTTCACTTGGGTCCAGTGGAAAATTCAGGAGTTGTTCTGTTGAAGGAAATAAGACAACCTTTCAAATATTTCTCTCCTAAATACCTAAACCTCAGTTCATAGTCAATACAGAAGACATGGTAAGCAACAAGTAGTAAAAGACAATAATCTCGAACACAACCTTTCTCGCTTGATCTTACTCCATTCTCATTTTGCAAACAAACAAGAATTACGATGGGAGAACGTATACTAACCTCCGAAAACATCCATAAATGTTGTTGCCATGATTTTTTGCTGCGCCAAACTGCAGTGATTCTCAATTGACAGAACAAGAGGATAACTAGAAAACAGATTTAACCATCGTAATTTATCAAAATTGATATCACGAACACGGGGGGTGGATGTCAGAACATTAACGAACACTGAATTTCGCTTCTTTCAACTTTACGATGAAACTAGGGATCCAAGGATAGTGCAAAATTTCAGTCCCCACAACTTACTCGGACGCAACAAAGGCATTATCTCTTATAGCCTTGACTACGTCGACAAACTTGATTTTTGATGTAAGTGTGAATCCATGGTATATAACAGGCTGATTATCAGGACCATCCCAGCAATCCACTAAATAAAACACAAAACGAACAAGACATTTTAAAGGAATTTACTCAACGATGCTTTGGTTCGAGAACGTCGACTCTGTAGCGGCAGTTGATTTTAATTTTTTTTTTCGTTTGGAAGCGGACGAATTTTCCTTGTGATTTATCTGAGGGATCTCTCTAAAAATATGTGTCCCTTACATTCAATACATCTGCAACCCATTCTAAGGCACCTCACGTAAGCTTCGACAGAGGATTCGCTTGAAAACTGATCACCAGTCAGGTATCTAAAGATGAAGGAAATACGCATGATTATGGAGTGAATCTGTGTCGTCCGACGACGTCCTTTGTGTTTTGACGGAAACAGCGATACACCACACTGAGGCTTACGTATTATGTGAGGAAGCAATCCAGTAGTGACCCAACGGTTTCGTCATGTCCTGGTACACTTCGAGACTAGCTCCATTTAAAACACAGTTACTCCGCGAAAACAAGTAATCTACGAACTGGAAACAGGAAAAATCGTTGCAGAATAGGATCAATTGGTGTTGTCTTCGCACGAAAAAGAACATAGCTTACCTCAGACATGGTAAAATATGGCTTATCGGGGGGCCGTTCTACTCCCAAACATTTCGCCATGTATTCTTTGACTTTGTTAATGTCCTGAGCTATTGTCTCCTAAAGAAATGTGAGGTATATTGTTAGGGTTACCTCTGCTTCTGCGTAACGAGAACATCTATAGGAAGAACGGAAGGGAAAGAAGGGGTATCGTTGACTTAAGGGGGGGGGGGCGTTATGTTCTCTTTTAATAACGTCCTATGCTTTGGGGAAATGCACACTACCTTTTGTTCTTCCAGAAGGAATTTCTGAAACTCCTCCAAGTGTATTTGGTTCCTGTAAAAGGATAGAATTACTACAAATGTCGAAATTTGTCTTCCTAATCACCAGTAAACGCAGAAAATTATTGATAAAAAAGACGTCATTAAAAACGAGCTGCGTCTGATTTTTTTTATCGTACCTCTGATTTCTAAAGCTGTAAAAATTTTGAGCAATCTAAAAACCAAGAAATACCACTCTAATCGTGACAACTTTACATTGCCTAAATAAACCTGAAGTGAAATTTTTCATATTTATGGGGTGACAGGATTTTAATGTTCTTTAAAAGTTTAAAACTTTGTGCGAGTTAATTTCGATACATCACTCATCAGCCAGCACACGAAAGTCTTCATAATTCATGCTGAAATTATTTTATCTTCAATATACCGCTCACAAAATCACAAATTTAATGTAGAGTTGGTCAGAGATCAATTGTGTTTCACATGCTGTTTACTGGGTCTAGGGGCTGCCCGACGACACTTTTCTCTTAGTTTTCTTAAAAACAGGCTGACCCAACACCTCAAGCATACGACACTGTAGCATTAGCGATGGAGGCAGGCTGGAAGCATTGTCTGATGTGTTGCTTAATTTTTTTCTACGTTCAGTCAAAACTACGGACCGGGTAGATTATCATCGTTAATTCAGGGTTCAACCCACTGTAACTTGTGAGGTTCTTAACAACGGTTCGGCAAAATAATAGGCCGTTAATCAGCTGTAATTTTGGCCGATTGTGTTACATAAAAATGACCAATTTTCCCTCGGAAAAACGTTCCGTAATAAATGTTTCATTTCTCACTGCTCTCCGCAATTCTTTTTAAAGAGTTTTTTAGACTTCACTGGTATTTACCCGCGCAGTTCCCGCTTTTAATGACATTAGTATTCAAATTTATTCAAAATTTGGCTTCATTCATGCCTCACCCCAGTCCCTTCATTTAAAGCGGAGAAAATGGAAAAAAACAATTTGTACAGCCCACAATGAATAATGGAAATGTAATCATGGACCATCATGCATTGGTCAACTACTCATCCAACAACTGGTCACTGCCACTGATCTATATATATACATGGATCTATATATTTAAAGGAATATTCAAAGGAACAAAGGTATTGTCCTTTTAATAAGTTTATACTGTTCATTTTATCTGAGTAAAAGTTAGATTATTTCGAAATGCATGTCAATAACTAGACCTCTTGCTTACCTCATGTTGGCTCATTAGCAGGTCATATAGATAGCGGAATCCATCAAAATTTATATGGCCAGTTTTCTTTGAATCAACATCCTAAATATTGAAAAAGGAATTTCAGGGGAAAGCAATAGTTTATAGTCTAAATGGGCATGTTTACCAGCCTAGCTGAGGGTTGTAGAAAGCCTTTTTTTTAAACTAAGCCAGATTTTTAAACTAAACTGATTAGTTTGCTAGTACAGGTTGGTGTGAGAGTGCTGACAGTTTATTAATAGCTCACAATCCATTGTTTAAAAAAGCTTGGTTTTGGTAGTTACTGAAGATGCTATTTGTTGTAAGGCCATTGAAAGATAGTGGAGGACCGGGCAGGCTAAGAGCAGTCACTGAGGTCACTCAAGATGGTGTTTCCAAGATTTTATACCTCAAAAATATTCAGTAGAATTTAACATAACCCTCTCCCATAAAACCTTAACACATAGTCACTTATTTGATTTACCCCTTAATTGTAATTTCCTTGGCCTGAGCATAACGTAAGTGGCACAATAGTGCAGCTTAATTCAAGTGTAACTGGAGATAGCTAATAGCTTAATACCTGAAACAATTCCCTGACACGATTGTTATTCATTTTGATATTTGCTTTTTGTAAGAACTGCTTCACTTCTTTCATGGTTATTCTTTATAAAGCATGAAAGATAAAAATGGTTGAAAGTATAAATTGTGCATACAAACATGCTATAAAATGATACATAAGAAAAAAAACAAAAAAAAAAAAAAAAAAAAAAAAAAAAAAAAAAGGAGAAATATTCCTACTCTTTACGATTTCCTGGTGTTAAACCGTTCCATTCCTTTATTATCCATCTACAATGAGAAATAAAATGAAATCAAACCTTGTATTTTTCATTAGGTATTGTACATTACTTTATGTTTAATGCACACACCTGTAAATTAAACTTGGTTGAGCAACATAGGGATTTTCGTACATCAAATAAATCAGACCTTTTACCCAATACTCTCTTTCCTTGTTGTTTTGGGCTAAACAATGTAAGCTGATTTGTCACTAGGAATTCTAAGAATTGCAATTACACAACATGCTTTAATAAAGAGAATAATGGTAATCAATTAATGTCTTTGGTCTCTTGAGAATGTGAAAGTACTGATAATGACCTCATAACACTTCAATGTACCTAGATTTGGCAATATTTCAGCATTTATATCTACTGCAACATGATTTTACAAATATATTCATAACCATTATACTCACCCACACAACTTAAAGTCTTAAGTTTGAATTCCATTCCATAAAATATCACCAGACAACTATTAGGGTCAAGTTTCTTCGAGTAGTCTGGACTTTTATCGAAATCTTTGCTGCTTATACCCCGACGGACTTCTTTTATTTCCCGAATATCAACTGAAGCAAAAGAATAGTAATGCTTATATCACAGAACTAGTCTACAAATTGGGGGTACATTATTATGAATGCCTACAAACTATCCTTAATGTATAGCAAAGGATTCAGTGCAAATCATTGATCAGCATTTCTTATGAATAATGAGATGATTCCCCCAAGAGCAGATCAATTGATCTTGCCCTTGGGTTGGAAATCAATCTCCACATGATCCAATTCTAAGATTACAGATATTTCTTCAACAGTCGAGCCAACGATTTGACATCTCTGAGAGCTTTCAAGACCGAAACATGGCAACCTATTGTGGACAATTGTGCAGCTCTAATTTGTAAAATAATTTGAAGCACACAGATATGGCCAGGTTTAGGCACAGTCATCTTGGACGAAGGACTACTAGAGACCGCTTGACTGCTACAACTGAAGGCAAAAAATTTAGGTAGCCTATTTAATGAGGTGTTGCATAACATTGTTGTATAAATATGTTAATAAAATTGTAGATCAATTGGGCTGTTACTTTGCATATTGATATGCAACAATGTTAGCTGAATATAGACGAATATGATGTGATAAGTAATTCAATAAAAGAACAAAATTTTCACAAACAACTGTTATAACAGTTTAATTATTACGGTACCAGTGCCTTCCTCTCTGCCTGCATTTCGCCACCAACCAATTTGAAATTCGTCCAATTTTAGGAGAAATATCCTCGTTTCGGGCCGTCTGTTCGAATAAAATCTTGTCATGGTCGTGCCTTCCTTTAAAGACGTAACAATGGTGCCAATTTCGGCAAGCTCTGGTTCGACGTTGGCCATGACGGCGACGGGCGATCAAATATCCTTCACTTTGAACAAACGAGCGGGGGAAACCGTAAAGAAACCGAATCGTAAAAGCCTGTAAACGGCTGCAGTTTCATCCAAATCCTCTCATCGGTTATCTGTACGCTATACGGAAGGAATCAACATCGCTTTATATATGCACAAGGTTTCTCAAAGCACTCTGATTCTCTTCTATCTCATCTAACTAAGGAAGTTTTGAAAGTCCGGAAGAGTGGCTGCTGAAGTCAGGTGACCGGAAAACGGGCGAAAAATAATTGTCAAATTTCTCGACAAAGAAACAATGAAGCTTCGATTTTTTGAATATTTCGCAACGATTAATTCAAAATAGCACAATTATACAATCATCCAGCAAAACCATATAGCGATATTTAATAGTAAAAGATAACTCTGAGTTCAATATTGTACACAAAGCAAATACTAGCGTAATGCTTTTATCATATGCCCACACCGTTTTCCACAAATCGTTTTGAACAAAGACAAAAAGTGGAATTCTTAGCACGGTCTTTCATACGTTCGAAAGTTGAATAGTTTTGCTAATTGTATTGTCTATTTTTTCTCCGCATCCTGTTCGTTGTGAGAAGTTTCAGCCTTGGGAAATGTGAATTTATTCCGGAGCAATCTTTGGCGGGCTTTTTAATACCCTTTGTACTACAGATATTTTTCGATTTTATTCACTACAACCAAATATTCGATATTGAATGAAGAAGTAACAATTTATTACATGGAATATTCTTATTGTAATATTGCTACAAGCATTTTGTTCTATTTTGATATTGCTACTATTCTGTGTAACAAAAGCCGGTTTTGATCCCGTCATTTTTTTTGTCAGAGATCAGTTTGATTGCTGTCAGCGTCCGAAAAGGAAAGAAAGTTATATTATGGTATGGCGGCTAGCTTCTTAATATTAAGACAAAGAAAAACGACAGGTTTTTGTTTGTCAAATAGACAAGTTATTCATCGAGAAACTGACATATCCCCCTTGTGCAAATTCTGAAATAATGTAAACATTATGTCAGATATTACATGCCGTTCAAAGATCAAAAATACATGAGATATTACTTGTCGGAGGCAAATCCTATGAAGAGGGAAAAGGGGGGTGGAGGGGAAGATTCCTCTCATAACGTGTGGTGAGGGGAACAAGACGTCCTTTGTTCCCCACCTACGCTAGATCATTTCTTACAATCTAAAGCTATTCCAAATTAAGCTTTGACAAAATGAAGCAAGACAAATTTAATTTAATTTCTACAGATGTTTGAACAACAAACCATATTTACACGCAACCTGCATAGCAGGCTTTTGAAAGGGAAGTGGAGGGAATAAGGAAGGGGGAATGCGTAAGTTCTCTCCCTTTGGATGGGATGAACATCCAGTCTAGACCGTCATAGTGATAGAGATCAGAGGTAGACGGAGAGTGAAGCAAAACGTCCCCACCGTACCCCTCCTTGGTTTCCGAAAACAGCGAAACTTTGGGTGTATGTTGATATAAACTTTCCTTTGACCATGTTACATATTTAATTGTGGTACATACACGAATATAACCCTGGAAATTGGTATGACCCGTGGATGTATCGGCGGCAAAGCTGTTTCTTGATCAAGTTCGTGACGTGCCGACGAAAGATCACGGAATGATAAATCGTATTTGACAGCGAAAATTTGTGACACCATACTGTAAAAGTCGCAATTGTTTCGGGAGGAAGTGCTTGGTCACATCATATCATATTGTCGCGCTGGAGAATTTTTTAAGGATATTCTTACGCTTTGATTGATTCAGTGAGCTTTTGAAAGGGGGAATTGTTTGAACACATTGCAAAGATGCAACGCAAAGAGCAACCAGGATCGAATATAGTCAAGTTGGCTGTTGAACCACCGGCTAACATTCCTAATATTACGCCTTCATTTCTGCATTTCGATCAGGTTTGAAATCATGTTTATATGTTATTCACCACATAATGTTCTCTTTGAAACATTCGGTATTATCGCTGTGTCGGTTCCAACATGATAAATCAGTCGTCTTCGCTTCTATAGACGAGAAAACTGCAAGACATCATCGACGAATTATGCAAAGGGTAAGGTATATAGTTCTAATGTGAAATATAATTCTAATTGCATTTTCTGTTCGAGTAATTGTCATAAGCATTCGAATACTGCAATCACCCTCTTGTTTGTGGTTGTTTAAGTCAAGAGATCTTTCCAGGTAATACGATTTGGTTCAGTTCAATATCATGTTTGTTGTTAGGGTCGGCTAATTTGCCCATAATTTACTTTGTAAACATATGTCATAATTTAATGTCATGGGCGCATTCCGACGTGTGAAAATGGATTGTTCCACTTTCGAATTTCGACGTTGATATTCCCCAGTGTTCAAATCCATCAATCACCGCATACAAAAACATTCAAAGTTTCTTTACATTCAAGATTTGTCACAGTTTTGTTTCAACCAGAATTTAGGCTGTCACGAAATTAATTCCAAGTGTTCGTCCTATGGGGGGAGGGGTGCGTAGGTAACAGCTTTCATTATGTAAATTACTATTGGATAGACATTGATTGCAATACTACATGATTAAATATGTCATAAAACAAAAAGATCTCTTAAAAAAGACATTCCTTGATATACGAGCAAACAAACGTCTGTTCCTGATAAAACCCTAATTCTAACTGAGAATCTATTTCTTATACTCTAGTTTGCTCATATAACGAGCAAGAACCCGGATGTCATTTCAACCTTTTCAATTCAACCTCTTTTTCCTAATAGGTGGAATATACCAAACTCAGAACAATATGCTCTACAATACGCTGATAGCAATACATTTATAAATGAGCAGGTACAAGGACAGTTAAAAAACAAAACATTTAAACCAGTTCACCACCATGAGAAAGGTGGTGATGAGCTTCGAAAATTTTTATATGGACCACACATTATTGTGTTTTTGGTCACAATAGTATATGGTATGTTACAAGGCATGTATGATTATGATTTTAAAGCTGTTTCCATTTCAATATTCTAGAATAGGCGTGAACTCTCAAATGGTGCTGTCTTAGTAATTGGAATATCACCGGTAAGAATTGTGTTTGGAGAAAGCTTGCGGATGTATGCGGTTGTTTGAGTTGAAATCTCCTCTTTCACAGCATATGTTAGCACGTACTTTGTATGAAGACATAAAGTCAGGTGACAGCGAAAGTAGCAAACATGCCTTAGTGAAATTGGCCACAGCCTCCGAGGTAAAAAACTAAAATCACAGCAAATTATATTGTAATTGAAATGGAGTGTCTTGTCAGTGATTTTTTGACTGTCTTGCTAGTAATTTCTCTCAATATTATCCCAGCCTTTCTTCAAAAGTAACTCCATTTTTTTTCAAAAGGACCCAACATTTGCAACAGAGTTTATCAATCTCGATGGCCTGAGGACGTTACTTTACATGCTTGAGAGTGGCATTGAGTATGTATTCACATGAATCAGCATAGTTCAACCATAATTTTGTCCAGCAACTTTAAATTCTTGTTGCCATTCTTTGTAGCTCAAGTGAATTGAGAGCCCATGTTTTGACGGCATTCCAAGAACTTATGGAGCATGGAATAGTGACCTGGGACTTGATCAATAATGTATTTGTTAAAAAGGTACAATTAGCACTTACAATTTTCCAATTTCCAGAAAAGATTCAGTCAATGTCCTGACTGCAATCTGTTCTACCCATGTCATAATGTCTTTGAAATATTTGGAGACTATGGGATTTGTGAAATCAATTGACACCCACGTTACCATACTGCTGTTCTAACACCCATCATTTTATTCTTAGTTATGTAGTTTTGTCAGCTCACCCCAACTAACAGACCCTACCGTGTTAAAAAGGTCGTTATCAATACTGGAGTCTATAGTGCAAAACAGGTCGGTACAAACTCCAAGTTGCAAGTTCTCTCGCCTACAACACAAGTAGAAATGCTTCATAATTCATCTCCTAACCGTTTTCTTCACTTTCTTTTTGCAGTCCCAATTTTTACGCTGCTGTAGTGAAAGACGTGACAATCGATAGTTTAATACAACATCTTCAAAAGTGAGTCCGTCTTCTGACTTGAAACCATTGTCAGAAAGTCAGTGCTCGTTGCTCAATCAATATTCATGTGGCATAATAAACATTTTAAAATATGTTTTTGACCGATTGGAATTTCCTTCAAAGTTGATTTTTGAGACCAACCTGTTGCTGCGTGTGCAAAATTCTTTGAGTACATGGAACCGCCTCCTTGTAGGAAGTTTCATTTTGTTAAATTTCTGCCCCCTTTCATTCTTTTAGCGTTAGCGAGGATGTCAAAATTAATACAATCTCTTTAATAAATGCACTCATAATGAAAACGCCGCCCGATCGCAGAAAGGTAACTAGACTGACGCTTGTTTAGTGAAAAACGTTTTATGACTTTTATCCGGCGCCGTTTTTTTGTAAAAAATTGCGCACGATTTTAAAATCTGATAGCAACAGACTGATTCATGATGTTAAATGTTTCATTGTGTATATTTGTCTTAGAATTTGGCCAGCGAAATATTGTCCGTTGGAGTACGGAACGTTCTGTTGACGGTGAGTGGACGGAAGGTGTAGGTGGTGGTCGCGCCTCGCCTCTCCCGAAGACCACCCACTCTTTTCATTTGTTCGCCCTCGGTCGAGTCCCATGCAGAATGCGATTGCCTTGAATGTCGTTAAAAATGCAATTGAGTTGAAAAAAATTAATAATTCAATGCTTTAATAGTCCTTGAAGTTCTGAAAAGTAGCTATTGAAAGTCCTTGAATTCTAATTTTCTGATTATTCGCGATGACAGACTTGATTTCTCAATCTATATTTCATGATTTTTCCGTAGAATGTGAGCATGCTTGGCTTTTGAGCACGGTTTGTTTACCAGTCATTCATCTTTGGACATTTTCCAACTAGTGCATGAACAAGTTGAGAACGACAGCCGCATATAGAAACTCGATAAAATGACAACATTTGTGAAGCATTTTTACGTTCTCATGTATCGCCTTCATTCCTAGAATATTATTCGTAATCCACGAGGTGTCTCAGACGAAATGGCGCACCAACTTTACACATATCAACAATTGACATTGAACTTTTTACTCCCAAGAATGAACACAGTAATGAAAGAGGATGACCAGGTATATTTTGATTGGCCAACGAGTACGCGGCGCGAACGTTGATTGGTTAACGAGTATGTTCCGCGAATGCTCATTGGTCCGAATTACTTTCGTTTATTTCAGGCGGAGAAAGATAAAATCGAAAACCTTCGCAAGGCGGTATTTGAATCAAATATCGTTCACTTTGATGCGCAAGTTAGGACAACAAAAGATTATAGAAAACTTGGTTTTGAAGTGAGTGCGCGAAAAGATGTCGACATTTTATACGCCAAGCCGGTTTGATTCATTCCCGAGCTGTTGACTATTTCACATACAGACCGCTCAGTTTTGGCGGGAAAATCTCATCCTCGAATTTGTCGACATTTTTGTCATTTATTTTCCTGAAAAATTCTATTATGTAGGATTGAATTACATAGAATAAAGTGTATTAAAGTGAGGACGCAAATGCTTTTTTATACTCCGTAGAGGATTTTTAAAAAAATCCAGCTGATTGGTTGACCTTGTTCGATGTTTTGACAAAAGATTACATGATGAAAGTGTTCTTCATTCTACATCCCAAATTCGAAAGCAAAACACTTCCTTCCTTCCTTCCAAAAATGGATAGTAACATTGCCTTTTTTCATTCTAGCATTTCCAAAGATTATCTGATAACTTCCGAGAAACTCCCCCGGGACTTTTACCACTCGATTGTATGACATACTTTAGCAAGCAACTCCCAGACTCCTATATAAAGGTAACTCACTGTACTGTTTAGTAAACCTCACGAACTTGTTGGAGCTGATTCAAATGAAGTTCCTCCGGTTTCTCCTTGAAATTCTGTACATCCCACACAACTGTTGGCCTGTGGGTCGGGATTTTAACTGGCATTTGCACGACGACGTCTAGACCAGTGCATGTCGTTGGGAACACAAAATGTTTCAATTTCATTTGAGAACCATCCTCAGAGAATTGAAAACTTATGTAATTCTCTTTGTTTAGTCCTTCAGCTTCGAAATCTTAGTTCCGTCTTGGCAAAATCATTGTTGTTACTTTCGTTTTTCCCCAAGGTTGTACTGGAAAATATGGGCCGTGGCGATGGTCACGAATGTCCTTTTGGTAAATCGAGCATCGCTTTAGTGAAGATGCTGTGCAGATTGCTGAATATGGGAGAGCAACGTGAGTCATTCCAGATAGCGTTTGAAAGTTCTAACGATTTTGTCCAGTTACCAAGACAAAAAGAATTCACAGCTTTTTTTTTCATCGTAGCGGACGAGACGTCTTCAGAATACTATCCCATCTTTTTCACGACCGAGTCGCCATTTCAGGAACTCTTTTGCATATGCATCACATTGTTGGGAAAAACCTGGCGCGAAATGAAAGCAAAAACCGAAGACTTCGGAAGAGTAAGTTTAACGAAAACCAATCAGCGTTAAGAAACTCTTGAAACCACCAATACGATGTATTAGTTTTAAGTTTTATTTTATAAAAATACGAATTTGTATGCATCGATTACCGTTGCTATATGAAACAGAGTTGAAAAATAGACTTAAGTGTTTCCTGCTTTCGAGGGCTGAAAAATCACGTAGTAGCGATATTTGTTTCTAAGATGCGCTGTTTAAATTAGATTCCTGTGACTGAAGTTAAAAAAGTTGGGTGAATGTTTGTTTTTTCTCAAAGTAACTATTTCTTTTCCTGCAACAGAATGATATAATTTTCATTTTCATATTTTTTCACCCTCTTCAGGTTATGAGTGTCGTGGAAAAACAGATAAAAGAGACTTTGAAAGAGAAACAGCCAACTTTAGATGTCTTCAAAGTAATGTACAATTTAATGATTGTTTATGTCTAAAAAATTTGAATGAAAATGGTTATATAAACACATTAACCGCAACCAGAATTATCGATATTTTCTAAAGCATATGCTATCGTCATCTTTGCCTTAATGTCACATGAAACCGACGCAGGAAAGTCAATATTTACTCCGGCCAAAAGGCAATTTGAGGCATTTTGGCTCAATCTCATGGAAGTGCCGGACTTTGGGTATAGTGTTCAAGTTTACAATGACTTTATTCTTTATATCCAGACGTACATAAATAACCTCAAAGTGGATAACATCATTGGTATGATCCAAGGCAGCGGTACAAGCATCGACGTAAAATCAAAACCCGTGGCGTAAGTCATATTTCAAGTTAAAAATCCTTTGACCTAATTTGTCAGTGAAGCCTGTGTACTGCTGGTATTGCATGTAAACATGCAGTGTTTATGGCGGCGACCCTCGTTCATGCACAGCGGAAATAAGCGTCTTGTTTTCTGTTGTCAGTGAAAACATTTAAGTGTTTCTAGAGGAGTATAGTTACCGCTTTTGTATACTTTGTTAAAACCAAAATTTGCTTCTCCCCGCTCGAGTTTTCTCCGCTTACAGAATCATCAATTTAGACACTTCCGGATTTACTGATCTTTTAAAAAAGCTGGCAGCTGGATAGCGCATTTTCTAATTAACAATTTCGAGTAAAATTCAGCTGATAAAGTTTTTCAGAATATAAAAAAGTACAATTTTTATACGAAACTATATACAGCAGATGCGGTTATAATTCGTCATGTGATTGTAAATGCAACTTCGTCATTGTAAATTCGTCAACAATTGTAAATACATTTTTTCATGGAATTTCTAGCCATTTACGAGAAAGAATCATGCCCGAACTAATAGAATTGGTTAAGAACCAGGTATTTATTATACTTTCCGTATTATTATATAAGCTGTTGATAAAGACAAAATTTGGCAAAAGTTGGCAACGTTTAAACTTGTTTTAACAGAGATTGAATCTGCTCCGTGAAGGCACACGATTTGAAAAGCAAGCAGTGAAACGAAAAGCTAAAGGTTTGTTCGCGGTCTTTATTCCAAGCAAAGTTTCCAAGGATTCTTAAAAAGTCATCTCATTGCTCGCGTCTCTATTTTCGTAAACAGACAAATATGACTAGCCTTGTTTACTTTTAATTTTGTTACAACTTGCTTTGTTGCAGAGAAATATTGGTACTGCAGATTGTCGCAAAATAGAAGATTTCTTCATCACGGAAATTGTGAAGAAGGCTCAAAACCCAATACCGATCAATTGCCAAATAAAAGTACAAACTCTAAATGATTTATATCACTCGGGCCGGTTGTAGCTTAAACGGTGGTTAAGTTCAAAATAGAAAGCAAGTCTATCGTTTTATTCAACAAGCGAACTAAATGTTTTTAACCTTAATACAAAGATACTGTTTACAACTACATACTCAGTGCATAATATTCAAGTTGACTCATTTAAGAGAGATGTAAATGTAAGAGTGTTATTTAATTTTGACTTATCCGCCGTTTAAGATAAACGGGCTTGATACAACCGGCCCCTGATCTCTATACTTCTGGGTCGAGCGTCCTTTTAAATCAAACTAATTCATTTTAAAGAAAAAAATATTTCAAAATGAGCATAACTTTAAATGCTTTTATGTATAATTCCCGAACTGTTAGAAAAAGCTTTTCACATTCGGTTACGCATTCAGTGGCTTTTAGATCAGTGGTTTATAAAGTCTCGAAAAGCATGTGGTGAGAATACTTCGTTTCTGCAAGCGAAAACTCACTGTATATTGTCGTATTTAGTCGCTGTCGGCGAAATAGAGGATTTGAAGACTGGTGCCGCTTGTCCCCACACCCAAGAGGCGGGCAGACCGAAAAAGGTAATATGTAAAAACTTATGGTGAAAGTGATTATTAAATTGTAATAAAGTTCATAGTCCAGATCATACATGGTCCAGAGATATTATTATTATTGTACTAACGAAAGCAGAATTTAAGTTTCTGAGCTACGATTTCACTTGTGTAGTATTAAATACTTATTTATATTATAATATAATACTCTTTAGACTCCTATTCATTTGGCGTTTTCGCTTATAATGAAAGAGAAGCCGCCTTTGAATTTCATCGCCCCAAACCAAGAAACCGTAAGCACATTTAATACAAGCACATTTTAATACATTATAAACTATGGTTTTGTGGCTATCTTTTAAAATCTTTGTAAACCTTTTTAGTTTGAGATTTGGGTGGACGGTTTAAGCATTTTACTCGGCAAAAAAGTAAGTAAATTTTATCGAATTCATCTTTATACTTGTCCATATCTCGTACAAACCTGTGTATAGCTGAGCATGCGTAGTTACCTACATATGCAACCATTAATTAACATAATACTAATTTTCCCGCGTTTTGTTCTAGGTTCAATCTCATGGATGGTCGAGTGATCTCAACACTTTGGTAGATATGGAGTTGAAGCTTCGCTTGCTCGATTTGGAGATTATCACCCACAAAATACCTGAAGAGCAACCGCCCATACCGCCCGAGCCGCCTGGGTACGAGTTTAGATACAATTTCAACTAATGGTTTTAGCAATTAGCATTATAATTAGTAACAAATTTATGTATGAGGAATGAGGTATATATTTGTATTTTATGCACCATGTTGATTTCGATGGAGAAGCTGTGTATCAAATAGTGTGATAGGACATCTCTTACAGCATGAAACGCTGTCATGACACTGTCGACGCGCAAAAAACTCAATTCATTATATACGTGGAACAGACGTTGCCAGGGGTTAGAAATAAGTGCTTGAAGAAAAATAAAACAATTCGTGTAAATCTCGTAATATTAATCAACTACCGTGAAACGATTCAACAAGAACGAGGGAGTAATAAGATATTTCACACTGTATAAACTGAAGCCAAATATATTTATAGCGTTGAAACGAAGTGTGTTACTTGAAGCTAAGCTTGATCATGTTATGACTCGATTTAAGTTCCTGACGGATTTAATCCTTGAGAGGTAAGGATTAGGATTAGGATTTACTGATAATCCCATGCTCGGTGAATCCTGAATACGCAAATTTAATCTCTGAGATTAGTATCAGGTTTTTATGGTTGTCACTGACCTAAACTAGTTTGCAAAATAGCTCAGTGAAATTGATTGAAAACCTGTAAACCTTTTGACTTGTTGGCCATATGTCAAACAAGCTTCTACAGCATGGGTAGTAGCCTCTCTACATTCTTTATTGCTAGAATTCCTTTATACAAATCGAGTCTGCAAAAACCAAAATTGCCACGCACCGCCATTTTCTAGTTGCAAGCTGCACAAGTTTTAACAGGTAAATCATTGTCTTTATTTTTAAAATTTGATTAAAGCTGGGTTGCTTAGGTGTTTTATGTTGCTGTGAAGGCTTGGGAACTGGTCTAATTATAACGGTCTAATTTGACACCAACCCTCAATCTAAATACACAAAAATCTTTGAATAAAGTGTGCATTGTATTTACGACTATCAATTGATAAATAATATTTCCTATTTGAGATTTTCCCATAATTTATATGAATTATCTGTTTGCTTAAGTTGTGGCAAAAAGATAAAGAAGTCCTTTTGCAAAAGAAATAATTTCGTTTCCACCTAATTTTGACTCCCCATAAACACGATCAACAAATGTTATTGGTACCTAGTGCAAGAGAAATACATCTCAATTTACAGAATGCACTTAATCCCTTAATTTAATCTTTAATCCAATACTTAATCCAAATCTAACTTTAGTCATTTACTAAAACCTTATTAATCCTCACCCCAAACTAAATCTAATTTAACAGACTAGTCAACCCATCCTGATATAACCTGAATTTTTTAATCCTAATCCAATCTAATTAATCAAAACTTAATCCTACCTCTCCAATTGTATATCCCAACTGTCTGGCACGAATGATCATTTCCATTTGAAAGACAAATCCTTTTGACTGACATGCATTGACCAGATTTGAAAGCACCTCCTTTTTGTAAAGCCTTCAAAAATTCAAGCATGTAAGCATTGAGAATACAAAATGCAACCTTTCACAATCAAATTTTCACCACATACTTAAAAAATATATGTTAGCATTGTCATAGAATATACCTGAAACTGCCAGTGAGATCTGAAGCACCAGGTCTCAGCAAAACTTGAGTGATGTAATTTGCAACTCGACTAAACAATAAATGTGAAAATGTTAGTTAGAATTCAGTACTTTTAAACTGAAAAGTTTCAAAGTTGTTACCTAATTAGTTTTCTCCTCAGATCCCAGCCATAGACACCACCACTTCCAACATAACGAGTACCAGATATCAAGTCATAATTTCCCTCTTTCTGCTTTCTATGAGGACATGTTTATATACTCAACAAGATTTTCATACACAAGACAATTTTACAAAGCTTCAACCAAAAATGATGCCTACCTAGGACTGGGTGGTCAATTAATAGACCTTTTTCATAATGACGTCAAACGTGGAAAGTCTGATGTTAAATGAAATTTGATTAGCTCGATAGTTTTGTGAAGCCAATCAAATTTTGTGTAACATTGGACTTTCCGTGTTTGACGTCATTATAAGAAAGGTCTATTGGGTCACCCTGCTTATTTGCACCTGGACCTAGTTGCATGCAAATTTAACACTTGACAATACCTGATAAAATCCTGGATGAATTTCGGCTGGTAAGAAAAAAATTTAAAATATCAAAAAAAGATCTTTCTAGGGAAAATATTTCTTCAACACAAATGATCTCATTCATACATACATGATGTGATAAATCGGCATCCATTATGATGATGAAATTGCCAGTGGCATGAGACAAACCATGAATATAGGCAGTGCCTTGAGAATCACAAATTACGATTATGAAATCACGACTGTTTTAGTAGGTGGTAATTTGCAAAAACCCATCCCGCTACATCCCTTGTTTCGCTGGCAAACTCACCTAAACCCAATTTCTTTGGACGTGGTCTTAAAACCTAAATAGTAAATCAACAAAGTCGAAGCATGAAATATGCATGTATTTCTTTTAACAAGGGAATATTTGTGCAAAACAACATGCTATACAGTTCAAATTATAGCTTACAATTTTATCGCTACCATAAATCTCTTGTAGCTGTTTCGCAGCTTCCAAAGTTCCGTCTGGGCTACCGTCATCGATTACTATTATTTCAAATTCGTGTTCTCCACCACTAAATGAACAAATTCGCCTATTTTACACTCAGAAAAGTTTACAAAAACGCAAGCAATTCTGCAAGCTACCTTTCTTCAAACGATTTCACTATCAACCACACTATTAGAGGCAAGTTCTCCTTTTCGTTGTAAGTAGGGAGAAGTATAGAATACTTGTCTTTTGTTTTTTCCGCCATCTTTAGTTTCGTTGTAATTTTACGGTTACCAAGCCCCAGGAACTTCACGACAAAGAATGCATGAAAACATTCTAATTCTTTCTAATTAAATCGATCACTTGTCATTGATATCTTTGCTTTTAGCACGGAGCATGCGTGGTAGCTGGAAGAACCAGACATTATGACCACAAAACAAAATGAATGTGCCTTCATGATTGGGCAGAAAATGTAACAAACTACCACGAATATCTGCCAAGCAAACTGGAAACTAATTTGAGATTACATAATGCTTTTTCTAAACATATCTTGAATTCGTAATGACCAAATATTTTGCATCCCGAAACTTAATTAGTACTAATTTTATTAGACACCACCAGTCACCGGAAGTATGATACAACTCAAACGCAACACTGATCGGATGGAATATGTTCCCACACAATATATCTGGCATAGCATAGCTTGCATATGTACACAACCAGAGAACACCTCACTATAATTTTTGCCACAACCTGTATATAGTCATCTATGACCATGTCCCTCCAAAAACACCTATCCTTGATTCTTACTAATTTTTCAAAACATTTCAATTTTCATTTCAATATCTCCAGTTTTAACTGTATGATTCAAATGCATGGAGTTTTTCAGGAAAATCTAATATATACACATTTAGAAGCATAACAGAGCAGAATTGTACTAGATATGGAAACAGTACACAATATTTAAAAAAAATAGTAATGCAAAAGTGAAGAAAGCATTTTGAATAAAGCCAGTAGCATAATAGGCAACACAGGTTATTCAAATAAAACCAGAACATGATAGAAAACTACATTTTCTCTAACATTACATGCAGAAGATAAGTAATTGTTACTAAATAATTCTACCAGGACTGAGTAAGAATTGCAAACAATTGATTCAATTTTTGTAACACACTCTTTATTCTTTCTTCATGCTTTTTAGGATTACACTCAAAATTATAAAAAATGGCTGAATGATACACACTTAGAAGTATTTACAATATTTCAGTTTTAAATAAATATTTCTACCGTGGAAGCTACTTGAAACAATGAAGTACTGTAAATATTTTCCACTGTCCTGTATCATTTGGCCATATTTAATATTAGAGATTAACACTTTTAACCCAAGATTCAAATACTCCCTTTTGTTATACTACCTTACACACAAACCACACATTACAGACAGTTCATTTTTGCCACATCTGTTAGATGTCAACCAATAACATCCCAGGAAAATAGGAATGCTTGGAAGAAAAATGTCAAAACACTTTCGTCAAAATCATTGTCAATTACTCTCCCTATTATATGACAAGGTTGATTTGATGGGAAACTCAAACAATTAACTCTTAGTTTGAAGATACAACACATATTTTTTACTGCAAACCTTTTCTATTGTAAAAAGCCTTGCAGTAAAAAATATGTACTGCACCTTTAAACTAAACTTTATTATCAAACATTTGCTATTTGTAACATATTGATTGCTGGGTTGTAAGTGTTATATGTAGTCAATTTAAGAATATTTACCATTTATAAGGATTTAATCTTTCTCAATAATTCAGAATTATTTCTTTGGTGACCTGTAACAGAAAAAATATTCTTTCGAGTGGTGACATTTTGAATTTACAAAAGATTGGATATAGAGTCATAGACATTGTTTTTTATCATTTTTTCTTTTTATACAATTTTTATGGATTTATCTAACTTGTGCATATAGTTTTGAAAAGCTAAAAACTACATTACAAATTATGTTGTTTCAACAAAAACCATCAAATTCTTTTTGTAGATATTTTTAATTCCTGGTTTTGAATTTTTTTGTAAATTTTTCCTCAATGAACGCTTCGCGTAAATGCATGTAACACCATTCCATGCTTGTTGTATGTACAATGCTGTGAAATTACCAACAACTTCATAAACTTTCCCTGGGACGTTCTGACTATATACAATCAGGTATAAATACCCACAATTTAAAATCTTGATCTTTGGAGACTGTAAAGTGAATGCAGCACTGAAAATTTTCCTTTTTTTAAAACATTTTTACACTCAATCTTGTGCCATTTTGCTACAATGGCGACAAAACTCTAGAGAAACCTTGCTTTGCTTAACATGAAGACAAACACCTCCGGATGAACTGGCAACCTGATTTCGGCTTCTTTTGGTGCTAGTAGCAGGCGGGGTATCGCCAGCCCGTTTTCTTGATGTGGAACGTGTGGAAACCACATTTTCCTTTTCACATACCACATTGTTATCGCTTAATGAGGGATTCCTAGATGAACAGAAAGAAGTAGACAATGAAACTCCAGGCATCACAGAGACACTTTTGATTAACCTCGATAACATGCTTTCATTCGCCAGAATACTTTTCAGGTAATCAACTTCGCTTTGTAGATCACCAACTTTCTTCTCCAATTTGTTGGACTCTTCTACCAGAACATTGTTTTTATTTTTAAGTTGGCCGACTTCCATTTCAAGTCCTTCCACATAGAGCTTCTTCTTTCTGCGATTTTCTCTAGCATTCTCCGCATTTTTCTTGCTTCGTTCAAAATCATCAATACTGGCCGCTATCGTCTTTTTAGCAGCTGCAGTTTTTGATTTCTTGACGTCCATTGTAGGTTTGGTGTCCATATTTTTTACCGAGTTATCGATTGAACTTTGTGTGAAGTCTATCCTTTCCTTTGGCAGTGTGTCAAGTCCAAAATCATCGTCAAACAAAAAATTCAAAAGATCATCACCTTCTCCGCCAAAATTTTGGACCAAATCGTTGGCAAAAGAATCGATACCACTGTCACAGCTGTAGGCAGGCGAAAGGCGAAGCGACTCACCATCTTTGATTTCTTCCTCCATGGATTTTGTAGAAGACGAATTTAAAATATTTTCCACCACAATATCGATATCTTTTTCGTCCTGCACATTCGATACACAATAGTCATGGTCGTGGCTTATGTTTTCTGCCATTTTTATCATGTTTTTCGCCTGAAAAAATCACTCAACGCCGCGATAAAAATTCAACTTGCCAGCTTCTTCTTCGACTTCCAAAACGTATGGAAAACGTTCACTTTGTACAACGTCATGTGACACACCTCGTGACCCGTTTTCCACCAATCGGAGCAATCTCGTTCCAATCCCTTTGTTCATTTTACCACTCTTTTATTTTCTTTCATCCTTCAAAATGCGATGACGTAATTTATATTGGGAAAAAAAATTATACTATTATTTATAGAATATCCACAATTTTTGCATCTATACCTTTTTTCTCGTCATTTTGGTAAATATATCCTATATTTCATAACATTTTTGTACTAGATAATGAAATATTGATGAAGTTATATGATTCTGACAGATGGGATTATTGAAAGAACGATATAAGCCGATCATTGTACGAGTATTCACGAAGTTCTCACGAGGTGAAAAAATGGCGCTATCACGTTCGAGTTTATTTATGAAAACTGTCAGGCCGATTTTGTGGCGAAAAAGAATAGTTAGAGCATTTTACTCAACTGGGGAAGAGGGCGATAATAATGATGGTGTTTATGGAAATAATGGACATGAAAGGTGATGTAACTAAGTGTAAAAGCGGGGGGAAGGGAGGGGTATAGCCATGGGGGATGGGACACACCCACTGACATGGTCACATGGGTCCCAAAGGTTAAACAGGCCTAGTGTATGCAAGATGCTGGTTTTTGCTATAATCAAGTGTTGGTCTAACTAATCAGTTTTATATTATTTTTTAGAAACTTCACAAGTGATCCCTTCTATGGGGCATCTCAGGAAGCTTTTCCAAAGAATATTTCTAAAATTTTAATGGCTCCCATAAATCATGATGATATAGAAATCAAACCTGATGGTATGCAAATTTACCCAAGAGCACAGCCATTATTACATTGTGGTTATCAAGTTATCTTGGGGATTAGAAAGATCCTAAGACTTTCATATAGTCATGCATATATATTGCTGTCTAACTATTACCCTAAAATATTCTAGGTCTTCTTTATTTGCCTGAAATTAAATATCGAAGAATTTTAAATGAATCATTTGGGCCTGGTGGCTGGGCGTTGCTTCCCAGAGGGGAGTCGCTTCAGTTTCAGGTTAGTTGGAACAGATAAACAATGATTCGTGCATAATGATCAAACCTATGTGTTGGTTTCTGCAATTTTTACTCTTTAAACAGCAGATGACTAACTTAGGTCAATTTCTCTAGAATGAAAAGGACAGAAGTCAGTTGATCACACGAGAGTATGCCCTGTTCTGCAGTGGTCGCTATGTCTCACAGGCTGTCGGTGAACACACATTTTATGGACAGGGTAACATGGTGTATGGCAAGGCGATGGAGGCCGCCAAGTCTAATGCACTAGTACGATGTTGTAAAGATCTTGGAATTGCCAGTGAACTGTGGGACCCAAAGGTATATTTAGGTACATCATCATGAATAAACCTGGTATCCAGTGAAGTCACATATTACTCCACAATTCCAAGATGGCAGCTAGTAATGTTTTGTATACTTCACTTGATTATATGTGATTGGATCACAATGCCTTTAGACCCTAAAGCCATAGGTCAATATTTTCTTATTTATTTTATAGTTTGTTTCGGACTGGAAAGATCAATTTGCAAAGTCGGTATGGTGCGAACACGCTATCAATTCCGAGAAACGAAAGTTGTGGCTTCGTAGCGACCGGGATCCGGGAAAAGCGATCCCATATCCTTGGAAAACAATGGCTGGAGGTAGTAATCAGAAATGATTAAGAGCGAAAACGAAACTGTTGCGAAGTGAGAAGAATTACGAATGAATGTTGATCCAAGGGCGCTTGTGCGGGGAAGAAAAATAATTTTCGTAGATCATTTTCACTTCCTAAAAGAAACTACCAGTCTAGTACCAAGTAGACAGCACTCTGTGAGAATCTTAAGCAAATTTGGCATATTTCGTTAGGCAGAATGCGAAAAAAAAAATACTAAGAAGTTTCCGTAAGATAATACTGATGCATTTAGAGACATCCCAAATTCTCATAAAATCCCCAGAAATTTTTCTGAAAAACTCTTCTTGCGTGCGTTCTTCCGTTTTTCAAATGCGGACAGAGGAACCTTTTGTTTACAAAAACGATTATATTGCTTGCGGACACGTTATTCGTAGCTACCTATAAACATCATTTGTATTCAAAGTTTTTCATGTAATCTATGATAGGAGGAGACGATTTTTTTGCCAAAACTTACTAGTCAACATCGGTTTTTGTATTATTATACCTGATAATAATTTGCAGCCATGCCACGCCGATGTTTTTAAAAGTTTGTCAATCAAAAACATCTGCCTTTTTAGCTGACTATGCGACGTGTCCAAATAAGCATGCAAATCAGCTTCGAAAAGTCGTCAAGGGCACTAGAAAACTTATTTATGTAATATATATCAAATACATATATATCGTGTCTGAAGATAGCAAGTTTTTATATCGATCGTTCTACCGTGTATAATTGTTACTTTTGTTGATTTCGAATAAACTAATGTCCCAATTACATGCGAAATGGAATGGGATATTTTACTTCATTGCTGGTATAAATGTCAACATTTGTCTTTAAAATGGGCTGTATATTCGAAGCATATCGTGTGTTAAACAAGCCCATATTGTGGCTGCTTCCGAACTGTGAAATTATCCATTTTACTCAAGTTGAAATGAAAAACATGCGTGATCTCAAAGCAATTTTATTTACGAGAAGTATGTTCTATATTAGACTTTTAAAAGTAAGTACAAAATTAATTTTTCATAGTCGCAAAACAGCTGTAATTAAGTACAATTAATCGAATTAAAATAATGCATGCTTGATAAAATTCACTGCTAAACAATATCACTATATGAATTCTGGAGTACAACAAACTGAGTTACTAAGATATGAGACAAGTAGGCACACGTATGGTTTAGTTTTGTGTTTAGTTTTCCTATTCTGTAGTTTGCGCCGTGTTTTACTGAACGATGAAGCATTTTTGAAATCGGACGATTAAGCATTTTGAAATTGGACTTGTAAAACTGGCCGTGATGTCAAAACGAGGTGAAATAACAAATTAGAGCCGCTTTGTCGCAAATGTTTTCATAAGCAGGACACTTCACAAGCCGTGTGCTGTCAATACCTCGTGCGTCATATCAAAGATGCAGTTTGCAGCCTGAAAAGAACTTCAACTGATTTAGGCCACTTTTGGCTTCCAGACATATAGCCAGCCCTCTCTCCGCGAAAAGGACTGGTATGACCCTCATGTTTTTAAACTATTTTCCTCTGATTTCCATAAGAGCTGTTCCTGTTTCGAGAGGAACGCATTAATCTACTTTGAATAGTTATGAAACTAGTTTGTTCCTGTCTCTCCCATGCAATAAATAAAAAAACATGTCCTTTTGGAATGAGACAAGAACATTTCACATCTCATCTCCTCGTTCAACCAAAGTTCATAAAGCTAATTCCGTAAAGGTTTCACACCATAAAGCTAATTCAATAAAGGTTTAACTCGCAAGAGTGGGTGCGCAAGAGACACTAAAAAGCGAACTCGCCGTGGCAACACAAGGGAAAATCTACATACTTCTAGACTAAAGGCAATTTCTGACTTGAATAGGAGGTAATAGGCTATCACCCATCGCTTCATTCGCGTTCAGAGTTTCAAGGGTCGTGGTTTTAAAAGGACTCCTTTTGTATGAGGTTGCCAGCTTTGTTGAACTGATAGCCGTTAAGCTTATGCGCGCAAAGTTCGCATTAAAATTATCGCGTCTTGGTGGCGCAGGTCAAAACACTAAGGGCCGGTGGAATAAAATTTTAAGTAGTTAGATCGTAGTTAACTAGAAAATACATTCTAATGGGCTAATTCTGCCACGCCCACGAACTACAGTTAAAGTTAACTACATTTTTATACGACCGGCCATTGTGAGAAACCGCAGATCTCTCTACGGAGGCAATAAATACGACTCTGGACTATGGTTGGTAATAATATTACCCACATGACATTGCGTGTCGCGCCAGATGACCAATTATGGCTGCCGGGGTTCGAGGGAGTGATGTATTCGATGATTCGAACGTAATGTTTTGGTTTGTGTCAACGTGAATTCTAGCCAAAAACCACAACTTTACAAAACGTCTGTGGCGTTTTATTGCTGTAAGGATGTCTCTCGAGGTAGGATTTCATCATTTTACTACGCATCGGGCGACGATCGGACTTTTTATAAGCTTCGGTACACTTGCAAATTTTATTTGTATTGAATTTAATGTAATTTTGCCCCCAATGCCCTTTGGGGCCTGCTGGTCTTGCATAGCCCAGCGATCGAGGGACATAAATTCCTTTACATTGTCCAGGTTTCAAAGTTTTCAAATAATGATTTCAAAAACAGCGAAGAATAATGTATCTCGCGACTTCGCGAAACAATATTATTGTCGTCTTGATCTATTGACGTTCAGGGCTTTGTCTTTGATTCCCAAAATTTTTGAATGCATTGATTTCTGTCATAATGGATGTGAAATTGATTGTTGTTTAATGTAAAGGGAACAGTTTGTTTTGAATTGGTAAACTGTGGCAGACATTTTCGATCAGATTCGAGTTATTAATAAGTAATTGTATTTATATTATGAACGAAACTCGCGTTGTATAGTTTGGTTTATAAAAATTTTATTTCATAACATATCGTTGTCGGAAATGGTGTATGCCTTGCTTCCTGGTGAAGGCTACTTCGTCAAGTCTGTTTTGAAACATATAAATCCGGTTATACGTATATATTTTTGCCAAACATTTCCAAACCAATTCCATCAATAATTTTCGACAAATATAAAGTGCAATTATATGTTTATCTATGTGTCGCTGTGCAGCGTTGGCCCGCTAGAAAATGTAATTTTTGAGATCATTCGATAACAGTTTAACCCAAGTCGGCATTTTGACAAATTCAAGTACTTTTCTAAACGATTGTTCTCTGTTTAAATTTACGAAAAGGCTCTTTTATAAACGTGAAATCGCTGACTAAGTTCATTACGCATCTGTCTCGTGTATTCTGGCTTTGGACCGACCAACTAATTTCATTCATTAATTTATTATTACTATTGTTTGCTCTGTTGTAAATGATCATATTATTTCAAGGTGCTTTGTAAGTTAACACTTCCTTGCACAAAATAAATACAGTCACAGATATATACAAAGTATTGATTTCCCATACGTTTTGCTATTTCCCTGTGCATATTTGTGTTAAGCCATGTTCAAACACAAGTAAGTTATTTGATAATTGCTCTCCCTTGTTATGCATCAAGTTATTAGAGAGATTAAGCCCTCAGCAAATGAAAAAACATTGTTGACGTAGGAAATTTCATTGTTTCTATGCACTTCCAACATTTCGCCATCTCTCTGGGCAATATTATGCAAAGAAACTTTGTTGCCAGAACAACTCCACTGATTCAGCAATGCACCTTTCTTCAAGGACAATTTGCATTGTGGCAATGCTTATTTCTATGTTCCAACTCTGGCTACAATGTTTCCACTATGTTTGTCAATGTTTCAAGGGGCTCTGAGTGAGGCATATATTTGTCATTAAAGATGACACACAAAACGAGCAGTTCTCAAAGATTGCAATCTCTATTTGAGGTTTTATATAACAACCTTAACAAGCATGGCACAGACCCATTTGTAGGTTCAATTTCAAGGAAGAACTGCAGACTGGATAATTAGTTTAGAATTATATGTGGGTGAAAACTGTGTTGACAGAAATGTTCAATTTTTAAGCTCCCTGTTACTCTTTATGGCATAATAAGTAAACAGAGATTGTTTTTGTGGACTCTGGGGTCATAGGTTTTGTTCAATATAACTGAAATATGTAATAGCACTTTAATGGCTCAACTTTCAAAGAGGGGTGCACATCGTTTGAAAGACACAAGTTGTAATTCATTCATTTACAGTACTCTTTCAACTAAATGCTAGATGAACTACTGTAGGTACATTTAGCAATTGGCATGTTAATTAGAGTTATTAAGATTAAGCAACAGACACTGACTGTTGACTTCAGTTGTCAGTCTTTACTTGGACAATTGCACTCCCCACCCCCCCTCCCCTAAAGAAAAATTTACCTTTGTAAAAAAGCATGCACTCAAAATATTGACAGATTAAAGGGGCCAAAAGGTGTGACCTACCTTCACTAAATATCATCACTCTCCAGATATTTCCTGTAACCAGACAAAAGTTTCATAACCAACGAGTGTACCAGAGATTTTGACCACTATCTTTTTACATGGGGCACTTTCTAGAAATAGGCAGCACCACCAAGGTCGCGTTAGCCATGATTTCCCGTAAATTATTACAAAAAGGAAAAGCTACCGTCACATTTTCAATCATCCGTCCTGAATTTTTCTATTCAGACGCAGGACGAGCAATGGAAGTTGTTCCTGGAAGGTTCAATGTTTGAAGACCATTTTGAAGAACTGGAAAAGATCTGCCAGGAGGCGTACGGCGGACACTCGGAACTCTTCGACAACGAGTTCTTACGGCCGATGTGCCTCTTGCTGCAAGAGCTCCGTGCAGCGGCAGAGGTGCGTAGTTTTGGCATTGAACTATAAGTAAACTGGAGCGATAACTAGTGATAAACCCGAGTTATGAGCTGAGGTACCTAACCTCAAACATCCCGCTGTATGTTAAAATCAAGATAATGAAAATTGACATGAGTTTCCCAAGTTAGCCTCCCAATTTCAGTTCACCGAATCAGTTAACCGATACCTTTCATTAGATTGGGCTTCATTGGGCCTGTTGAAGGCTAATGATTCCTCTATTACTTTCCAGAAATTCTTCACAACTCTTGGAAAAGAAGAAGAAAAATGGCTGCCATGTTACGAAAGATTTGTCACCTCCGTCATTCACTTATCACGTTTGAACATTCCATTGCACAAAGGAGATTTTTACATGCATCTTAACTTCGGCTCGCCCGGGGAGATAATCATTAAATATTACAATTCTGGCGAGATTTCGTCTCTGCCTTTAGCAAAGAGCGAATACGAGAACATTTGGGCTCACAATTGGACAGAACGGATGTCACAGCAAATGAAACAGAGGTTTCTGTTCATGAACTGCATCGTAACGGGTCACGCAAGCCGTGGTCTCGAGCGACGACCCTGGAGATATTTGATGGCGTTTGATACGGGGCATAAAAGGCGAGATAGCAGGGACTTTAGTGAAGAGTTGAGCCCACGAGCAAGCAGCGCGAGTGCGTTTAGTTTGTTCCTGGATCTCGGAGCTAAACCAATGAGCGCACTGGATGTGAATTTTGAGGTCTTGCATAGTCTGGTTATATGTATGCCAGGTAAGATATGGATAATGAATGATCTTGTGGTGTAGCGGTGAAGGATATTGTTGTACTACCAGGGGTATTGTTGTTCTATATACTAGTGAATATTGGTGTGCAGCCGGATGATTTGCGGGTGATACAAGGGGATATCAGTGTACAATTAAGGGGATATTGGTATACTATTATGGGGATCATGTTGGATCGGTTATACCTAGAATAACTTCAATTTATAAGCATCTGCTTGACTGCTTTGAATTCTTGACGTAGCTAAACTTTTGCCTTCTCAATGATACCGTGTAGGAACGAGGGACACAAGGGGTGCGCCGGTGATATTCTTGGATGCGGGGAAACCTGAATGGCAGTTGCCGGATTTCAACAGCGAAGAAATAGCTAGAGTGTGTTTATATTTTTATCAAATACCAAGGTGTGTGTGAATGACATATCTCAATGATTTCAAAACACGGTTTGTTTTCAAATATATAGCAATGCAATACGCTCCGTTCCCGTAGTGTACGATTCCAGCTTTTTGGAAAAATTAAATATCACACCACAGTTGGAAAGAGCATCTTAATTTGTTTTCACTAATGTTTTTTTCGTGAAACATAATTTAGGGAGAAAATTTCAAAGCTCGGTTTATCTGTCGTCGTGGACACAAGGAACGCTGACGATAAGAAAAAGACATTGCAGGTCATTGGAGAGGCTTTAATATACTTTGAGGTAGGTTTCTGAACTATTTAAGAAACTTTAATAATCAGGACATTCAATCTGGCGAGTTAGGATGGCGGCGAATGCGTCAGTTTTTTTGTCTCTCCAGTGTTTATTGAGATCACTTGGGTGAGCTGGTGTAGTGCATTGTTGCGGCTTAGAGTAGAGCAATAAGCAGAACTGTCTCCACGAGGGATTAAGCACGACTTAATGACGTCGACAACTTTGCAAAAGCGCTGTCACTATTTTCGTCACTCACGTTTGACCGAGGACGGACAGCCGCGATGGGGGTAGTCTCTGTGATTAAATTTCACGGAAGCTGCCTACAGATGGCGGGGAAAGTTCTCGTCAAAGTTTTGTGGGGGTGGTAACCGGAGTTTGCCCGCGAAAATTGGGGGTCTTATTAAGAGCATTGCCTTTCCTGTTTTACCTTAAACTCGGCTTAAAAGCCGCAACAACCTGTTGATGAATCAAAGCTACAATCTCGTGTAAGAAGTATGCATGTCCTTATGGTTGACACTGAAGCATGAAAAATAGTTGAAAATACTTGAAATGCTGAAACAAAGCTTTGAGCAAACTTAGTGAATAGTTTGTACACCTTGGCGCCTTTACGTAAATAGCTGAAGTGTCCCTGTTGTGTCAATATTTACATCATATTATGGCCGCCATTTTGAATTAAAAATAACTTCGTGATTTTCACCTGGTTAGCTGAACTGGGTTATAAAAGACTGGGAGTAAGGCTTAACGATATACGACGAGTTCACAAGCGAACATTACATACTTATCGTCAAATTATCTCCCGATTCAACCAGAGCAAATTCATGATTACCCGAGTTTGGTTTCCTGGTAACTTCTGCATTAAAACTTGTCATTGAAATAAATCATTTTCAAGTTTATTAAAGTTAACAAGACGGGTAAACTGGAATCAAAAGAATGCGGACAATTGATGATTTAAGCTAAATAAATCTTGCCCTCACAAAATGAAACCTTCGTTTTTTACTGGAATTTATGAGGGCTTTTTTTCAAATCTGTACCACGTAATTTTTTGGTCTACCGTCTTATGTTACTACAGTTAATATATTCATTTACTTCTTTCTCATTATCTCTCTCGTGTGCCATCGTCATTATCCGACAATCGGAAGTTTCCGAGTTTAGTTTCGAAACTACTACACCCGAAGTACGAATGGAAACGATTGAAGTCGAAGGGTCTAGAATTCTGCTGTTAGCTTTTGTCGTATCATTAAATGGGCCTTGGTTTTCGAGTGCCGTTTAAGATGTGACCTTTGAAGAGCCTCCTTAAAAATTGTCTATTTAGCCATATCGTGTAACTTTCGCCAAGCCATCAAATATCTATGAATGATAATACATTGTTCCATATATAAATCTACTTTATTCGGAATTATTCCATTCGAGTCAGCCGCATGGTGTGGTATAGCAGTAGACCAAACATAAATTTAGATTTACCACAAGTTTATCTCGATTCCCATCGATTTTAGATCTCTCAAGTTCTGCACGATATTTTCACACGCTGTATTTAGAAGAATCGCAGCTTTCCTTGAAAAGTTATGAGTTCGTTAAAATTCATTACACCATCGAATTTTCTAGCAGCAGAATTGTGACACATTTGTACTCTCAAAGATTTGCTATTTTTGTGTTAAGATGTTAAGCTAGGATTATGTGGAAAATCCTTAAGCCTGTCGGCAAATTGTTTTTATATGATATTCTGTAAATTGAGACTTCCTGTCTCTAAAGAATTCACTCTCGGGGATCTTATCTCTATGAGAAAATTAGTTTGCGTGTCTCGCCCTTCGTCGAAGAGGAAAAGTTTTTACGTTGAAAAGGGAACTATTTTCGCTGTTGCTGTTGTCTTAATCGTTGTTTTGGATAAAAATCGGATTTGAGAAATAGCTGGACATATTGAATACATGGTATATGTAGGTTTATATCCATTGCTTGTTTGTTATGACTTTATTATATATGATTGTCTTTATTATAAAATAAACGGCTGGTTGCTATCAATGTTTACGACTGTTGTCACCTAATTCAAATGTCATTTTACCAATCCTCTGGTAAACTGTAAGCACACAGTTGTGCAAGGAATAATCTAATCAACCTTACAATAATATTAAGGTGCGTGGTTGTGGGAATATATCAGTTAGGCTGGTTTTAGGTTTTCGTTAATGATATAAAAAAATAAACCGTCAACGTCAGTGTGACGGTTTAGTTCACAACACTCGTTATTAACATTCAGAAAAGGCCAGCGTTTAATGGAATAGCTGGCAAGCAGCAAAAAACGCGTAGTGTATACCCGGTTTAATTAGGTTCAGTGTCTGGATTACGAGGATTTCAGGGGTAACGAAATTTCTGGACGAACTAGTTGGAATAACACCAGGTCAAGACTTCCAAATGGCGGCAAATATTGCCTGGATAATTTCAATGGCTATTATCGCACCTCTACGGAGAGCAGTTTAGGAACGATAGAGCTATATTCGGTAGACATAAAACTGTTGTTTGAAAACTCTGGGATGAAAATTCTAACCAGCGTTGTGGTATTGCTGTAATCAGTCTGGGGATGATCTTGAAAATGACTTTGTTTTTCTTTAACAGGAGATGCGTCCAGGCAGTATCCATATTGCATACATCTTGGGTAGGAAGGATTCGTACCTGTTGATGTTCAGTGCAAATAAATTGAAGGAACAATTAAAATTTCAGGTATGCGTAGAATGTAACAACCTGGGTGGTAGAGTGTTTGAGAGGTGTTTTGCATGCAAGTAAATGCTTCTTTCCCACCCCTCCCCCGGGTACGTGTAGACAACAAGCACGTTTTTTATCTGTTGCAGTTCAAGCTTCTTTCATCCTTCGATGACTTATTGCCTTCGATTAACTTGGATCAGATTCCCACGACATTTGGAGGAAGTTTCAACTACGACCACGATGCCTGGTTGCAGTTTAGACTGGTAAGATATTATTGCTCTTATATAACGAGATTTGAAACTCGCGCGAAACGTGGATACCACGCGTGAAGAGTGGACAACAACGCGCGTGGAAAGTTGACAACACGCATATGTAACTTGTCAAATGGTCTTTATTTTGAAGTGGCAGTATCTTCAAGGACGTTATCAACACAACTCGTTTCCCACGTTTTGTGATAATAATAAAATCATTTTGACCATGTCAAGTGATTGTTGTTGCAACGAGTGCCAAAATTTTCTGCATTTGAGACAGATACGAGTCCCTGAGCTGCCAAAACCGTTGACCAATCTCTTCAAGGACCTAGTTTAATAAACTTTTCAATTTTTGTTATTTTTAGTTTTTTCACACGAGTAGAGTCTAGATTTAATCTAACCCCGCGGTTTTAGACGAAATTTAACAGCTGCGCCAGACACATTTACACCACCAACTTTATTCGAATCTCTGATTAATTAATCTATTATCTTCAATTGAAAGTTTCAGACACTTAATGCGCAGAAAATAAAAAAATATGGCGGCTTATTGATAAAAAATATAATTCTTTGCGAATATAAATCGATCAAAAGATAATGTTAATATTTGCGTGTCTCATTATTAATCGAGTGAAGATTGGCACTTTTTAACGTGTTTTTGGGTCTGTAATTGGTGAGGATTTCCGTCAAAAATTTGAAATTTTTTTTACAGTATGTTGAAAACTTGATATCGACTTCTCACGTTTTTTCACTTGAAGTATAAAATGTCTTTCTTGACACAATTTGGACGGCGTGTAGCGAATGTAACTCGTCGAAATGAATCCAATGACGTCAATGTGACATAAACAACATTTTGACATTTTAAAATTGTCTTTAACTGATTTAGATTTGCCAAAAATCGTTTTGAGAACGACCAGCCGTCGTCCAAATATAACCCCATCTTTAATCCTTAATCTGACTCTAACCCTTAGCCAACAACTAACACTAAAGGATTAGATTAAGAATGATATGATTGTGGATGAAATTATTACCTGAAATTAAACTTTTCCACTCAGAAACAAGAGCCTTTTATGGCTGGCTGTCGCAGTGCGACGAAACTTGCTCTGGCCGCGGTCGATGAACTGGGGATAGGAAAATGCGGGGAAACGGTGGAGGAATGCCAGGAACTTTTGGAACAACACGAGCGCAAAGTCACGGCGGTATTTTCCGATAGTCGGCTTTCGGCGCTGCAGATGGAAGGGGAGCAGCTTGTCGCGAATATGAAACAAACAGATGTGTCGGATAAAACGCCCGATTGGCAGGACACGATGGAAATCGTTGCGAAGCTGTATTTCAAGATGAATCAGGTTTTTTCGAAGTTGGATGTTTTGTGTAGGAAAAGAAAGCGAGAGCTGGAAGATTATCTGCAGTTGAAGTGTTTCGATCAAGAGCATGCCAAGGTAACGCCAAGACAACTTTGACAGGTCATTTTGACTTTCACGTTCTGTTTTTTCTTACGTATAAATAACCTTCATTTCAGGTAATCGAGTGGTTTGATACCGTTGGTATACCGTATATTGAAAAGCCAGTGGAGCTGGCTGAATCCTACAGCCAAGCAATCAGCCAGCATAATAGTTTGGAAAAGTTTATTACACCCGCCAAGGTATGTAGTCTGAAAGATATCTCCGCATCAACCTTACCTACCCCACCTACTCCGCATCACCCCCACGAACTTCAACCTCATTTCACGCCCACACCTACACAACTCCCAACCAACTTCCCCTCCCCAAACCCACCTCACGTCCGCCCACCTCACCTTCACCCACCCCTCACATACCTAACATGCCCCGCAAGAGTCCACACCTGAAGGTGCTCCACGCTAACACGCTTGCTCATTCACACAGGAGTTCATCTTACAAGCCCAAGATCTGCTCGAGGACGGCAGCAGTATTGCGCAATCCGGTTGTGCTGACAGCATTAGCGTTAAAGAAATGTGCAAAGTTTTGAAAACTAAACTAGACAATTTCACGGAGAAACTAGAAGCGCGGCGAATCGCTCTTGTATCGTGTATGGAATTTCATCAAATGGTCAGACAGGTAACTTTGGAAAGAAGACTTATTGTATTTCATTTGATAACAACAAGAACGATACTTAGGTATAGTAACAAGACCAAAATTTCTTTTCAACATTTATTCGATTTCCCCTCAGTGTTCCAACTGGAGTATTCACGCGTTAAAACACATGGCTTTGATGAACATGGAAGCTTCAAATACGGCTCAAGGCGTCGCCTCACTTAAGGACAACATGGAAGGTTTTCTCCAGGAGTTTCCGATGTGGCCCGAAGATAAATTGAACAAGCTAAACGAGCTTTCCGGGAAACTGCCAAACGAAGAGCTCCAGAATCAAGCGGAGAAATGTACTTCTGAATATAAAGAAGTCGAAGATATGTTTGTAAGGCGACAGGAGACCCTTCAAAGAGCCGCTGTTAGGGTTCAGGTGAGAGAATTAGAGTTACACGGTAGATATCTTTCAATCACCATTAAATGTGTTTGTATGCATAGCTTGTAGGTAACGGGGTGAAAAACGTTATTCACTTTAACCCACTGGTTCAAATCGTTTCAACAACATTTTGCTCAGAGTCTCAGACTTGACCATGTATCAACATGCCCTATTTTTAGTGATCGAATTTTATGTAAGAACTTCCCACAACAGCTTTGGATGTCAAATAAGTCTAAACTATGCAAGATTAATCTGACGAATCGTCGCTTCAATTCAGATACCAGGAACGGTGACAAATGGTGTGAGCGAAGGCTCGTCATCCACCTCGACTTCCAATTCCACATCAGGAGTTCACGAAGAAGATGGAGAACTGGACAGTGATGATGACGAGAAATTAGATCTTCCCGAAGATTTAACTCCGACGAAGAAAGTCGACAGAAGCGATAGTAACGACGAACAGCAAGCACTGTTTTATAATCTTAAAGATGTAAGTATATTGTCTGTTAGAATGGCTCCTATCTCTACCAAAAACGATGTTTTGTATAAGCTTACCGAGGTGGTATAAGTTTGGAAGTTCGGACTAGTATAGTCTAAAGTTTGCCTGATATATTTTCATTTTCTTTCTAGACAAATGGCGAACTAGACGAACAAAGCTATCACGAGCTATCGCCGAAAACAAAAGAGTAAGATAGCAGACTTGTGTGAACAGAGAAACGATATTTACGGCATAGGAAGCTTCGCTGCCTTTGGTAAAATTTTTAATCTGATTTTCTCTGAAATCTTGCAGGAAACTAAAGTACATTGTTGGTGAAATGGTCGAAACGGAACGAGATTACGTCAAAGCTTTGGAGTATATCATCCAGGTAACTAGTTCAAGCAATAAACTCATACAACAAGCGCTTATTTCAGTTATCAAAATAAATTATCTCATTTTCAATCCAGAATTACGTCAAGGAGATGGACAGCGATGCTCTGCCCGCGTCGTTGAGAGGAAGGAAAAATATGGTGTTTGGAAATATCGAGAGATTGTACGACTTTCATCAACGGTACGTTAAATTATCCGAAAAAAATTATGCATGATTGTCAAGTTAATACTGGGTTTAAATGCGTTTGACATGATGGTAATAAAATAACATAAAAATTCTTGTTTTCTTGTTTAGGTACTTTTCACAAGAGTTAGAAAGATGCGTTGAGCGACCCTTTCAAATTGGAGGGGCATTTTTAAAATGGGTAAGTAGAAATTCAAACAAAGCTTGTTTAAAAGTGATACTTGTCAGTTATTTGTCAGTGTTTAGCTAAGAATGTATTACGTACGTATGTAGGTTTAGCTTTGCGTTTTTATTTCTAGGAGCGACAGTTTTTCCTGTATGCTTTGTACAACAAAAACAAACCAATTTCGGACGAACTGCTTCGTGACCACGGCAGCGTGTACTTCAGGGTAAGAAGTCTAGAAATGATATTCTGCAGTTAAATTTCTAGCCATTCACGACGTGTTTTCATCACGACTTTTCTTAGAAAAGACAAGAACAGCTTCAAGATAAGTTGGATCTTTGTAGCTACCTTATCAAACCTGTTCAACGGATTGGAAAATATGCTTTGCTTTTAAGGGTAAGAAAAGAGATGTAATTTCTCTAAATCTTCAGTTAGTCGTATATTAGTAGTATCTCACCCAATTATGATGCCAATTCCGTATATTATCACCTTTTTTCCTAATATAGGATATGATAAGAGTCATCGAGATTGATTCACCATGCACAACCCATCTACGGGTAAGTGTCACCATGGGTGGGAAAAAAACGAATCAAAACACTGAACGCTCATTTCTTCTGTGAATTTAGCACGCGCAGGAAATGGTGAAGTCTCAATTACGTCATGGAAATGATCTCTTAGCAATGGACTCGCTACGAGAATGTGACGTATGTAATTTTACATTTTCATAACAAGACCGATTGCTTGTTGATATTGTGCATGATTTATATCGCGATTTTCTGCACCTAGGTAAACGTTAAGGAACAAGGAAGATTATTGCGCCAGGTTAGTGATGATTTTGAATAAATTGCGCTTGAACTGCGTCCACGTGTTGTTAGTTAAAAAATTTCGCAAAAAGTACACATTGTGCTTCCACTTGTCCGATTGTTGAGTTCCAACTACCACTATCCCCCAAAACAAGTTTCCCTTCAGAATTGGCTTCCTTTTATTGTTGAATTACCGAGTTTCTAACATTGTCATCGTTTTGGCGACAGGATGATTTTATCGTCTGGCAAAGTAAGAAGAAACACTGTCGAAGAGTATTTTTATTTGAAGACATGGTGCTATTCAGCAAGACGAGAAAGCAAGCTAGTGGAGCGGACATATTCATCTATAAAAGTTCCCTAAAGGTATGTCAGTAAAAAATAGCAAGACAATAAGTGAAAAACCCATAAACTACCAACGATCATAAATAAGCTAAGCATGCTCTTTTCTCGTTCAGACTGCAGACATTGGGCTGACGGAGTCCGTTGGTGAAAGTGGTTTACGATTTGAGCTTTGGTTTAGAAGGCGGAGGAACGTTAAAGACACTGTTATTCTTCAGGTAAATTGCGTTTTCTATGTTCCAAAAGATTGCGAAAGTTGTTATCTTTCTTCTTCAACTTCGCCATGCACGTCCGCCATTTATGCGAAACTTTATTTACCCAACACACATCATTATTTTAGGCCAAAAATATGGAAATCAAAACGTCCTGGGTGATTGAAATTACGAGATTGCTATGGCGACAGGCGGTCAGAAACAGAGGTACTTCTTTGCTCTTAGATAGGATACCTTGGAGATACCAATAGCTGCAGGGGGGTCGTATCCTCAAATTTTTCGCTGGGGAACGCCCCCTGACCAAATTCAAGACACAATTGAGACCTTATACTAGTTATAGCCAAAGCCGATCCTACGATTCATTTACTTGAATAATACTGACTCTTCTTCAAAGAAATTGAAGAGGCTGATCCAATATGTTACTTACTGCGTTCAACTGAAAGTGAAACCTTCTATTTCAGAGTACGGGCTCGCTGAGGCCACCACAGGGATCAGCGTCGGCAGTCAACCCGGGGAACAAGTTCCCACGACACGATCCTCGATGTTCGACGAATCCTCGCACTTCAGCTCGACAATGAGCATGTCGGTGATATCCCACAAGTACCCAGGCCCCTACGCGAGCCCGCTTTTGAACAAACGTCGAATCACGCGCCGAGTAAGCACGTTACGGAGAAGCAGCCACGATCGCAATGCGCTCGGCGAAAACAAGTCGTCGAGCGACCTACCGGCGACACACGTCGGCGCCACGACGGTTCATGTTCGGAAAACATCGGCGGACAATAACTCCGAAGTTCATGCGAAGCCCGATGCAAAAAGGTCAAAATCTGTACCGGTTGAGACCACGGATTCCGGGGACGAACAGGGGTCGTTTGAACGCAAGGGTTCTCTCAGGCAACGATTATTTGGACCTCGTGGGCGAAATAAAATTCCAGAGTTTAGCAAAGCGTCAGATAGCGGTGGCTCTTCCGAGACGTTGACGAAAAGTAACGAGAACTTAGATTCAAAAAACAACTCAGCATCTCAGAATGCTGAGAGCAAAAATAGCGGAAACAAATTGACTAAAAGCCGGAAGTCTAAAAGTTCTAGCAAACATAAAAAAGCGGCGCAAAGTGGCGAAGAAGCAAACGGTAAAGACGGGAAATCGACGAAACGTAAGACATTTATGGGTCGGTTTACCAGTTCAAGACCGCTCAGTGTAGTCGAGGTTAGAGACAATAGTTCAAAACAGAGCGCGCATCACAGGACAAGGTCCGATGCGAGCGTTGTGAAGAAATGTTTAGATGGTGAAACGGAAATTCAAAGTTCACCGACGGAAATCGTTCTGGAGGGCTCGCCGTCCAGCCCTGGTTATCATACTGTGGTAGGTTGAAATTAGTTAGCATCATTGAGTAAGCAATGATATTACAGTATCATATAGAGTCCAGTTTAGGACGTAAGAAACCGGGGGTGTAAACAAAAAAAAAACGAGGACCGCCATCTTTGAAGTAAAATCAACGTGCGGATACAAAGCTTTCTATTGCTTTCGACTGAGCGTGCTTTTAAACTTTGTTTTCAACAGTAATTTGCAGCTAGTTTAGTGATATGTAATGTACATAAGTAGTCATATTACAGTATCATATATAGTACAGTTGAAAACGTAACAAACAGGGGGGGTGAACAAATAGTTCATGGACACCCTCTCTACACTGCACTCTACACAAACACTGTGATATGATGTAATTATTAAATGCAATAGAGATTCTTCCCAGATAGATAATGTCATTTCAGAGTATTCTAAACTTGATTTCATTGAAGCTTGTCTTTTTTTTCATAGGTTTGACAAAGTGAGGCAGATATATTTTTTATGATAAACTATGTACTATATTAGTATTAATATAAGTTAATAATTTAAATTTTTCTAAAACAATGAAATGTATGTACATGGATTTGCTGAGCATGAGCCATTCAAGGAGCACTAGTCACTGCAGTATTTTGTATATTTTATCAACTTCATGATAAATTTATTAATTCTACCAAATTAGGTGACTTGAAAAATTTGCAGTGTTTTGACTGTTTACAAACTTCCTAGTTTGCCCAAAGCTTTTTATAGTAACATGAACTAAATTTACTTTTTACTCTTTACTGAATTCACTTGGAAAGAATTGACTTGTGTGTTTATTGACCACCATTCACTGGAACAAAATGTTTCTGCTTAACCTAAGTCAACACAATTCCAAGGTTGTATTGTGGGCAATTTGCAAAGATCTATGATGCCACAGTTTCTTGCAAAAAATTTCAGAACATCAAGAATTTTTCCGGTCACCTCTACTAATCTAATGCTAAATTTCAAATCTTGGAAAATTTCAAATAAAATTTAATGGGAAAGCTTTTTCACAGCTGAGTTCACAAGTGTCTAAATTTGTGTCGTGTGTTTAGTTTGCAAAAGTTTATTATTTTTCCTAAATTTTGAAATGGACCCCAATGACAAGTGTTCTGCTGACCTGCATCGCTGGCCTCGTGAATTTTTTAGATGACAAGTTTGGTGTCGCTTCAAATTTTAGCAGATTGGTAGGTTTGCACATCCCTACTCAATCCCACTGTCATTGTCAGTGTGGAAAGTATGTATTGTGCAACAAAGATTGGACACATAATTTTACCAAAAAATTCATCGTTTTATAGTGAAGACTTTAAAGAAGACGCTGCTTTCGGACATGATGAAACCTTGTTAAAACAAGCCCTTCATACAAACCTTGAAAGAAAACTGCTCATGTGCGATTCTCTCTGATAAACTGTAGAACTTGCTGCGCCTCTAACATATCTGTGTGTAAAAAATACTTCTTTCCTTTGGCTTGAAACGTTGCGAATGCAGTCGGTTCCTTTGCTAATCTGATTTCGTTCAAAGCGAACTCTGTTTCCCTTCTCCTCGCCAGCAAAGACATAGTCTCGACGATAAAAGACTCCGTGGCAGGATTATAAAACATCTTATGAACATAAACCTTGGTTACCCAATGCAGTAGAAAAGTTGTTGACGTCCCAGCCAGCAAAATAGTAGTTGCAATCGCAGCTTTTCCGACCAGCGGGACGCTTTCTTTTCCATAAAGCATTAGAATTGGCGTTGCTATGATGGTAGCAAGAGCTGTTGAAAGCGAGAATACTTTAACATGTTGTACAGAACGAGATAGCGGCCCTTCGTACACCAGTTGACGGTCACATGGTTCTTCGACTTTGCCGGAATGGTGTCGCAATATTTCAAAGTTTTGTGCCTTTTTTAACCGAGGAATGAAACTCGAAATGCCACTAAAAGATCGTGGCGTGTTTCCCGTTAATGCCAACCTTGCTTCTCGCAGGACAAAACCGTTTTTTGCATTTGAAAAATACGAAAAAACTACACGTGCTTGTCTACAAGTTTTCGACATTTTAAATTTCTAGGGAAAGATAGCGCGCTAGAAGGTCACGATAAACTCGTGAAAACCGCTACTAATCTACCTTGGGCTCGATTGAGCACCGAAATATATCACTGGAGTGATGTACGATCTTGGTATGAGTGTTACAACATTACTGCAATTCAGATTTGAATGAATATGTACTAAATTTTTGTAATAACATTGGTAGTATCTGTAAATAACATTTTTAATAATAATAAAAATAATATTAATAATAATAATAATAATAATCATAAAGTTTATAATAATAATTTTTTTTATTTTCTTTTTTTTATTTTTAATAATAATAATAATAATAATAATAATAATAATCATTAATAATAATAATAATAATAATCATAAAGTTTTGTTAAGATGATGTAAAGTCCGCTTTTTGCATTCATTTGTTCACAACAAACAGTCAACAACACTCCAGGCGTAGGGTGCCAGATTCTGGTCAATGGTCATGGCAGTCGAATAGTTGATAATAGAAGCTTTGTCATGTTCTGATTTTAATGCAATTGAAATTTCAAACATTCAAGAGTTACTTTTGAAATCTTGCTTTGTTTGTTATGAACAGAACATGCGCAGAACGGACTTGGCATCATCTTTAACGGTATAATGTTTTACATTATCAGCTGATATTGAAATTCAATCGCTTTAGAAAGTCGTTTTAATTTGGGTTGTATCAATATTTTTTTAATAGAGTTCCGGTTACCAGCGTGTCGATTAACCACTTTTTCGGTGATCTTGACAGAATTTTGCCATCCGTGCGCACGCTTCGCGCGCGATGTCCTCAGGGCACGTGAGAACCACGCGGAAGAAGTTGGGACACTGGAAGCACTGTTGAAAAATGTGATAAAATTAGAATAAATTACGCACGGCATGGCACGACAATTTACACTTTAGACCTTGCGATCAAATAAAGCTCGATCTCTGCGTTGAAATCAGCACAGAGCGCTGTCGACAAATCACGACTTGAACCTAGTGGGGTGGCAATCGGGCCAGGGGTGAATGGACATTAGCTTGGCCGCAATCGTCGAAGCCAAATTTGCGTGCAGCGTAACTCTCGGTTCTATTATACCTTTTTGCCGGGACAAAAAAAACTTACTTTGGCAGGCAGACAAAACACCGACTGCTCTGACATCAAGAGCTGTGTGAATTCAACATCATCTTTAACGCCTGTCAACTTGTCGATGTTGATACCAATCTGCAAAATAAAAATACCAATCTTTACAGGAGTTTCACAACTAGCTATCACACAGGTTGAATTTTGAACTAGAGGGCGTGTTGCCGTTGAAGACAAAATCAGGGGAGCTATAAATCCTCTGCCTGATTTATTCACGACACAAAGTCGACAAGTCGACCTAGTCACAACAACAGTGTTACGTACCAGCATATACATTGCACCAAATGCTTTCACAGGGAAAAGTTCAGGAATAGCGGAACAACTCTCGTAAAATATTCCTGAGATTGTCTGAAAACGAATCAAGGACATATATAACCTCCTCCGATACAACAGCACTTGTACCTGAAAAAACTTCAAAACTGGATAATTTCAAACTGCTACGCCCTTATCCTAACTGACTAGCTGAATATTCAGCTCAGATGCACAGATTCGCATCAGTGATCAGTTTTGTGTTATTGATATTACTGATATATAATTGTACATAAAATTTTCATTCATACGTACTTTCATGAGTGTAAGGGTCTTTTGAAAGAACTCCGGTTGGCACTCAGACAATATCACAGGCAGGGCAGCTTGGAGCGGGCAACACGGTCCTAGAACTCTTTGGGAAAGACGACGAAGGCCAGCTCTCACCTTAAGAAATCACGAATTGAGCAACTTAAAGCCTGGTCCAACGAAAACCTAGATTTTGGCCAGGCATTTTGATAATGTTTTGAGGTGGATAATTTCATTGAAAGAAAGGGGAGGCAAGCGATTGAAAAGTGCAAACACTAAAATGTTCTGTTGCTAGTTACATTTGAAAAATAAAAACTGAATTACCTCTTCACCGAAGATTTTATTTCTGTCATGAACGATGACCCAGCCCAAACGCCAGCCCGGGACCAAAAACCTGGGTGAAAACGTATTTTTCAAAACACTGGTCATGCACTGAAGACGAATGGTCGAAAACAATTCGTACCTTTTACCAATGCCACCAACCGTCAGAACTGGGACAGTCTTTGTCAGTTTTCCCATACTATAAAATGGACGATCTCCATATGTCTGTCGATGGAGATGATTATCATTGGGTTATAAATCAAGCAAACGTTTTAATTTTAAAACAGAAGTGGTCGGTAAAACCTGGTAAAAAGGACGCAATTCGTCGCACGTTTTGAGAAGATAGAAAAGAAAAGAGTGGTAGAGTGGAGTAGAGTGGTTCATCGCCTGCTACAAAACACTCGATGAATTCACATTCGTTTATCGTTTTCTTTTCAAATTAATCATTTTCTCTTTTCCGTATCTCAGACGTTAAAACATGACACATGTGTCCTGTTTGACAGAGGCTTGATACTTACAACAAACGCATACACTTCATCGCACAGGATAGGAATTTTATGCTTTTCAGCGACTAAAGAAGGAACATATTTGTAGGAACATCATTTATCTGGGCGAACATCAGCTATCACCTAACTATCATGATCAACAATAACAAAGCACCCGACCTGCATCAATCTTAACCACCAGAATCGATGTGACAAGAATCAGCAGCAGAAACATGACCACAACCACCACCAACTTTTTAACTACATCTACATCATCAACATCACCTCTATCACCAACACTACCTTCACCACTAACACCACCTACATCACCCAACACCAACTCTATCACCAATTACATCACCTCTATCACCAACACTGCCTCCATCACTAACACCACCTACATCACCCAACACCACCTCCATCACCAAACCAACTTCATTACCAACACCACTTAAATCACCCAACACCACCTCTATCACCTTACCACCATCATTTACTACAACCACAACTGCAAAATCACCAACACCATAAAAACCACCATCTTTATCAACAGCACCACCAATGCGCACCATCCTCTTTACCAACACCATCAAACGTACCGGCCAAAATAGCTTCCAGATGTTCCTTGGTGTAGACAGATCCACAAGGATTTGATGGGTTGATCACAACTATACACTTTGTCTTCTCGTTGATTAGAGAGGTCATCGCCTCCAAGTCAGCTTCCCAACATTTCTCTGGCTGTAATAAGAATAAAGTTACACGACGCGAGGTCTGGAGCGCAAAAATTGCTCGAAAATAAACACCAAAAACTGTATATTACACAAACCGACCTAGTTTGGGTTGTTTAACTAGTTCAAAGATTCTCTGCAGAGGCAAGGCCAGTGAACTCTAACAAATAACTGGAACGATACCTCCTCATTGTTTTTGGAAAGCCGAAATTCCCGGGAATTCACCTCCAAACACGCGTGTCTGGACACCACCCGCGAATGACATAAAAACAATGAGGATCCAGTTATTTATTAGAGTTCACTGCGCAAGGTATCTATTAAGGGGTTTGAGGTTGATATTTTAGCACTGGACCGATCTTTCAGGCCTAAACTTCAAGCAGTGAACATGTCAGGTGCTGATATTTCTTTAGGTGTATTAGTTGCTCTTGTCTTGGGGTAACGCTGATGGTGATTCCCGGGGAAAGAAGCATGGGATTTATTCATGGCAAAGATGATTTGTGTGTTCTACTTCTTGCGATGAAGCTTTGTGATCAAGAATACAGAAGTTAGTTCAATAGAGTTGAGCGGAGAGGTTTTTTGGCGAAAGTAGAGAGAAGCAATAATCAGTCATAAATGGGAATCTCTATCAAAATAATTCGATGATAGCGAAACTCACGATAAGTCTGTAATGGCGGATTTCAATGCCCTTGGAGCCACAAAGACAATCGTACAGAGAGAAACCAGGCTGTGGAATGAGGACATTGTCGCCGGCATCTGCCAAAACATCGATTGCTAATTCGATGGCACCAGAACAGCCGCTAGCAAGCATGACATCCTGGGAAGAGATTGACCATAAAATGTCAGAGACATCGTGCGAGCTAGAAAGCTAAAATAACTGCTTGAACTGTGTTTCTTTTAATACGAATGAGAAGAAATGTTAACACTGACAAGCATTTATTTAGATTGATTGAAGGAGTCTAGACACCATACCTCTGAATTCACAGTATATTCTGGCGTGGAGAAATACTTTGCTACCGCTTCACGGGCCACGGGTGTTCCTATATTGAATAAGAGAGTGTGTATATCTTAACATCATGAAGGGTATATCTGCATCTTTTGACATCAGTGTCATTTTAAATTTGAACAACACAGCTTTGGGAAAGCAATACGGTCATCGTGAAATTTGTAGCATCAATTTTGTGGACAGCAACCTCACCCTAGGGAGTAGAGGGCAAGGATTTCTTCGAATATTTTGATGAAAAATGCGAGCCATATTTTCTTTGAGCGTAAATTTCACCACCTTCTCTAAATCAACTCCCCCCACTGACTGGGGCCCCCTTCCCAATATTACCATGTCCTGGTCTGTAACCATCCTCTTTGCTTGACTTGATTGCATCACAAAAAGCTTGAACACATTTCTCATTGGGTGGAAGATTACCAAACACACATGGATCACCTAAAATTTCAAAATCGTTTGAATGAACCCGGAATTACTCTGATAATTGTCTAACATTGTACACTGATATATACATCGCTGGTTCGGTCTGAATATATATATTCTAAACAATTATTACCTATAGCAGTACCTAAAATTTAATACTATAGGAAAACACCACAGAAATTAGGAAGTTTCAATCCAAAAATCTAACTACTGGTTCATGGGTGGATCCAGCACTAGTGCACTAATTTGCATGACACAAGAAAACTGCTCAAAATAGCCATTTTGTTTTGTAATGCAAATTAGTGCACTAGTGCTGGATCCACCCCTGTACTGGTTCACAATTGTGCATTTCTGTATCGCTATCAAAAAGAAAACTATTGAATAACTTTAAAAAGTTCAATTTTCTTTTAAATATACGCATTCTGCAATCTTTTGGCAGCTCATCATACACATTTGATAGCTGTGAAATGGCCATTTTGAGGCTAAAAGCATCAAGACGGTTATTAATTTAGACGATTCGTTTTTGCCGTGTGCCTTGAAGCTTCAAATCTTTTGTGCAAGGCATATTTGTTGAGCATTTTAAATTTTTTTTCTCAATTTTTTCGTGGTATCTTAGCTCAGGATTCTCGCCACTGCACATGTGCCGATTGCATCCTTTGAAAACCAGGAATGAATGATGAATCTATGTGTATCATATCTCATCTTTAATGTTTTGGCAAAGCACACCTGGCGAAATCATCTATGCTGAAGGTCTAAACACATGCATGCACATTACCACTGTCTGCAATTTATCGCTGAAACGAAAGTATTGATCAATCATACCAACTGTGAGACTAATCAATTTTATGTCAGGATTCGGTTCGATTGTCATTGTATCGACAACATTTCGGATGGGATTGAACGTGTTCTCAGCCGTCTTTGAAATCGAGACATTCCATTGGCTTTGGTTGTCTCCGGATCCTGCGTGTTTATACAAAAGAAAAGCATTAGCAACACTTTTAGTAAACAGTCAGTGTGAATACCCCCTTTGTTACGACCAAGTTAATAATATAGCTCAAATGAAATTATTACAAAAATCAAATTTTAGGCAAAAACTCCTTCACTGATACTGATTAAATCTTGATACAAACAAGATCTAGACAGGTCAAGTAGTTAGTCAACACGAAGAGGTAATATATGCACATGATTTTTCAAGGATGCAAAATTGAAAGTTTCTCCATGCATGTTCAAAATTTGCTGAGGTAACTTTGCTGGAAAAATACGGTAACGTACTTTCTTGGCCGAATTTATAAAGACAAAGTAAAATAATTTCTTAACTGATCCTGAACATCGGTTAAGAAAGAGATCATTTTATGCAAACGCTTATGCAAACGTGTTGAAATATGATACGAAATAAAAAACTGATGGTCACGCTAAATCCTATTATCCTAGCTCATTATCTTTATAGTTTCCAGACAACTTGATGTTCTGATGATGCATGATACAAACCCGACATTGTGTAAGTGAGGTCGTGTTATTATGTCATCTGTATATGTTATGTGATATTTTTGCATGTCACCCGGACAAGTTGGCTTCAATTTTTTGAATGTGAAAGTAGAACGAACGGCCGTAAAGTGAGTGTGGGCGAGGTATCTGAGCTTTCTTGTCCGACGAGTCATGTTACAAGAAAAAATGCCGCTCTTAATGATTATTCCTAATATTCTTGGTAAAACAGCTGGCGTTTTCGACGAAACATTAATTGTTTCGCACTTCGCAGAATTCTTACTGATGCCGAAGCAAATTTCCCAATGATCAGTTTCGGCCATGGCTGCATGGCCTTTACAAGTCGCACTGAGAAACTTCAAAATACTTTTCAGTGTTGTTGAAGGACTGATAATCTGAAATATCGATCGAGAACGAAATCCTAGCAAGGACAAGTCTTTTGAATAGACAGAAACAGTTATTTCACATTTTGTGCGCTAGAAAACCCGGCTATTTTTGCTTTGGAATCTGAACGATATCTAGAAGTAAAATTAAGTCAACATAATACAGTACTTCAACCCGTCGAGTTAAGAATGTGACAACAATTTGTATTTTGTTTTGGAATATCATGAATACTATTCACGCATGCAGGGTTTATAAATAACTGCACGAGATCAGATATTTGTGAACGTTGCAGATTTAGCTAAAATTTCAATATTTGATTATTTCTATTTAAGGAATAGGACGTTTCAAAATTATGAAATGCTCTTCAGCGATCCCGCATCTACTCAAAACTGCAAATTATTAATAGTGTTGCAGGATATCGGTGTGAATAAAGTATTATCAGAATTGTAATTCTGGCGTTTCATGTACAAGTAGCTAGCTATCTGGATTTCGTCTTCCGGGAATAGCAAAAAGCATGTTCTGATTATACGGGTTATCGCGAAGGTGGGGTCCTTCCCTAGAAAAACACAACAATTAAGATTCCAAGTAATCGTGCGATTGCAACTATAATTATACGAATTTCTTCGCCTGTTCAGTGCGTGTGCAGGACAGACACATGTTTAAAAAAAGCACAAAAGGTCCGATAGTTCACATTCATATAAGACACAAAGCTCTGGGCGGAACTGCCTTGTGTGATCATTCTAGTCAACAAATGAAACTATAAAAACGTATTTTAAAAATTCTCAAATGCTATTTTCTGTATCTACTTGATTGGACAGATTATATAGTGTTGTAGTTCTTTTTATCGGTATATTTATATCAAAATTTCCTCTGCAAGAGAAACAACAAGTTTATTTTTACTTTCACATTTGTTGTTTTGCATTTTTCACAGTGTGGATAGAACATTGTCATAACTTTAATTCGGGCATTTTCAGCGCAAGCATGCATTCAAGCTCATTCTATAGACAGCAGAAGGCGTGTTCTCATACTAACTGCGAGTTCAATATCAAAACTGCCCCGTCATCGAAATTGACAGTCAAACTTCCAAGTAACAATCAACAATTGTAACAATTTCCATGAACCCTTTAGGCGTTCCGTATTCAGGAAGATTGAAATTTAAACAATCGCAAAAAGTCCAAAAGTTTACGTAGCTTTGGGCGAAGCAACGAATTGCCTGGAGACAATTGTCAGAACTATTATTGCCAAAAATATATCACACCGTGTCGTTGATCAGCAGTACTTAGCACGACAAATTTCATCATTTTATTATTATGAAGCCCCCAAACTGTCGGTTTTCTATGCTTTTACTTCTATTTCATTTCAAAAACCAAGTAAAAACTAAGCCATTAAGTCTTTTGCATGACATCAATTGAGGAGAAACATTTCACCTCGCGAAAAACGCGATGAATATGCGTTTATTCCTGATACCCACCACCGCAGTCAAACCCAAGAGTTTAGCATGAAGTTTAGAGTAATGTATGTACAAACTTTTTGCAATAAATTTAAGCTGATAATATTCGTAAATTACGCTTACCTTGAGCCATGTTGTGAGTTGAGATTGGATATGTTCAAGATATTATTGATGCAGCAACGACGGAACAGTTGCTCGGCTGACAAGTCACGACAAAGTGCAACTTTTTGCAGTGAACAAGACGTTGATATACGGGAGATGCGACCTTCAACGTTCCCACACCACGCCCAATACGAGCCCCCCATAAAAGGTATTGACCAATCACGCGCGAGCTTCGGTTGAAAGGGGAGGAACTTCGGAGAAGTGACAGATACCCAGCTGGAAAATGACAGATATTTAGTTTACTGTTGTTGATAGCTTGATTGTCAACTTCGTATTCCCCGTAATGCTGATCACGAGAGTCTCAGAACTTCCGTCTTGAAAAACTAGAAACGAAGAACCGTTACCGCGAAGTTCTGTGTTTCTTGGATTTCATTGATCGGAATTATTTTGAAATTCGTTCCAACGCTTGTTGCGAACTTGATGATATCCACAATAGTAATCTGTTTATAAACTATTTCAGCCCTGTTTACATGAGAACCAAATGAAATTAAACCGGAACCAATTCGATTCGATGTTTATTCCTCATTTTGCGCTAAACACTGCGTTGTTATACGCCATCTGACGAAGCTTGCAGTCGTTGGACTTCGATGCAAATTAAAAAATTCGTACTCAAAAACCAACGACGCTGAGTTTTGCGTGCAACGTAAACAAACATAACGAGACAATGATAAATTCAGACATTTCTTTTGATTTATAGACCAATCAGACGTTTTCTTAATGAAACGGATGGTAATTTCATAATGAACAGAGTCACGTTGATATAAAAATAGATACTGCTATTGTTGTTCGTGGTATCGTGCATTCAACGAATATCGCTGTTGTTGTTAACACGTTTATTGTATCGTGCATTCAACGAATCTTGGTTCCTTGAATCCCTATTCCCAGACTCCCTATTTCTAGTTTTAAAAATAGCCATAAAAATCCGGAAGTCTGAAAGGGTCACGAGAGTTGAGAAACAGGCTAAATTAACAGTAGTCAACAAAAAACCTGTCATTTTCAAGTTTTTGGAAACTACTGAATTCGAGACTGCTTTCAAAAGAACTTTTTGAAACAAACCGTAAGTCTAGAATAAGTTCATTATATATTTACTAGAAGCTAATTATTAATACTTCTGAAACTTGCAGTATTCAATGGCAACGAAAGTTGGAAGTACAACGGAAGTTGGGTCCTTGCAAGTAAAAAAGCTGAAGTTGTACATTGTATAATTAATGCTGAATCAACATTCTCATGAAATATTGCTTGAATGCACACTTCTCGACATAAAGAAGTCATGAGAAAATGGAGGAGACCGCGCGACATTCAACAATAATGTTTTTGCCAAAAGGAACAGAAGAAAATAGGAGTATGCCCTTGCGTTCCCGCGCTAAGTTCGAGGTTGAAAACAAGCCGCAGATGAAGTGCTTAACAACAAGGACACCCAACAATGTCCGCTTTCAACTTGGTTAACGCTCTATATGTTACTGGAGTGACATATCAACAGCGTGCCAGACTTTTGAGTATATTTCATGGGCAATGATTGGTTAATGATTTGACCGAGCAAATACTTAATTGATCAAAGTAAAACGATTACAAAATATTGCTGTTTCTTTATAAAGATTAAACACACTCGGTGGACAATCGCAACCTGCCCAAAACCTTGGTCTTTCTCAGTGTCGTAGGCAAATGCAGGTATAAGATACAAGTATTTCTCAGAGATTTAGAGAAAGAAAAGTCACATTTGAGCCGACTTGGACATTTATTATATTTAAATAATAATGTTATATATATTCCAGTTAATATCAGACTCTTAAATAATAAAGATATTCATTATATGAAATATTATAATAACTTAATCGGGCAAATACGGTTTTTTTCTGTAAGTCAAAGTAATTCGCCATAAAAACGAATTACAACGATTTAGTACGACATGTGAATTACGACAAATTGCCTTGAATAGTTGAAATAGGGAAGAAATATGCTTTTAGCCAAAGAATTTGTTTTTAACTACGAAAAATGCCCGGGAAAACCAAAGGTCAATTTATATATATTAAATACTGTGTGTTATGCAGTATATATTAAATACTGTGTTATGCAGTATATATTTAATACTGTACTGACTGTACTATATATCTAAGACAAACATAAATTTCCCATATTTTTTCTTCGGCAGAATCGTGGCTGGATTAGATGCCATTACATTGCACATCTCCTCGTCGTTTATGATCACAATTTTCGTCAAGACCATTTCGCAACCAGTTCTTTCTGTGATCTTGACAAAATCGCTCGATCCTCGCGCATGCTTCACGCGCGATGTCCACGGGACAAGTGAGAACCACGCGAATAAAGTTTGGATACTGAAAGCACTATTGAAGGTGACAGGAAATGTCAGGAATAGGAGGTCACAAGAGCAGGCGAAGAATTTGGACTTTCGACTGCGCAACAAAATAATTTATAAAACTCTTCCCGCGTTAGGATTACGGCAGTGTTATCTATACAGCCCCCAAAAGGTTGCAAACTGGCTCTTTTCACCTGAAACAATTTTTTCCAAGACAAAAATAACTTACCTTGGCAGGCAGACAAAACACCGACTGCTCTGACATTAAGAGCTGTGTGAATTCCACATCATCTTTAATGCCTGTCAACTTGTCGATGTTGATGCCAATCTGCAAAGTAAAAATAATACAAATTTAACTTTCACACAGATTTTACACACACAGACGTGGCTTTTACACAGAAATAACACTGAAGTTGGACCGTGCTCCTTCTCATTGCAAAATCAGGGGAAAATGCACACTTTCTTTCGGTTTATTCGAAGACCAAAGGTCATAATCTTTGAAGCTATTCATGCGCATATCAATTAATACCACAACAATGTTACGTACCAGCATGTACATTGCACCATACGCCCGAACAGGAAAAAGTTCAGGAATGGAGGAGAAACTGTCGTAAAATATTTCCGAGACTGACTAAAAATGAATACAACATCTTTTATTCCGGCGATCAATCTCTCGCGTGGCTTCCAAAGACTTGAAATTTCTTTCAAAAATCCTCCGAGAAACAATCTTTGCCGACCGCAGACCGGAACAAAGAGGAATTTCGTTGTAGACTAATTAGCAAATTTGTTTACATTTTAGAAACCCAATCAGAATGCATAAATATTCACTACCTTTGGGTAATAAAGGTACAATATTCACTATTTTACATGAAGTATCTCAGATGAAAAATGTAAACAAATTTGCCGACGTTTGATGTACCTACCCTCATGAGTGTTAGGGGCTTTTCAAAAAACTCCGGTTGATTATCAGACAACATTATAGGAAGAGCGGCTTGGAGTGGCGCACATGGTCCAAGTACTCTTTGACAAAGACGACGGAGGCTTGCTCTTACCTTAAAACACAAGAGGTTGACATCGAGATGGTTGAATAAGCCCGGCCACTTTGTGGCTGAGCATGATACTAGTTTCAAATATATTTATGAATTAGGCGTGGTTTAAAAATTCCGTGAAATTACCTCTTCACCGAAGGCATTATTTCTATCATGAATGACGACCCAGCCTAGTCTCCATCCAGGAGCTAAAAATCTAGGATATTATGAAATTTTTTTATTTTATTTCAAGTTTTCAACTACAAATACGAGTAAGTCCTGGAACTACTTGAAAGACGGAAGCTACTGAACGTATCTTAGCCCGCGAACAGGTGCACCTTTTTCTGTGCTTTTCCTCTTTTGATAGATGTGAACGAGTTATAAGTTACCAATGCTCTGATGTGTATGAGGTCCTACTTGAATATCAGTAACTAAATTCACTCGTTCACATCTACCAAAAGAAGAAAATCGCACATAAAATCGCTTAAAAAATTGGCCTTTACAAGAGTAATAGAAAATGTCCCGAATGGGCAAATTAAATGGTGGAGGATAAACCCCGCGTGTCGCGTGACGTGTTTTCGCGCCATTATATGCAATGGCGTAGTATATTAAGATCAGTGGGTTGTGCGGCGCGTACCTCTTAGCAATGCCACCGACTGTCAAAACCGGGACGTTTTTTGTTACGCATCCCATGCTGTAAAATGGACGATCACCAAATGTCTGTTGATGGAAAAGACGAATGATTGAGTTGAAACAGGCAAGGAAAACGGCGGAGAAAATGGAGAAAACATTAATTCCGACAACGCGAAGCTTTACTTACAACGTAGGCATACACTTCATCGCACAATATGGGGATTTGATGCTTTTCAGCAACTAGAGACAGAATATGTTTGTAGACTCATTAATATTATCACCAACGCCCCCAATAATACCAGCTTTATGCAATATCACCACCAACCATCATGACTACAGTATATATTAACACCATCAAGCCTACCATCTAAAATAGCTTCCAGATGTTCCTTGGTGTAAACTGATCCACAAGGATTTGATGGGTTGATCACAACTATCAATTTAGTCCTTTCATCAATTTGAGAGGACATGCCCTCTAAATCTACCTCCCAACCTTTCTCTGGCTGTAAAAGGAATAATGTTACCCAGGTGAGTTTTACCACAAGAAATAAATCGATTGTCTTAAGTTTTAATAAATTCATAATCGTTCGTTAGACTGGGGTGTGACTTGATAGCAAAAAGTGAAATACAAGCAAAACTCACTACAAGTTGATATGGTCTGGTTTCAATGCCCTTAGAACCACAAATACATTGGTATAAAGAGAAACCAGGCCGTGGAATAAGAATATTGTCACCATAATCCACCAAAAGATCGATTGCTATTTCAATAGCACCAGAACAACCGCTTGTAAGAACAACATCCTGAGAAGAAAGACACAATGACGGTGAAGAGGTTGGAATAACTGCTATGGAATGAAATATGTGTTACCTCAGAGGCCTTTATTATCTTAGGCATGCGAGCATTCATTGACATAGCAATAAAATAAGATGTAGGTTTGGGTTGAAGGAATCTATCTTACCTGGGCGTTCACAGTATATTTTGGTGTTGAACAATACCTTGCCACTGCTTCACAAGCCTCTGGGGTTCCTATAATTGCAAAAGATAAAATTTATAGATGTTTGCATTTTTTAGCACGCAACCAGTGGTAGATCTGCCTAACCCTATAACTGCCACTGCATGCAATTTTGACAATATTCAACACTAACCAACCCAAGTGTTAACAACAGTTTCCCAAAATTTATGCCATGCCCATCATAGGAAAAAATGAATCTGTTCTACTTGCTAACCCCCCTAGCTTCCCTGAGATTGGAATGTCATTCACAGAAGACTTTTCTGATCCCAAAGATCCTCAGTACAATGTTTCTGAAATTACCATGTGCTAGTTTATAGCCATTTTCTTTGTATGACTTGACTGCATCCGAAAAGGCTTCAACATGTTTTTCACATGGAGGCAGGTTTCCAAAAATACTTGGATCCCCTAAAATGCATACACAATCATATAGTGAACCCTACATTTGCTGGGGAACTGCTCAGCTGAACCCAGTATTTAGGTATAATGTGATACATAGTTAAAGGAACAATTGCAGAATATCTGACCAATCCAACTCTTAACAGTGAATCAGTATATAGAACTGCCTAAAATGTACTTAACGCATGAATTGGACTAGAGTAAACAAGACTGAATAAGACAGAACAAGAACAAGGCAGTTCCATACAGTTTTAAAGAACAAGACAGTTCCATAAGCTGCATTTGACCCTCACAGATAAGTCTCTCATAAGTCTTTAACATAATATTCTAGTATGGGCCTGGTATTCAATAATTGTACCCAATTCATTAACATTTCATTCCATCTAATGAGGTCAGAGATATTATAATTGCAAATGCATTTCATGCCATCTGATTGGTTAAAACATTCTCCGTTCAATTACTTTCAGGGAATAAATCATCTGGGATTAGACATAATTTTATTAAAAAATGATAAAACTATAAATCAATAATTGGACAAGAGCATTAGAAGAGTTGCCTCATATCACGTTGATGATTGCACTTTCCCAAAAAAACCCGAAACCCTCTCGTCGTAATGCGGGTGGTCTTTATGCACTCCATGTAAAAGCTCCCCGCTTAATAACGCCAGAATTTTATGACTTCGTAAAAATAACACACACCCTTTTATGTGACTGAATATCTGCTAACAATGCAACAAAGAGAGAGAGACCTACCAACTGTTAGTTTAATCACTTTTATGTCCGGATTCGGCTTGATTATCATCGTATCAACAACATTTCGAATAGGATTAAACGTGTTCACCGCCGTCTTTGACACTGGGACAACCCAGGGTTGCTTCTTTGTCGATTTACACACTATTTACACAAAAGCGCGATGTTAATATCAGTGGTGTAGAACCAAGCGTATAAAAGACGACAATTGACAAATGTCACTCAATTTTATAGAACTCAAGACCTTCAAGGTCTTAAAACACTAGTGGGTACATGCGCGTACAGGAAAGACACAGGTTTATACAACAAATATTTTAACAATATAGAGTTGTGGAAACAAGGATGTGTTATATATTCAAACGTAGCTCGTTTTTCACATGAACCCTGGCGAACAACGTGGCAGCATTTATAAACTCGCATCCGTTCGTGGCTGATACATCAAGAGCCAGAATAAAATTGCCGTTAAATAATATTTACATTTATAGGTTTATCATAACGTATTTCCTGATATTACTACGAAAAACAGACAGTGATATTATGTTTTTCGTTTTATTACATTTAAAAGATCTCTGCCTGCTCGTGAAGTCTTTATGTATAAATATACTTTAGGAGAACATATTCACTTTACAAATAACGATAAAATACAACGTTCGATGATGCGAGGTTCAATGGGGCTCTCTTCAATATTTATGTGTCAAGATTCTAGACTTGACTATGTACGGTTTATTACAACAAACTTTTTAGAACTTTCTATTCCTTGTACCTTGATCGTCTTGATGCATATCGCACGACTATCGCACGACTTAAAACAGCTATACACTTCCGCGTAAAATCCAATGTATTTAGAAACCAGTTTGAAACCACGACACACTTAATAGCAGATATTTTTTTATAACACGCTCGATTTTCACCACCAGGAAAAATTTTTATTTTTTTTATTTTAACAAATCGACACGCCCCGACACACGCCCCCAAACACAACCCCGCGATGAATATTGGCCAATCACACGGCAGCTTCGCTCGACCTCCAAGTAGCTCCTCTGTGACGTTGCATAACAAACATAACCACAACAAACAAACAGATGGGGGCATTCAGGATCAGGAGGTTATTTCCGTAATGAATTTTTAAACACTAAATTATTTCTGTTCGATAAACACCTTCATTCACAAGACAAACGTTTGTGAAATTTTTTGAAAGAGAAAATAGCGACATTTCGATTATTTTCTCCACAAAGAGCTTCACTGATATTTTAAGTGCCATTTCCTATAGTTGGGCAACTTCTATAAGTGTGCTGCATCATGGTGCGTTTGGTTAAATGAAATGTTCGTATTTCAGACAAATGAAAGGAGAAACATACCATTATATTGAAATCAACATACGTGTTAGTTACATAAGAATTATTCCGAAAAATCAGCGAGTGCGAGGTGAATATGGCCAGGGCGGAATCTCGATGAAAATCGAGGCGATATTTACTAGCCTGAGGTGAAAAATTGTTTTAATATAATTATACTAGTGATTAGTGGTGTGAAATGTAATTAAAAGTGTAAGCAATATAAATGTGAATAACATTCCGTAATGTAAACAAACACGTCTTTCACACTTTGAATTGTTATGCAACCGTTCCATCATTACAATGTTGCCCCCTCTGATATGAAGCTTGAATTTAGCATGCTTTGGATTTTTTTACAGACGAAGTTTACGTCCCATTTCGAACGAAATTTAACCAATATTGTGTTAAATAAACAAACCGTTTGTTTACAGGGTATAACATGAACTGTCAGAATACCTAAGCCTATTTTAGTTCGCTATACTTATAAAACAAACGAACTGCAGTTTTGCAAAATTAAGGAAAAAATTTGCAAATTAAGAAATAAGAATACCTTTGTTATGAGCAGAACCGATGATGCGCAGAAGAAGCCTCTTCAAAATCCACTTTAACCACTGACCTGTATACACATATCAGTAGCTGTAACCTATGCCACTGACCTGTATACACATATCAGTAGCTGTAACCTATGCCACTGACCTGTATACACATATCAGTAGCTGTAACCACTGAGCTATATAATAGTGGCTGTAACCTATGCCACTGACCTGTATATTCTCTTCTTCAATGTCCTTTGATAGAGCATTTGAGCAACTTCCTTCATTTCATTTGTCACTTTAAAAAGGCCAGCCGCCATTTTGAAAAACCGTCCTCAGCTGCATGAGAATTGATACAAATTTCATGCAAACTCTTGCTCGCTGAAAAAGGTCTTAAATTTAACTAGTTTATTACAACAGTTTACAGAGTAGTATTCATCCCTAGTCCAACCTTAGACATGGTCAAAAATTAACATGCCTCACGGTCAGAGAAATCTTACGTTCATAAATTATGTTCGTTGATTTTTTCTAGTCAAGTTGACATCATCTTGTATACAGCTACCGCAATAATTCCAATACTTATAGCAGCTGGTATGAGCCATGATATTGCTCTAAATATGAGAAAAACTCTAATTAGCATTACAGAATCCAAAACAAATACGTGCTTCCAAGTAGATCAGTATTCAGAATGATAGCAGTATTTCCAGATGGATTTTCTGCATGAACACCCTTCTCAAAATATGTCCAAAACGAGGGTTTCCTGCATTACATTGTGGTTCATTGCTCTGTTTTTTTAAACTTTTGTATTAAAAAGAATGTTTCATTTCACTTACGTTGCTGTACTATTTGAAGATTGCAATTCTTCACTCTTTAAATGAAATGTCAAGAGAGTCTACATGAGCTTGTATTCTTCAATGAAAATTCAATTTATTTAGGTTTGCTATGAATGGCAGGAGCCCACAACATTGTGAGCCAGTTATCCTTCCCCCTCTTTCATTGTCAATACTTAGAGTAAGAGAGAATCTAGTAATCTACTGGAGTAAATGTTGAGATTACTTGAGAAAGTATCATCTGTCTTTAAACTATTGTAAATCAGGCTCAACTAAATGGCATAATGTCACAGCCTAGAGACCTGACTCCAGGGGCAATGATTATGAATTTATGATTAGCCATACCTGTTCAACCTCTGGTTCTTTATCAGCCTGAAAGAAATTGATGAAAGCTATGACATACTAGCACATACATACTGATGAATAAGAGTTTTTATCTTGTATCCCTAACATAAATTTGACTGCCATTATGCCCTCACGTTCTGGTTCCCAAAACAAAGTTTAAAAATACAAAATTTGGCAGAATCACTGGACAAAATGGGAATCTTCCAAACCTCAGCCAATTCACCAATAAGAAAATCTTTCATTAGCTCTCTGGCATCATCTGAATGGCCAACATCTTCAAACGCCTCAGTTGCTTTTTGTCCTTTTAAAATTAAGGTGATTTATTAAAACATGAGGGATATAAGATGGCCTAATTAATATGAATATCAAGCATGGTTCTCCATAATGATTACTGAATACTGCAAAATTTAAATTTGAAAAATAACTGGCATGACTTTTTAATCAAATTTTATTACCAGCAAAAGGACAGTGTACATGCAAGTGTAGCACAATAGTATAAAAATAATTTCTGTATGGTACATACCTGCTTGTTCCAGCAGAACTTCTTCTCCACCAGGATGCTGTTAAAAAAGGCATTTGTTTGGAAAATATGGTTTTTATTCTGAGAGAATATGGCTGTGGTTGATGGTTCAAATTGCTTGTTTAACCAGTTGCAAATGTTTATAAAATTTTCCATTCTTAAATTTCACCATCATCAGAAAATAAGCAAAAAGTGTCAACTCCTTTTTTGATTAGTCTGATAATGGTACAAAGCTAGTAAACTTTGCAAATTTCTTTCAAACGCATTTCGAAATTCTGTTTTTCTATGAAAACTCAGGTCTCCAAAAATGCTTGTGATTAAGAATTAAAAGGGTCTTAATTCAAGCAAAGTATTAAAGATAGGTTGATTTTTGTGTACACAAGTCCAAATGCACTTGAAGTGTCTCGCACACAGCATTAAAAAAATCCACAATCTCATGGTCACTCTTGAACGTACATTTCCAAAAATATTTCCTAGGCCATGTAATAATTGTAATATTGTATAAAATACAAAACTTTAATTTGTACATGCAGGCAAAGTATAAAAGCAAAATAAACAACAGTTGTGATGAAATCATTGCAGAGCACGTTGTTTTCTACACTATAATCGTCTTTAAGTCTTTATTAAACAATGAAATTCAAGCTTCTTCCTACCTCGTCTAAAAATTTCGTCACATCGTACACTTGATTGTGTATCGCAATCCAGAGTGATTTTCCCATATTATGCTGTTCCAATTCAGTTTGAGTTATGATTTTTTTACCCGTTGACATTCTGATAGGAAATAAAAGCTAAATTGCTGTTTCAATACAAGAAGATTTTAAAGATTTTGAGCACAGATACTATAAAAGAGAAATCAAAGTTCGACTGGGAGGCTAAAGTTCGACCGAGCAAGAGACTGCCACTCAATATTACGTAATAGTATATATTAGCATTTCGTGCGTGTTGGCGCGCAATTTATGCATATTAAAAACCAGACAATATTTGTTTGAAAATTTATTTCAAATTAAATAATTTCGAAAGCTTACACAGGACCCTAAGGCTTTTATTAAAGCTAAGGAAAGTTGAACAAATTTACTCATTAATCTACAAATTTAATTAATTTATTTTATAATGCAGGTTTTTTTGCTCAGTGCAAGCCAAAAAGTATAAATGGCACTTTTCAGACATATTCACAAATCAGACTAGGGTGTTGTATTCTATCACATTTTTACGACAGCTCTGAAGTCTTGTCCAGGCATCTCAACATGGCTCATTATTATTGCAAATATCACCAATATAATATTCTTTCATGAGATTTATAGCATCCTCAGAATGTCCAATATCTTCAAATGCCTCTGTTGCATCTTCGCCTGTATAAAACAAATGCAGGATTACATGACCACTTGTCGGTAGATTTAGAGTTACTTATTAAAACTTAGTGAAAACTGAAAAAATAAGTTGACTAATATTTGAAACTCAATTTCAACAGGGGAATGAGTAGCTTTTAATTACAACAGCATAAAAATAATTGTTAATAAACTGTTTAAGAAAGGGGGGGTGGATGGAGGCACTAAACTAGCACTGCCAAGTGCCAACCTAACCCAAACACACCTGTTAATTAATTCTTGTAGTTGCTAACTTTTCAATATAACCTAATTACCTGCTACATTATATAATGGGATTTCACCTCCTGGATGCTAAACAAATATAATAAAAAAATGTGTTTGAAGGAAAAGGAAGATAGTTTGGTAACTGTTGAATACATAAAATACTGGGGCCGGTTGTATGAAAGCCGGATAGCGCTATCCACCGGATAGTGGTTTTTTCAATCGCTTTAAAATCGCCCGTTGTTTGCTATAACTTTGATTAAATCTTAGTATTCCTAAATCGAGTATCCTCTTTAATAATTGTTGGTTCCAAAAATGAAATTTTATCGCTTTTCGAGCATTTTTAGAACCGTTGAAAAATCACTATCCGGTGGATAGCGCTATCCGGCTTTCATACAACCGACCCCTCTTGAATATTTTCATCAGTTCAAGATTTTTTTTAAAGCGTCAAGAAAATAATTTATTAATAAAATCTGGCCTTCGGTCTGCAATGTTACCTAAACCAAAACTGCGATGAATCCATTTTACTATGATTATTATAAATCCAGACTCGCTCTGCACCATTTTGTAAACCAAAAGCGAAAAATCTATTATGATTTTTAATATATTGAAACCAGCCTTCGTTCGGCAATGTTTAAACCAAAAAATTACAAGCTGAAGAAATGTGATTGCGAACCATTTTAAACGCCGAACCAATGTTTTACAGGCCCGGAATTTTATGTATCCTGCGATAAAAGGAGTATTATTATCACAGGTGCTATGATACAAAGAGTAAATATCATTTGAGTAATTCTGTCAACAACACATTGACTACCTCAGTGACAAATGTCGATATATCGTAGACCTTTCCGTGTACCACGACCCATAAATTTCCAGGCGAATTGTGTTTTGAAACTTCTTCGATTGAGTACAATTTTCTCGTGCTGATCTTCTCACCAAACATCGATTTGACAACGGTTTGACTGTTTCATGTATTTCACCGACGTGCTTCTAATTTGGCATTCTTATAATCACACTACACTGTATTAAGCGGGTCAATTTGGGGGAGTGTCAAGGGGGTGATATAGGAGCGACATCTGAAGAGCCGCAGCTCAACCTCTATTTTATTCCTGTCTTTTTATGTTGCACCAGAGCGCATGTTATTATTTACAGAGATTATTTAGCTATCGAACAATGCTAATTGCTACATAAAAATACACAAAACAAGTGTCGTCTCCAAGCAAACGTACGCAAACACTTTTTTTTGTCGGTGAGTTCTGAAGCAGAACTTGAACACAAAGAGGAGTCCAGTCGGCCTTCTTTTGCCTTGTCTTCTGTCCTAGTTTTTTAAACTGTCAATTGTAAACTTTAAACGTTAAATTTTTTTTTGACACCGAATAGGTGACTCGATCTGAAAGCGTGGTTAGTCGGGCTTCTGAAAGCATTGACCCAGAAGTGGATAGGATTTTACAGGGAATGAAAATTTTCGTTGCCGATGTCCTGTAATAGTACTTGAATAGTACTCAAGAGTGCTCTTAACTTGACACTGGAAATCCGGCTCTTGAGCACCCAGCTGTCCTTAGAACGCTTTGTTATCAAAATTTCATTGTGTATGTACAACGCGATTAACGCTTCTCTTTTCTTTATCTGTCTGTCCTTTCATAATGTAATAACGGCGGCTCTATAAGGACGACTCTCCATTCACCGTCCGCATCACCCGCGCGGGCCAAGCGGCCTTTGAAAATCTGCTCTTAAAAAGCGATTACCATTACTATCCGCGTCATCCGCCCATGCGACCGTGACCGGCATGAAAAGAAAGCGCGCTTCGCCCGCGCGGGTGGAGCGGACGTTATGGAGAATCGCCTTAAAGCCCGTTTTCCACTGGGCGACTTTTTTCGCGCGAACAGATAAAAAGTAGAAAGCGATTCTACTTTTTCGCGGCGAATTTTTTCGCAAACTAATCACATCACTGGATTTCAGTTATCGCTTCGAGTCGCGCGAATAAATTCGCCTAGTGGAAAGCGGGCTTAATGGAGCATCAGGGCGGATAAAATATTTTTCCCATTTAAAAGTTGCCAGAGACAGAAAAATAAACATATCAAATCTGAAAACGCGAACTTATCCGTGCACATATTGTCGTATTCGTGGCGTTTTCACTTGTTTTCACATCCAAAACGTGGTAAAACAACACGTGTTCGAGCTGAAACATCACGTGTTCCAGCTGAACGCGCGGACCTGGGCCGTAGATAGACCGCTTGATTGGCGGAGTGTATATTCAGATATTCATGTTTATATACCGTACAATAGCGTAGTATAAAATAGCGTACAAAATAAATTAGTCGGGCATAAGACGAATATACAGGGTGAGTAAAAAAACACCTTTGAAATTCAAATTAGCCGCATAGCGGCTGTAATGTGACAGAAGTTGCCTAAAATATCTCATGGGTATACGAAGCATATCATATTAATTAACCTAAAACATTAAGTTTGTTCCCTTTGGGAGTTAAAATGCATTGTGTTGATTGTACACATGGGAATTGTCATATTCCAGCCATAAGTTCACGGCTAATTTCGCCAGTAATTTGAATTTCAAAGGTGTCAGTTTTTTTTACTCACCCTGTATGAATAAATATACAACCCCCCCCCCCCCCACACACAAATTAAGCTTCTAGCTACGGCCCTGGCGCGGACGCGTGAAACGGACGAATACTTGAAGAATTAAATAGCTTAAAATATTCATCGAAAACTACTAACATGCGTAAACATGCGTATCTACAAATCACTTCAAATTTTGAATTCAGCTTCAACAATCCCTAAGCATCTATTGTCTTGGTTGCGCACATGACCAGCAGCGAGAAAGTAGCCCTGAAGATTAGAAAAAAATTAACATTAGTCGCGTCATCCGAGTTTCAGTAATGACCACTGACCTAAATATGACTCCCGTTCACGGACATAACTAGTCTGACTAGAGTGTCAGACTTTCACCAAAGTATGGAGCATACAGTTTTTACATCCTCCAGGACATCGGAATTTTCTGTAACCTACCTTTGGCATATGAGATGGGAATTTCTTTCTTTCATTGACAGAAATTTTATAACCTACAAGTGGAAATATTTTTCTAACTGATGCCGTTATCAATTGTTCATAATATGTAACTTCAGCATTCGATAAGAAATACTTAAAGCTCAAAGTACCTTTTCGCATGGGACATTTCACGCCCTTGACATGGATATCACGGCAAACATCAAACGTTTCGTTGAACAAAACTCGACCACCATATGATAAGTAAATGTTAGCTTTCCCACGTACGAGATCTTCACCTAAAATTCAACTCAAGTCAAAAACATTGACATGGGAAAATTGAGCTATGTACACACCAAACTGATTAGCATATTCGGCGTTAAAGCACAAGCCCGCAAGCAGGCTACACCAGCTGCGCAAGGCGACTGGGTTCAGGGGGTCTGTTATAGCGAGATTGGAGAAAAGTCTGTGTCAACAGAATCGTCTTAGTAAATACGCAGAGCCAATCGTTATGCATATATTTCTCACCTAATGTAATATTCGCTACGAGGGTCGCATATATTCTGCCGTTTGACGAATCGTAACTCAGTATAGCTTTACCAACTTTTATACGATTTTCATTCTTTGAATCTAAAATACAATATTTATTTTAGGACGTAGGATGAGGGTGAACAACAACCTCGTAAGCAGGGCCCGAGCCCAATGGCAGATGCAACGGAACAACATGCCGCACAGACACATGGGAATGCAACGATGGTCATTGGGCATTCATCAATCAACGCCGATTATGATAAACAGGAGGCTGGAAACATGATTGGACACGTGAGCTGAAACTCTCTTGCAAGGTCAACGTTTTTGCATAAACACCATGGGATGTTAAGTGTAAACATTTCTCCTGTTCTCCACGACGCTACGTTGTTCAGAAATCATTTCAACACTGAAGACTTTTCAGATTCCTTCGTCACTGTTTATACTGAAATTCGATACCCGAAATATTACAACAGCTAGGCTATTTTAAACTCTGCTTTTCAAATCTCTAATTTTACAATCTCTAACAATACAATTTCAAAATTTATCGGTTTTGACCCTATTACATTACACAAGAAATTAATGTTTCTTTTCTCTGCCAATTTGCCCAACTTAACAACTTAAATTCCAATAATAATTCGGAAAGAAAGTGTTTGACAGTATATTTTAAAACATAATATATTATATTATTGTTTAGTTGGCCTGTGTCACGGGGCCTGCAACATTCATAACACACACAGCCAAATTTTGACCAAACAAGCATAAGTACCTACCACACATATCGTAGACGTCCCCAATTGACAAATAATTATTCTTCTTCACCCATCCATCCCAGTCGAAATTGGAGCGAGCGCTTTTGCCCGTGAACGCTTTATGGATGGAGCGTATGTCTGAGAATTTTACACAAAAATATTGCTTTGCGATTACGATCAAGCAAATCAGAGCCAGGAAAACGACCATACAGACGCGCTTCTTGTAACCGATGCCAAGAAACCGCGATTTTGCCAGCATAAACATATTTGCGCATCGACGATTGCGCTAAGTATATTATTATACGTCGCAGTCATGCAGTGGCTGTTGGATTTTTTCTTCTGTCAGAATGTCTCTGTTGAACCGGAATTAGACACTGATGGGACGCGTCACAGGTCAAAGTTCATCAATTTGTGCGCAGAACAATTTGTGCGTGACAACAGTGACCTTTGATAGACTAGTCGAGTCTGTTCTAGCGTGGAGGCGCATACTTTTTGCCGTCTTACAGCTCGCAGAGGGTAAGGAGAGGAGAGACCCTTGTCCATCTCCAAATTTTACAGCTGTAAAAACTGTAAATGAACCCGGATCGTGCATAATCGGTGCATTATTGATCTGCAGCCGATTGCCGTTGTGTTGACTTTTCGCGGACATAGAGCGTCAAAAGTCTTTTCATAAACATAGTGGTAAGAAGTAACCGTGATTCGCTTTATGATGTATTTAGCGAAATATATCTTAACTTCAAGACCCTATCCATGCCCGTTAGGTAGAGTTCGAAGCTGCTAGAAGGCTGTGATAATTTATATTTACAAATAAATAGCTATTTTCATATGTAAATATCTTAAGACTTAAGGCGATCCACACCTGGAGAACATTCCAGTTTTTCATTCTTTCTCATGTCTGAGAATCCATTCAGAGACTGGTTCCTAATCTGACGTCAGAGAGATAATTTTAGCTTCATAACTTTTATGACGTATTCATGATCACGTGACAAAAACATTACGCTTCGGTTTTTCTCGCTTTCATTTCACTACCCAACAAAAAGGGGAAAATAATTTAGAAACTTCTTTGGTCCGCAGTCGCGATCTTCCTGCTAAAAGTATGAAGTGGACCTTCAAGGACGAGCATTCGATCGGTAAGTGTTAAAAATTTGCTTCTTTCGGCGTTTTGTTTGGCGTGAATGACAAAACAATTTTTTGGTTTTGTTGCAGACGTGAGACGCGCAGAGTCAGCCAAAATCCGTTCGAAATACCCTGATCGAATCCCGGTAAATAACAAGTAAATCTTCCTTGCGATATTACGTATAATTTTCGCTGTATTTAATCGGGTTCTCCTGCTTTGAATAGGTCGTTGTAGAGAAAGCACCGAAATCAACAATACCGGACATCGACAAACGAAAATTTCTTGTTCCCAACGATCTAACAGGTTAAAATCTTGCCCAAAATCTAACACAACAACGCTTTATTGTTGCCCTAGTTTCAGATAAAACGTATCGATGCTGTTCGGCTATAAAAATCTTACAAATGTTGACAATTTACGTATGTTTTTAGTGGCTCAATTCATGTACATAATCAGAAAGAGAATTCAACTTGCTCCCGAAAAGGCAATGTTTTTGTTCGTCAACAAAGTTCTGCCGACAACGAGGTAGGTATTTTCATAAAATTCACACTTCTTTCAAAACTTGAACGAATTCAGAATATTCTTTAATTTGCTACTTCAATTCCCAAGAGGCTTTTAAATACAGTAAATAATTTCTAACAAGTAGAATGGACACAGAGTCATATTAAATAAAATAGCGCTATTTTGGGAAACGAATTTCTAAATGTTTTTTTATTAAATTGCGGTTTTCGCTGCATCGTCAGGAGGATAATTCCTGCCGATTTCTTAGTAACTACAAATTTGAATTTGATATGGTGTAATAAAACTACGATATCAATCGAAAATAGTGTAAAAAGTAGGTTCCACGAATGCGAAATGCCCCTTACCGGAAGTACTGTCGTTTGTGAATGAAATTGCGAAATTATATAATTTAAATTACGAAATCGGTTTAAAACTGTAGAAAATATTGCTCTCGCTTCTGTTTTTGATGCTATGAACTTTGTTTTCATATTTAGCTGCACCCATTTTTCTCTGCAGGTGGAATATTGAAATTAGCGAGGATGATGTTTTTTATGGTGAAATGTCAATAAAACAACCAGACCAACCCGACAAACTATAATACATATACAAAAACATATTTCAGTTGAATTGGAGATATTTTCATCACGGTTTTGCGACAAGCATAGCAATTTTTTATTCCCAACATTAGCTGAAGGAATCATTGTGGTCATAAATTAGTATGGGCACCAGCATTTCACAAACCAGGTGTTTTGCAATTATGCATGCAATGATCTTTGCCATCTCATTGGGCGGTGGTTTTAACAGCAAAAACAGCTTTGTTAAACTGTTATCAAAGATGAAGTGAATCTTTGACATGTGCACATGTGATTTCAGAAAAATCGTCGACAAGGCACATATTGCAAGACAATGCAATTAAACGGTTGTTAAGAGCTGCTAATTAGCTATTGACATTAGCATGGCTGCATGTAGAATTTACATATTATGTAATTAATAGGAATATGCATGTATTTATTTATTTATTTTACTCATCTCCTGTACCTAGTGGACATTTAATGTGGAAAGTAAGCATAATGCTCCAAGGAAAGTCAGTCCAAGACAAGCCAGTCCTCAAGTGATGGGGATTGATAAGGGTAGCTCTTTAGAGGGGCATGTCCTAGTAGACCTTAGTAACCATGACTGCATGGGAGCCACCAGCAGTTTTTTACACTACACTCCCTAAAAAGATCAAACTAGAGATCTACTATTGCCTCAAACATCGCCACCAAACATCTTTTACCTTGTTAAACTACATCTTCTCTTTCATTCTAGTTCGACAATGGGAGCAATTTACGAAGAACACAAAGATGAAGATGGTTTTTTGTACATAGCCTACAGCGGTGAAAACACTTTTGGTCAGTGAAGGCAACAAACTTCTGATAAAAAATTATTCTTTGGAAAATTTTTGAGTAAAAGTACATGATATATCTTTTGGCAATTATATTCAAATCAATACAGTAGAACACTTTTTCACCAAGAACTTGTAAATATGTGACTTATCTTGGTCCAATACCTTGTACTCAGCAGCCTTTGGTTTAGGTATAAATATAATTTATGTATTCTGCATATATCTGGAATTGAGATAATTTGAAATTCACTTTTCCAAAGTGAATTTCAAGCTAACTCCATATTGATTATGTTTTAAAAATAAATAGTTTTTGTTTAAATTTCAACTGTATTTTGTGATGTAATTTAATTAGATTAAAAAGGGTTTAATTTTTACTCTTAAAGTTCCAATTATTAGTTTCTATAATTCAAAGCTAATTTCCTAAAGGAATGAACAATTGAGGCTTACCTTTTGAAGACATTACTCAGTGAACTGTTCTAAATAACTTGGTTTCTCCAACCAGGTACTAAAAACAGTACAAAAACTTTCTTTTGCTTTGTTGTAAGGAAATGCGTCATCCTTGAACTGTTTATATGTTTTTGAAGATTGGACTTCTTGTCTTGAAACTTGTGACATTGCCAAGACCGCTTTAAATTGGTTGAATAATTCTATCTTACATATACACAATCTAAAAAAGGAATAAAACAAGATTGTTCTACTTGAAAGCTTATAATTGCTTCAATTCTTTTTGATAAATACCTTGATTTTTGTGAGTCTCTATTTGATTTCGTTACCCCTTGTTTCAGGCCGTTAATCGCCACCTCATGGACTGATGGCTTTCTAATCATGATTATGGCTAAAAAGATGACAGAAGAAATTTTGTACACCAGCATTTCAGATTCTATATTGAATTCTAAACTTTTAATGATCACTCTTTGACAATGGATTCTATTCTGTACTTATCATTCAAAACCTGAGGGTGAAGGTGTTAACTTTTCTTCTTCTGTCTTCCCTCCAATTTCTTCTGCTCTTCTTTTTCCACCTTCAAACTCCATGTCCCCTGGCAAAAGCCTGAGTTCTTTTACTTGATAACCCTTGGGGAGTGGACCAACCGCACTGGTTCTTTCAAACAATGCTCGTCTTAATGCTCCCGGATCGTAGGTACATTTTCCGAGCACAATGGAGGCAAGATATATTGGTTTCTCGAGAAAATATGAAATCAATGCACCTTGGCAACCTAAGTCATATAGAGAACTTAATCGAAACAGGAGAATATTTCATTCACTGCATCTTGTCCCAAGTTAACTGTTTGTTAATTACAGTTATAATGCAGGGGCTGGTTGTTTGAAAGGCATTTAGTTTAAATAAGCCAAAGTTTAAAATTACTCTCGTACATCTTGTGAATGACTGAACCTATAACTGATCAAAATTAAGCTATTTACATTGAAGTATTTCAGCTCATTCATCCAATGAAGAGATAATTTTGTTTTCCATTTTAAACTTATCAGCCATTTAAGCAGAACACCTTTTGAACAACCAGCCCCACTTCTGTAAACTGCTGGTATATACTACATCTGTTGCAAACTTGTTGAACCCCCTTTGAACCCTTACCTAACACACACCATTTCATGATTTTATCACTGCAAGACATGGAAAGTGTAGGGTCACCCCTTCCTGGTTTAGTTCTTAACACTCCAACATTATGAAAGCCTGATCCAACATCATGTAAATCCTGTTGACCACCAGGCACACATTTTGCACCAGTTCTATAAATATCTGAAGTACAAACATTGTCTTCACTTGGCAAAGCAGAACTTTCCAGGTTTACTGAAAAAGTGGGTCTTTTTTGTCCCATTCCATTATCAGACTGCTTTCCCACATTTTCGTTATCCATGCAAATGTATTTTGAGTCATGTTCCAACAAGCTAATATTTTTTCTTTTTTTCCTTCTCTCAATAATCATTGTTGAGTCTCCTCCCTTCGGAAATATTGACGCATCGCCACCTTGAAATTAATTTGTAGCTCAGAGCTAACACCGGTCTCGTCCAAGACAGCTAGCTGCTGGGTAGACCCAGCTAAAGGTACAGCTGTTTACACAAAAACAAAGTCTAACTTTATAACTTACATGGTGTGTGAGAAGTGAAGAGATGAAAGCTGATACTATTCTTTAATGAACACTTTTTAGTGTGTTTATCAGACATAAAAATACTCTCTTTTGAACCATAGCAATTCTGTAACTCTTGATAAATATACCTAAAGATTAAAACACAATTTCTTTCCACCATTGAGAACTAGCAATGTGCAAAAATGTCCCCAAATGCAGAATTCTAAGCAATTTTATACAAAAACAAAATAATGCAGAAGAGGTATGTAATTCATGAACAGCAAACCTTAGGAAGCCTCTGCGTGCAATGACTTCAGCATGACTATCATTCAGGAGATTTCCTATTTAAAAGAAATGTAATCTATCTCATATCATATCCTAACACCCACAATCTTTTGAAAAAAGGAAAATTACATTGGTTGCTGTTGCTACCTGTTGTACTAAGCTGATTTCGACCAAGGCATTTTGATCCACTGCCCAACGAGATTAACTCTAATCTGTAATCTAGACAATCACACACAGACATTGATACCCTTTACATAATATACATAATAATGATATAATACTGTATTTAAATATTATATAATAATAATAATATAATAAAAATCTAACAAAATCACCGATATATTAACAAAATTAATATGAAAGTTTAAATGATATACAGCGATATTTTTATAACTATGGCCATACGACCTAGGAACAATATTAACATCGCTAGATTAGAAGATATTTGAATTTACCGCCAAATATATACTAGTTTATATTGTTTAGAAATCAGAATAAAAGCTATCAGGATTCAAGATTGTCTGATAAATTTCGCACCGTTTTCTTGCCCCTCATCGAAAACAGCAACAACAGCAGCCAGGATCGTCCATTCTCTTCCTGCTAATGGTTTTCCTTTCTTCCCTAGTCGTTCATAGTTTTCGTAAACAAGCTTACAAACTTTGTTTGAAAAGCCTTCGTCTTCGAACCATTTCGCCATATTCAGTTTCCGCGGGAGTCACTGCGCGATATAGCAACTATACTAACTGGACTGCCAATTTCATCGATACTTCATATCGATACTGCTTTGGTTATTATGTCAAATATTTTGATATGGATAACCACGCTGTTTTAATGGTCAAAACCGTCAAATGCTTGTCCTATGTAAAGTTGCAAGCATGTTTCTTGCCCATATACAACATTAAACAATATAACCGTGCTTTGGTTATGATGTCAAATATTTTGATATGGATAACCACGCTGTTTTAATGGTCAAAACCGTCAAATGCTTGTCCTATGTAAAGTTTCCAGCATGTTTCGTGCTCATATACAAACATTAAACAATATAACCGTGCTTTGGTTATGATGTCAAATATTTTGATATGGATAACCACGCTGTTTTAATGGTCAAAATGCTTGTCCTATGTAAAGTTTCAAGCATGTTACGTGCTCATATACAAACATTCACCTTCAGTCAACCCTGCAGTGCGCGCCTCAAGGTGGAAAGACTGGATTATCATCATCAGCCAATCCAATATCGCGCAAAAATCGACAAGACAAGAATTTCAATATTCATGAGGCTGATAAATATTGTCGTAATAGCATTCATGATAGCACAGCTCATCAAGAGACAAGATGCATTTCACACCAATTTGAAACAATTTTTATTCAATGAATCTCCTAGGCATTACAGCCAAAAATCTCAGCTCTGATGCACAACCCTGCGTAAAACTTCCTTGGGTGAAACTTGACAAACCGGGCGAGAACCGGTTCTGCCAACTTGTTGATCACCGGTGTCACGTGATCACAATTGCCAGTGAACAACTATTGGAAGAAAAGCAAATAGTTAAACTTTATATAGTTTAACTCAATCAAGTTTTTTGTCCCATGGTCCTAGACTGAGTAAGGATTTTCTTGATAAATCTGGGTAATCCCCTTAAACCAGCCTGGTAAATCAAGGTTTGGTTAAATCCTAACCTTCACTGATCCATTTTCTCGATACTTTTGGAAACTCGAACCATCTTCGCTGAAGGATAACTCGTATGTCTCAACGTGTTCAAAATATCGATCTCGTCCTTAAAATATTTGAAAGCAGGATCATTTTTAACAACGTAAACAAAAGTTCCGGCTGATTTCAGTTTGACTTGATAAGGTTTACGTTTTCTGACTTTTCTCCTGTAGAAACCCTGGATGATAGTTTCTTTTTGTGATTTTAAGAATGATATCTAAAGGAAATATCCTGACAGATAAAGTTGAACTTAGAAATGAAAAGCCTGGTTCACACGAGTTAAATAAGCACAAGCAGAAATACAAAATAAACCTTTTCCTCTACGCCTAAGGGTCAAAGACAAAGGAATTTTCTATTCAAATGTCTTCTGTTTCAACTTCGCTAATACTTCGAGTCTTGTGCTTGTCTCAAATGTGTGAACCAGGCTATAGAGCTATCCAGTTGACTTATCCAGTCAGTACCTTGTGTAGCAACAGCAGATACGTATCTTAATTCACCAAGATCAATTTGCAGCCATTGGTTACGGGTTTGACCGTAGGCAGCACACCACGCACCAATCCGTTTTTTATCGTGATCATCTCTCATGTAGAGTCTGGCGTTGTTAGCAGTCGCTCCCCAAGGACCACCTGTATATAGAGCGTAAGACTTCAGAAGAAATGTTATGGTTTGCTCAACCAGAGAGTTCAGTATACGCGCGCGATAGAACAGTTTACCTGGATAGAACGACGAGGAAGCTCGGAATGCGCCGTCCGGAATTGTCCTGTCCCAACCGAGACCGAATGGCTGGGAACACGAGCCTATCACAAACGAATAGGAGACGGTTACGCGATGAAACGATTTGTGTATTGATAGTAATAATTATTCAACCGTTGGTTAGCTTCATCCTGGGTTAAGCAAGGCTACAATTGAATCTCTTGATTCTCTTCAACAGTTTTTCAAGCTAAATAGGTTCCTGCAGAGATCTTTTATTGTCTGACAGGGTCTCTGATGATGCTATGGTGAAATCTACCCAATCAAGGAAGATGAGGGCAGAGATATACTCCTAGGTAAAGACAAGGGCACTATTATGCCTACCCGAGGGTCGTGGTTGCTCTGCGTCACAGAGATCGGTTCTTTTACAACTGAGCAGGCAGTTTTTGTGTACCCAAGCATCCGTTTTGCATCGTCCATTCGCAGCCCAGCCAGGGCATCTTGTATCCTTGTCTGTACATCTGATACCTAAGCACAGAAAAGAATAACTGAGTCATCATTTCTTGGCAAATTCTTTTGAACAACCTTCCGCGAGATTACGATCTTATTAGGAAATACTTACCTCTGTATTTGGGTCTGACCGGGGGGTTAACCGTGGATGTTGGCCTGGTGATGGGATCTGTGGGGTTCGTTGGCTCTGTTGGTCTTGTCGTCTTCCCGGGGGTGGGACGCGGGGGTCGGGTTGGTGGGGATGGCGTTGAAGGATCTGGAAAAAAATAGCGAAGACATTTTCAAGGATTGTTCTTGCTAGACACCAATAAAGATTAGAGAGTTTCAGTTTGAAGTTAGTTTGGGTATACTGGATGACATTTACTGGTTCTCTCGGTGGAACAGTTCAGAACTGAAAAAACTATCCAGTATGAATAAAGTTAGTTTAGTTTAGGTTTCCTTCTGTAGTAACACTGGATCAATAAGAGATGAGCCTTACTGGACCTCTAGGAAGAACAGTTTAGAACTGATAGAGCTATCCAGTATGAATAAAGTTAGTTTAGTTTAGGTTTCCTTCTGTAGTAACACTGGATCAATAAGAGATGATTCTTACTGGACCTCTAGGAAGAACAGTTTAGAACTGATAGAGCTATCCAGTATGAATAAAGTTAGTTTAGTTTAGGTTTCCTTCTGTAGTAACACTGGATCAATAAGAGATGATTCTTACTGGACCTCTAGGAAGAACAGTTTAGAACTGATAGAGCTATCCAGTATGAATAAAGTTAGTTTAATTTAGGTTTCCTTCTGTAGTAACACTGGATCAATAAGAAATTATTCTTACTGGACCTCTAGGAAGAACAGTTTAGAACTGATAGAGCGCTAGCTATCCAGTATAAATAAAGTTAGTAATAACCCCATTACGCGTACCTGGTGTACATATATGACAGCTAACTTTGCAGTTTGACCACATATATGACGGATTTTTATCGCAATGACCGTCATCTGCCCAAAGTTTGCAAGTTGGATGCTGATCAACACAAGGTCCACAGTTGCCACAACTCTTCCTGCATACCAAAAGCAGAGGATTGGCTGCCTCCACACAACCGCCGTCTTTTGCCCACAAAGGACAATAAATTTCGTCGTCCTCACAAGAGTCTGGAAAGGTGCATGAACCAAAGATGGCGAAATATATAAAATGAAATCAAGTTTGGTGTGTAATATTGAATAATAAATAAATCGCACGCATTTTAAAGTGAATATTATGGCGAATTGGCAACATATCGATCTAAAAAAAGCATGCATCTATTGAGGACAATTTCCTTTTTAAAATCGTTCTATTTTTATTAAAATCGGTCAAGTATTCATACAGAAATCGCAAGTTAAAATCAGCTAACCATGAGATGCCATCTGACCCGACAACAATGAGATATAGAACGAAACAAAATACGAATAACATCTTCCTGCAAACTGAAGATTTAAGCTATTAAACACACAAGACGGTAGCTAGCTCTAATCTTAAGTTTGCAGTAATGATTAATGCTATTTCGAGTTTTATAGCTCAAATTGGCGTGAGTTTGCCAGACAACAGTGCATGTGTTCGAGTTTGCTTCGTTCTATATTTCATCAAATTGCCTGTTGGTAAAGGATTTTAACTTGGGTTAAGAGTGAAGGAATGTCCCTTTTTATCTCTTTTTGTTTTCTAAGACTGAACAATTTCCTTTGATGTATCAAAGAGATAAACGTGCTCCATGCATATCAAGATTGTAAAATAGAATGCAGGCTTATGCTTTCGACTTCTTACCCTCGTTATTCATGCTTGGAATGACTGCAGATCTTCGTAAATCTTCGCTTCTCTTTTTCAAAACCGCTATAAAATAAAACCGCTCGATTCATAGTTAAGCAGGAAACGTCATTTTTCTATAGATTCGCGACCATGTTCGATTACGCCGCTTTCCGGCGGACTCCATCATGGTCGAATTCACCATTTTCCGGCGAAGTCGTATTTGCCATTTTCCGGCGAGTTCGACCATGGTCGAGTCCGCCGGAAAATGCAAAATACGACTATGGTCGAGTTCGCCAGAAAATGGCAAATACGACCACAGTCGAGTTCGTCGGAAAATAACAAATACGACCATGGTCGAAATCTTCGGAAAATGGCAAATACGACCATGGTCGAGTTCGCCGGAAAATGGCGAATATGACCATGGTCGTATATTTGCCATTTTCCGGCGCATATGACCATGGTCGTATTTTTCATTTTTCGACGAATATGACCATGGTCGTATTTGCCATTTTCCGGCGAATATGACCATGGTCGTATTTGCTATTTTCCGGCGAATATGACCGTGGTCGCGTATTTGCCAATTTCCGGCGAATATGACCATGGTCGTATTTGCCATTTTCCGGCGAATATGACCATGGTCGTATTTGCCATTTTCCGGCGAATATGACCATGGTCGTATTTGCCATTTTCCGGCGAATATGACCATGGTCGTATTTGCCATTTTCCGGCTAATATGACCATGGTCGTATTTGCCATTTTCCGGCGAATATGACCATGGTCGTATTTGCCATTTTCCGGCGAATATGACCATGGTCGTATGTGCCATTTTCCGGCTAATATGGCCATCGTCGTATTTTTCATTTTTCGACGAATATGACCATGGTCGTATTTGCCATTTTCCGGCGAATATGACCATGGTCGTATTTGCCATTTTTCGACGAATATGACCATGGTCGTATTTGCCATTTTCCGGCGAATATGACCATGGTCGTATTTGCCATTTTCCGGCGAATATGACCATGGTCGTATTTGCCATTTTCCGGCGAATATGACCATGGTCGTATGTGCCATTTTCCGGCTAATATGGCCATCGTCGTATTTTTCATTTTTCGACGAATATGACCATGGTCGTATTTGCCATTTTTCGACGAATATGACCATGGTCGTATTTGCCATTTTCCGGCGAATATGACCGTGGTCGCGTATTTGCCAATTTCCGGCGAATATGACCATGGTCGTATTTGCCATTTTCCGGCGAATATGACCATGGTCGTATTTGCCATTTTCCGGCGAATATGACCATGGTCGTATTTGCCATTTTCCGGCGAATATGACCATGGTCGTATTTGCCATTTTCCGGCGAATATGACCATGGTCGTATTTGCCATTTTCCGGCGAATATGACCATGGTCGTATTTGCCATTTTCCGGCGAATATGACCATGGTCGTATGTGCCATTTTCCGGCTAATATGGCCATCGTCGTATTTTTCATTTTTCGACGAATAAGACCATGGTCGTATTTGCCATTTTCCGGCGAATATGACCATGGTCGTATTTGCCATTTTTCGACGAATATGACCATGGTCGTATTTGCCATTTTCCGGCGAATATGACCATGGTCGTATTTGCCATTTTCCGGCGAATATGACCATGGTCGTATTTGCCATTTTCCGGCGAATATGACCATGGTCGTATGTGCCATTTTCCGGCTAATATGGCCATCGTCGTATTTTTCATTTTTCGACGAATATGACCATGGTCGTATTTGCCATTTTTCGACGAATATGACCATGGTCGTATTTGCCATTTTCCGGCGAATATGACCGTGGTCGCGTATTTGCCAATTTCCGGCGAATATGACCATGGTCGTATTTGCCATTTTCCGGCGAATATGACCATGGTCGTATTTGCCATTTTCCGGCGAATATGACCATGGTCGTATTTGCCATTTTCCGGCGAATATGACCATGGTCGTATTTGCCATTTTCCGGCTAATATGACCATGGTCGTATTTGCCATTTTCCGGCGAGTATGACCATGGTCGTATTTGCCATTTTCCGGCGAATATGACCATGGTCGTATGTGCCATTTTCCGGCTAATATGGCCATCGTCGTATTTTTCATTTTTCGACGAATATGACCATGGTCGTATTTGCCATTTTTCGACGAATATGACCATGGTCGTATTTGCCATTTTCCGGCGAATATGACCATGGTCGTATTTGCCATTTTCCGGCGAATATGACCGTGGTCGCGTATTTGCCAATTTCCGGCGAATATGACCATGGTCGTATTTGACATTTTCCGGCGAATATGACCATGGTCGTATTTGCCATTTTCCGGCGAATATGACCATGGTCGTATTTGCCATTTTCCGGCTAATATGACCATGGTCGTATTTGCCATTTTCCGGCGAATATGACCATGGTCGTATTTGCCATTTTCCGGCGAATATGACCATGGTCGTATTTGCCATTTTCCGGCGAATATGACCATGGTCGTATGTGCCATTTTCCGGCTAATATGGCCATCGTCGTATTTTTCATTTTTCGACGAATATGACCATGGTCGTATTTTTCATTTTTCGACGAATATGACCATGGTCGTATTTGCCATTTTTCGACGAATATGACCATGGTCGTATTTGCCATTTTCCGGCGAATATGACCATGGTCGTATTTGCTATTTTCCGGCGAATATGACCGTGGTCGCGTATTTGCCAATTTCCGGCGAATATGACCATGGTCGTATTTGCCATTTTCCGGCGAATATGACCATGGTCGTATTTGCCATTTTCCGGCGAATATGACCATGGTCGTATTTGCCATTTTCCGGCTAATATGACCATGGTCGTATTTGCCATTTTCCGGCGAATATGACCATGGTCGTATTTGCCATTTTCCGGCGAATATGACCATGGTCGTATTTGCCATTTTCCGGCGAATATGACCATGGTCGTATGTGCCATTTTCCGGCTAATATGGCCATCGTCGTATTTTTCATTTTTCGACGAATATGACCATGGTCGTATTTGCCATTTTCCGGCGAATATGACCATGGTCGTATTTGCCATTTTCCGGCGAATATGACCATGGTCGTATTTGCCATTTTCCGGCGAATATGACCATGGTCGTATTTGCCATTTTCCGGCGAATATGACCATGGTCGTATGTGCCATTTTCCGGGTAATATGACCATGGTCGTATTTTTCATTTTTCGACGAATATGACCATGGTCGTATTTGCCATTTTCCGGCGAATATGACCATGGTCGTATGTGCCATTTTCCGGGTAATATGACCATGGTCGTATTTTTCATTTTTCGACGAATATGACCATGGTCGTATTTGCCATTTTTCGACGAATATGACCATGGTCGTATTTGCCATTTTCTGGCGAATATGACCATGGTCGTATTTGCCAATTTCCGGCGAATATGACCGTGGTCGCGTATTTGCCAATTTCCGGCGAATATGACCATGGTCGTATTTGCCATTTTCCGGCGAATATGACCATTGTCACCGGAATTCGCCGGAAAATGGCGTATTCGAATTTTTCGAATACGCTACGCGTCTGTTGTCCGTCTTTATACTGAAGACGAATAACCAGTCAAGAAATATTGAAGATGCATCATACGTGCAGTCTGCAGACATATTATTCGTCTCTAGTGTGAAATAGTGGAAACGGTGAATTGGTCTGAAAGGCTGCAAAATACTGACCTGAGCATTTATACATAATATTCGCCTGTCTTGCATCAGATTTTGTCAATTCAATGTAAGGTTCCTTTCCGTTTAACGGTCTCAAGGGAATGATGGTGTCTTTGTTCCAATCTTTAGAGAAGGCATTAAAGGGATAGTGCATTATACTGGCGTAATCATACGGTTCCCCGACGCTGTCGACAGCTCCGTCAACCACTTTATCAAAGTTGTATTTCATCGCTATCAAGCGCAAATGAAAAGAAATATAACATTAGCGTCGAAACGATTTTCCTTTAAGGCCCGTTTACACTTTAATGATTCGATTTCATGTGCGATTTTCTTCTTTTGATAGATGTGAACGAGTGAATTAGTTAGGGATGCTTAACTAGAAGCTCGTACACATTTGAGCACTCCTAACTAATTACTCGTTCACATCTATCAAAAGAAGAAAATATCGCAGCGAAAATCGCAAGTGTATAGTGTAGTGTAAACAGATCTTATAATATAACCCTAAGATACCATTTAACAGACACATGCCAAGAAATGCATGCCTGAAGTCTTTAATGCTGTTTCAAGCTGCATTATCTTTCATTATCTGCAAACATATCTTGTAACAACAAGAACAGACGATGAACTTACAGTCGATGACGTTCTCCCAGACGATGCGAATGTAGTCGTCTCTGTCGGGGCGGCTTTGCTCGTGCCAGAACCCGATCACGTGACCAAGTTCGTGCACCATCACGTGTTCATAATCACAACCTTCGCCAATTGAGATCTGCGTCTTTCTGTTTTGATAGCCAATGAAGCTTGCCCAACACCTATTGGGGGGAGGGGTGGGGGGAAAGATAGGTGGTATCAGTCGTAATCTTCTCCTGGGTCTAACTTCCTATGAATACCTTCTTTCAATTGATTTCTTAATGTAATATAATGTATTTCATTACCCCGCAGATCTGAAAAATTCCAGGTAATTTTTCTCATTCGTCCTTTCAACAAAACGAATACAAGTATTTTTCTCCCAAATAGCCATTGCTTTCTTTGTTGATTCAATAGCGTTTGGTTGGTTGGCTAAAACAAGTCAAACGAACAATCAGGAATCAAATAGATTATACTCATTCATTTAAAGTTGCATGTTGTCCTATACAATTTGAGTTGACAACCAATATGGAGTTACCTGAACCCCCCCCCCTTATAATCACCAACCTAACTACTCCCTCCCCTACCCTATAATTACCCACCTACACTGCAATCAAAGACGTAAGGAATAATCGCACCAGGCCACCGTTCGCTTTCTCGTCCGGATGCCGACCGCGATTGGGGACCATAAACGTTTCTGTACATCTTCAAATTCACCTCCTGCTGTGACGTCAGCTTGAAATCACCTTCGACTAAACCAGGTTCGACAGGAGCAGGACTGTATCTTGGGTCTGAAAATAAAAGTTACTCGGCTACAATCGTTTATTCAAATGCCCTGAATATTTAGAAACCTTTTAAGTCGCGATTTTCGTCGTCGTATTTAGCAAATAGCACTGTGTACATAATTCCCTCAATAACATAGGCTAGAAAGAGAATCTCGCCAACAAAAATTGGTTGTGTAGCCGTGGCTTTAGGTTAAATATTTTTTGTTAAGATTTTAAAGTGTTGCTTAATCAAGAAATTTTTTTTCACATAGTCATGTATGAAAATGGTCCAGAAGTTATAACATAAACATTTCTTCTACAGACTACCTTGAAAAGACAAGCGATTTTTTTTAGAAATAACCCAAGAATTCAAGGTTCAGCTGCTTACGATACAAGAGTGGGGGTACCTTTCCCTGCTTCCCCACCTAATTGATAAAGGTTTGATATTGGTTAAGGCTTACCTTGGCGACGGTCAAATGGTCCCACTCCTCCAACTCTGAGGAACGTCACGGCCAACACGGCACAGAGAAGTTTCGCAGTTGTCCACATGATTGACGAAAACAGAATCCTTTATAAAGCGAAATATCACGGGGGTTAAGATCTGGCAAAGGTGATTTTATCAAAATGAAAAAGTCTTACAGCACGCAGTGCCACGCACAAATCTTCCTATTGGAATCGGTGTACTAAAAATTATCTCAAATTGTTTATCAAAGAGGGTAACATAGATTAGCTTTATTCTGATTGTCCTAGACGTTTTGGAAAGAATCATACAATGTTTTTACAGGAAGAAGCCTAAACTAACTTTATTTCATTTGCCATTTGGGATAACTCTATCAGTTCTAAACTGTTCTTTCTAGAGGTCCAGTAAGGATCATTTCTTATTGATCCAGTTAACCTACAGGAAACCTTTACTGCACTAACTTTATTATTTATACTGGATAGCTCTTTCAGTTCTAAACTGTTCTTCCTCGAGGTCCATTGAAGATCATCTCTTATTGATGCAGCAATACTCTTAAGCCTTCAGTCTTAGCTGAAGATTCTTATCATATATCTAGAGTATAGCACCTACCTTCCTTAGTTCCTATCGAGTTATCAGTTTCACATAACTTTCACAAGTTAACTATAATAACTTATTATACCTACCTTGTTCAAAACTTCAGAACCGTTTACAGCAGGAAAACGAATTCCAAAAGTGGATGCGTCAGAGAAACTTTGATATTTTATGCTTTCAGCGCACAAATGTTAACATTCAGCGTTTATACATCTGCACAAATTTTGTTTCTTAGACAAATGCAATTCGAAATGCTTTTATCTCACAAAGCAAATATTCATTCAGAATGCCGGCATCCTCGGGACGTCAGGCATATGTTATGCTTTAATTTTACCAGCATGGGGAACGTCACGAAATATAGAAATCAAAAGAGAAGTTCAGTCTAACTTCTTTCTGCAGAAGCCTTGAGTTTCCATTCGTTTTTCGCTACGTACAGAGCAAATTCGTATGGAAGACAGTCATTAATAGAGTTTGAAAACAATCATAGCTGTGTAAATATATCTCAGGACAAAACTAAATGAGTAAATAAAATTAATTAATAAAAAAATCGAAATTAATTGGAAAAAAATTCAGGTGAAAATTTTCGGTGGAATTAATAACCTTTTAATCGACGTTAAGCCTTAAGGTAAAGTTAATTTTGTTTTCGAGTTTTTGGTTCTGCATGTCTAAAAACACGAAAGGTTTTGACAGTCGTGTTCACGCCGGTATTGAGGGCAAAATATGATCCAGATTTCATATTAGGTAACCTATTTTGATCTCATGGACAGAAATAGCAAGGGACATTGGTAGACCGTGACGCCATAATCAGAAAATATTAATTTAACAAAAAAAATTCAATACCAACAAGTTAAATTACTTAAAATACAAATTGTTACATCTTGCATTTTATTTTAATTAAAACCATTTCCTGGCTCGTGACTCGGGACACTTTGACTGTGACCAAACAGTGATTTGTGTCTTCAGCGTCCTAACCATTGAAAGTTAATCGTTGATTTCATTCATCGTACCATATCATCGGGTTCGACTTGATTTATTGTTTCAGGTTTGACCCACATTCCGTCTTTACAAACGTAGATAGGCTTGTTTAAATGATCTTCTCCATAATATCTTGTCAGATATTTTGTCGCATTATTTGGGCACTTGGTCTTAATGCCCATGTATTCACAAGGCTTAAAAGGTAATATTACATCTCTTTTATGAGTGACTCTCTTGTATTCGTCGAACAGCTCCTCGTTCTTATCCTGCACAATGCGAGAAATTAGAATACGACATTAATGTGGGAAAAGATAGCAAATACACATTTTAGATTAATTTTTTTAGAAATGGCCAAAATATTTTAGCCAAACGGTGGGAGATTAACAGAATGGTCGTATTAAGGTAATGTTTCACGAAATACCAACTTTGCAATGTTTCGCATAACATTACCTTTAAACACTGATTCTCATATATCGTAAATTATCGGCGATAGTTGTGTGGCTGGACAGAGATGCATAAATTGCTTTGCCTATGGGAAGGAATGATCTGCCTGACGGAAAAGGGATCATAGAGCGACGCTAATGACGCCACTGTAGTGACAAAATGGGTGACGCAAGTGTGCTAATTAGCATATCATGCATAATGTTTAAAGTTTTACTATAGAATACATTGAAAGCAATATGAAACTTATGCCTGGTTTCCATTAATTCGCTATAAGTGTCGTGAACATGTCAGGTTGGCTGATGTGATTGAGGATATTTCTATTTGAGCATATGCAGTCAACAATGACCGATATGAAACCTGACATCCGTACTATTTCTCATCTGTGAAAATGACTTGTTACGAGAATTCATAAATGAAACCAGGCTTTAGAATCGTCGCAACCGTCGACACAACCCTTGCAACCTTGGATTCTGTTTTCCCGACCTCTGGATCAATAGAGCAACCATTCTGAAATGTTCTTAAGGATTTAGGCGTGACCTGTGATTCATCCCAATATTTCGATTCGGATAGTTGAAAATGTGTGTAAAATACGAGGAAATGTCATTCAAGATCTTGCCTTCTGTGATGTAGATTTGTTCTGTTGTTCCAGAGTTCCTCGTCAGTCAGACGTCAAAGACGATTATAATGTCATCAGGCAGTTTACCCAACCATACGAAGCTAAATCTATATTCACTGAGTTTGGACACAATCCATTTGGCAGAATGTAAAAATAACCCAAACAACGTAATTAATTATGCTAAGACGTTTCCAAACGCTCGCTGACGATCTGACATCTGCATTGTTGAGATAAGCAAACAACGACTTTCAGTTTAATACTTAAGCAAAGACTTCAAGACTCCATATGATATGCAAATTAATTATACACGCGATATTCATCTTGCATTGACTTTCATTCTCGCCTATTTCCTGATGAACAAAGCTCTCAGGTTTTTTAATACTTTTTCTCGTCATTCATCGTAAAGTCCGTTTTATGCTTCGATTTTTAGAACGCGAATTTCTTCTTTTGGTGGACGCGAATGAGCGAATAAGTTATGATTTGTCAAATGAGCAGAGGTCACTTGTAGCTACATCAGGGGCCGGTTGTATGAAAGCCGGATAGCGCTTTTCTCAATCGCTTTAAAATCGCCCGTTGTTTGGTATAACTTTGATTAAATCTTAGTATTCCTAAATCGAGTATTCTCTTTAATAATTGTTGGTTCCAAAAATGAAATTTTATCGCTTTTCGAGCATTTTTAGAGCGCTTGAAAAATCACTATCCGGTGGATAGCGCTATCCGGCTTTCATACAACCGGCCCCAGAGCATTCATAACTAATCGTTCGTTTAATCTCTCAAAAGAAAGAAATCGCACTGAAAATCGATCGCAGCAAAAATTGCAGGCGGTGAATGTAAAACGAGAGAGACTAAATATACAATTTTATTCGGTTTGGTAATAAATACCGAATTCAGTACGTACCTTTATTGCAAAAACGTCGAGGAACGGGGGGCTACCCAGTAAGATTCGTGCGCACGGGTCCACAATGGCACATTTGTCAGTATAACTTGTCACAACCTTTCCATTACAATCCTGTCGCGGCGTGTCCCCCGGCGGATGATGGCAATGCCGCTGTATTATCATATGAGGCGTCCCATCATCGTATTTGAAAGGTCGTTTCTCCTCCTCCGGATCGAGTTTGTATAAATCTCTTCTGAACATACACACGTCAATGTCGTGGTCGTAAGGCACGCAATCGCCATTTCGCGTCTGGCCAAGCAAGCTTCCAAAACATATAAAATAATCCGTGATGTTCTGACGGGCGGCGATTCCCTCCCAAGCGGATAGCAGAGTTTTAAAACGACTCCTGTATGGATTCTCGGGACAGCCTTTTCCATAACTTGTGTAATTTTTTTTCTTGGGAGATTTAACGACAAGCCTTGAGTTACGGTTTAATACAATTTGAGCTGGTTGTACATATTTTTTCCTCGTGAACACATACATGAGAACTATTGTGCTTGTAGCCGCTAGAAGTAAACCAACGCGTGAATATAAACTGCTAGGGATTTTTCCCCTGATTTGCATCGCTGCGTTTGTTACCGAGTTATTTTAAAACTCCAGAAGGAACTGCTGGAATTTTGCGGATTCACAACAACACGATATGCCAGCCGTGTTGCCAGTTTGAAACCTGACACTTCGCTGCAATTTCGTGATGTCAGTCGACAAAATTAATCATTTCTCGACTATTTCTAAAACCTCAAAATCAGAAAACCATTTTCGGTAGTCACTACGGTTCAGGCTGTATAAGATTCTGTTATTTGCTCGATAAACAAAATTTTCACTTACTTCTGGAGTATATCAGTTTACATTCATTGAAGTTGAAAGACGTGACACTCACTTCACTTGAGAGCATGACGACCTTACATATTTACATTCAGTTATGACTTATGTAAATTCAAAACACAAAGTTCGTTATTGGTTAGATGAATATTATTGCATGGCAAATTAAACGATGTAATTATCTATGGCAATGGCTATCCATGCAACTATTGTTCGCAGTGTCTTGTTCTTTATCAGTTACTGAATTTTCTATCAGGTTTGCTTGTTATGTTCTCGTTATCTATCCACATGCCTCCTTTCAGACAATAGTAACATGCGAGCAAACGACAGGGTAAATTATCATTTCTTTTCATTAAAAGGAGTAGTAGGTCTTTTACCTTTGGCAGAAAAAATGTAGCCTATTTCTGATACTGAAAGTTATTTATGAATCTATGGCCTCTTGCTCGTCTTTTGTTATAAAATGGGCGTAAAAAAAACAGGCCAACTGAGACAATGATTTTAAATTTTTAATTACGAGATCTTGGCGTGGATGCTTGAAAGCTTGTATTTGTCTCTGAATTCGAAACATATTTAAGGCGTTATTTAAGGCATAATGGTTGGCAAATGAACAAAAAGGCCGATATTATGAAAATTCAATATCATACAGGTAGACAATGATTGGAGACATGTCAATTTTTTTTGACAGAAATTCAAGTGACGATTGACGAAGCATCAAAGACGGCGGGCAAAATTTTTAAGGTTTTAACAGCCGTGTTAAATTTTAAACTTTATTTAAAAAATGAATAAAAGTAGAGGATTAGAACTTTTCGAGTGAAACTGGCGCATATAGAAGTGGAAATATCTGGTTAAACATAGTCCTTCTTTTTATCGTTCATATACATTTTATACCCTGCCTCTCGTCAAATTTCTGAACAAAAGAGCAAATAAACGCTCATTTACCATTATGAGTTACCATTTCGCAACGAACTGAGAAACAGCAAAGTTTAATTGCCAACTAGGTGAAAAATCTTTCCTTCTGTGAAAGGAAACATATCAAGGCTGTCATGACAATCGCCACCTGTTTGTGTCAAGATGTGTCAATGCAAGTTGTTACTGGAATAAGAGAGACATTTCAAACAATTAATGGCAATGATATGCCTGGACGAGAAAGCGACCTGGTTTTTTTCATCTGGGGTAAACAGGTAGTCACACAAGAAAAGACATGCAGTGTTTGTCTGCAGAAGTGTTTTGGCTACCGAACTTTCAAAGTGGAACTCCAATATAATTTAAACGAATCGGTATTAAATTTTTTCTCTGAACACGCATTCTGCTATCTTTTGACAACTTATCATGCACATCTGACAGTTGATGATGTTTGTGATGAGTCTATTCGTGTTTAGTGAATTATGCAGCAATTGGACTTATTGGAGAACGAAGGAACTGAAACATACTATTTAAGTCCAAATTGGGAACATTGGGAAAATACAGATCAACGAGGGCCAAGCAAGGATAATGTAGGTATAGGAGTGGATTAAGTCACTATCAGCTAGATTCGGGGCGGCAAGATTAATCTAGGTTCACGTTAGATCAAATCGAAATGAGCCGGTTTGAAGGATCAAATCTGGTTCAGGATCAATTGAGAATTAAGCCATGGAGGAAGCCATGATGATATAGGATCTAATTAGGATAAAATGGGATTAGGGCAGGTTGATTAGGGATCTCGTGATCATAACTTTTGTTTCGATCTATCCAAATTTAATGGGCTTAAACCCAGCATCATTTTATCATAACTACACAACAATTGTATTTTATAATATTTTAAGTTAAGATAACTCGACAAACTTTCGAAACTGACTGTATAACATTTCCAAAATTTTCAAAGCTACTGAAGAATTATTAGATAAGGGAACATTCAATGTTTTAGCAATAAATAATGAATTCAATTTAACAAAATTTACGTTATTTTTATAACAAACTGTGTTCCTCAGCTGAATGTCGTAAGTTCCCAGCGCAGATCACCAGTCCACGGAGCGCGAGTTAATGTAGTAAAACTTTATGTAAAATCTGATTTGGGTAATGTGATCTAACTAGTAATTGTAATATGATATAGGGATATACCAAATAATGACCCATTGTATATATAGCAAAATGAAATGTAATCTATCAATAATAAATCAGAATCAGTGTGACCAGATTTGGTAAATTAATTTACTTTTGGTAAAATTTGGCATTTTTTGGGAAAGTTTTGGTAAAATAAAATTTTGGTAAAATTTTTGGTAAAATTTGGAAAAAATCAAGTAATTTGGTAATTTTTTTGGTAAAAACAAAAAACATTGAATAAAAGATGTTGTACTTTATTATCTTGGCGAATTTGGTGACTGCCACTGAATGACAAATGACATTGGCTGGGACGTAATAATCTGTCTACATGAAGTATTTAACGGTTTGCTGTGTCCGGTACCGGGCAACCGGATTGAGGGCCTGACTCGCTCGTCTCGCTGTCGACGCTGTGTTTTTTTAAATATGCTTTGAGTTTGAGTTTTGACTCAACACTTTTTAAATCAAGTTTGTTTAAGTTTAAAATGGCTCATTCTGCTGGCAACAACACGATAAAGAAAAAAAGAACAGAAGGACCAAAGTATACACAAAAATATCGCTCTGAGTGGGAATTGAAACCAGAATTTTCGAAGTGGCTAAGTGGTAAGCAATTCATCGCAAAATTTTGCTTTTTGCAAAATATGTCGTTGTGAACTGCAAGCTCGTTTGGTAACTATTCGTTTGCATGGAAAGAGTGCCAAACATACTTCCTTAATGAGTAGTATGTCAGGAAGCTCTCAGGTATGTAATGTACAGCATGTGAATACTACTAAAAAAGTATTGGCAATGTCAGAATTTTCATGTTTTAGAGTATCACTAAAGCTGCAGTTACATGTTTTTGTTTTATTTACATGTAAATAGTTATCCAAATTCTTCGTATCGGATAGCAAACTGACCATAGAAACTAAGAAGGCCGAGTTAAAATTCTGTGCTTTTATGGCGGAGCACAACATTCCATTTCGTGCAATGGATCATCTTTCGAAACTGATCTCGGGAACTTTCTACGACTCTGCAATCGCCAAAGGATTCTCGTGCAAACGAACAAAAGCAGCCGCATTGACGTATATGTTCTGGCGAAGTCATTTAAGACTGAGCTGCGAGAGCAAATCAAGGCAACCGGGGAATTTGGTAGAAAGTTTGTCTCCCTGATTATTGACGAATCGACTGATAAGGGAACAACAAAGTGTATGTCAATTGTCGTAAAATTCTTTAGCGAGAAGCTACTGAGGGTAGATACTAGATTACTGAATTTAGTACGTGTTGACGGTGAAAAAGCTGAGGAACTTTTTGACACAATGGAGAAGGACCTACAAAAACATGATATTGAGGTCAAGGATCTCGTTGGATTTGCTGCTGACACAACAAATGTCATTTTTGGCAGCAATAACAGCATTGTTTCTCGTATCATGGCAGCCAATCCTCATTGCCTGGCGATTAAATGTGCTTGCCATTCTGTTGCTCTTGCTGTCAGCCACGCATGTTCTCTGTTGCCCCGACACTTAGAGCAAGTCGTCAAGGAATGCTACAACTACTTTGCTTATTCAAGTAAGCGATCTCTAGAGTTTAAAGAATTTCAAGATTTCACGGACTCAAGCCCACACCGAATGCTTAGATTCTACGATGTCAGATGGCTATCACTGGGCAGCTGTGTAGAAAGAATTTTCAGTCAATGGCAGGCCCTAAAGCTGTTTTTTGAAAGCCAGTATCTTGTTGATCGCCTACAAGCGTCTCATTTCCTCTACGAACAACTGTCGAATCCTTACACAAAATTGTATTTCGCATTTCTAACTTACGTTATTCCGCTAGTTAACAAACTAAACGTTATTTCCAGGCAAAGTCGCCATCAGTCCATAACTTTCATGCGCATTGTGTTTCAGCCTACAAGGCTTTATTAAGCTGCTTTGTAAAGCCTACCATTGTCCGAAGCCAAGCCACTGTGGCCGATCCTGCTGATCCGGCTAACCATGTACCTTTGACGGAGCTGTATCTTGGAGTTGAAGTTGCAAAGATGTTGGCGAATAACGAATACAAGACACTGGATAAAGAAGCTTTAAAGGAATATTTTAGGAGGTGCAAGTGTTTTTACACAGAGCTTTGTTGCCAATTGAAGAACCGATTGCCATTGAATAACGTAGTTGTGAAACAACTGGCATTCCTGGATCCCCAGGTTGCAACGTCAAGTTCCATTCAAAGTATTGTCGGCATTGCTTCCAGATTTCCCAATGTTGTTCGTCAAGAGAATCTGCAAAGTCTCGACCAAGAGTGGAGGGAATTTATGTACGACGAGGAAATCTCAACCTTGGCCGATCGTTGCTCTGCGCTACCGACGGAAGAATTCTGGGAAAAGTTCCAACCGACAAGTACCCGAATTTAGCAGCATTCGCAAAGGCTATGTTAACTATACCAGTTAGCAATGCAGACTGTGAACGTACCTTTTCCCAGGTTAACCTAATCAAAACTAAGCAACGAAATAGATTCTCAACGGAAGGTGTTGCTTCAATTCTTTTTGTCAAAGACGGCGTAAAGAACGTTGCTGAATCGTGTACTACTTTTCAACCATCTGACGAAATGCTGGCATTATTTAATGAGGACATTTACCACAACGTTAGAGCTGTGTATGGAGGTCAAGAAGAGACTGAAGAAGAGTCGGCGAACGCAGCAGACGCTGGCGAGGACGATTTGGAAACAATTGACGCTATGGAGATTGAATTAATGGATTCAAATGAATGAAATGATTTGAATTGAATTGAATGATATATTAGCCATAAATAGCCTAACACGTATCATTGTGACATATCACAATAATCACATGGAAACAGCGTTTTAGTTTGACAGTTTTTATATTCCTTTTAATATAAATCTTGTTTGAAATTGCTTGTTTGTATACTTGTTTATAGTAAGGCAATAAAGAGTACTTATAGGAAAAGTGTCTGAACTTATGTGTTATACACTGTCGCCATGAAAATCAATTAAGGCAAAAAAAGAGTGTAGCGGGGGACGACATTGTTATGGCAATGTATGTACGCAGAAATTAAAAAAGCGGAATTTGCCGTATTTGGTAAAAAAAAATCCGATTTGGTAAAATTTCAGCACCGTTTTTGGTAATAACCGCTGACAAAACCTGGTCACACTGATCAGAATATACAGTCCCTTCGAGTGTGAACGTTTGATGAACCAGAAAGGCAGAATAAACGAAAGATTCTGCAACACAGTGGTTCTTCGAACCGGATTGTATGCTGGATAGTTAAAGCGGATTGTGGAAACGTTAGTTAGACTCGCACGGCAGTCGCCGCACAAAAGAAAATTGTCACAAAGGTCAGACGACCTAGATCGAACACATGGATGACCTAGCTAAGAAAAGACGCGTACGAGGTGGGCAAAGGTCGTCTACGAAGAAGCTTGTGGCAAAGATAGTCGAAGCGATCGCTAAGTTAAGCGATGAGAGTCCAGAGAAAGACGTCGTGTGGCTGAAGCAGAGTCAAAGCTCCTTGAAGGAAAAGGTCAAAATTTTAAGAGAACTTGACACGAAAATCATCGATGCCCTGAGCGAGTCGAAAGAAGAAGCGGCGGATGAATTGATGGCAAAGGAGATAGAAGAAGCAGACGAAGTAATCGCAGAACTTGAACGCCTTTTACTTGAAATGGACAACGCGTTCGGTAAATTAGAATTGACAACGACAAAAACCGTGGCGATCAATGACAATGAGATTCTGAACGAAAGCCAAACATCGGTTGAAAGCACGGGCAAAATCATAAGAGCAAAGTTACCAAAGTTACGGTTGAAAAACTTTGGGGGGAAAATTTGCGAATGGCCAGAGTTCTGGGACAGTTTTTCGAGTTCGATCGATAACAATGATCAATTGTCGGACGTAGACAAATTTGCATATCTACGCGGATACCTTGAAGGGCCGGCAAAATCGACCATCGCTGGTCTGTCATTAACAGCAAGGAATTATCAGTGCGCGGTGGATCTGCTTAAGAAACGATTCGAGAAAAGAAGTGCAATTCAACGCACACATATAAATGACCTTATTCAACTGCCTGCGGTTTTTAGAGAAAGGGACACTCAAAGGCTGCGGAAGTTATATGACAGCTGCGAAGCGCACAACCGCGCGTTGAAATCCTTAGGCGTGGGAGAAGAATCGTATTCCACTATTGTTGTACCGGCCATATTGGAGAAGATGCCTGAACAATTTCGGCTTATGATCACCCGAGGAACTGATTTCATTGAGTGGACGATGCAAGAAATGTTGGATGCGTTTGAGAAGGAGTTAGAACTGCGAGAGGCGCACGAAGCGGTGGCGACTAAAACGGAACGGGAGTATGAAAGAAATCAAAGCAGGAAACCAACTGGGGGTCTAGATAACTCGACAGCGGCGGCGTTGCTGGCTGGTCAAGAGAAAAAGAGTTGTGCATTCTGTTTAAAGAACCACGCGCACGAGGAATGTGATGGAGTCAAGGATCCAAAAACACGTAAGACCCTAGCTTTAAAGTATGGTAGATGTTTTCAATGTTTAATTAAGGGCCATAGAGCCAGTAATTGTAGTTCGAAAATTAAGTGTCGAAAATGCGACCGAATGCATCATGTCGCCCTATGTGATGCGTCTCCAAAAGACGAAGAGACCTGTAAGAATGAAGAAATCCCATCAACTAAGGTTAACAATAATGTAGCTAGCCCATGTAATAACTTGCTTGCCGGGACAGGTGGTCTGGTTGCCTTGCAAACTGCGCGCGGGGTATTAAGGGGTGAGAGGGTGGCTAAGGTCCGGGTACTCTTTGATGGGGGAAGTCATCGCTCTTTCGTTACATCGCATGCAGCGAGTCTTGTTAATCCACGGGGTTTAAGAAGGGAATTTCTAGGCATTAATACGTTCGGTCAAAAGTGCACGAAGGCTGAACAAAGGGAAGTGGTCGAGCTTAAACTTCAGCCTGTTAATGGGGATAAGATTATCTCAATAGAAGCATATGTGGTACCAGAAATTTGCACTGTGCAGAATAGTCACGTAGAATTAGCTAGAAAGAATTATTCGCATCTAGAGGGGGTATGGTTCTCAGATGTGGTGAATTTTCAGGAAGAATTAGAGGTAGACGTTTTGATAGGGGCAGACTATCTTTGGAATTTCCAAACAGGTGAGACAAAGAAAGGTAAGACAGGGGAGCCCGTAGCTATACAAACTGAGTTGGGATGGGTGTTGTCAGGACCTCTTAAGGGAAGAGAGATAGAAGGTGCTGGAGTGACTCAGGTGAACTTTGTGGGGCAGACAACGAAATGGGACAGAGATAGCTTAGAAAGTAATGTGGAAAAACTTTGGAGTTTTGAAGGATTGGGTATAATTGAAGAGGACACAGTTCATGAAACATTTCTTGATGGAATATCATTCACAGGTAATCGATACTCAGTAAAACTGCCCTGGAAGGAGGAACATGACAATCTTCCAGACAATTACATGAATAGTCTTGCTAGAATGAAAAGCCAGTTGAAACGACTGGAAAAGGAGCCAGAATTGTTGAAAGAGTACGATCGGATAATAAGAGATCAGGCAGAGCAGGGAATCATAGAGCAGGTACCAAGTCTTGAGAAGGCAGGCAAAGTTCATTATCTACCTCACCAAGCAGTAATTCGCAAAGATGCAGTGACAACTAAGGTACGCATAGTATATGACGCGTCCTCGAAAGGAATAAAATCTAAAACATCGCTTAACGACTGTTTGCATGTTGGACCATCGCTCAATCCATTGCTTTACAGTATATTGTTACGTTTCAGAGAAAATAGAGTAGCATTAGTAGCAGACATCGAAAAGGCATTTTTACATGTAGAGGTAGACAAGGAAGACCGAGACTCTCTGAGGTTTTTATGCTGTTTGAGAAGATTTGCAGCTAGGAGAGGGGCACCCAGTCTTATAGTTTCCGATAACGCTAAAACGTTCAAGGCAGCAGAGAAAGCATTGAGGAAGATTTGTAATGAGCCGAAAGTCAAATCGGAATTAGGAGCCAAACGAATAACACGGAGATTCAACTTAGAGAGAGCACGTTGGTGGGGAGGCTTCTTTGAACGGATGGTGCGCAGTGTGAAAAGGTGTCTTAGAAAGGTGTTAGGGAATGCAAAGTTAAACCTTGATGAGCTGAGCACAGTGTTAGTTGAAGTTGAAGGCACATTGAATGCGAGACCACTAACAGAAGTATTTGAAGAGCTGGAAGGAGAAGTGTTAACTCCTTCACATTTGATATATGGTAGAGCAATACATTTAATTCCACAGAATGAGGTAGTCATAGGAGCGAGTAGCTGTGGGGAGAGATTTAAATATGTAACGTTAAAGTTGCAGCACTTTTGGAAAAGATGGAAGGGCGAATATTTAACGGGACTTAGAGAGTTTCACAAGTGCACAAACGGAGGAAAGTTAAGGAAGGTCCAGAAAGGAGATGTAGTGACGGTGTTCGGAGAAGGCGAGAAAAGATGTACCTGGAAGTTAGCAGTAGTAGAAGAGTTAATTGTAGGGAAGGATAAGGAAGTTAGAGGAGCAAAGGTTAGGCTTGCAGGTAAAGGAAAACCACGCTTCTTAAACAGACCAATTGAGAAGCTTTTCCCATTGGAAGTTCAATCTCGACCGGGTGGGGAAAGGGAGGAAAGGGATATCCCTACAGCTAAGCCAGAGGGAGACCAGCATGAACGAACAAGACGAGCGGCAGCCATAATTTCAAAAGCGAAAACAAAGGCGATGCTTGATTCATAGACGTGTATGAATCAAGGTGGGTGGGATGTCGTAAGTTCCCAGCGCAGATCACCAGTCCACGGAGCGCGAGTTAATATGTAGTAAAACTTTATGTAAAATATCTGATTTGGGTAATGTGATCTAACTAGTAATTGTAATATGATATAGGGATATACCAAATAATGACCCATTGTATATATAGCAAAATGAAATGTAATCTATCAATAATAAATCAGAATATACAGTCCCTTCGAGTGTGAACGTTTGATGAACCAGAAAGGCAGAATAAACGAAAGATTCTGCAACACTGAATCAATTTATATATAATGAAATCAGTACAAAATTTAACAAATTAATAAATTAGCCGAAAAACTTGTGAACGATGAATGCGCCTCTCTCCCATTTTGTCTCAAAAAGTTGATTTTAATAACGAACCTTTCACTACAGAACTGCACACGTATTTAAAGTGTAAGACTTTCGTTAAAAAATAGATACACCGTTGTTATAGACAGCAATATTTAACGTAACTATAACACTAAAAAGATGTTTTATCTCAGAAAACAATGCATCATTATTACGATTTTCAGAGTCAGAAAAGATGGTTGCCAAATGCATCATCGTCAAACGTGTCAAATATTTAAAAAAGCTTTTAATTTTCGTGCGCTGTTTGTTAGCGAATTGATTCGTTTATTAAATTAAACACGGTCAAGGACAACTGTATTAAATCGATGTTCGTGTATAAACTCGAGAATATAAACTAACAGAAATTTGAGATCTCATTGTTCGGTATGTCTGCATGAGGCTGTGTAACAAGATTTGCTTCAGAACGGAGTTGATAACCTGCATGGATAAAATCTTCAGTCGTCCCCAGTATGTAGGGTGAGCAATGTTTGTGCCGCGTCCATGGACCGGGGGTGACCGCTGTCATTGGTGGACGCAACCTCCATTGATTGTAGCAAACCGTCGCTGGCAAATGGTTGGAACTGAGTGGCCTGGGCAAGGCTGATCGCATAGCCTGGTAACCTGTAATTGTAGTACACTGGTTGCGTCTGGATGTGATTTAGCGATAGGATATCGGGATCGGCTAGGAAGTTGGTTGCCATGGAGACCGATGGCGATCGAGGCTGGAGGAAATTTGAAGTTGGCTGCAGTTGAAGTGGATTGATGTGGGGAAAGCGGATCGGACTAACCGGGGTCCAGTGGTCTATGGCCGCACACTTTACCCTGTCGTCCATGAATTGCTCCATATTTAGATCAGAAGAAGCTGATCTCCAAGGGTCCTCTTGATTTGCATCATCACCAAATTCACCGTTTTCTAGGTACACTTCGCGGGGATAATGGTAAAAGAAAACGTAGATAGATTTGATTAGCTCAAAGCTTTGAACTAAAACTTGTTTTCCAGGCAGTTTACGCAAAGGAAATGTATTGTTTTGTCATTTGTCAACTGAATTTGTTCTAGTAGAGGTAGTTGCATAGAGCGCACACGACTGTCTATGACTATGGTTGCATTTGAAAAGCTGCGAAACCAAAGCAGAAACTCGCTTAGCGCGAGAGATATAGCATTTGCAAAACGCAAAATGGTCTGCAACTCTATTTAGATATTTTCTAAAAACGAATACGGCTATGATACTTGGCATGCGTCTGCCTGTTTTTATTACGAAACGTCTGAGGTTTGAGAGCAGCGATAAAAACCGATAATGCAATATACTAATAGATTTGATTAGTTTCTGCTTTGAGAGATCAATATGCTTTGATCTTTGGATATTTTTTAAGCGGGTGGCAACCGCCCTTTTAAAACAACTCGATCCTGGAATTTGTATAACCGTGCTACTATAAAGGTCTAGCAAAAGAATTTGCAAAGTTTGCATTTTCTTATGCTTACGTAAGTGAAAAAGTTTATTTTTTTTAATGCCGGTTTTTATCGGAAGAACTTTTTACACATTCCAAAAAGACAAACGTTTCTTAGGATGAAGTAAATATCTACATTTTTCCTTATTTTTTGGAAGAAATTGTGTGCTTGAATACGAGGAAAGTGGCAATATGTATATAAAGTGTTGCTGTTTTTCTTTGTCAAAAATTAAAATCTATATTCATGTCGCAAGCTAACAGTTCACATTGGTTTACAACGAACAAGGTAAGTTCGGGAGCAAAACATGTCGATTGTACAAAACCAACAAAGCGGCACTTCAAAAAAACTTACAAAGCTTATTATCAGGAGATGTCGGCGGAGATTCAACTTTGGAAACAAAAGTTGGTCGACTTTTTCCACTCTTGCGAGGCCGTCTTTGCTTCATGAGACCGTGATTTTTTTCCTGCAAACGTTTCAACTTGACTTGCTTTGCCATAATCTGTCTCTTGTTGTTCACAAGCTCACAATGAACGCACTTGCAATCTTTAAACGGACAAATTTTCTTGTGGCCTTTGAGCAAAGCTATTTTGCCGTGAGCCGTGCATTGAGCGCAGTGCTGCGCTGTTCTTGTTGGGATTTCGATCGGCGCTAATCGTCCTTCTTCATCCATAGCTCGAGAGAAGAAAAATACAACTCTAAAACCTCTCAAATTAACCGTCTTGTTGCGTTTACCGACTGTATAAAAAACTCGATGTCTCCTGTCTGTCTGACTGTCGAAATGGCTTTCGACGGAACGAGCGACCTTGACCTTCGGACTGCTATGCACGAGTATAAATCTGCAAAAAAGTTAGGAATTTATGATCGCTGTAAATTTGCTGAAAAAACAGCGTTGAAAGCTATATAACTTACCTAAAAATGATCGAATTTCAAAGCACGCTCAAATGTTTAACAGAAAATATCGACTTGAAATGGTCTAATATTTCGAAAAAACGCGTTTTTCCCGAACCTGACTCACTGACGGGCAATTACATGAACGTTGACATTGACTTTGAAAATGTTACAAACTTTATGTTGTAAATGTCATATACATTTTGCATCTCTTGGCAGGGTAACCGCAATGAAAAATGGTTATGAATAACATATCCTTACCAAGAAAGTGCATTTTAGATTTAGTACAAGTATTAACAGACACAAAAACAAAGATTCCGAATGTTTTGCTAGCCAGACTCATGGGCGCCTCGGAACTCTTGTCAATATCTACCCAAAAATACAAACGTTCAAAAATCTATAAAATAACTTTTTTGGAAATTGTTACTGAACACAGTTTGTATTTACCGTTCGAAGTGCACTTTAATATTAACGTGGTGCTTGATATCATCAAGTTCCGTTTTTTATTTCATATTTTTTCCTCAGTTTTTGGCTTCTGTTCTTTTACTAATTAACTCAACATCGAACATGACCTTGGAATCGAACTTGGCTAGCTACAAGACGGCGCAGCTGCAGTAGAGAAACCCATTCTACCACCCCCCCCCCCGAATGTTGAGACCCAAGTTCAGTGAAGATTGGGGGAAAGCATGTGACTGATGTTAGTAGGGGCGGGGGAGAGGCGTTCCCGGAGAAAATCGACAGGAAAAATAAGTTTAAACAATTATAAATATAAAAACCTTTCAAACTAAACATTGATGAATCTGCATCGTCAAAATCTGATCCGAATCAACCCACGCGTTGATCTATTTCTTATCAAAACGTCTTATCTCGTATTACTATATACCATTGACACCATTCTCGATAATTTAGCTTACACGACTTTAATTAATCCATATTCGTTAGCCTTTGTTTTCACTATTTATACATTCAATGAATTCTGTGGATGGCAAGAAATGCAAGCGCTCGCCAAGTACTGGCTTTTAGCGCTGAACAATGATTCATTAAGGCTAATAGATTGAGCAAATGTTTGTTAAACCCCTAAACACAGGACCATAGTTTTAAACTCAGTGTGACATCGTGTTAATACTTTCAATAAAGCAAACGATAACCAAAGCTTTTGAAAACTATATGCCACCCGCTTACACGTGTTAAAAGTACGCCCCCATGTCCCCGACTGTGTTTAATATAAGGGGAATCGTTTTTTATATCAATAGCCAACTTATCATTTTTAGCAGGAAAAAAAGCCATCCGAGAGTCAGAAAATGCTCGAATACCGCCGAGTCAAAAAGAATGGGTAAAAAAAACTAAAATGAGCCTCAAGGGGTTTATTTATTAGTATTGATTGGGAGAAATAGCAAAATACAGTACAAACTATTTCATGCCACATTACGTAATATTGCGTGCATGAATGTTAAATCCAAATAGAGAGTTTGTTATCCTTTTTTACAGTACTATACATGAGGCACAGATGAAATATGAATCATGGTGCTTTGTGAGAAATTTAAAAAATACAATTTTACTGCCACACGTGCATGGGTACAGTGTAAAAAAGGAGTTCCAAGTTCGACACCCAAATGCGGGTCATGGGCAAAAATATTAGACGTACTTTGCTAAACGTTGTTCCCTCCCAGTTACATGATTCTAAAATAGCTTTTAATAGTTGTCATTCTGTTTGGGTGCCTCAAATATATCACCACATGAGCTGTCAAAAAAATAATGAGAATTTTTGACAAATCAATTTTAATCGAAGCTATTGAGGCGTCATGTGATTAAAAGGAACTCGTCCAACTTCACCCATTTAGAATACAGAATTGCCCAGAATATAATACACAATGGTAAGATATTAGACTCGCTAGAATACTGGTCACTGTGATTTTGTTGTGTTTCGCGTTGTGTTTTGCGTTATTCCTTACAAGTTCGTATACTATAGGATTCATATACAGGATAGTTGATAAACACAATACTACAATAAGTATGTTTCATTAATAAGTGTGTTTCATTCTAAACAGCTTTAATGTGACCAATACAGGGTATGCTGCTAGCTAGATAAAGACTGGTTTTCATATGACATAATTAATCATAATTCGTCGTAATTTCTTGCAATTCGGTTTTCATATATCAGATTTCGTATAACAACGAATTACAACTACCACGACATGCTTTTTATTTCAAATGGAAAGCAGCATAATTATGCTAATTTATTTCAATATAAAGATTTCGATGTGTCACAGGGCAAGTACACTAACGGCGTTTTCAGTCAACAGCGATGGAAAACTTGCACAGTTTCCTCCCACCAAAATCTCAGATGCACTTCAAGACTGTATGTTATCGATTGTGCATGTATTTGCAAGGCAAGACTCGGGAACTTAGACTTCAATTGATTGGAAAGGAACAGCTATATAATCACTAGTCCCTCAGCAAGGAACTGCTAGTCTAGTTCCTCGTGAAGCCTCCTAGTGAACCACAAGCCATGTCACTGCCCGGTAGGCTTACGGTTTAATTGACAGGAAACAGCGAATGTTGTCCCTTCAAACAGCTTCCCCCATCAAATCATCACAAGTCTTGGTGCTTTGTTTATATGACAACATAATAGTGATATAATGACGATAACTTATGTACTGTGCATTTCAAGCCAGGCCTGGTATAAACCTAGGGTGTATTTGATTGCAAGGAACTGCGAAAACTGTTCCTCAAACAGCTTCCCTTATTTAGATCTCAGCAAATTATCACAAGGCCTGGTGATTTGTTTACAGAACAACATAATGACCGCGTAATGACTGAAACACTTCGACTGTGTGCTCCTAGGCAGGCCTCTATGGTATGTTCTGGGCGCTTTTTACTCGAGACTACATCAAATACATTCCTTATACGGCTTTGGTACAAATATCGAGGGACAAAACAACATTTCGCTATGAACCTTATGTCTGTTTAAAATATGTTCAACTTCGGTGGAATGAATATGCGCCCACTACGATGAGGGAGGTATTTTACTTAACGCAGTTCGTACTGCTTTTTCACAGCAGTTGTTTTGTGATGGTTCGTAGTGGGTTGCCATTAAGAACGCTAACATCACATTCATGCTGTTAAACTGTTCATAATGTTTAGCAAACACCCAGAAACCACTCTCATTGCAGTATTGCGTTACGTTTTTTCTCAGCAGTAACAAAACCGAAGCATATTCCGCGAATAAAGACGTTACCTTCGGCTACAAAGTTGTGCAGTGCCGTAAAAATGCTTACTTCGAAAGCTAGGGTCGTTTCCACGCTGATGTGTAAGGCGAGACTTCAAAACGCAATTCAAAGAAACTCAAGCTCGATGCAAGCGCTTTTGGACCAGACAGCGAAGAGGAGACAGCTCCCTCGAGAAATCACGCTTCAAGTTCTGGATGAAAGACACAACTTGGATCAAATTCGGAATCTTCTCGCTCGCGCCTTCGTTGTGAACAACGAACCGATAGTGAATGTCCTCGGGGAAATGTTCTACCCGGCTCTTTCGTCGAACGCCAGAGCACCTCTTATCGAGGAACGATTCAAAAGCCTCTTCTCCCAGGAATCCTTGTCCAAGAAGGTGGAGCAGGGCTTGAGTTTTGTCGCCGTGAAAGACGACGACCCGGCGAAGCTGGTGAGCGTTATGTTTGCAGAGAAATATGTCGAAGGTGTCTATAAAGGAGAGTGTATGAACGGTGATCCGCTGTGCCAAATTGGTCTCAATCTAATGAGAACGGTTCACGAGAAAGCGGAACCCGTTGTACAGAAGTACTCGGCAACCCGCAGTATCGTGTTCATCTCGCATACAGCAACGCATCCCAAGTATCGATCGCTCGGAATCGTTGAGAACCTTTCAGACACGCTCTGTGCCAGCCAACTGCACCATCATCCAGCCCTTTACTGCTTGATGACTTCCCAAAGATTAACGAATTTCGTTGTGCAGCGATATGGTATGGAGATTATAGCCGAGGTGTTCTACAAAGATTATCGCGACGATGCACTGCCCGTTTTCGCGAAGCTTGCAGAAGAAGAAGTGTCCGCAAAGGCACTGATTTTGTTGCTTTAAATCAACTAATTTGTGAGTCAACGTAACGCGTTACTTTTAATGTAGCCTAAAAGGTCTCGAGTGAGTTTTTCCACAAAACAAACGCTTTTTGGCCGAAGATATTATTTAAGAAACAACTTAGCGTAACCATATTATAAACCATATATAGATTGTACTGAAGTCGTATCGTAGGACAATGCATGCACTTTTGTATAAAATTGTACGGAAATATTAAGTTTGAAATAGGTTGTAGTAATAATTCATAAAGCATGTTAAAATTCAGATAGAAATGAGGGTATAAACTGTGGCAGACCACGATAATGTTAGCACCATTTCACTTCGAAATGTGAAGTGAGAAAAAATAAGGTATTTATTGCAATATATATGTATAGCTACTTACTTTTTAGTTTTGTACAAATAAAAGTTGAGCGATGCACGTATATAATTATAGGCTTCAAACCGAGAGATTTTTTGTGTTATGCATCCAGGTGATCTGATATGGCGGGAAAGGACTAGGACTAGTTGTCATATAGAAATCCATTTCTTCGTTAAAACAACTTAATATCTCATGGAATATACTTTATTTCGGTTTCAAATTTATATCAGAGCTATAGCTCTTATAACTAAACATGAACACAAAATTTCGAATGGTTCCATCAAGAATAACAAAAGATATAATCGATTAAACACTGCAGAATAGATTTCTATTTTTACAAACGTTCTGAGCGCTGATTGGCTGAAATATGAGCGCGAGATCACCTGGATTATTGGAAACAATGGATAATCGGTTAAGAGTGGGGAATTTGGTTGCTTAATTTGCTTTTCTATAGTACGACATCGCCTTCAAACGGAAGCTGCGATGCTGTTTCATGATTATTTGGGGTTGGAAAAGACTGTTTGACATTGTGGAGAAATTCATGTTCATCCATGTTTGATGAAAGTTTGAGGGAAGTTTCCATGTTTGATGAAAGTATTTCAATTGCATTTAACACACCCATTGCGATGTAGATAAGCTGGCATCAGCACATACCAGCACGATAACTGGAACGTTGATACGGTCGAAAAACGTTCCACTATTTGATCCCACGAACTTTGGGAAGGAAACATTACCCCCGGCCCAGGTCAGTGATTGGAGCAGGTCGAGGCGAATCATTTATAAATATAATAAAAAATGGAAGAGATTTACATATCTTCCATCTGCTTCACGTCATCCAACGAGGCTGTGAGTTCATCAAGAACGTCCAAGCCCATCGCATCTTCGACCTCCCTAGCAGCTTCACAAATCACTGAAATAAACAAAGAGACGAGGTCTTAGCTATATCTCGACACTTCACAGGACAAATTGTATTGTTTACACTTACAAAAGCAAACTTAAAGCATACTTTCCCTCCACAAGTAAACTATATGAAGTCAATCGTATTAGCAAATTTCGCTGCACTGCATGCAAGCGCATTATCCATTGCCAATGTCAACTCGTAATGTGATATATTTTATCAGCCTTTGAGGGACATTGGAAAGAGTACCACGAGGCAACAATAGGGCCATTTTTACGAGGCAAAATAAGCCGCGACGAATTTTTCCTCGTATAAATGGTCCTAATGTATTCCTAAAGTCAAACAAACATAAATTTACAAACTATCGCATGGTCGTATCTTGTGGCATTTCTATAAATACAACAAACCCGCGCAGTATCATTCCGTTCGTGTTTGAGTTCACTGGACGTATCTTATACCCCTTGTAACATCAGGATGGGTGGTTTGGAGATATTTTCAATCCTAGCTCACCTTTGTCAAGATCTTCCATCGTCGTGGCGTCATTGAATACAGTCTCGATTGCTTCGGCGGCCAGCTGTACTTCCATTTCGTCGTTCTCTTTTCCTTTACGCAAAATTTCCGACATATCACCCACCCCAGTCGCCTTTCGAACGCTTTCGCCATCCACCACGTCTTTTGGATTTACCTGGAACCACGAAAAGAAGATCTCTGGTTCATTCTCAAGTGATTTCAACGACCAATTACACTTGTAGTTTTTACTGCGATTTTTGATGGATCCGAACGAGTCGATAAGTTAATGACGATCAGATAAGGGCACCATATACATCAGAGTAATCATAACTGTTTCCTCGTTTGCATCAATCAAAAGGCGAAAAAAGTAGAAAGTATTGTAAAGGGGCCTTTACAAGACTGTAGTATACACACAGGATTCGTGAACTCTGTAAATCCGTCTTTCTTGGTTTTTTTTTCCGCAATCTTACCTTCGATGTTAGATTTGTTAGTTCTTGAGTAACTTTTTCAGCTGTAACAAATGATAGAAATTTAGTAAGTCCAGTTCAATTTCGTAAGCAATTTCGGCCAAGGCCTGCTCCAAGTTTACTGTCATAATTATAACGAGCCTGTTCGCAGGTTACTAAGGCATTTCTTGGGGGGCTGTCATTATAAATACCGCACCTATCTGTTGCTCTTTTTCGGACGGCGTCAAAGCTGACTTTGGAGTGGCTCCATTCGAGTCTTTGCTAGCTTGACTCAGCCTCTCAGATTGCACTGCATCCAGCTCGTTTAGGAGGTCAGCTGTCTTGTCTAGATCGGTTTGAACTAGCCTGTGAAGATTTGAAAGATGAATATTTCAGCTGTTCTGAGACCTTAGGCTTCAAATTTCGAACGATGACAAAGCTTCAGTCAAGTTTACATTCAATTGCATCGTCAACTTACTGCGTTTCATCAAATTTGGCTGTTTCTACGTAACAGAATAAATGTTTAAAGGGTTGGAAATACGAAATAGCGAATGGATATATGACAAAACAATAGCTGGATACCTTTCGTTTTCAAAAACGACACATCAATGCCTTCTTTCTCCAACGACAAGAGTGCATCTAATTCGGAAGCTTAAGATGAAAACAGCACACAGTAATATTAGGATGTCGCTTTCATAAGAGTTTTGTTTCTCATATCACAAACCTGATAACTCTGTGGAAGTTTTCTTTTCATCTGCGGCCTGTAAAAAAACAGAAATCGAGAGTAAACTTAACGCGGTTATCAGACGCAATTATCAGAAGATTTTAAAGCGATATCCCTTGCATACCTCCTTTTCTTTCTTGATTTTTTTCCGTTCCTCTTCCTGTCTCAATTCCTCTTCTTTCTCCAGTCGCTGAAAAATATAATTATTATAAATTACATGATTTAACGTTCCTTTTACCCGGTTACTAGTTCATCCGAGTGTCGCTTGCGTTTACCTTTTGAAGTGTGTTCATGAGCTTGGAGTGGGCGCCATCAGTAAGAGCATCTAATAAATGATCAGCGTAATCTTTGGCGAAGAGATTATCCTTTACGAAAGCTTGAAGACTAGAAACGAAGTGGAAGCACGCGAGTCATCAAAATTCATGAAATTAATAAGTTGGAAACTCAGAACCATCATAGACAGAAGAACACCAAAAAATCCACAGAATATCGGTAAAACATTATTCTTTTTTCTTTGTCTTTTAAATTACGATGCCGGTACATAAACAGTGTATGTACAAAGAAAAGATTTACATTTTGCGTTTTGTGAACTTTTCAATGTCTGTGAAGGGTTTAAAATCTTCATTGGATCTAGTTAGATTTGGACAAATATTTTCGAAAGACAGCGGGATTCATTATGTAGCTACCTAAAGCGTGTACCGTGACGTACCTCTGTGCATAATAAGCACCTGTACTATCCCCATATGTACGGTAAAGTAGGTCTGAATCCTCCTTCGTGATGGTTGCCATGGATGAATCGAACGACGGCGAAAACGAGCTGAACGGCCCATACTTTAAGTAATTCACTTGAAATGAAGATGAATAAAAAATGAGCGACATTCGTTCAAGCAGAGCGGCCTAAATTTGTTTCGTGAAAAACGAGATTTTCAGTATATACAGTAGCAACATAAGACCTGGTGAGGCTTTATTTTTCTTGTCTTCTTGAAACAAAGTCGTTGAAAGCCCTCCAGTCGTCAGTTTTCCTGTAACCGCTCCAAGATTAACTGGAATCGACTGAGGTCCTATAAACATGGAACAACAGGGGATAATCTATGCTAATAAGGGGTATTATTATACGAAAATAAATCCCCATGGAGAAAATAACGCAAATCTCTTACTATCGTCTGAGCAAGGGTTTAGTATGGCCAGGGTTGTGTTTCCTTCTGAATCTTTACGAAGGAATCCAATCTGGAAAATAGAAAAAAATAATGTCAGTGACGCCTAGTTCTTCAATGATTTCATAGAAAGCGAAAAAATATAGTAGTGTTAGATCTCGTTCTAGACTTTCTAAGAAAAACTCAATATTTTCTCGGATCTATGTCGGATGTTTTCTCGGAACTATAGTTTGATTCGCTTTCAAGTATTTCGACAGCGGCTCAAAAGGCGCAAAGGAAAGTCTTTCAACAACTATTTCAACACAGAATCACTTACATCGCTGTTTGGATATTTCTTAATCAGTTTCATCGCCGCCTTTCTCGCAGCTTCTTCAGCTTTCGCCTGGATTCTTTGGCCAACTGTGCTGCGTTTCCTAGGAAAGTAAATATGATTGGATAAATGTGATTTTCTTCCCCTGGCGTATGATATTGAGTAAATTTAACAGGGTAGATTACTTCACTTCGCCAAGCTTGTACAAATGTGTATGTAATTCACTCAATAACATACGCTAGAACGAGAAACTCACTTTGCCTTGCTATCTTTCTTTCTTGGCGCGGGAAGTAATGGCGTCGACGAATTATCGACTGTATCCACGTCAATCAACTCATCTTCATATCTCTTACCCCCCGTATCTTCCGGGGGGGCCAGACCCATGGCGCGATATAAATTGCGGAATTTCTCCTGTGAAGAAAGTGAATACAAGCGATTGGTCAGTGAACTATATAACACAACTGGAACGATAGCTCTTGGTTCCAGGCAAATATTGGCATGTTTATCACTATATATCGCTCCAGTTGTATTAGAGCTCACAGTTTCGATCAATGGCGGGAAATTATATTTATAACTTTAATAACTCCTCTTTCCTGTCAATTCAGAAGCAATTCGACACATACCGTACTCATTAGTTTTGCCCCTATCTGCTGAAGTTTTTTTGCAGCCTTGAAGTAAATAGTTTCTGCCGTGTTGTAAATCATTGCATTGGTGCACATCAAGTTAAAATCATCCTAAGAACACAGCAAACGAAAATATACGACGATTCCAGCCTGCACGCACTGAATGTTATTATTTTTATTATTAAATTTTAACAAGATTAACAAAATCCAAAACCACAACTGGAAAATGATTTTAAAATGGGTAAAACTTCAAAGATTAGTGTTGCAAATGTTGTAAAATGTTGAAAATATAGCCCTGCAAAGTTCACCAACCTTCTTCCTGATATTTGTAATTCAGCGCGGGAAAAACTAATTCACGAACTTCGCAAAGTTATATTTTTCATTTTAAACATTTCGCAACCGAACTTTGTCGCTTTATCCATTCTAAGATGCCCTTTCTAGCTATCGTGTTAGATTTTGTTATTCTTAATGATGAAAATCACTATAAATTAAGGAAAAGAGTACCCTAAATTCTTCAAGAGATGTATATGCGTGCGTATCGATCTTGTATTTCATCGTGCTGAAATCCATCGGGTTCGTTATGATGCTTGAGTAACCTGGCGCTATCACATCGTTCACAGGGAAAGCAAAGAATCCATTGATATCTTTTCTAAAATAGATTATAAACACATACTTAATACAAAATTAATGTTAAACTGCAAGTGTTCCCCCAAATTTTGACTAGGAAAGAACTAAATAGCCTCGTTTTTTTTTCAAGTTCATAAGACATAACAGATCCAGGGGCCGGTTGTATCAAGCCCGTTTAGCTTAAACGGTGGATAAGTCAAAATTAAATAACACTCCTACAACTCTTTTGAATGAGTCAACTTGAATATTATGCACTGAATATGTAGTTGTAAACAGTATCTTTGTATTAACGTCAAAAACATTTAGTTCGCTTGTTGAATAAAACGGCAGACTTGCTTTCTGTTTTGAACTTAACCACCGTTTAAGCTAAACGGGCTTGATACAACCGACCCCAACAGGATTTGAAAGAAAATCCAATGATTTAGAATTTTTTTTGGTGTGGGAAATTCTGACTAGCGTTTTTGCGTGACTCGTAACTGGCCACTCACCTTTGTAATGTAAGATGAAGGTTTGTCAGGCATAATAAAACAGGTGATGGTTCTTTATCATGAAAATCTAAAGAAAGGTAGACATAGGCATTTAGCACAAGATGAATCTGTGGATAAAATTGACTTTTTTCATGGCAATTCAAAAACATAGTCCCATGGACAATACCTTGAGGTTTAGGTCTTTTAATCTCTTTAATCCTAAAACAAAGAAAATGAAAATATTTTTTATTGAGAGGCAGCAGCATTAGAAGGAGGTTGTAGGAGACAATGTCACAATGATAGGGAATCAGGAAGAGATTCATTTGTTTCAGACGGAGGGCTGAAGGGAGGAATGTATGTGCCACTAGACATGCTCTTGGAAAGAATAAAGTCTTGGAAAGGCTCTAGAGTGTTTTTATGCAGACATTTTAAATAGTTGCAACTTATAGGATATGTGTTCTTACTTGGGAGGTTCAATAGGTTTGATGTGAATTTTTGTGACAATGTGCTTTCCATCATTGCCTTTTCTTTCTTCAATTCTTGCTTTCTTCTTTGGCTTTTCCTGGATGCTTTCAACAGTTGAAGATGAATCAAACCCCTAAGAGATATTTTCCAAAGACTAACTTATATCCCCCAACTAACAGGACACGATTACGTTACAAAATGTTTTAATGTAGTCTACCAGCTTAAACTAATTTCTTGAAAACAAATTAGAATTTAGATAAACATTGCACCTGATCTTCAACGCCATCAGTATGTTTCCTTTTCTTGCGGTCTTTTGAAGATGATCTCTTTTTCTTTTTCTTTTTACTGGAATGTTCTCTTGTTTTTGGTACACCAGCTGGTAAATCTCGCTCCTTTGCCTTTGGCTCTGGCTGAGCCTTCTCAGAGCATCCAACTTTTAACACCAATTTGATTGGAGGTTCTTCAGCTTTAACTATAAGTTTCACATGATGTTACTTAGCAGATCAAATTAAGTTGAACACAGCCAATCACAATCCATAAAGTTCAGAATTGACCAATCACAACCAGTGAGCCTAATTTAAATGTTATTTATGGTTTATTTCTAAAACATACCACAAGAGATCTCCCACGTGCAGTACGATTGAAAATATAGACTAGGAAGTATTAGGCATAACGGCATAAGTTAATTGTATAATGTATTTGTTAAATTTTAATGTAAATTTAATGAGGGACTTCTCTAATCTAATAGCGTTCCAGTTAGGGGCTGAAAAGCGAATCAAAAGGCACAAAATCTGTGACAGACGTAGGAATAATACTGGTGCAAAATACGTAGATGATAGAAAAATGGCTTTGCTTTTCAGAACGACATCTGGCAGTCCGTCTCTAGTAAACTTCAACTTACCCTTCGGCTCAGCAGGCTTTTTGTGATGCTTCTTGTGTTTCTTTCCCATTTGAAGAGCAGTTTACTAACCGAATTTGCAAAGAAGATCAACAACAATCACTCCAAAATTTACTACAACTTTCAAACATTTTTGAAAATTTTGTACAAAACAAAGAAAACGAACACGCGAGTTCTTATTCAGAAAAACACGTCATCTCAATACTTTATGTAATTTAAATCAAATGGTTGCAGAACTTTCTACCCGTTTTTAGGGCGTCCTTTTGCACGAAGGTGGAGCAGTAAGATTTTCACGTGAACAGTCACGATAACATGCCTTTGCCATGTTTCTGTCATGCCTTCTTCACGTGCAAAGCCCATACCTATAAAAAGTTTGACAATATATCTACAACCTACAAAAGTCCCAAAAAGGCATTAGTGGCTTAGTGTTGATGCATTAATGTCAGCCTGGTTTGGTCAGATGTTGATATGGTTGCTCTTCATCAGGACGTTTCTTGTCTCCGCTACCGTTACATCGGAGAACATAACGGTAGCTCATTGCAGCGAATTATAGGCCAACGGAAATTCTTAGCTTCCACAACTTGTCAGAAACCAGATCAAGATGGACCTCAAAAAAAAACTCATCACGACAGAAGGTATTGCGTTGAAAAAGAACTATTTATTCTTTGACGGACACACAGGCGATTCTTTCCGCATAGGTGCTCTAGATGGCCGTTAGAACACCCAAATTCACAGAAAGAAAAACTGCTTTCTGCGGTGGGGAAGTAGTGCAGTACCCAGTCGCTTTGAGTGCTTCGAGTGTTGTTTCTTTGCCCTATATATATTTTCTCTGTAAATTACAAAAGTGGTGCCAAGCAATTCTATTCGAATTCTAAAGAATCATCTATGACAAGGTGGTTGTCACCAGGCACCAGCTAAGAGAGACCTTCGGAAATCTTACGGAATATCTTTAATTAAGCCTTTTTGCGGGATCATCACCAACAATCAGGAGCGTGCACTGGCGCATGCATTTCACGTGGCCTCCTTTCCTCAAATTGAAACATTTGTTCGTGATGTTACTTCCGGTCCAATGTTTTCTTTTACACGCGATAAGAATGAAACAAAACGTGACAAATATCTTTTGATTTCACTGGATGACTAAAAAATTCCAATAAGCCAGACAGTGCCCAAGAGCGGAGAAGATGTCTAAAGACACGAAATCCCCCACGCTTCGCAAGAGAAACTATAATTCAACCCACGAGGGCAAAGAAAAGAGCGCAAACAAATCTAAAAATGAAGATTATGACAAGAGGTCTTGCTTTGCTCTATTAAAATGCTGTGCATAACGGCACGTATGTTTTGTGTTTGTATATTTCTAATGTTTATTTTTTTCCCCACAGGATTCACAGTAATGCAGAGTCGTTGTTAAGTTTTAGCAGTGGCTTCCAAAACTATCGCGGCATTTTAAATAATTGTATAGTTTTGCTGGTAAGTAATTGTTATTGTACTACTAGGACGCGATTATTATATGTGATAATATGCATAAATGATTTGGATATTGTGTCCAGCTTCATTATCGTTGCTTGTTTCGTATTGCAGAGTGTTGAATTGAAATTTTTTTATATTCAAAACAAACACAAAAATAGATTACTTCGTGATATGGCAAACCTCCTGAGTAACTCTGTGGAGGAGGGTGCATTGCCTTGAGGGTGTCAGGGTATTCCCCCTAACCTATAACTGATCCAATGCTATGCTTATAAGCGCATTAAGATCTGACAAAATTCTCAAAGAAATTCATTCGAACAGACAAATAACACACGGAAATGTGGGAGTTGGAAGAATGTTTGCATTATTAATTAGTTTGTTTTTTACTCGCTTTAGATTCTGTCAAGTTTCCGATTAGCTTTGGATAACTTGTTAAAGTGAGTATTTTCTATCTTCTGATACTCCACATTGTATCGGTAATTCATTTGGTAAATGCTTCTGTTGCTCTTATAGATATGGCATCCTTTTTGATCCAATATCTTGGATGGTCACGTTTCTATCTGGTCCACAGAAATGGCCCTGTGCCTGTTTAGTGCTAGGTATGGTTATTTCATTTTCATATCTTAAATAATGTGTGGTATCGCCTTTTTTACCAAATTTCATTATTCTTCGTAGCTTCAAATGTGAATATTCAAATCATGTTCATCGTTGAGAAATTCATGTCAAAGGTTGGTAGCTAAATTAGTGTAAATTCTTTTATCTAGTGTATTATTTAATAAAATTCAAAAATTTTAATCTGAATATTTGTCTACAGGGGAACCTAAACATAATTGGAGGCATCATTCATACCATAAATCTTGCATGTCTGCTCATAGTTCCTGCAGCTGTTGTCTTGAGCTTCCAACCTCCACCATGTAAGTTTATTAGTAAACATTGTTAGTTGCAATGATTGTATTTGTGGAGCAAGTGTGTGATGCATCCATAAACTACATTTATACTTATCCCTGATTACTTCATTTAATCCACAATATAGGGTACTCATGTATAGCACTTGTGTGGTATACAATTTTATGGTTAAAGTACATTTCCTATGTATCAGTGAACAAATGGCTAAGGGAAGGAAGCATGAGCAATCCACCACCTCTAACCCGGCACAATGATGACGAAAATGGAAAAGGTATCCGGATTAAAACCCCTTAAATTCAATCAATCACATGGACCACATCCTCTTGCCCAGGGCTTTTAATTTTCGTTATCAGTAACCTTTATTCTTTCCTAAATTTCCAGAAAAAGTAGCAAATGGTGGCACACATACCTTAAAATTAGTTAAATATCCGGATAACTTAACTCAGACAGGTAATGTTTTAATTTACTAAAAAATAGCACGAGTGAGTTCAGGTTAAATCAAAATCATCAAACCATTGTTAGTTACAACATCTAAATAAAAAGTATTTTAGAAAAAGTTCATTTGGGACCAGATATAGACTAATATCTTAGGTCTATACATCATCAGCAATGTCTTTTAACCAAAGATTGGTATAGACTGGTCGTTTTCAGATGTTCACATTCTTAAATTCTGCGAACGTATTTCAGATTTGTATTATTTCCTAATGGCACCCACGTTGTGTTACGAACTGAATTTTCCACGATCCGATAAAATAAGAATAAGATTTCTCATGAGAAGAATTGCAGAGTTTGTACGTTGAGTATACCTTTTAATTTCTGTTTTATTTTCCTAAAGAAAATTGCTATAATAAAAAATCTTATTTTGGTTTTATCTACGAATCTTATGGAGCGTATGACAATATTGTTTTTTAGTTATTTTTGATTGGTGTGATTTTGGCCATTGTCCAACAAGTGAGTGAAATTTGTGCATTTGAGATACACATTTTAACTGTTATTCTAGGAAAATAATTCTTCAATAAACTAAAAAGTGATTTTACAACAATTTTAGTGGATGGTACCAACGATAAAAAATTCTTTCAAACCGTTCCAAGTAAGAATACAAAATACTATAATGTACTTGATTACTATGTCTATGGGTATGAAGCATGAGATTTGATAAAAATAGTCCTGCATACTGGAATATGAATAGTTTTAATAGTAATATAAATATATAACAATAATGTTTTAATAGGAAATGGATTATCCTCGACTGATCGAAAGAATAATGAAACTAGCGGTAAGTTAAACAACGGCAAACGGTCTTTTAAAATGGGTTGTTTTCAAAACGATATAAACCGATATATTTCAGGTTCCCAATCACATCATGTGGCTGTTATTCTTCTACTGCTATTTTCACTCGTTTCTCAACATCCTGGCAGAAATACTGAAATTTGGAGATAGAACGTTCTATAAAGATTGGTGGTAAGACATTCTAAAACTGATGTCAAACTCTAAAGACCAGTTCAGTTCGCATTTTCCCTGCTCGGATTTTGACAGTGTTTGAAAGGCTTTGTTATCTTTACTTTAGGAACGCCGCCACAGTTCAGGAGTTTTGGAAAACCTGGAATATCCCAGTGCATCGCTGGGCACAACGGTATAAAGGTCTTTGGATATACAGCCAACAACCTATTTTAGCTTGGTCTTTGGTTTACGGTAGAGTGACGAATGTAAAAACACAATAAACTGCAAAATATAACTTTGTTTTGTGTTTTTAGACATCTTTACTTCCCTTTGAGAAGAAGAGGTTACTCTCAGCTCACTGCGAGTGTCTTAGTCTTTTTGCTTTCGGCATTTTTCCACGAGGTAAATCGGACTGTCGGGTTTTTAAACCAACAATAATAGAAAGCCATAGGAGACAGCACTGATTCGACATTCGACAATACACTGGTAATCTCACTTCAATCCAAACACTCTTTCTTGTCTTTCCAGTTCTGGGTGAGCATTCCGTTGCAGATGTTCAGAACTTGGGCATTTTTTGGAATCATTACACAGGTGATGAGAAACTTTGCCCATATAGCCTTATAGGTACAAGTATAAACATCAAAATCCTTTCCATGGATGGTCGAGAACATACCGTCCGATCTACCCATTGTACCCTTTCGCAGGCCTAAAAGCCCCATTATTCATGAAATCTTTATCATAGATATCAGACATGATGAGATTCCAACTTTGTCCCATTCTCTAGGTACCTTTGGCAATATTCACCAGTTTTCTACCGAAGAACACAGTGTATGGTAATGTCGTGGTATGGCTATCCCTGATTTTGGGCCAACCAATCGCGTGCATGATGTACGGCCACGATTATTACGTCATGCACACGCCATCTTGAGGTACGAAAATGAAGATAGCGTCCAAACAATGGATGTCGCAGTTGTAAAGTACTCGTGGTAGTTGTCGACACGAGATCAAGTCATCCACTTTCTCCAGACCAGTCCAACATGATCTAATGCTTCACATTTCCATTTTCAGAATGGATAATTCTCCTGGAATGGCAATACATCAACACCAAACCGTGCGAAGATGTGGACATTTTCAAATCGGGAAAATCAATATCAACAAAGAAATCCAAACATTTGCTGCTAAACCAATCGATCGTTTTCACGCGAAGAATTCAAAAATCGAAGGCTTACCCTTTAACTAGCATGGTTATAAAGGGCGCTCCTGCCATATCGAGTGAAAAAGTGTGGTTTTAGAACAGGGCTTTGATTTCGCATACGCGAAAACGGTCTACACATATTTAGCCTTTAGCGAGTATTTTATCATGAGATGCCAGAGATTTATTTTTATCATTTATAATAATAACTATATATACCGTTTGTAAATGCAAGCTTGCAGTTTTGTTAATGGAGAATTTTTAACTACCAGTGTTTGTGTTTAATATATTTATTTGAAGCCAGCGCGGCGCTTCTTCTATATTCTCTTCTTTGTAGAAAGAAATGACTATGGCCTTCGACCATTAAAGTCACTGTCGCGACTTCTTTGACAGTGTAAAACCGCTGAACCTTCATATTTATATTAAACGTGCGCCTGCGGTGAGCAATAATTTAGAGATCAGTTGCAAAATTCCACTGATCTATATGCATGCTAAATGAGAACTTAGATCCTGCAGTAGATTGGCAGAGCTGATGAGACTATGTACATATTTTCTAATAATTTAATTCACACTCTCTTAGCTTGAATATAGCCACAAAAAAGGATAAAAAATAAATGTTTTATATAGATTTGAGACGTCTACTGATTAGAAAATGGTCTATAATTTTTCCACGAGTTAATTGCAGATCATATCTGATGTCCACAATCTAATATTTTTTCACATTGACAGTTCCATAGCAACAAATTATATACATGAGTACAATCACATGTATGAACTGTTGTTACTTTTTTAATACTATGCAATAATAATTTTTCAAAAGACAGTTACTAGGTTTTCAAATATTCAGAAAGAAAACAGTTATACATAAAAAGGTTGTTATATGTACAAGATGTTCAGAACACTTTGTTACCCGCTTATTTCTCAGGTTCGTCAACACCAGCTTGCGTCATGAGTTCACCAATATTTTTCTCCAAGTCATCTATCCTTGCTCCCATTTCGTCAACTGTAACAATAGTCAAGGCAATGCTAACACTAAAACTTGGACACAGCCTGACTCCAAGAGCTGAAGCCTACTGAGAATATGGTTTAAAAGCCTGTTTACTTCAAAAGTATAGCAAAATTATAGATACAGCAGTGAATTCTTAAAAAGTATCACAATGTTGCTACTGTAAATTGAGTATAATCTAAGAACAACAGGTGATCAAATTTTATGTGGTGGTTAGTCTCCAAGTGAAACCAGGCAGGATGAAAAAGGATACTTCTGTTGATAATCTGGTCTGACATGTCTTGAAACTTTTCTTGCTGAGGATAAAAAGATAGCAGCATTTAATGATACGAATTTCTCATATTTTTAAATGATCAGAATCAGATCAATTAAATTGCTATTCACAAAACAAACTAAGGGTTATTCTCAAAATACTCGATTATACCAAATACTCACCATTTGTTGAAGTAGTTTTTCAACCTAAAATTGTATAAAAGAAACGCTATAAACTACTTGGCCAATAGAAAAATCTTTGTAAAAATTCTTCATTAAAAGTTTTTCAACAATAAGCATAAACTTCTAAATGCTTGTAGTAAAGTTAGGAAGAATTTAAAAGACCACATCAGGCACATCACAGAGCAAGTATTTTTCTCAATCTACTTACGAAACCAGTTAAATCTTGGACATCTTTTGGTTCTTCCTCGCCTCCCTGAGCTAAATTTTCGTCCTGTCCCGTCTGATCAGGAATTTCGATCTTAACCTTAGACATTGCGAATGGCTTAAATCCCAGCAAATACCTCCTTTACTTCGCTTATAAAAACGACGCCAAACTACACTCTTGTTTACATTCAAAATTGTGACTTTCTTCAGCGCGGACGGAACTTCGAGGTACTGAGTTCTAGTTTAGTGGGGCACTGCCACCTTAATGAACACCTGGTGTATCCATTGTAATAACCACGGAGACCGGGGGTGAAATGTAAACAATAATTTGAAATTTTAAAAATATGTAAACAACGAGGGGAATATCACCAAATATATAGTTTAAAGGATTGGATTGTTGTTCCTGAGTGTAGAATGTCACGGCATAGCAGCCATCTCTCATCGTATTTGAAATCAAGACGAGAAAAACCGTTAACTACTGATAGCCGATCGCCTTCTTCAGAAAACTCGAAAGCGCGGTATTTGTTTGTCTATTTCATATATCTGTACTTTCCCTATATGAGGCTTGCAACTCTTTTACCTGAAGCTACGTATGAAATTGCCCTGAGCAGAGTAATTTATGTTAAGTTTTGATGCATACGTGCATGGTTAGGAAAATTTTGATACAATGCAATGGTCAAACGAATTTAATGCAATAAATAATATTAATTTGCGTGGGATGAAAAATGCATCGTCCAGGAATTTCGTGTTAGAGTATTGTGTGTTAGTATATTGTCAATTTGTATTGCTATTCTATCAACTAGTTATATTTTAAACGTGGTTTCCTGTTAGTGGCCTAACAGAGACCTTGAATTAAACCATTTTTGTTGATGGTAGGCCTATCCTGACATCCACTGGGTGGCAATGGCCTACCACAGTCAAAATTAATTGTCTCACAATAGGTCATGAAATACCAATTCAAACATCTTTAGTCATAAGGTAACCACCAAACAGCTGAATGGGAAACAAAAATCACTGAACAGCCAACACAAACTGGGCCAAAAAAATGAAAGTCATTCACCTCTTCATCTGATGTAAGTCTCAGTATCAATCCAATACAAAAGTTCATAAACCAGAGACTTGGTGTTGATGCAATGAACAATTCATATGTTGAACCATAACTTTCTTTCAGCCTTCCTCCAGAGCTTGTCTCCAAGATATTTTGCTTTCTTACCCCATCGGAGATCCTCACATGCGCTCAAGTTTGCAAAAGCTGGAGTGAAATCAGTAATGAAATGTCAGTACTTTCCTAATTTTATTGTTAACATGAAAATAGACAAAAGTTCTCAATGCAATGCCCTATTTTTGCCCTACCAGAAACAAATTATTTTTATTGCTTTTAGCAATGACTTCACTTTTTTTTACAAAGCAGTAAACTATACTTATTGATAATTAAAACTAGGTCATTATGGATTCATCATTACAACCTCATACCACGCAGCATACGAGATTCAATTCTCCCAAATGAAAGAACATCCCCAAAATTTCAATGGAAAAGTGAAATAATTAAAAGGTATGTGGTAGTTCAGTACCCAGGCCTCTTATGCGTTCTTTTGTTCGCGATTCATTAATATGCGAGACGAAAATATAAAAGACGCGCAGGTGAGGCCCGATCTCGTACATAGGGTCATAGACCTCCGTTACCCAGAAACAAGGAGACCTTGGAACTGCGCTATTTTTCATTTATCAAAAAGGCGTAGGTTCGATTCCTACCAAAGAATCTGAGATCATTTTTTGCGAAGTTTCTGGTTTGGTTTTTTGCCTTTATCACTAATTTATCATAAAGGCAGTCCACTTTACATATGTTCGCTTTTTCGTGCTAGAACTGTTAATCATAGAAATAAGAAGATAAAAACTATGATAAAGAAGACAAGTCCCTATTCTGGTTTGCCTTCAGGAATAGAACAAGCTTTGAAGTAAGTTTCCAGATGGAATATTCCCAGTTGCCCGTTAACTTATTATCATTTTTTACAACGGTAAGATCTTTTTCGATCTCTTTAGATTTCTCTCGTTGAAATGGCAGATTAAGTTCACAGACAGGGACGGAAATGAACGCGCATTCCTCAGCGATGATATGTTTTATTTCGCTCAGTCTTTGACAGCCCGTTGGTACACGTTGCAATTGCCATCCATCGCCAAGTTAAAATCCGTCTCGATTTCTGCACTCACGGCCGTGTTTTACCACAGGGACTGGAAACCACACGCCGACAGGTAGAAACGGAAGGCGAGTGGAAAAGCACGCAACTGAGCTCGCAACTGAAGTGTAGCGCAAATTTAAACACGTAACTAAAAAAGCATATAAAACTAAAACTTGCAAATGAATAACGTAAGGATCACGCATGCAACAACTCGATCACGCAACACGCTACTGCAACACGCAATTGATGCACGCAGAAACACAGACACGCAGATTCAACTGGACATTAAATCATGCAATTCATATTCATATCTTATCTAGCGCAACAAGGAAGGCCTTACTGCACTCATTTCAAATAACAGGTCAGTTTTACGATTGTATTTGTCGACTGAGTGTTTGCCTTTCGTCTGCTTCGGCCTCGCAACGAAACAAAAGCTTGACTTTGCAGGAACCTCTTGCAACAGCGTGACGAGGATACGTTGTGTTTAGATCTGAAACTTTCAAGACAGACCTGTATCAGTGAGGACGAGATGGTAACTCTACACACCGTACCACCTGGGATCATGGTGGCTGTTTGGAAACATTCTTGGAAGGTACAATGTAGCACTCTGGTGTCGCTCCAAGCATTGATACTAAGTGTTTCATACGTGAACATTTTCGCCCAATTATAAAGTCAAAGAGTTTTCGTTATCTTGTGCTTCACGAAAGGTAGTTTTCTGAATGCAATTGCACTTGAATCAATACAAAGACAACTCGGCATTGATCGCTGGCCTCTAATGTCTTTTTCAGTCTATAAGTGGTATATATTATAATCCATTTATTCCATTACTAAAATCGTAAATTTAGGATGGCGGGGAGGTGGCCTGGGTCTCGATGTGTCTGCATTATCATCAACTTCTCGAAAGGATTCTGAACGGTTCAAGAGAAAGGTTGTTAGCTGCCTATATTCAACCATCAAATAAAACAAACTTTGTGATTACTTATGAAACATGCAAACGCATGCAAGAATACTAAAAGAGGGCATTATAAGCCCATGTATGACAGTCCTATATAGGTAAAGTGTTTACAGTAAGTCAAACTTATTTACCTTCGTCTTTTTAGCGCTTACAAATCACTAATCCATAAGCCAAAAATTGACGATATCGACCCTTTTTACGGTAAGAAAAGTTAGTTGACACACAGCATATACTTTGTGATAGATTGTTGAAAGTGCTTTTACTGCTTTGGTTCGAGTTTCCAAAAAAAAAAGAGTTTGAAAAACAAAGCACCAACGTTTGCCTCATTGTAGGTCTGCAGCGGTATTCAGCTACGGTGGAGTTGCGCAATCAACGGAAATTGTTTTGGGGAAATCATTACAGGGAACTTTACCGAAGTAAGCCGCGTGAATATACACTAGGAAAACTTCATATAATACGATTAATGTTCACCGAAGAACCACGTGAACCGAGCTGGTTCATGCGTGTTGAATTAATGAGTATGACTCCACTGTAAATTAGATTTCTAAATTAGACTAATTTATCGAAATTCAGTCAGTATTTTTCTTCTTTATAAGGGTCGTTCAGCGATGGTTCTCTAGTGCTGGAAAGTCACGAAGAACAAGAAGGAATGTTTAATGTGAAAACATCACTGCCTTGGAAGACTGCTGGGTTTAGAAATATTTTGAGCGTTAGTAACTTATTTGATATGAACAGAGAAGATATTTTACGAAAAAAGAAAGCGCGGGATGTATTGTCTATGGGAGCAATACAATAAATCAAGTACAATAAGTCAAATGCATAACAGGATATTCTGTGCAATTCGTTGTAGGACATTGTTGTCTTAGATCTAACTCTGATGGATGAACACAAAGCACCGATGTGGTGTGCAAGGTTGGTGTTGATCCACCTGTTTTAATTTATCAACTTTATCCTAAATTTGATTGGTATTGTTAACTATTTCAATTCTCATCATGCACAGCTCTGCTGTCAAAGTTAGAAAGACCACGGACAGTGAAGGTAAGGTACTCGGTTCTCAAGCCATCAAGTCATACACATTTTATATTCAAATTTACTGTTTTCTTATAGTGGATTACACTTTTTCCGATTGCGAATCGACAGTTGTGGAATATCAGGACAGCGTGGGACGACTAAGGATACACCTTGTTTGGGTACTAATATGTCCTATACTTGAGGAACAACATTTATGTTTCATGGCATAATCGGCAAGTTTCACTAGTGGACATCAAGCCCAAAACGAAAATCTTTCTTCTTTTCATCTACAGATCGAAGAAGATGGTCAAAACTTGGTCAAAGGCTTAGAAATATATTTGCAAAAGGATGTCATCAATAACTGGTTTGGAACAAGCTACTGAAAGTCTGAATCACGGCGCTTTGTTTTGACTTACTCCACAGTCCACACAAGAGGCGACTACGGGGATGTGTAGCTCAGTCCAGCAGAGAAGCAATCTGTGCGAAGTAATACGCATTATTTGCTACCAAAGAATTACCAGATTTTCGACAAACTTGTGTCGAATAGAAGTCGACCGACTCAGACGGCTGATAATTTCCCAATTTGCGGAAAGCAACAGTTTTAACCTAGAGTTTTGGTCATAGGTAAATCTCCAGTCTTAATTAATGAACTTATAACGAATATCGCAATGAATGGCCCAGCGTTAATGACTGTTTTAGTTCAAACATTTCAGTTCATAAACTGTGCATGTTATAACTATATTTCTGAAATTTATTCAATTATAGAATTTACTGCTAAAATATTTTGCGACGCTGATTACGGTTTAAGATTACGGATCACATTAACATTATATTTACTACCAAATTATGATGTTCAAATTCCATCTACCATAAAACTAGATCATTCACACAAACGTTTTCGAAGTCATCAGTTTTACAGATGTAAACAAACAAACAGAAAGAAAAGAGAAATGAAACAGCTTGGGCGACCTATAGCCGACGCTCCACCAGCAGTGATGGGATCTGGAACCCAGACTGCAAAGCCTCCTCCGTTGACATCGCTAACCTTCCCATGTATCTTTTGGGTCTCAGCATTAATAATCACCACCGTCTTTTCTTTGGTTGCCGGGGAAATGATCCAGTGACCGGCGATAAACGAGTCCCTGGATGTTCCGTGGGATCTTTTGTCGATGAAGTCGACGTCTTCGATATATTTCACATCGGAAATGTTGCCATTTTTCGCCAAGTCCAAGTCAACGATCGCCATCTTGTTTGCGTAATCAAGAGTAAGAAACACGTAGTAGCCCTCCGAGGTTTTACCCTTGGAGTAAAAAACCGCATGAGATACACCACCGGGGATACGAAGTTCCGGGTAATGATTGGCGTTGAATCCTGTCTTGCTCGCAGCTAAAATATTCATTTGACTCGTGTTTTTCGTGCGATAAAGAAATACGACATACCGACCGTCAGGTGAAACAAATGGAAAACCAGGAAAACTCCACATTTTTGTGCGATCATTGACTGTGTCTAGTTCGAGTATCGATATCTTTTTGTAATATATTTGACAGTCGACGTAGATGTGTTTGTTGTAAGGGTTGTACGCAATGCCGTATGTTCCAGTGCAACCGTACTTTGTGAAGTTGCGAAAACTCGTGTAGGACTTTCCTTCCAAATTTAGCTCGTGGATTCCGGGGTTTGAGAAATGTGTGACAAAAGCCGTGTTTCCTTTTAGCATGTCTTCGTCGGCAACCATTATGCCATGAGTGAAACCTAATAAAGTTTCCGTTTGTAGAAAAATTAAATACCATAATAGGGCATATTCATTGAATATTGGATACATTATCAGAACAGCAAGGTTTCAATATGTTTAGGGTATTCTCTTCAAATACAAGACTTTGATTAATTAAATGAGTACAGAGTGCCATATAAAGACTGCCAATTCTAGAAACCTCATCTTTACGACGAGTTAAGTTCAACAATATCGAAGATTTTTCACCTGGTTTTACATGAGCTTGCACGGCTTTGTGGGTGCGAACACGACTTTTAATTGCGATGACGTCAAACGTGGAGAGATTCCAAGAATGTACCCAGACTTCATTGCGCCACAGTAAACAATGCAAACCGTATGGGTAAGGGTCGGTTGGGATGGTTTCAATTTTCTTGTGTGTTTTGATATCAATCACGTGCACAGAGCTTCCCGTTCCATCGGCGACGAAAACCGTATCGTCAACAGCGCATGCGCTGGTGAACGTACAGTCTCTTCTAATAAAAGAGATTTTAAGAGGAGATTTTTTTATTATGTCGCGTATTTTGGCGGGAAAACGCTCAAAACCTAAAATCTTTTCGGCCTACCACTCAGAATTAATTTATTTTACCTTTAATGGCTTTATTCTTTAGATTATGTTGTAAACTAAGTTTTGAACTGTATTTGGTGAATGCAAAACACCAAACAAAGGAGTTATTACAAAATATAATGCGGCTATCAACAATGTTATAATGTCAACGCCATTATAACTGAAATGAATACAAAAGAAGCTTCGATTCAAGTGTCATTTTCTTCTCGGCGTATCCGGAGAAATCTTTTCATTTTCAGTAAATATTCATAAATATTAATATAGTAAATATTTTCAGCAAATACAGTAAACATAATTCGTGGATGCTTTTCAGGTTTGCAAAACATTTTTAATGCTGAAAATTTTAGTGCTGTTGCATGAAGATATAACTGAGGTTTTGAGCATATATTACGCGACATAGAAAATAGTCTCCTCTTAACAAAAAACATTGAATAAAAAATGAAAAATGTATAATGTAGAAACAAAAGCTTTGTTTGATGTTTTCCTGCAATATTTCCTAAAGTCTGTCAGGCTGTCAGCACATTTAATACGATTTAAGTTCGCTGGATTTCTAACTGATGAATAGTACAGAGTAAAAGATTTAGAACAGGCAAAATTTTAAAAGGCGAAATGTTTCGCGAGGGAGACGAAATTCAACGTTATGATTTTATGAGATTTATATTTCTAAAAAAATGCACCACTTCCGACCAACCTGGAATATCGGCTTTTGGTACACAACCCAGGCGCTGTTGTGTTGGTTATTTTAGCAACAACACTTTTCGCCACTGGATCTATCACGTAAATACCATCACTCCCCAGAACATAGAAGCTACCAGTTTCCGCCGAGGCAGAATGGCCGAACAGAATTCCTGTAGTAGATTTGATAGGTTTGACTGATACATGTATATGCCAATCATGGAATATATATCTATATTATAAAATAGCTTAGCATCAAATGTGGTATAACAACTGCCTAAAATAGACAAAACACTTCTCGACGTTTTGACCTGAGTTATATTAACTCTCCTGACGAAGGCCCTCAGGTCGAAACGTCGAGAAGTGTTTTGTCTATTTTAGGCAGTTGTTATACCACATTTGATGCTAAGTTGTTTGAAGACGCTGCCACGCTGCTCCCTGGTTATATTGGAACTTGGGAAGCGTTTTTGCTTTCGTTAAAGGGCCCCATTGAAAAACTTCTTGGAGATATGGGCTCCCTGCTTAAATATTATAATAAAAAAAAATGACAAAGCATGGAAAAATTGTAGGCGCACGCAATGTTTTATAATCATTTTTACTCTATTGAAAAAACCCAAAGATATTAGACATAATATCAAAACAAATCTATTTTCATGTACATGATGAAACATTTCGCTGCAAACTCAGGATTGCAGATACTGATAAAGCCACTCGCTAGTGTAAAGAAACTGATTTTGTTTTGTTTCGAATATGTCTCTGATATTGTTTACCAACTAGAGATTATAGCTTTTATCCTCCTGAGGAACTGTGTAAATAAACGATAGTTTGCCTTCACGTCCGCTTATAGTCATCGCAGAATTAGCTGCCGTTGAAAACTTCACGGCTTCACCAAATACAAAACGGAATGAAAAGAATAATTATTCAATTTATTTTTTATTCAATTTATTTTTAAACTTTTAGCAATACGATATATATACGATCAGGTGACGAAGAGTGTGACATATACTCAATAAATATTATAGACTATTATAGTTATTTTTGACACAAACGCGCTAAGCATTATCAAACTGGAATTTATTCGCGAGAAAACTTGACAACGACTTCGTTCGTTCAACAGAAATGTCAGTTACTCGACTTCTCTCTTGACTAAACGAGGTTTTGGCTAGTATAGTATTGCCTTTGTAATTGAAATTTGAAAAAAAATTGTATCGTGTTTCATCGTTCTTGCTCTACCAAAGTTACCAAACAAACCTGACGAACACGTAGCCACAAGAATATGGTAACTTACCGTAAAGAACCAGCAAAGGAAGCAACACCCGCTGTTCCATAACAATATACGATGTGGTATTACAGCTTTTGCGCTAAAGAAGAATCAGGTATACAGTCGCGGTGCAATTTCCGTAAACTCGCAGATTCGTAGATGCTCCCCGATGCAATATTCAGTTGACACTTGAGATGCATATCAGTTTTTCAAGTCCTGCTTGGCCGGATGTGAAAACTTTGGGTATTTGTAAGCGGGCCAACCTCGCGAATGAATGACAATCCCTTCTCAGAATAAAATCTTCACCAGAACTTAGTCGAAAGTTTAAAACCTGGTTCACGCTCGTCCTAAAGACCCGGGTTTCCATTTGTGTGCGGTCACCAATGCGCAAAATGCTTCGTCCATCGCAAAATATTACAATAACCCCGATTCTTAATAACCATGATTGCAGCTATGACGGCAGTAAGCTGCTGACCTTGCGGGGTTCACGCCACCCCCCTCCCCCCCTCAGAAGAATTCGACCCCCAAAATTTGGATAAAAATATAAGGCACCCGTTTATAAAAAATATAAGATTGCGCTTTTTATGTGCTGAACCTAATTTCTAGGTCCGAACTCATTTGCACATTCATTACTTGTTGTGATGAAGGCTTTTTACCATTATTTATTTGTATGCATGTGATTGACATTTAATAGACCTTTTTCATAATGACGTCAAACGCGGAAAGTCTTATGTTACACAAAGTTTGATTGGCTCGATAGTTTTGTGGAGCCAATTAAATTTCGTGTAACATCAGACTCTCTGCGTTTGACGTCATTATAAGAAAGGTCTATTAGCCTTTCTCACGATGACGAATGTGCCGCCATTTTTAGTACTTTTTTTTAATTGTGAGCGCAAGACCTTGTCAGGGCGGCTGTCTTTAATTTTGGGTTTAATTTATTGTTCAAATGGTCTATTGACTCTTAAAAAATGCTTCTTACATTGTTATTATTGTTTAAACGCATTTGAGAAACTTGAAAGTACCCCAAAAATGGCGGATATTCGTCATCGTGAGAAAGGCTAACTAACGTAGCATTTATTTAAGACTCGATTTCTATTATAAAATTTCTGCACGGACACGAGGCACGGCACTGACATGAGGATATACGAAGTGAACATTACGACTGATATTTATGCTAACCTGCATTTGTTTGATGTGATTTAACAATTAACACAGGAAATTGGTATAAGACAGATATAGAATTATGCTAGATCGAATTGTGTTTGCGCACAATATTATTTGTAGCAAATAAGTAACTACTCTGTTAGACCATTATAGACTATTGGATATACGTGCCCCCAGCGTGTTTGACTTGAATTGTTTACTGATCTTCGTTGGACGCAACATAAGAAAACTATTATTCTATAGATCGTTATGACACTGCGGGTTTTGCTTCTAATTCTGGTTATTTTCGGTAAGTTAACGATTGTGTTGTTTGGTAGGACAAGAACGTAGACACACAATAAAATATATTTATGCCCCCCCCCAATCCAACATTAGCTGGTTTCAATCAACAAAGATCGAGACAACATTTGTAGTAAACAAATGCTGTCTTTAGTTTTTAACTGAACTGAAACCATGTTTCCCAATGGGTGGCTCCAAATAAGAAAACATGTATAGTTTGTTTGGCAGTTTTTTTTCTGCGGTAAGGTTATGACAGTATACAATGTGTAAACATACTGATCAACACTATTCAGTCCACCAACTATCATATCGGATGCATCCAGCTATTCTACGCCGTTACACTGACACACGAGACGAACTAACGCTAGCCAATTCTGTCGGAACCAATTCACTTTTGATGGATGTTTTATAATCTTTTGACTTGCAATGTATATGGGCCGCAAATCAACTAAAGCCAATGCAGTCTGCTTTATCAATGACAGATTACATTACATACGTTACAAGTGAATTCGATCCAACGAAATTGGATCGTCAAGAGGGCCGTCGGCAAATTAGATTTCGCCCCGCATTGATGCATGGGGGGAACAGGAACAGGTAGAGTATAGAATCCGCAAGGGGAACATTTAGAGTATCGAATGGCGTAGTTTTTGGGACTATTCCGTGCATTTTAAAAAGTCATAAATGTTTCGGAGGAAATACGTCAGTGGAGACTGTTCGACAACGAAACAATGACGCGATGACGTAAGCTAAGACAGATGACGAATACACGCAATTAACGCTTGCCGCAAAAAGGCACTTTGACACCTGACTAGTGCAGCTGAGATAGACATCTGTCCATCCTTCATCTATGCCTATGCCGTCGAGATCACCAGTTGCTCTCAGCAGACTCGCAAAGGCTTTTGAAATTGGTCCGCGCGATGCGGGACAAGATATTCAGACGTCATTTAAATGTTTGGGCATTGGATTACGTAACTTTTATAATAAACCAGATAGAGCAACGAAATGTTTAGATTGAAAATTTAAACCTCATAAAAGTTTATTTTTTAATTTTTCTTCAGGCTGCCTCCTGGGTCATTCTGCCTCGGCGGAATTCGAAACAGGCTATTTCTATGTTCTTGGGAGTGATGGTATTTACGTGATAGATCCAGTAGAAAAAAGTGTTGTTACTAAAATAACCGACACAACAGCACCTGGGTTGTGTATCGATACCCGTAGCTCAGCAAGGTTGGTGCGAAGTGTTTGCTAAAGTCTAGTTCTCCGTTGCAATGCTTTTATATATTTCATGGTTTAAAACCTCCCCCGGGTTCATAACGTGTTTTGAAAACATGGAGATCCTCAGTTGTGAAGTGTTTGAGTTGATAAACAAACCCGTTCAAATCGACATTTCGCATTTAAATGATTTAATTACTAATTTTGTCTAAACTACTGTCTCAACTAGAGATACAATAGATAGAACAAATTATATATACGACATTGCAAGTTTTAAAAAAGTTTCTAATACCAGCAAACCTTTTTTATTAGGCAAACGTGTGAGTTTACTCAGGCTTGCGTTGTTAACGACACACTTTTTGTCGGAGACAAAGTTGCAGATGCTGTGCACGTGATTGATGTTAGAACACGAAGAAAAATTCAAACTCTCTCGGACGCTTATCCAACGGCTTTGCACTTCTTGCCGTGGCGCAAGGAAGTCTGGGTAAATTCGTATCACTATGGTTACACGTTTGACGTGATTGAAACTGAAGATCTTACCAGGACACGCGTTGGACAAACTTCCCCTCAACCAGGTGATACAAATAACAGTCTCATTTCAAAGTCGTTTGCTATCTTAGTGAAACCTAATTAATAGACCCAATACTTAGCTTTCGCTATAAGCCTCTGCAACTCCGGGTCCTGATTTGTTCGACGTCTTACAGATGTAAATAAATGACGGAAAACCCTCGATTTGAAATTTCTCGCGCTATATACTTACATGATATTTTTGGAAATTTCATTAGTCATGATTAGGGGGAGAATGCTGCTTGCTGACAAAGATATGCTGGAAGGAAAAACGGCCTTCGTCACAGCTTATGGTTATCCCGGCGTCATCCACGAATTGAACTTAGAAACGAAGAACTACACAGCTTCTCATAACCTAATAAAGTACGGCTGCTCTAGAACAGACGGCATTGCATATAGTTCTTACAACAAACACTTGTACGTGCAGTGTCATCAAAACAGTGCTACCGAAACGAATTTTACACTCGAACTGGGCCCAGTCAATAATATCACAATTGCCAATGCAAAAAAGTGGAATTTTCCTGGTATTCCATTTGTCTCGCCTAACGGTCGGTTTGTTGTATTTATTCATAACGACAAGCTCTACAAACTGCCGGAGCCGGTGCATCGAATAAATATTTTAGCTCCAAATGGAACAGGATTTCAAGCCAGTCATTACCCGGAACTTATATTCCGCGATCCTGTATCTAGCCCGGTTTTTTACCCCAAGGGTAATACCTCGGATAGCTACTATGTATTCTTTACCATTGGAAACAAAATAGCGATCGTTGACTTGGACTTGGCGAAAAATGGCAACATCGCCGATGTGAAATATATCGAAGACGTCGCCTCCTCCCAATCTCCGTTGTTTCTCGTCGATAAATGGATCGTCTCTCCCGGAGCCAGAGAAAAGACGGTGGTGATTATAAATGCTGAGACCCAAAAGATCTACGCGAAGATTAGCGGAGTGAACAGAGGGCATTTTGTAGTCTGGGTCCCAGGGCCCACCTCAAGTCGCACTTCAGGCATAGGTTACCCGAGTTATTTGATTTTTCTAATCGTTTTGTATGTCTTTATGTGAAACAGCTTTGAAATTTTAGAATGTAGAATGAAGGGTAACTAATCTTGAGTTATTATAAAATTATAGTCATAATTTCTTCGTGTCAAATTCGTAGTCTAGAAGCGTTGATTCATAGGGGGAGGATAATTAATAGCAGGTGGAATATGGTAGTAATAAATAACTTTCACTTTATAACTGTTTTTGTGCTACGTCATTATTTGCTGGAGCTCAAAGTTATAAGGCAACTACTTCTTCCGTCTTGGGGAAATTTATCTTAAGAACGACACGATACAGTCACAAAAAATTAATTGAAATTCGTAGGAGATATAAACATCAATTTAGAATGCCATTTTTGATGACAAACGGCAATTGTTGACTTGCGTATAGGGACAAAAAAAACGCTCAAGTTGAAATATTTGATATCGATAAAACGACCTCACAGTGATCTGCACCTCCTGTTTGGTTTGCGTTTTTACAAATAATATCACTCTCGTTTGACATCAAGGCCAACAGCATCTGACACGGAAGTCAAGTTATCACTCCTACAAAGAGATAATTTCTTTAGCAATGCATTCGTCGAGAGCGTGGTAAACGTAGCTTTGTAGTGTTTTATTAGACAATTAAGCGCTTGATTGCAAAGCATCACCCCCCCCCCTTCGCTATTACCTCAGTAGTTCTGCCAATTCATGCTTTATTTTCCTCACAACCGGAAAACCTTCGTAGGCAATCGCCGAATAGATTTGAACCAGGCTCGCACCAGCTCGGATTTTGTCGTAAGCATCTCGGCCGCTCGAAATCCCGCCAACACCGATTATGGGAAGCTTGCCTGGCCGAAAGGCGGGAAAAGACAACAAGGTTAAACTTTTAAATGACAGTAGAAGGAAAAACAAAAAAGACCAAAGCAAAATGGCGATTGATTATACCTTCAGTTAGCTTGTACATATCTTGGACAGTTTGTGTCGATAATTCTCTCAAAGGTCTACCGCTTAGACCGCCCGTTTCATGTTTATGTTTACTTTGCAGAGAGCTTGGTCGAGATATTGTCGTGTTACAAACGATCAAACCGTCAACTTTACACTAAATGTACACAAACACGCGGTGTCAATCGTGTTATGGGTCCCATACTTGGACGAAGATTTTTAGATTCAAATTTAAGTTAGTTTAGGATTAAGCAGTCAGCGCCAAGAAGTTTGTAGCGGGGTGATTACCGCTGAGAAACTGTGCATTGCGGGCTCGAATCCACGAGTCCATTTATAACTAAAACGTGGAAATTTTAAAAATAATCGCTATTGAAATGAAAAAATACTTACCTCCAAAAAAGTTCTTCTTAGTAATTATTTCACAAAAAAAAACAAAAAAACAACGCTTTGTTCCTTGAATTTTGCAAAAACCTAAGCACGATTTTTGAGACCAAAAACGCATTTTTCGTGAGCACGCGTAGGCAGAATTAAAAATTATTTTCTACTATATTGCTTACGGGAGGAGTTGTAATGACGTCAGCAATATCCTGTTTAGCTTCTTGTGTGAGATCCGCGGCAATTTTGACCAGGATTGGTGGCTTGTTACCATGGAGATCGTCACGTGCTTTGATGACCTACACAGTACACAGATCACATAATAGCGCCACTTTAATATAGCAGTAAAAAAGGCGCGTGTTTTTTCACTCGCGTAAGTTACTCTTCTCTTCAGAATTCAGCTTACCTCTTGAAGGAGAGCTGAAAGCTCTTTCTTGCCTTGAAGTGATCTTAAACCAGGGGTATTAGGAGAGGAGATATTGATTGTCAGATAGTCCGCGAATTTGGCGAATTTTTGAACGCCCAAAATGTAGTCTTTAATAGCGTTCGTCGAAGTTTTATTTTTGCCAAGATTGATACCAAGGACACCTGGCTTATTGCTTTGCGATGCCTCCTCGTCCAGGGGGGTTAGACGCTCAGCCACAACCTCGTGGCCAACACTGTTAAAACCATATCTGCATGTAAACAATGTAAGATTTGTTTCTGATTATTTTATCCCGTCTAGAATTTGAAAAATTGGCAAATTTGAGATGGTAGTGAGTTTATACCAATAAAATGCCAGTGAATAACCAAATTTCTACACCAAAATTCAGCTTACCTATTTATGATAGCTTGATCTTCGGTCAACCTGAACACTCTTGGTTTGTCATTACCAGCCTGAGGTTCAGGCGTGATGCTACCAATCTCGACAAAACCAAACCCAATCTTAAACATGCCATCCATGCATTCTCCATGTTTGTCAAAACCAGCTGCAAGGCCAACAGGACTGGGGAACACTTTACCAAAAACCTTTGTCTCCTGTGTGAAAACAATTCATGTGGTCTTTGAATATTGGAGATTTTGCTCATCAGTATAGGTACCAAAGTACTGCAGGTTAATGGGAAATCAGGCATGTATTCTAAGATTAACAAAATGACAGCTACTTCAAATATGATCTATTCAAACCAGAATAGAATTAGTAAGTGAGTGATTTTTATATCAAAAACCTACCAAAATTGGATCTGGTATACTGTTGTCTCTTGGTACCATTCCCCAGGATGCCAGCTTAACTGCCATCACATGAGCTTGCTCAGGGTCAACCAGCCGAACACTGGGCATCAACACTGACTTGTAAAACCTCTCATGACCAGTAACACATCCATAAACAACCACAGCCGTAACACTCCCAGCCACCAATACACCATTCCTCAATAATCTCCAAACCTTAATTTAAAAGTTGAATGAATTGATTACATATAATCCTCCCAATATAGATAAGTTAACAAAATGTGTGCAAACTTAGTATTACTACAAATTAGTGTTCAAATTTCATACCTTGCTACCCTATATAAGGTTTTAACAACAATGGAACGATGAGGTTACAACGAATGAAGTTAAAACGATGAAATTAGCGAATACATAATTTGTTACAACTATGAAGGTGCACGTGATGTGCACATGAGAACATATTTCAGTATTCCCGTTATGAAATTAGAAATCTTTCATCATTGATCACCTTTATGCTTTGAAACAAGTTTCAATACTTACATTTCTTGCCCTTGCACTCATTGAATCTCCCGACGATCGTTCTCAGATGAGATTTTATGTGAAAGAAATTGGAAAGTAACTTTTTTTTAAATTTTCCCTCTCAGCGCTAGACGATCGCAGCCTCGCATGCTAACCGCTGATCATGTGCGCCAGCTGATCATAGCAACGCCATTGAAAATATTTTGAAAGAAATTTGAAATACTTTCCGAGTGTAAAAGGAACAATAAAATGGTATGTAAACGCGAAATCTCGGGCGATTATGTTTTATTGTAGTTTATTAGCCTTTCGTCTGTGCCTAAACGCTCATTTTTGTGTCCTTCCGTGCCGTTTTAGTCGGAAGTTGAAGAGACTTTAAAGCGCATTCAAGCTCATAAGGGAGTGATCGGAATCATTGTTGTTAATCAAGAAGGTAAATAAGTGACTTAAAATTATTAACTGTGTTCGTTTTGTGAATGGAATCTTAAACTTTTATGTCTTACATACATTCTTTTAATGGTATATTGCCAATGATTTGATGGTCCAATATAAATACCCATTGTTGAAAGTTGAAAGTGTCACACCACAAACTACAGGGGGGAGATTGATTGTTGTATGAATTAGGAGTGTTATATCGTTAAAACCACTGGTTTAACAATGGCAATCATCTGTCATCTCCACCCCAATGTAGAATGCTACCTCAGAGTTTCACCATCTCAAATATTTCAGGTATTCCGATCCGTACCACCCTTGATAACTCCACCACAGTGCAATATTCTGGTCTAATCCACCAGCTCACAGCAAAAGCAAGAGGCACAGTCAGGGATATCGACCCACAGGTAATCAACTAAATGTTTGAAGTAGCATTGCAAATTTCTCCAAAGCATCTTGCCATTAAAGATAATTGAACTCTTACCTCATAAAATTCTCAATTTTTCTAGAATGATTTAACATTTCTGAGAATCCGTTCAAAAAAACACGAGATAATGGTTGCCCCAGGTAACTACCAATCAGATTTACACACAAGAAAATTTGTCATATACAAGTCTGGATCAAATATCTTTTCACCACAATTTTTTGTTTCATGTTTTGCAGACAAGGAATACCTACTTATCGTAATCCAGAATCCATCTGTGTGAACAGATTTTAAATCAGTTACAACTGTTCTTTGTGAAAAAAATTTGTTATTGTATATGAACACAACACTTAGTAATGTTTAAATATATTTGTTTGTATATATGATTATATGAACCATATGTAAGGATATAAACATTTTAGATATTAAACTGCTTCAGGATTTTAAATTGACTGATGAATAACAGACCTATGAATAAAAGATGATATGTTACGTTAAAAGTAGAGTCTGGTTACATGATAAATTTTGATGGTAGATGGAGTACCTACCATAAGTGTAGGTGTGGAAAACAGGAGGGGGGAGGGTTGCTGCACCCGGCAAACATGGTTGTTATCAAGTTGCATCAAATTGTTTGGCATCAACTAGATTACAGCCATGGTCATAGGCTGCTACCAACCTAGAAAAGTTGCTTTTTAAAACGGTGTGTATCTATCAAAACTCTGACATTGGAATATGAAATTTTTATTTCTACAAGTCTACAACTAGTCAACTACTGTCTGCGACACCAAGGCTGATGCTCTTTACTTGCAACAAGCAGTTATATATACGTCACCCCACTTTCTGCCAGCGGTATTACCACTTAGCTTACTGCTACCAAATGTAACTGGCCTCATGTACCTAGAATTTCTGGAGTTAAACGTACTGATACCAACCATGTAGCCTGCCATAATGCTTGGCGAAACCTGCTGGACACGACCCATTAGCCAAGATACAATAGTTCCCTGACGGCCACTTTTTCTGGGACTTTATTGATTGATTTACGCGCGAAATATTGAATTACACCGCATAAATTTGCATGCAAATCTGACTGAATGCAGACCAGCTGTCCTATGCTTACGGCATCAGCGGAAAGCAAATTACTGATTGTCTGCAAGTAAAACATTCCTTCTGATGTTTGTTGTTTCGCTGAAGTTAATTCCTGCCAGATCATGCGAACTCTCCAGATATGTAATTTCCAAGCCGCCCCTTCAATCGCAATCACTAAATCTGGGAAGCTTTTGAGCTTGTCTCGGCATGCTCCTCTTAAAACCCCCAGAGAAATTAACCTCGGATTGAGATTTGAGACACTATGAAGAATGAAGTTCATTGCCCCATTACCCCAAAACATTCCTAGGACGTAGCAATTCTTGGAAAATCAGTTCGAAATTGCATTGCAGAGTTGCAGACTACTTTCCAAACTACAGTGCAGCTTGTATAGTTTGGTATTGTTTGTAGAAATACGAGTGTTCTTGTACAATACAACGTTTCTATATGACTATCTCGGGAATATGATTTTCTTCCTCATGACAATAGTCACAATATTCCTCGAGTACACGCACGGTTATGGATAAAAATATGTGCAAATATATGGCACTGAAAAGATATATAGAGTGTGTATATATCGTATACTGATGATACATGTATGAAGTATGTTAACTAAATATATGTTATATGATAATAGGTGGGGCTCACTCAGGGGTTCTCTCACTCTCACCATGGAGACAAACTGAAGACGAATTGAAATTTCATACAATTCTCTTGCATATTGTCACTACGACTATTGCCATTAAGACTACGATCGTACCTATAGTTCACTTGCAACAAGCAGCGATATACAAATCACCATGTGTTCCGCCGCAGATGTGATGGCAGGTTAGTCTACTGCTACCAAAATAGACTGGTCTCAAGTAGGATGGAGCCTCGGAGACAACCTTGATAGTTGTCATGTAGCCAGAATACCTGCGGAAGCCTGATGGACAGTTTCCATTTGCCAAGATACAATACCTTCCAGATGGCCATCGACCAACTGAAATAGACGAGTACTAAATATTACTGAATACTGAAAGTTGAAATATCACGTGAATTGACATGTCAATATACAGTAAAATATACAGTTTTTACCCGGAATTAAGTCATATTAAATTTGAAGCTGCAAGAAAAATTGCACCGTGTAACAGGGCCTTTAGTGTGAACTTCCCTCTCTTGACATAAATAGTTAGTTTAAGACTTAAACAACTTTAAGATCCGTTCTGGTCAGGACTTACTCTGTGGTACTCTGCTCTCAATATTCACCAATCTGGCCTTCAGATTTTGATTTTCAGCTTCCATCTTTGCAAATTTTTTCTTTGTGTATAATTCCAAACTTTGAGTTTAACTATAACAACAAATGAACTTGTCCTGAACGTTTTATAAAGTAAATAAAGTAAGCGTGATTGAAAGACTGAATATTTGATATCCATTTTCGTAGAATATGTAAAAAACAAATTTCGACATGCATTTTTAATATTTGTAGCAAAAGGCCAAGCTATTCACCTCATTTTCACTTCCAATCGCAGACCATTTATTTCCCTTATTGACATAAAGTTTTTCGTTGTCCTCGCGATATGAGATCATCCCAGGCACGGAAGGAAGATTATCAAAGCTTTCCTTGTTTTCTACCGTGAGTGTCTGAAGAGTTGATCATTAAAAGTATTAGGTTGTTCATAGTACACCAAAGAAATCCAACAACATCTTACTTACACCTTCATTCAAGAGTGTTTGAAAATGTTTGGAGCATGTACCCTATGGAAAAGATGAGATTTGTCATTTCGCATCAAGGTACCAATGTTGTTTCTGCTGAAAGTTCCTACCGCTGTAAACTCATTAAAATAATCCTATTTATAATTTTCGCATTAAAATAATCCTATTTTTCTTTTCGTTTTTTATAACTGCCATCTTTCTTGAATTCACTTATAAAGCAATATACCTTGTGAGCTGTGCCGGTCTTTTTATCAATAAAATGAGTTTCCAATTTTCCTGCTTGTGTCTTCATCTTGAACTCCATACATCTCTTATAAACACGTTGAGGCAGTCGTGTTCTGATCCAGTACCAAACATAAACTTGACCAGTTAAAACGGTCCCGCCATTCAATGCTTGACATTTTCTGCCACAGTAATCTTCCTTTCCGCCTTTTGGACCAAAACATGCACAACACTAAACGGTATCACGTTAAAACATCAATATTCAGTATCCACATGCATACTGAAGTCGATGTATTAACTATTAATACAATACATACACGAAATGAGGATACTGACCTGTCCAGAATCACAACCAATAAAAGCTGTAGCGTTGTGTGTAATTCCTGAATACTCTGAATTCGCACTGAAACTAAAACATGCGCATTTTGAGAACCACAGGTTTTTCAGCTTATGCTGTTTGGTGTTATCCTCATTAAATAAAGTCTTCTATCTATCTATCTATCTATCTATCTATCTATCTACATTATGCACAACATGTGAAAAATACGATGTTACTGTTTCCGGATTTCAACTCGTACACCATGCAAAAGAAAGAATTTCGGTGTAGTCGATAAATAAGGTCTTCTAAATTCTTTGGTCGCTCATTCACATACACGACTTCTTAGTGCATTTATTTACTCATTTTATTGAGTCTAAAGTACAAAGAATGCCTGTCTGTCCGCTGCATGATGAGAATGTAGGTAGCTATGTATGTATGGAATTTCAAATGTTTAAAGTCATGACATGACTCGTTTATTTTACCTGAAAGATCCGTGGCTGTCAAGTTTGAAATTAGGCAATCCTTTGATAAATGCATAGCCAACTGGACATTCATTTCTCAAACAATATTTCATCCTTCCCTTTATATGAACACGAAAATACTATCATTTGTTGTCGTGGTCGTGTGGCCTCGCGGGATATAATGCTAGGATCAAAATAATTCAAAGTATAGTTACCCATCCAAGACTGTTTTCCACATGAGGTCCAAATTTTGAACATTTGAAATTTGTCGTGACCACTTCTCCACTGAGTAAATCTTTGACATAAGATACACTTCCGATACCAGAATGAATGTCTGTGCATCCACCTTTTCCCACGTCAAAGAGATCACCAAAAGCGCGGTGTGTTTTTAGTTTGTAAGACCTTTAGTCGATAAGAGAAATACTAATGACTTTACATCAGCTACCACGATAAAATATATGTAATAAGTCTATTATAAAAAGAGTCTAGCTATTATGGAAAGTTATATTAAATTAGGATTTTTTGATATAACATTACTGTAAACTATAGCTGTGGTATGGTGTATATGGTATGGTATGGTCTGAAATGGTATGATATGGTATGGTTTTGTATGGTACGGTATCATATGGTAATTAAACATTCATTGTCTCAGCGTTTATTCACCAATATGCTTTTGTATCTTCAAAATTCTCTGTTGTTGAGATTTGAATTGCAAAATCACGTATGTTGACGTCAGCAAACATGATGGACCAATGAGGAGGTCCCAGTGGATCTACAAGGTTTTCATTGGTTGATACATTCCATGTAACTGAGTTGTTCTTCATTCCAACCAACAGGAAACCTCCTCCGTCCGTATGTGTGTCACACCACGCCTAGGGAGTGAGTTGCATTAAAAAGGTTTTAAAAAAATCATGTTATAAATATAGCTTACCTTTAAAGGGTTTCCTTTGCCGAGTGTTAGCCAGTAAAAACCATCTTTTGCTTCAGGAAGATTGTCGACTATATCTGAGCAATCCTTGGCAGGATTCATTTCTTCCCCAAGTGTAGAGGAACCTGTGCATAAGCAGTCGTTGTTTTCATCATCATGAGATTGGCAACAATGATACGATAAAAAAAACTGATATGCGTACATCGCCAAAGATGACATCCGAAAAATATTGGAGTTACTATCGAACCTACCATCCAGAAATTTCCATGCGTATTGTCCATTGTTCTTGATACAAGCTATTATTCCATCATTCAGTCCTGATACAAAGTTTGGTTCCCTTCTTTTGATTCAGAGCAAACAGGAAACTGAGAAACAAGATATTTGGCGTTGGAAGTGCAGGTTTGTCATACGCCAATGAAATCTTATATAATATACGCCCTGTCGCATAATCTCTACATTTGCAGGAAACAGGGGTGTCTAACTTTGTCTTATCACCTCCCTCCCTTATTTCACCATGCTTTCTGTCGTGTAATTCGCCTGCCTGGCGTATTAACGGGAAATTTCAACCCCAATATTGGGGTTTTGTCGCCCTACACGTTGTTCCGGGTTGATGATTAGCAATACGCAATTATAGGGACTCAAATTATTAAATCAGTACCTTTCCCTCAGCAAAACATTGCGAAAATACCAGAAAGAAAACCAGGATTGCTTTCCGAACATATTCTGGTGGATGAGAAACCTTCATGTTATGAAAATCAGTCGGCCAGATTCCTTCTTAGCAGAGTTTGTCGTGACAAGACCTTCGTCCTAATGTGTGTTGTTAGTTTTTCATTGTTTTTAATAATGATCATGAAAACTGAAAAGCAGCCTGGTAAGTTTCCGTTTCAGCAACTGACGTATTTTCAAAAGCAGATTATTGCCATCAGGTTTGAACCCAACTGAGCGGAGACAAGGGGTTCAAAAAGATTCAATAGATGTTGATTACCGGCAAAATGGTGTAATCGACTGCCTTTTAAATACACAAAAAGACTTTTCGACGTTTCGAAAGAGCCAGAAGGCTCTTGTAAAGAGGTAAGAGGATAAACTAATTCTCATATTTTAAGCGGTCTATTTGAAGAACTGCCGCCAAAGTAAAGGTAAAAAATTGAGGTGTCATAATTGATACATCACACATCCGATGAGTGATCTTTTTTGAATACAGGCGTTATATAGGGTCACAAATCTAAATTTTGTGTCATAAGCACTTGCGCCGACACAAGCTTATCTTTTGCTCGAGTCAAATTAATCTTATCTTAGCTTTCTCAAATGTTTAGTAGTGACACCTTGGCTTGGGACTGGACGTAGCGCACTTTGTTTTTTTAAGACTGTAATGAGCGCGCGCCAGATAAAATCTTAGAAAGAGTCAAAATCAAAGGTTATATGAAATATATTAATATTATATTTACATACCACATATATATTCTATTATTCAAAGATTGTTTTAATACAAAAATCTGGATATTAACGGAGGACTGCATGCATATATACGAACTCTACTCAAGAACGCTTGAACGATGCGAGGGCAAATGGAGCGGATTTTCTGTATTGATGTAAATAAGAAAGGGTTGCAAACGGCGGCAGTTCAACATCGTCTTATCGTGTGTTTCTTTTTGTCACGCGATTTCGATGTGTGGAAATTTCTGCCAGCCGATTCTGCTATTCTCGAAGCCCGTTAACTGCATTCCTAGGGCTGTCTTTAAATTGAAAGGGCATTCTTTGCCCTGTTAGTAAAAGGCTACCATAAAAACACTTGCCCTGCCACACTCAGTTCCAGCGTTCCTGGCCTACCAATTGACGAGATTAATTGTTAACAATCATGGACTATTTCGCAAAAAAGATTAACCCTATTGAACCAACATTCACCGTAGTAAATAGTCTAAATAGACACTATCTAGGAAACATTTTTTTAGCTCTTTTCCCCTCTCCCTAATTTATCGCACGGCTAGATATATCCCCAAAATAACTACGTAATTGTCATCTATCAATATATTTGTCAACTAAATTAACTTCAAATATTCGACCAAATTAACTTCAAAATTGAAAATATTTACTTTTCACAGCCGAGTTTGTTGCAATGACCAAAATCCTTCGACGAAATGATCCATATCCTCATTACAAATTCATTGAAATGATGAGCTGAAGCTAATTCAGGAAAGTTTGATCAACGAGCTAAGAAGTACCCATGCCCATGGTTTTCTAGATTATAACGAAAACTAGGAACTAAGGCAGAATTCTGTCTGTGTAATGGTCATAGCAGTTAAAAAATACCACTGTACATTATACTTGAACCAGGGGCGTGGAATGCACGGGACTCGCCCTTAATTTTCGGGGTCATGTCGCAGCTCGCGGAAGTTTTCGTCCAATTGGATAATGCTTTTCTATGCTTTCTAAAGAACGAAGCTATGCTATTGGTTGAAACAGAAATGTATTGTAAAGTTCAGCCAATGAAAATCATTCTTGCGAGGAGCTGCGACACTACCCAGTTTTCGATGCTTGAGGCCTGCATTGGACGGCCGAAAAATCGTTAAACATGAAACTGAAGGAAGTAATATAGAAAGTGAAATCGGTGTTACTGTTATTGTTATTTAACCTACTTTAGTTTATCAACACCCCAGGTGTGCATCTGGAAACTATGAAGTTTTGGAGTGGTTTTAAAACAATTCCTTTTCGAAGAAATTTGCAGTACGTATATTAGAAATGTGTTTTCTTTACAAATACTCCAAAAGATCCATATCCTTTTAAAAAGACTTTTAAAAAAGCTAACTTTTTCCATCACCCCTTTCCCTGAATCAGTGAAATTGTTTGCATGTATTTCACTCGCGGATTGCGCACACGCTCTGGTCAATAATTCCCTTGAAAACTTGGAACCTGAAGGCTGTTTAACCTGGCTTGAAACCCTGGAACCTGAATGCTGTTCCTCCAGGGCTGAAACCCTGGAACCTGAAGGCTGTTCATCCTGGTTTGCATCCTGGAATAAAGTTGTTAGGGTATTAATATACAGATTGAACTAGTAGTGTGAGAGGTCTCTGGCATTAGACAAATTACTATTTGAAGTAGATTAAAATGTGTTACATTATTTCATGTTATGCCATAAGAAATGGATAATTGTTACTTTACATGGTCAAGGAACGCTTTGATGATTGTTGAACAAATTTCGATAAAAAATCTGGTGACTTTCCATATTACTTCCCTGAAATCATGTGAGAGGGTTAGCATTAGGATTACGGATTAGATTAGGGTCCTGGTTATGATTTGGGTTAGTAATCAGAATCATCAGATTAAGGGTTAGTGATCAGATTAAGGGTTAGTGATCAGATTAGTCTATTTAGGATCAAGACCAACTTTGTTAGTATATTCACATAATTTGAGATCATAAAGTTTGAAGTTCTTTTCAATTCAATAAAATATAAAACAATGTACATGTACTTAGTCGTCTTAGTGGATATCAAACCATATGAACCAACCAACCCCTTCTCATATATGTAATTAACCACATATACAGATAGAGGTAACCCTTAAAAATCTGTTTAAGGATAAATTGGGCATTTAACACAACAACTAGCAGTACTATTCTAGTGGATTTTAACCAAATACAAGTGTGTATAGCAAGTCAATGTGTTAAATAAAATATTGTTTATTATATTTTGGAGATGAGCATAAATCATGTTTCACACCTGGGACTGATGCGGCGGTGACTGAGACATTCTATTCATTGGCATGTCTTGGTTGCTCATGGATTTTGGTCTCTCAATTCGCTTTGCAGTCTTAAAATGCTGAATTAGCAATCCAGCGATAGCCACCAGAGGGAAGATGGAAAAGACAATCCAGGAGAAAAAGCAGAGCTTTCGTATCTTCTCACCATAGATAATATGTTTGACATGCTCAACGAATAAAAATCCTTCGACAAAATAATCAATGCCCCCCATCACAAACACACCGCCCACCACGGATGTATCGAGTATGACAAATGTCCGTTTCCACCAAAGTGACATGCTTGCGAATGCAATGCTGATGCCAACAAGAATTAAAATTGGTTCAGCGAATGAACCAAATGTATGGATTTCATTGATAATAATAATGATCACAGAACCGAAGCTGAATCCTGTACAGAGACCAGCTAAGAAAATACCGCAGTACATAATACTTGAACTCAGTATGGAGACAAATAAAGCCATTGAGCCTGTTATCAGCAATTGTATTCCAATACTGTAATCAAATTTGTAATCAACAATTGCATATCCAACCAGACCAGCAACCGTAAATCCAAGCAGGCTGAAGGTTGTCCTTTCCTTGCTATAGCCTGTAAAAAGTTGTTTTAGGTATTAAAATACAGATTTGATTCATATTGCATAAATATTAAAGTTCTTTGGTATTGGACAAAGCAGGAGAGGGGTTGCAGATAAATTTGGGAACTTTGCCATCCGTAAAGTTTTATCCAAAAGAAAAAAAATGCTCAAGGCTCTTGAAAGTGAGCAATGTCAAAGACGTGAGTTAAACAGGAACTTGTTCATCTTGAGCAAACAAGAATAATGCATAAACTTGTAAACAAAACACATACAAAAAACAGCACCGACATTGCATCATAATGCATTAGTCTCTGTTTGTATTAAGCTCCTTTCCACAATCAAAGAACGCTTTTATGATAGTGCAAATGTCTCTTATGAATTAAAAAAAATGTTGTTGAAACTACGTTGTTTAAATTTCTTTTCAAGGAGACAATTTGAGATTTGAAAACAAAGCGCTTATGAATAGAATGCTTTAGGCAGAATATCATCTATTGTACCTTGTTTTTAAATAACCAATATATTGTATTTGGTTACATAACTTACATTTGAAGTTCGCTTCGCTTTTACGTGTTATCTATCAAAATTCTAGGATTAAAATTTACGAATTTCTTCCACAATAATAAAAAGGCCTTGTCATTTCTATAAAGCACTCCCAACTCCCATCCCTAAGCAAACAATCCTGGCAAAACAACAGTTCTACAGGTGCTTTAAAAGGAGCAAATCGGCAAGTAGTTTGGCATCATTTGATACCGGTCCGAAAATTGAGTGAAATATCGCGAGACTTTGGCAAAGCACTTGGCGGCCAAATTAGGGACATAATTGAAAGCCGCCCGAAAGAAACCAAATTGCAACAAACTGCTTTATTTGATACACTTATATGAACAGCACGAGATTAAATGTTTAGCAAGACGCTAAAGAGATACAATTCCGTTTGTTTTCAACTCACCGAATGAGCATAGAATTCCTCCGTCTAGAATGAGAAATCCACTTATGATCCCCGCAATTATCGAGTAGCTTGGTCGAACGACGGCCCATACACAGCTCTCGAGATTTGTTATTGTTTGATTTTTCAACTTCGAAAGCGAAGTGTTCTTATTGCCTGTCTCGTTCGTCATCTCTTCCCCGAAAATCGGCCACGAAAGGCTCAGGGAAACTGCCGAAAATAAGGCAAATTTGCACCAGACAAGAGCTCGCGTGTCCATGTCCAGATAAAAAAATCGATCGCAGTAATCCTATAAGACAGACATTTGAATCTTTTATGCACAAATATCAGAACTTAAATATTAAGAAATTCAATAACGGAGACGATCCCAGACACTTAGCGTGTCCTTTTCAATACAGAAGGCGTTCACATACCTTTGGCACGGATAGCACAGAGATAAAAATTGAAATTTGATATTAGTCGCTTGGGTAAATATATTATATTGTATATTGCAAGCCAGTCACGCATACGTGTGGGTGAAATACGTCTCAAGCTCTTCCCATACTGCGACGCAATTTGCATAAGACATTGTTCTAAAATAAAGACTTACCGCAATCGTGTTGGTCGGTCATAAAAACAATGTGAACTTTTAAATAAACATCTAGAAATTGAAGAATTTTTTTCCAGGCAAAAAGCGTTGGCGTTTTAATAATACTTCTAGACCTGAACTTTATGCATCCAACAGCGACTCCCAGAACTTCCGGTTCCGGTTCTCCCCAGTCCCAGTTTTAAAGGCGCAGCTTTGCCTTTTGAAGGATGGGTTTTAAAATAAGACAGAGTGGAGTCACCAGATTTTGTCATGTTTTTTTATAAACAGTCCCACCTGATCGATTTTAATAATTACCAAATATATTCCAGGAGGCGCAGTCTAACTAGATTTGAGCAGCTTTGCTTATAAATAAAATAATCATATATCGTCAGTGGTCACACTGGAGATGTCAATGCGTCTCAAGTCTAAACCACTGATCTTAACTCTCAAAGAACGGGCGTTGCACATATCAGGAAATCTTAGATTAACCGCAATGAACTGGGTTCAAGTGTACAATCGAAAATTGGCCGCCATGTTGAAAGAGGAAAGTTTACCCACCCGCAGGAACCTCCGAGTTTTTTCTACACGCCTTTTTGAATTACGATCAGCCCAATCGTTCAAAACTACACAAAACTTCACGCCATACCTTTAGTATGTTTTATCTCCAAAAAGCACTTAAATAACTGAAAAACTATCTTTTAAGGAATTTTAATGGTTGCTTCCTTCAGAAGAATTCCAACTTTCCCTCATATCCATCAATGACAATCAATATCACCGGTGTAATATCACATCGCAAACGTTTTAAAAGCGCAATATCGCACCTTTGAGAAAACGCTTTTTACGGCAAAATATAGTCAAATCGCTAGTCAACCAATACACACATTACTTTATTTTAGAATCATCAAGAACACTCATCTTGTATAAATGTTATGTCACCCGGGTGATATTGATATTTTGATATGAAACAAAGTTGAACATCTTGAGAACTAATTAGTTAACAAAAGGTACAAAATTCTACGAAAGAGGTTTTTCAGTAATTTCAGGTGCAATCATAAACATTTACGGTGAAATGTTTGAAAACTTCGAAGAATATGCATTGCTATTTTATGCTATTGTTAATTGTATAGCTATTTCATTGATCAACAATGAATTTGCTATCAACTGTTTACGCGGGCTTCGTAGAAACAGCTGCTGTTTTGATATAGTTATCAACGGCAAAACAAAATGCCCACCCAAGCCGGTTAAATCAAAGTCGGTACAGGGGCTTCATTGATCACATTTAACATTTAAACTTTCTTGAATGTATTATTAAAACAACTTTAGGCGAGATTAATTCTAGTAGAACTGACGATTTTTACTCGACGTTCAATACAGCGGTAGGGAGCATAGTTTGAAATCAAGGCTTCAAACCTTCGCCTTGCCTATATTTGTTTACCGTGCTTGCTCTTTAAGTGAAAAAACGCGAATATCTCACTGCATGTTCTACATTTCTGTACGTTATCATACTTGGTAGTACTTTCGTTTTAAACTAATTTGAATATTCTGTAATTTGAAGCGACTTTTTCAAGAATCGTGTAACTAAGTTGGCATTTAAAAGAACGTGGATATCATTTATGAAATCCGTTTACAGACGTTTTAACGTATCAACTTCATTACTCGTCTTCATTGTCTCGAGACCGGCATCCGCCATCTTGAATATGCCTGACGTGTGATAACCAGTGTTGCCAACTGTAATTTTGTGAAAATCCCAAGTAAGCGCCTGAAATATCCCGAGATTCCCCCTAAAATCCCGAGATTCTAATTTCAACCCCAGTCCTCAGCCTTGGCGCACCCTAGTACCCAGTCCGCTCAGTGTGCGTTTATAAAGCGGTACTTCTCTGCATAACCGATTGTACAAATAGTCTTTATTGAGTGACTTTGAGTAAGTATTTTAAGTACAAGCGGACGAACCTTGGATTTTTAAAATGTTTATTTGTCAATTTAACGAAAACATCTTTTCCCAAATTCCAAACTTCCCTTTCCCAAAAATCCCTAAAAAAATCCCGAGATTACCATTTGAGAAATAAATCCCAAAAAAATCCCAACTGCTTCAAAAAATCCCGAGATCTCGGGATAAAATCCCGAACTTGGCAACACTGGTGATAACCCGTAAAAGTTTACATTCTCATAGAACGTACAGTGGAAATACAACGGTACTTTAATAGATTAATCAAGAAATCATTTAATAACTTAGAAATCTCATTTCGTAAATAAGGTGCCCTCAATATCCAGTCCAAACAACAAACACAGAATATTCAAATTATTTTCCAGCGCCATCTTGGATTTTACCACTGGACATTGCGCCTTGTTCGTTTCTGCGCCGCAGCGAAGCAGAATTAACATATTGCATGGTGTTAGTGAGTATTAATGTATACAATGTCATTCACTTCGATATATAAAGACGTTAAAACAATCCTTTCTTCTTCTTTTTATCCAATTTTCCATGGCCATCGATTGTCCTATTACGTGTAAACACAAAACATACTTACATTCAGAAATTCCAGATGGCTCTTTGCCAAGATAGGTTTGCGATAACGCGCTCAGACGCAGGTGAAATTCTGGCCTACGTTTTTTGGCATTGAAAAATGGACCTTTGTAGAAAAAAAAGTGGGAAATATCGACTTACTTGGCGTGTTGATTCGGCGTGTGTCCGTCGATGGCAGAATTTTGATTGTGCTCCATGAAGACCTCTTTGTCTTTTGTAAATCTTTGTCGCTTTTCGTCCAATTCTCGTCGCTGTAGTTCGAGCTGACGACAGCTTTGTTCGTGTTTCTTAGAAAACTGGAAGAACGGAATGCAGAACAATGACTTTTTTGATTGATGCGTACTTATTAATCACTTGTTCATCGGTTTGGCTAAGGACGAACAACAAGCATATATTTCACGTTGTGAGAAATGGATTTAGCTTATACATCGTGTCGGTTCGAAAAAGTCTTTTGTGTACAACTTTATGCTCTCCGTAGATCTCCAAAAAACATTGAAGATATTGAAGTTTTATGAGAATTTCTCGGTGAAGTCTTTTATAGAGGAAATTACTCATCAGTAAACACTAGTAACAATTTATTATAAGTTTTGAATGGACACGAGAAGCCGCAAAAAGTTTAAGGAAGGATTTTAGGGATCGTGACAATCCTATTTTGTGCGGCTTTCTTTCTCGGACGTATTAGAAACATAGATGCTTGTAAGATGCTTGACGTCAAGATGACAAACTTCCTTGTTTTTCGACAGTATAATTTGGTTGAAACAAAGAAGGAAGTGCGCGGTGAAATAATCCTCAAGAGATATCTCTAAAAAACTAGCACAGCCTAAACATTGTTATCAAACCACCCACGCTAGACTCCCACAAACACAATTATCATCAAGTGTCCATTTTCTGCCCTCACGCAAAAGCAAAGTTTTCTGAGGCTCAGTAATAAGAGCGCTGGGCCCGAAATCGTGTAGGGCCTGGGCTGAATCCCGAGTTCACTTTAAATTAGTAATCCTTTGATAAGTCGACCCAGATTCAAAGCCGGTATACAATTCCTTGAAATTATTTGATAGCATAGTTTGGTAGCTAACGCCCTGTTCTTACCTCTGCTTCCATTTCCTTGAGTTTTTTTCTCTTTTCCTTCACCTTCGTTTCGAAGACTTGTTCCATTTCGGATTCGGTTTTACTGATTTTGCTCTCTCGTTCGTGTTTTTCTTCTTCCAGTTGCTCAAGAGGACTTAAGCCCAGCGATTTATTGCTGAAAGTTGAAGAAAAGCATCATTGAGCACATTCATAACGGAATACAACCGTACAATGGCCTGGCAATTGGCATCCCAATTCTTGGAGCGAAATATTTGAAAGAAGAGGTCGTGTTACCTCGTGACTGTAGGCGAGCCCACGGTCACCGTCGCGAGTCGTTTACAGCGGAAATTTTCATAGTGAACATCATTTGTTACGTCTTTTAGATCTTGCATGTGAGTTCTAAAGAGATGCGGAGGGGGGGTATCAGGTATTGGCCATTTATTAGAAGTGGGAATAGGACACGAAGAGTGTGAAGTGAAGTGGTAAAGGTCATTAAAAGCGCGGAAGGGGGGGGGGAGGGGGAGGAGTGGGGGAGGGCATGAATAGTAGATGATGTTACGTGTGAGAGAGATAAACTGAGATATCATTATTACAGCTTTCTAAAACTGGATTTACAGAAAGGGGGCTCACCTGATCAGCATATTTCGAAGAGCAACGAAATCACAGTGTTCTGAATTTTCAACTGCATTTAGGAAATAAGAAAAAAAATGTCGTTATTGCGATAGTTTCAATATTATTCGCGCTGTGTCAGAAATCGAAGACGGCGTCTCATCCAGAACCCCGAACCTCTGAATCCCGTAGAGTTTCGCAATCTCGCTCATAGTATTTCCATTCATGGATTTTAGGCCATGAATAAGTTCGTTTACCTTCTGCCACACCCCATGGGTAAACTCTGGCCCTTAACTTCTTCCCACCGACTTCCACTACGGTGTTACTGCCCACAACTGCGAATGGTATTCTGTCCTGGGAAAGTATCACAAAAAAAATGAATGCCGGCAAAGTTATAAATGCACAATAGCATGCATCCCTACCAACGACAAGTAAAAAATCGTCAGGCTAGTGACTTAATGTGAACTTACTGTCATGCTGACATCTTTAAAATCCTCGTCATCCACACCAAGATCTGGGAACTGGTATATTCCAATTTTATTAGCACCAATCTCGTTTAGAATCTGTGAGAAACCAGTGCATGTACAGTGCATTTGCAAACAAAAGGCAAAAATGAATCACACACACTTTGCACTAATTGGACAAAGATTTATATCATTGAACAATAATGTTAATTATTTCCAACTTTAGAATACACTTACTTGTTTCTTGAAGTTCTGACATTCTTCAGCTGTCAGACTATCAGCCTTTGCAATAACTGGTACTATGTTCACCTAAAAATATTATGGTTGGTATTTAAGACATATCAGAATGCTGCCTGATATTAAAATGATGCATTGAAAGGGCCAAAAAGCAGCCTTAATTATCAACGAGGCAGCATTCTGAACTGTAAATACCACACTTATGCAGTGATTCAAATGGTTGGAGATTTAGGTACCGAGCAACACAACAATAATTATACAAAGGACGGTAATCACACTCACTTTATCATGTAGTCTTCTCATAAATTCAATGTCCAAAGGTTTTAAGCTGATTGAATTGGAAAATTATGTGAATAAATTTAACTCCTTAATCAAACACATGTTGAAAAAATAGTTTTCTTACCAGTGTCCATTTGGAGCTATAAAATACAGACAACAATGAACTCTGTTGTCCACAATTGCCGATCTGTTTACACGCGATTCTTCATTTAGGTACTCTTCAAATTTTGATTCAATATACGAGTTTATTGGACTCCAGCTACACGTGAAAGAGAGAGGAGGGTGGTAATGAGAAGATGGTGAATATAACCAGAGAATATTGCATTAATAACTACCCCCTATGGGTCACAACAATATCTTTTATTCAAGCACTTACCAGTCAGTGTTATCAACTGCATCACCAAAGCCTGGTGTGTCAACACAAGTTAATCTTAAAGTGACACCTCCTTCTTTCAATGTAACTGTTGATGCTTGCACCTGAAGAAATCAAACAAGATCGAAATATTTGTGAAATAAATGAATTAAATGAAAATGGTTTAAACCATGGAAAACATGTTTGTACGATTTACATTTATTGTCAAAAAGAAAGTTGGAATGCATAGAGGAAAACTGAAATGTTACCTCAATTGTTTTGGAAAGCTTTTCTTCTGTTGTTGGAAATGTTGCTGATGTGTAGAGGTCAGTTAGAAAGAGTGAGTTTAACAGAGTTGATTTTCCAAGACCAGATTCACCTGAAAATTGATGACATTAATTAATATTTGTGAAATTTTACATGGTGAATTAATACCTTAATTAATTTAGAGAAATGACACATGTAATTGTTAAACGCAAAGCTTTCTGTCCGTTTTTTGCTATCAGAAAAAGGTAATTTTCATGTACCAAGTGTAATATTATGTTAACTTAATGACAAAAAGGAATGAAGGTTTTATTTAATTTAAAACAAATCCTTCAAGAGATATTGCAAAACTATAAAGAAGGAAGTTTTTGCAAAATACTAAAATATATGCAATACTTTACAAGCCATAAAATCATAGAGCATCATTCAAAGCAAGTAATAGGTTGTCAAAACTAGTTTTGTGGCCAAAACTAGGCTAGTGAAAAATAATGCAAAATGACAGCGCAACTTTTTAAACAGGACAATAAACCTATTAAGTTATATTTGTTTATTCATGAAATCACTTCTCTTAAGGCCACTTAACAAGACCACAAGCATGCAACGAATCTGACAGCAATATGCATGAATAGTTTATGGACCAATATCGTCACTCTGCCACGTACATTAGCCCTGCTGAATAATTAACTGTTGCTTAAACAAATGCACAATCAGGATCAATTCACAATGAGATGATTATATACCCATCACATAATTTTTTTCACAAAAGGCACACAATTTTCTACAGTAATTGCATGGCGTACAAATCAGTTAATAGTTGTACAAAAAGGTAAAATGTTGACAGATGAACAAATGCTAAGCGTGATGGTTTATATGTTCTCGTTTACTAAAATTAAAAAACCTCAGGATTTTTCCAAGTCAGGAAGTCTTGTGGTTCAGTGAACAAAGACAAAATATAATTACATCATTCATAAAATTCCATTAAACAATCAATGGAATTTTATTATATAAATGGCCAAATATAAACTTTAGCAAGGAGTTCAACCCATTCTTCATATTAGTAGAGTATAAAAAGGGTACACAACAGAATGGATAGATTAAATGTTTTTATACAATATCATTTTCAAACAGCTTGAAGCATCAGAGATACCCAAAGAATGCTGCCATGTGGTATCTTTGCCCTGTGTTTTTTTCACCTACTGCTGGGCACCACAAAAGTGTGCAATGAAGAGGGAAGTAAAAGACAAAATTCCACACCATGGAGGCGAACAAATAACCAATCGTATGAAGGCTGGAAACATATACGCCATTTCAGATCGTGTATAAATTACGTATGAGGAATATGGATTGGATGCGGATCATACTGTTGATATTCCAACAATTTAAAACTTCGAGAGGTTACAACATGTATTTTTGAGCGAACAAGTGCGGCTTATGTTGGGTCATATTGCAAGCTTAAACGAGCTAGCAACAAAACAAACGAAGCCTTAATTAAATAAACTCGCATTTGGCCACCGCTGCGAGTTAAATTCGCCTGTTGCTATACGAAAATGTACTATACATCTATTTACGCTTTTAGCTTGAGTTTGTTTTCATTGCATAAGCGTTGCTAAAAAGCAAATATACAACACCCGCTAAAAGTAAACTAGAGAAATGATAGACTAGGGATTAAAAACGACCCTTTTGCTTGCAACAATTTAACCAAATTGAAGTACAATGATGGTATAATAAAGATTTATATCAAAGTTCGTTCAATGCGAAAGTAAATCGACTGTTCTAAATTGCGAGTTGTCACAAATGATGTAATTAAGCTAGCGATGTTCTATAAAGTTCGTCACTTACAAATATTTATACTCGTAGTTTTGCTACAGGGTAATATTGACTTAGCACACAGATAGCAGGGAAATATTTCACTATTTATCCATTGTACACTTTTTTTTAATTAATAACGAAACCGTGATAAATCGAACCGCAGTAATGCGATGACTCTGCGAAGGAATGGGCTGGAATATTTGAGATATTTGCAAAAGAGGAAACTGAGAGTTTGACGAAGGAACAGTCGGATATCGTACAAGCAGCAGAATATGTAATTAGATAGGAAAACACAACAAAATGTCAGACACGCCAAAGTGAAGTGTTGAATTGTATACGCCAGGATAAATAACAAATATACGCGGGTTTAAATATTGAGAAATGAATCTAGATACTTGGTTAAGTAGAACGAGACGTATATCGTAATATATTTCCTATTCGTTTCAAGCGAATGCTCGCTTGAAGGCAAAACTTAAGGGGCACCCTACCCAACACACTTACCGACAACCATAAGGGTAAATTCAAATCCTTTCTTTACGCTCTTTCGAAATATTTGATTAGGCAGATTCGCAAACCCCACATAGCCATCAAGTTTCTTTACTTCCTAAAGTTGTGCAAAAGCAATTTGTTGTTTATAACAGCAAGACAAGGCGAATTAATGTTTTGGACTTCAGTAATTAATAGTAATATTTCTATATTATAATGCTAGACTTACCGCTGTATTTGTATGCGAAGCCCATCGTAAACCAGGAAGAAACACAAGCCATAGATAGAATAAAAGAACTCGGTGTCAGCAATACGAATGAGATCAGTGCAAGAACATAAAATATATTGGAATTTGAAGCATAAAAGCGGAAAATAATAATATATAAGCACATGGAATTAACACACATTCCATTGTAAAGCCAAACTATATTTATTATTAAAACACATCCCACGAAATGAACAAAGCTTGACTCGAAGTACGACGCTTCTTTCTTGAAAACAAATAAAGACAAGCTTACCCATAATAATTTTCGAGTTGCCTTTAGGATTTCATATCTCTAAAACAAAGCCTCTTCGATGGATTGTCTTTACCGAGCGAAACCCTGACTAACAAATAATTCGTTTCCGCTTTGCCGTTTCCGGTTGAGACTCATCCAACGTTTGACAACATTTTTAAACTATTTATTTGAATTCAACCGAATACAAACAGTGGTAACACAACTCGGATTAGTGAATTGGCGTAAAATGTTTGTATTCAAGAAAGGGTAATTGTTTACTATTTCAATTCAAACCTATAATTGTAAAATTATTGACGTACATATAAGTGTCGCCTAATTTAGACATGATCACGAATTTTAATCAGCTTGTCAGATTATAAATCGATGATTATGAACACTAATGATTAATCAAGAGTGTTGAATGTTATTACAATTACAAGCAGATGTAGTCTTGTTCAAGAGTAACTATTTATTAGTTATTACATTTGCAAACATTTGTCGGACGCTTTCATTTTGACAATTTCACAAAGAGTTTGTGGCTAGATTAGAACACATTTTTACAATATTTGCCTACGAAATCGAGCACCGTCTAGAACGTCTTAATTAGGGAATAAACAAAATTTCTTATCTTATCAAACCAAATACACTTAATTTGAAGGCAAACTTAGCTATTATCCCACAAAACGAAAGTGCAAAAGAAAACAAAACAACGTGGTCTATTTTTAATGAAAGAGCGACATATTAGTTTGTGGAATTTTTGAAATGCTTATCATTTTTACCGACATCAGCAAATAAAGTCAGTGATATTTCTTTTAATATCGCCATATAGCGAATACACTATTAAATACTGCATAACTCCAATGAAAAGCATATTTTTCGCTGGGGAATAATCTATTTAGTATTTACTAAGCACTCTCAGAAACCAAAAACGTGAATAATTGTGGTTTTTGTCACGCAATTTTTACATAGAGACAGCCCACCGTAAATAGACTCAGCTCGGCAACTTCGATCAATGAATTCGATTAGGCGATTAGCCGATTACTGCTATGATATAATCGGTAATAATTGAATTACGAAGTACTGTAATTTATTCCGCCCTGTACTAAATTATATTAAATATTCAAACTCTATGTAAATTTGATTACAATTTGCCAAGCAAACAACCCCCCTGGATAATTCAAAAATGGCCTTTAATTTATAAATAGGAAAGTAAACAGCAGAAATAAGGTCATGTTCTCGTCCAAATTGTGCTCAATTTCCGACGCTCTTCTTACTCAAACAAAGCAAATCCTGCTGCGTAATTCTAGTTCAAAATGGACGCAAAAGCTCGAAGCTGCGACTTCGAAAATATCCAACAATTATTCAACTCCGAATGACAGTCCACAAAAACTAACTCGGCAACAAGAAGAAAGCGACAGTTCTAAGTACCACATCAGACACAACTATATTCCAATGACTAGAAAGTCTTTAGCGAAACGAATCATGGAAGAGGAGACGTTGATTTCACCTGAAGATCATGCAAGGTTTCATGAATTCGCTGTCGCCGTAGATCATGCTGTGGGGAGGTTGTATCATGGAGTTCTTGGAGAGCTGAAGGTCAGGAAGTGTAAATTTGTTTTGTAAAACATGTACCAGGCACCATTTAGTGATTCTGTCGCCAGTCAATAATACCTAATAGTGTAACGGAGTGTTACATGGTATTTACACCACGTGACATTGCCATGGTGTTTCCGTGGCACATGGTGTTGTATCAATGTCACACAAATTTCATGTTGTTACATATTGTTGCAACTAGTTAATGACCTTATATGTGAGCCATGATCGTTATCTAGCTGAGTGGTATTGTAGGTGTTGAAATAGGTTGTAAGAGATATATTATACCTGGAACACATGCAAAATTCGATTTCACCAAATCAGGTATCATTAGGCTACCTTAGTTAGGATGAACATACCAATGCTCACCTGCAACTAATTATGATTATCAGTCCTCCAGACATGCCTGTCAGAATCTCAAATTAACATTACAGCATACTTCCGAGACTAGGGCTATGCAAGAAAAAATGGTACAAATCTGCATGTTGCAAAAAGCACTTCAAAATCTTTGTAGCAAGGTTGAAAAAACAATTGTAAGTAATGTAATATCACTGTAAAGGCAATTATTTATCTCTTTATCTTGTCTTCCACCATAGTCACTGTATGACCCTCTGAATCCAGACAAAGAGACATTGGTGACAAGGTACATTGGTACTAAAGAACGACAGGACAGAGAATACCTTTTGCTCCAAAAACTAAACAATGTTCTGTACAAAGCTGGCTTTTACGAACTGCCCCAGGAGGCTGTTCAACAGGCCTTGAAAGAACACGACATAGGTGACGGAGTTTTAGTCAAAGTTGATCCGAGCAAATACGAAATCTTGAGATTCTGGGTTGTCGGCAAAGACATGCAAGACGATGATAAGGCATTAGGCTGGGCGCGAAAGGCTCGCAAGTCTGTTCGCTATCAAGTGTATGGACGACCATCGACCAGAGAACGGTATAAACGTGTTATCATTGCTGTGAGGGCGAAAAACCAGCGAAAATTAATCCTGAAAACCTTCAAGGATATACCGTGTCCAAATCTAGAACATTTGTTACCTGAGGGTAAAATTGAGATGACTCGTTTTGACCAGGTTTTGGTCGGGGTAAGCTTGAGCATAGGGCTAACCACAGCCGTGGTGAAGTTGATCACCCTAATGGCTGACCATCAAGTCGGCTGGTTGCCAATAGCAACGGTCACGACGATGGTGTTGCTCGCGAGGACGTGGAGCGTGTACAAGAGTCGTAGGAATAAATACCTGGCAGATTTGACACAAACTTTGTATTTTAAATCAATGGCAAACAACAGAGCATTGCTGACGCTGGTTATCGATCGGGCGGAAGACGAAGCTTATAAGTCAGCCATGTTGGCTTATAGTTTTATAAGGGCGTCAAGGAGGCTATCTTTGTCAGGTACGGGAGACGATAATTTTTGCCATTAACCTGAAGCTAATAAGCTATGAGATAAGATAGTTCACCTTACTTTATTACTTATTTCATTTAAATCTCTCAATGTTTCCACATTCACTGCTAAATAAAAGCACGATATCGTTTAAAAATTTGGGTGAAGTCAGAGAAAAGTTAAAAATGTTGGCCCCCCTGGTATGGGAATCTTCATATTTCTAACTGTTATCGTTGTTTCAGAGGAAAGTCCCTCGGACGAGGAGTACACGGACGGTATAACAAAAGAGGAACTGAGAGCGCAAATAGAAGGCTGGATGGAGAACAAATTCGGTTTGCAGATCAAGTTCGACCCAAACGACTGCATACATTTTCTCGAAGATGTGGGAATTCTCACCAAAGCAGAAGAAGGTTAGTGTGAAAATCTCTACGCCATATTTTGTCATTTGTAACTATTCGCTATCCAGTTTGCAACTTGAGATCAGCATTTTTGCCGCCATTTTGATAACCCAGCTGCTCTTCGTTTCCAGGAGATATTGAGATGCTGCGAGTTCTACCAATCAATGACTGTTTGCCGCTCATTCCAGTCCCTCGCGACTGGCATTCGCCAATCGACAAGACGGACGAGTTTGACTTACATGAAGTACGGGCATTCGGTGAAAACGAAGTTGACCATCAAAAGGAAATGGAAACGGAGAACGATGTGCAAAGAAAAATGGGATGGTATTAAGAAGAAGTAACTTCAGCTTCTATGAGAGGGTGAATTTAAACAGAACGATTTACCATTCAAAATAACTCGCATGATCGGAAATTGTTAGCCCAGCACGACTTATTTGAAGTTGTCTATTTTTAAAAAACAAAAAATGACAAAAGACTAAATGAAAGATATTTCATCATAACAGCTGTTGAAACAAAAATTACGACTTTTTCACAACACAGGCTTTATTAAAATTGATCGAAATGTTTGTGCGTGAACTTCTCAAAGCTGTTGGGTTACCTTCACTCTCATATCGTGAATCAACTAACGGTAGTGTTAACATAAATGTCACAGTGGTCGAATCTCATTTGAATGTAAACCTTTTTAATTGAAGTTGTTAAATTGAGTTGGGTAACTGCGTAACACCACTTTTATAAGATACAAGTTGTTGTACACTATTACTTCTCTACTTACATGAAGCTATGACCTATTTTTTGTGGATATAATAAAAACAATCTTATCTTGTGAACGATCTCAAGTGTCTGCCACGTGTTCCTCCGGTCCTGTAACTGTCAAAGCTCGCTGGGGGCGGTGGAAGAAATCTTGAAAACGAAAAACGATTGCAAAGGGTTTTAGAAAAACATGTGAACGCACTCCGAGAGAACGCACTCCAAGAGAACGCACTCCGAGAGAACGCACCCCGAGAGAACACACTCCGAGAGAACGCACTCCGAAAAAACACACTCCAAAAGAACGCACTCCGAGAGAACGCACTCCGAGAGAACGCACTGCGAGAGAACGCACTCAGTTGAAACACATATATACCTGGCATCTTTGCGTTCCGTGTCTTGCTGCGGTCCTGCCCAGAATCCTCCGCGCAGCTGCTGATCGCGATAGGCTGTCTCACGAAATCCTGCAGTAACAAAGACGATTTCAGTTTCACTTTGTCCAATAATCGGTAGTACAACACTTTTCAAACAATCTTTTGACTAAGAAAATTCTTAAACACTCAGCCCATTTACACTAAAACTTGAGACTAACTACCAAAATTTCTTCAGTGCTATTTAGAACGTTAAGCTACCCCTTTCCTCTGCTTTCAAGTAGCAACAACCCCTCTCTGCCACACCCCATTTCTTCACACCGGACAAGATGTACGATACCGAATAAATCAGAAAACGTCTTACCTCTGTAGTGAACAGTGGCTGGCGTTCCCCAGTTGCTAAGATTTTAAAACAGAGAATAGAAAATTAGCCAGTTATTTGAAGGAGTACAAACAGTTTATGGCCATCAAAAATTCGAACATCAAATGTCGCCGCCATCTTGGCTGAAGCTAATCAGTTCCCAGTTCGCGGATGAAACACGCGATTGTTTTCAACTAATACTTACGCTCTCTGAAAGCCTCGCTCCAGGAATCCCGCCGTTTCTATAGCCTGGCGTGGTTCCCAAGCATGCTGATTGCGCAAAGTATGCAAAGGATGCGCGGTCAAAGATACTAAAAATAGAAAATAATAATAATGCGTTGGAGTACATATCAAACAAATACCATTTGCCGATGTGCATTCCGCTGGACATAAAAGAGAATAGCAATGAAAGGCAAACAGCAGACTTCCTCTGAATACCCCCCATACCCACCTTCTCTACGGGAGGTGCTCGCAATTTCCCAGCGTCCACCACTCGGCAGAAATCCTCCGTCAATTCTGTGATGATCTGGTGAACTCCGACTTAGGGTTTGAATCTGGAAAAGCGGAAAAATCTTAATCTATTTCAAGGTATCATTAAAAATTAGCAGGAACAAGAAAGCGCTCCGACCCAACCCTTTCACCCACCTTGCGCACTGGAAGTCTGGATGTTGAGCGATCATTTAAAGTCGACTGCCCTCCCCTGCCTCTTCCTCTGCCTCGACCGCTCTCCATTGCAACGTAATCGTCCACGTGCATCGACGGAGGACGGCTGGTGTTCTGTATGCGAGCTCGGAAGTTGTCGTATCGTTGGCCACCGCGACCACCTCGGAACATCCCGCCACGACCTCGACCACGATCTAAAGCTAACATGATAGTCAGTATAAGTTGGTACAAGCGACCCCATAAGTATTCAAATCAATATGCAAACTATTGGTCCATAGCTAACCCCAGGCCCAAACCACTTGTTACCCTATCTATACCCGTCTATCACCAATGAACCCTTTTTCTGCCTTATATCCACTCTTACTCCTAAATTCTCCAGAGAAAGATCAATACCTTCTTGTTTTGCCTTTTTATGCGGGTCGCCCTTCTCCAAAATCATGGACGCAAATTTACGTTTACCCAATCTGGAAAGGATAACATGAAGTACTCAGTTGTAACCAACTGACAGATCACACGGATTAAGGTTCAAAACGTACTTTTTAAGACCGTGTTTCCTCTTGGGTGAATCTGGCACGGAGGATAGTAATCCTTTCTCTAGTTCTGCCTTGATGTCAAAGTCTGGGAAATATTTCGTCTTCACTTCTTCAAAATCACAACTGACCTATGGGAACATCGATATTAAGATCGAGTTAATACAACTCGAGTCCTAAACAATATCTGTACTTCGATGACCTGTTTAGCGGGAAAGGTTGGATTGGTTGGTCACTTCTTGCTGCGCAGTCAGGCTTAGAAAAAAACACCTGTGTATTCTGTAATAATACTACATGTTTCCCCTGCTATCCCTTGCACTTTCCTCCCAATATCCCTTCCGATCCTCTCTCAGGATCCCTAGGTGTATTTCCAGATATATAAATCACTACATACCAATTCCGATTCAACATCAACATCGTCCGGGGGGGGCGTGGAGTACCATAGGGTAGGACTCACTCGGCAACTGATATCCCCCCCGGAACTGAATGCTGCGCGCTTGTTGAACAACGTCTGCAATGGCTGCGCGGCCGGAAGAATGGGCTCTTCATCCTCGTTTGCATCTGGAAGATATATTCAAAAAATTAATAAATTTGTGGTGTCTCTCTCACTGTCAATCTCACTGTTAAGATATTTCTGGGTTCAAATGAAAGACATTTGATTCATTAGGATCATAGGGTGCCTTGTCTAGTTCCGACTCTGACATCAGTGGTATAGTTTCCCAAAACTGAACAAGACTCGCATTCCAGTGCTACACTGACCTTCTAAATCACTCTTGATATCTTCCACTTTCCTCAGTGATGTGACGCCATTAAGAAGTGCTTCCAAAGTTTCATCTTCTTTGCAACTTTTCTGAAATACACAACAATGCCACGCAATTTAGCCATAGACCCTGATCCCAATCCTAATACAAACACTAAATCATCTTTCAAAAAACTACTTTTATCAGAATTGTTTAATTACTCTGCCTAATACTTCGTCACAGTTCACAAAATACCTCCAATAATGCTTCAAGTGTTTCCAATGGATTCTCAGAATCTTCTTTCGTTTTCATCAATTCGTGGAACTCCCTAACGGAGACGTGAATCTTTCTTGCATACAACGGCGGCTGGTCACTCGTAAATTGTTCATAAGAATCTTAAGTACGAGAAAATTAGACGGTAAATGTTAAGTGAGAGTTTTCATGCCACAAGGATTTGAATCGCACCCTGGAAAGTAACTGGTTGATATGAAACTTCATTACAGTCTGTTTAGTAAAACAGGACTCATGCTTTAGCACGAAATCTGCTATTTAAAAAAGATCGGACATCACAACCTTTTTGAGGTTCTTTGCCCTTCGTTGTTTTCCACTTCGACCTCAATGTTCATTTCTTCCACTTTATCTGCAACTTTCTCCATATCCTCCTTCTTAATTTTCTTCTCCCCTTCTTCGCCGCCTCCCGTTTCGCATTCTATTGTTTCGGAATCCTTCGTCGCCTCCTCGGTTCCTCCCGCCTCTTCGGGGACGTTTGAAGAAGGCATAAGTAACTGAAGAAGCTCTGTAGCTGTTGAAAGGGTGGACAGAGAGTCTGGGCCAGGTATACCAGGCCTTTAAAGTTTTTTACCGTAGTTAATATTGACGTCTCACTTGCTTCCATTTTCCCGAACAGAAATAAAGATAAACAAGAATTATTTTACCTGAACGAGGAACATAATCCTTGGAACAATCGATAAAAAACCTCTTTGTCTTTGTTCAAAGCCCTAAAACGTTTACACGAGTTTACAGTATTAGGTAAAGTAGAAATTTGTATTTATTTTCCGGCTACGTGCAAACGACGCCGTTTTTGGACGTTTTTAAGTTTGTTCTCGTCTCATTTCGATTTTTTGTCGGTTCACACGGTCCTTGGAAGAGCATTTCCGAGTGATGCAAATTTCCTGCCAATCTTTCAGGCGACTGAAGTTGTTTTCGCCGGTTATCGTGTGAAAACACAAATGAAAGCGGTAAGAGAAAGACACGGTGTTCAGTAGAGCCTGTAGACTATACATTGCTTTGGACGAAGGCCAAACGACTTTCCCGCCAAAATGTTTGCATGAAATTGAACCAATCAAAAGCGAAGGTTTAAACATGCTTCGTGCGTATCAACCAGCCTTTGATATTGGCTGGTTTTGTTTATACGTTTGATATATTTATTGAATAATCAGGAACGACTTACTGTTTAATATGGAAGAGGCCATAATCGTGCTCTGTCAGCATCACGATAGTTCGCAAGACTTGAAGAATGGTCGCGTAGGACTGGGAAGTGGAACCAATGTTTTCCAACAGGGCTGAACATATGGATGCAAACATGTCTCTATCAGGCATCGCATCTCCCAGCTAAAATAAAATTAAGTATTAGACTAACATCGAAATTATGTTCGTGAAAAATCGATTTAAAAGCTGAAAAAATATAGACTAAAGGGCCAATCTTTATCTAACAGAAAAAAAAACAAAAAAAAAATGTGTGCAAGAAACTAAATTTTAAAATATGACAAAACATTGAAAATGCGAAGTTCTTCGAAAATCTTTCAATAAAACAATATAGTTTCACCTGGTTTAGCGAAAACGGAGTGTCGAATGTTGTCAGACTTATTTGTGGATCGCATAATGACTGTATTATTGTCTAAACAAATATATTATGGTAGTTAGTAAATATATTTTTGCCTTTAGTTTGAAGAGAGACGCCATAAATATGCCCATGTCAACATTGTGGTCGTATGCAAAACTTACGACAACGCAATATTTCAGCCGCGAAATGACCAGTTCCTCCGAAGTGATCTTGAGAATACGCAGCAAGGAATTCAACAGATCTGGAAATGGTACTTCATCTGGATTTCTAAAATCGCAATGAAATTAAATACACAACATGCTCTGTGATATGAAGGTCAATATCTGCATGAACACAATAGGACAATAACACCGATATCGTGAAAAGCATTACCGACTTTGAAAAGGTTTGTGGCGTGTGTGAGCTTACCCTGGTTTAAGGAAAAACAGTAAAGCAGATTTCACGGCTGGTTGAGCCGACAGATAGGCAATCAGAGTGATGACTCTCATGACATGGGAACTACAGGCGCTAGAAAAGATATGAAAGATGATGATTAAGGGAATAAACTATAGAATACAGAGATCCACGTTTCGACATCAGGTCACCCCTGATGAAGACACTATAAACTGGAGTGTTGAAATGAATATAATCTTTCGTGAATGTAATCTTTGTGTGGTGATTAATTTCATTATTTAAACCAGAGTAGTGATGATAGGATGGATAAACTTGACAAGTATTGAGTGGATTGATAAAGAAGAATGGGCTGGAAGAATCATGTAGGGTTCAGGCTCAAAATGAGAGAACACCTAGAAAACATATTTACACGTGTGGATCTTGTTCTTTGGGGCTCGCGTTATCTTTCTCTATTTTGCAAGCTTTCTCCGGCTTATCGTTATCAACAACTGCCAATAAGGTTCTGAAGTAGAAGTACATTGTAAATATATCTATTGGGATCAAAATTACGAGCAAAAATTGCAAGTGGAAATAGGCCTTTAAATTTCCTTCTCACCTCACAACAGTCAAGGCCATCGGGGCAGAAACATCGGCCAACTGACAACAAACTCTTCTCAATACCAGCTGTAGACTGTGACAACACGACCCTAAGGTAAGGCAAGAGTCGTAAAGACATTCATCACTTGATCTGACATGAGGAATTCGGCGTCTCCAATTTCTTTAGAGCTCACCGCAACACGACCGATGATTCACTCTACTTACCAGATAAATCTTTCAACATTCGCTGAATTGTTGAGGTGAGAGGATTTAGATGAGCACTCCATAGCAGACGATGCTTGATGAGTTTTTCAACTTCGCCTTCGGGTAAATCCTATAATAAACACGGTTCTTTGTAGAGTTTTACAGAGCATACCAAAATAAGCAAAAGTTCAATGTTTGGTTGCAAAATGTTACAAGATCCGAGAGAAACAGCAATGCAAACAGCAGTGACAATTTTCGCGCGTAACACCAAAGCATATTTTCAAATTCGTCTCTCACCTCGAGCGTGTTAATCGGAAGAGGAATGGGTAAGAGTTCGGAGAGAAGCGAGAGGCCGCCGAGGAAGAACTGGGGCCGAGACATCGTGTGCTGCAGGAGTTCTTTTAACATCAGCAACCAAACGCTGTTATTGATCGCCTCTTCCGTGTCATTCGTCTGCAGAACTGGCCGAGTGAAGGCCATGAGCACATCAACAATTTCATTCTGTACTTTCTGCGCGATTGAGGACAGGGAGCCTGATACCGAACACATGATGCTGTAGAGAGCCATGAGCTCAGTCAGCAGACGAGTGTCTTTGAATTGATAGACACTTGTGGACAACAGCTCTACGTAAAAGAAACAGCCTTGCAGTTCACATCATACATCAAGTCCTAGAAATCCTGAATATTTGTGAAGTATATCATATATCGTACCGATTGTATTCCACAAAAAGCTCAAAGCACTCTTTAAATTTTATCATGTTTTGACGGCTCAATGCTTAGCTCTTGTAGCAAGCAAGCTTACCTGCAAGAAGGCGGTTGACACAAGCTAACAATGGCAGGACTATCGAAACAACATAGTAGCAATGTCCGCTTGTGAATGGTTGTCCTTGTAGCCACGGACGCTGCAAGAACTCGTTAATTTTCTGCGTTAATGTGATGAAAACGTCCATAGCATTTGCTGAAAACAGCTGAATGCACGCAACGTTGTATGTCAAGTCTTTTTGGCAATCTGCAATGCAAGAAATGTGCATTAAACGTATGATCGTTCTTCACGATTACTGTACTTCATGAAGTACTTTGTGAAGTGGTCATTTAAAAGCATCGACTTACCAGGAAGTATGCTGGTTTTGGGCACAGTTAGATAGCGGATGACACGAACGGCAGTCAGCACACCACACGCCACATTTTCGTTTCTTAGTTCGTCCGCTTTGCTATAGGGAGATAACAGGATTATGATTATGGCGAGGGAATAGGTTATGGAGAGCGGGGTTAGTTTGGGCGGAGGGATTAGATTAGGGGTGGAGGTCGACCCAAGACTGGGGGTAAGATCAGACGGTTCGGAGTGAGAGCAGGACTGGAGGGATAGCTCGAAAATAGAGAAATTGACTGGGAAAGTGGGAGGTAGTTCAGGGTTGGCGGATTAGATCTGGGTGATGGGGTGGGCTCACGGCTTGGGGCTTAAAGCTCAGTCATCAGAGCTGAACGATTAGCTCAAGACATACTTTGCCTCCCTACCTCTTGACAAATTCAACAAGAGCTGGAATTGACATAACCTCAAAGTTGACATCTTTCACAGGACTCAACCAATGATTCAGTTGTCCTAACGTCGACTCCTTGTCTAAAAAATATAGATATTTGCTCGTTGATAAGGGTTATAGCACTGCAACACATATAAATAATAATCCACACAAGAAGAAATAATCTTCAATTTTCCTTTTAAAATAATAATCTTACCCTGACCAATCTTCCACATTCTTTCACCGAATCTGTGAAGTATTTCCACATTTTCTAAACCTTTAACAGAGAAACAAGACATTATTTCAACGACAGAACGCGATGAAGCCGCCAAACGTTACTCTTTTGCAAGAGTAGGGTGGGTAGCTATAACAAAATAAGAGGAATTAACGATAGTTTTAATGGTAGAAAGTAAAAAGAGCTGCGATTTTCTAGCCATATTTCTGTATACCTTGAATAGTGAGAAGAATTAAAACGGATGCATATCGACTGGAAACACTTTTCTTCGATTTCGAGTCTTTGGAATCCAAACTTAGCTTGTCTAAAAGTTGGAACAGCCGAAAATACAGCACGAATTCAACGATGGACTTCGACATACATAAGCAATATAGTCTAGTTAAAGTGGAGGAATCGGTTTAACTTACCAGCGTGTTCTACAAACGGTAAAAGACATTCGAGATTGTTGGCCATTCCTAACACATTCGTCACGGCTGCTTTTCCTATACAACAGCCACAAAGAGTTTGTTTTATTTCTTGGCTGAAAACTCTGGTGCAGTTAAATTGTAAACTACTTTATAGACAAATCGTGAATGCGGATGACTGTTTGCACGTACCCAAGGCAGTAAATGTCATCGAGTAAAGAGAATGTAAAGTAGAGAGAATGTCAGCACCATCCAGGTCAATACCGGATAAATCTACGAAACAAAAACAAAACAGCAAAGATTAAACTGGATGCGTTTAATTCCGAGCTCCATAGTTCAGATATTCTAGACATCTTACCAGAACTATGAGATGATTTAAGTTGATCGATAGCTTGTAAAGTCTAAAACAGACATGAAATTTGATTAGATTTTTGAGTCTAAAATTTAAGTTTAAATCCAGAGTTGAAGTTGTTAAGTTGCAGAACCATAAGTAAGTCTTCGAAAGGTTTGAGATAACTTTGTCGTTTTAACTGAGTAGAGTCGTGACTTGTGCTTGCAAATGTGGTTAAATGCTGATGTAAATCATATACCTGGAGATGATAGATCAATAATAACCCCAAATGTTGTGGAGTGCAGTGGTCGGCCGCGCTTGAGTCACGAAGAAAGTCCTAGTGATAAAACAACACAGCCACGGTTGGATAATACAGTATAACGTAATCTTAACCTTTTGGCGCCAATATGTGTGTACATTATATGGACATTACATACACTAATACTCCACTGACCTGTAACGACGGTGCTACACTGTAGTGGAAATCAGTTTCCTAAACAAAGTAAAAATTGTGTGTGTTACCATAGTGCTATATATAGTAGCTAACATGAACATCGACAAACAATAACTTGCACTTACAGTCTGTGTTAATATTCTGACAATTTCATTCGTGCATTCAGGGTCGGACGACAGAAACAGCAAACCTTTAAAAAATTATTTAGATTTGAAAAATATCTACAGAAACTTAGACTTTAGGCATGCCGGGTGATGCAATAGTAAAATTTGATTGGATTTTTTTTTCAACTACTCTTAATTATAGAAAAAATTTTTAGAGCTAGCTTGTACGAAAAGATATTTCTATACATCGATTTTAAATAGGATCCCATTGAGTTATTACGATTCCTTCAAACAAACCTTCCTGAGACTGTAGAAGATAAAAGAAAATGTCTCTTATCGCTGTAAACACGGGCGAAAGGAAGCCGACAGGACATGAAAACAACACAAGAATTGACTCCAGAAGTTTCCTTGACAAAATGAGAAATAAACATCATTTTTATGTCAAAATATAAACTAGCTCACAGGTGAATAGTTTCATTCAAAATGAATGGGTCATTACAATAACTACAATTGCTTAATTTCTTAAACTAATGGTGGCAAAACGCTCGATAATTTAGACACATACATGCAGACATTACGATGGAACTATGCACGGAAAGAGAAACAATAGTAGTACCTGTCTGTTAACATCCGATAGAGCATTGGGAATGGGTCCTTTGATTCGTTGTTAACGGCCGTGATTTTGACCGACGTCGGAAAGGCCTGGGTATGAGGCTGCACCTGGTTCAAAAAATCGCAAACGTATTTAGACCTCTGCATGATAGCAGTATAAAAAACATTTTATCGTGCAGCCCTGACTCAGGAACCAATGTGTCTTTCAAATTAATTAAAAGAGTGCTACCACTCCTGACGAAACTTTGGTTTCAAACTTCTTTTAAAACTGTCATATACAACTGCTTAAAAGAAAACCTTGTACACAACAGACATGCAGATAGTGTTTATCTTTAGTCATTCGTATGCGCCTACCAAGAGTTCCCGAGCATTGACGAGAGCATTGTGAACCTCTTCAAGACAACCGATGATGATTTCCAGTTGTTCTGCATTCAAAAGATCTTGTAAATCCATTGCGCTGTTTTCGTCATCCATATCAACATTGTCCATATCCTCCATGTTGGCTTGAGAAAATTCCTTTCTCGTCGCCAGCAAATTGTTGGTGTTTCTTATGATACTGTAGGAACAGTGCAGTTTTAGTTTAATTGCCGTAATATTTCACATAAGCTTCAGGTGCTGCTGTGAGGATTAAACTTACTTTTCAACAACTTTGTAGAGATTTCCCAGCATTTCAAAAATGTGAACTCTGTGCACAAGACTCGTTCCAGCCGTAACAACGCGGACACCCTAAACAAAATACAGTTCAGGAGCCGCTTGAGAATCTATACATGAAGTATTCTTACAACCAGTCACAAAGGCGTGAACATCATTTAATTTTTGCTTCAAAGTAAAGATGAATGTCTCCTGTGTGTATACGTACTTCTTCCAAAGCAAGAAGATCTACAAGTTTTTCATAACCGCTAATGGTATCTGGCTCGCTTGTACTGCCCTAAAAAAACAAGAATTGACAAAATAAAATACATATATACGACGGTCAGCATAGCACTGGCTTGGAAATAGCAATAAATTTGGTTAATAACCTCTACCAAGCCCTAGTTGTCATACAACTAACCATACCAAACACACTCACTACAAGCATTGTAACAATATTCCTTTATGCCTACCTCTCCATTCCATCCAATGAAATGCTCCATACCAACAGAAAATTCCACTGAACTGTGAAGAGCTAAAACAAGAAAATTCGTATCGCGTTAAAACAATCAAGGTGGCGAATAACCACCCCATAATCAAATCTTGCTTTATTTTTTATATAGTTGGTATGTTCGGTGCATTAGGAGATCAGTGGAGGAAGGTACCTTGAAGAGCGACAAGCTTCACAGATGATGACATGTGTTCAGCTACGAGCAACTCGTACAGTTTCTCTTGAACATTTTTATTCTGGAAAGAAATATGAAATTGTAAATACATAGAGTTGCTTTGAAGGAGAAGCCTTTTCAGCAGACATCAATCATATCGGACCAGAAAGTGCATCACTTTATGCAAAAAAAACAAACACAGGAATATGGTGAACGTAATCGTCGACTTTCATTCAACTTTTTACCAAATCATAATGCAGTTCACGAGAGAATTGACATACCACAAGCATTTTACATGTTTTCCCGCCACTTTCACAGAGCTTAGACACCAGCTTCATACCAAACTTTAATCGACGAATATTCGCCTACACATTCACCATTCAAATTTAGATGTAAAAGAACACGGTTTTTTAACAAAAACAAACCATTTCACAAACAGGTACGATACTTGAATAACAGCCTATACCTGGATATTTGCAAAAGTCCAGAGGTACTTACGGCAATTGGGAAATTTTGAGCTTCTTCAAGGTCAATAGCGTTTAGAGCCAGCTCAACCAAAGTTTTTTGTAATTCTAAAAGTCGAAAAGGTGCGGGAGAAGATAACCTAAGATTTCTAAAATTGAACTGTCTTGAGTTTGCAGCCTGTGTTGTACTTTTCTATCACAAATATGAGATAATACCTTCGTGCTTGTCTGATTCACAAAGCTGCAAGAAAAATCATACTTTGTTTATTTTGTCCTTTCACACCATCAGGAATTACAAACGGTTCTTATATCAATCACTACAAGCTCATCAACCAAAACTATTTTGAAAAAAGTATAGCTTCATTGAGCCGGCAAATAAATTCAATAAAAACAAACTAGTAAAACTTTTACAAACGAATCTGCTTGTTCCAGATTTGTTTACAGACAATCAGTTGTTATATAAAAGTCGTTTGAAGTTGTTTGTTTTAAGATTCGATACATTATATAGCTATTATAATGGCAAAGTTTTTAGGCACGAATTGTTTAACGACAAGCAATTATGATAACGCAACATAATGTCATCGCCTGGCAAATTGCAAGATTGTAAAACTTTGATTTCAACGATACTTACTGAAGGAATAACAGAAGAATCACTGATGAGCTCCAACAATTCAACAGACCTAAGAAAATTTCAATTCAAAACAATATTTATCTACAAACGTTTTGTGATTTTCATCGCAACTGTATCTATTAAACCAACATACTTTGATGTTTTTCCCTCGTTATTATACTGCTCTAACAATTGTTTCATTTTGTCCAACTACAGAAAAAGAATATGAAAAAATATATTTAAAATCCATAGTTACGTAAACAAACGATACAGGACTATTCATGAATTGTCCGTTAGTGAATTATTAATATATATGGCTGACCTTGAGTGAAAATAATCCACTACAACTCTCACGTTAGCAATCGAAAACAAGCACGAATCAAAACAAGAAAACACGAGATTCTTGACAGACACTCACCGAATCACCTGCAGGCTCTTGACCTTAAAACACGAAAAATGTTTGAGATTGATGGACAATTTGTTTTACGGTCTATTAGGAACTAAGTAACTCCGTGATTATTTTCGCGTGGGTTACGAGAAAATGCTGTGAATCCTCCTCTTCAAAACATTTTATAATTTTGCTAACAAGAACTTTACCTGTTTCCAAAGATGGAAAGGACTATAAAAAAAGAAAAAAAGTTAGAAATGTATTAGGTTTCTTTCAAAGTCCTAAATTTCCAAATGTTAGCTTTCTATGTAAAAGCCAACTCGTGCTGGTAAAATGTTTAAAATCCACCTCGATCCTAGGCGAGTATCAGCAAGATTTCGAATACACCCGATAGAGATTTTTTTCAGGTGGAGAAAATTTCTCTCTGTGAATAACACTTTAATATGCCAAGTTGTCCAGTTTCATATTGCGGTCTGTCATACTAGTATCTTAATTGTTATAACGATATCTACCGTGAGTTTTGAAAGGTCGCATTGATAGGGGTTGAAACTGACTGACACAGACATCCAGGTATCCTCGGCGTAAAGCTGGAAGTCTAGCACATCCTAAAATGACGGTTATTTCGTGATTTAACGGAAAGCATAAAAATTATCAAGCAAAATACAGATATTCAGAGACTAACCGTATCGTCGTAGGGGTGACCGTCATCCATAATCTGCAAGTGAACAAAACTCAATGATTACGTAATACACGAATTACATACACAGTGCTGTCGTTAGCAGAGGACTCAATATACAACTGGAACGATAACTAGAGATGAACATCTCCGAGTTTTCAGTTGCATTCCTGACCCCAACTGACTCATTACTCACTAGAACTTTTAAAGCTAACGGCTTCAATTTTCGCCGCCCTCCCTGAATTAGACCTCTGGGGCCGGTTGTATCAAGCCCGTTTAGCTTAAACGGTGGATAAGTCAAAATTAAATAACACTCTTACATCTCTGTTGAATGAGTCAACTTGAATATTATGCACTGAATATGTAGTTGTAAACAGTATCTTTGTATTATGGCTAAAAACATTTTGTTTGCTTGTTGAATAAAACGATAGACTTGATTTCTATTTTGAACTTATCCACCGTTTAAGCTAAACGGGCTTGATACAACCGGCCCCTGATTCACTTATAATTTAACAGCAAATCCAGAAAGCAGATTTATCGTGGTCATTCAATTCTGATTTCGTTACCTCCTCGTCGCTGAGAATTGCTTCATAACCATCCTGCAAAAGACGAAACAACCCGTGGTTTCAAGCCAATAGAAAAGATACTCGAAATAAATTCAACAATTTCAATTTGTACATTTTTCAAACCCGCAACCAAATCTTGGCGTACCTGTTCAACATCCTCCTCGTCGGACATAAAGAGATCAGTGGGTGATTTATCTGGAGTGAGGGGCTCAAAGAGATCATCGACAGGTTCTGGAGAATCCTTTCCCGCTTCCTGTTCTTCCTTCTGAATAAAGAAATCTTGTTTCATTGTCCGTAACTTTGATAAAGGTGCTAGAATTCGGCGCCATTTTTACTATTCCTAATTTCACATAATTTTCAACATTTGTCCTGTGAAAACTATGGTGGCTTGCATCACTTTCCCTGAACAAACTGTGCTGTGTTTTTCGTGATTTTTACGGGACAGACTATGCTGAATTCCGTGTTATTTTTACAAAACAAACTGCGCTATATTTTGCATCATTTTCAAGGAACAAACTATGCTGAATTTTGCATGATTCCTACAAATAAAATAAGTGCACTGCAATGACCTTTTCTTCCTGTTCATTGACTTTCTTTGGTGGTGATTTTTCTTTCTCTTCGTTCTTTTCTGATGCAGCGGCAGTCTTGTCCGGAGATGTTTCAACATCCTCTTTCCTTTTGGCCATCTCCTCTGATTTCACTTCCACTGGAGAAGATTCTGCCTCTTTTTTCACCTCAACAGTTTCTGAAAACAAGAAGAAAAAATCACATATTAATAAAAGATGGAATCTCACTTTGTCTCACTTTGTATGTAACCAATCACAGCACCAATATCAGAACAAATTGACTACATCAGAACATCCCAAACCTTCTGGTTTGTTGACAGGACCAGCTTTCTCTTCGACTGGTTGGGTTTGCTGTGTCTCTGCAGTGTCTGTTGTTGATGGTGCTTCTTGTATGTTGGTGAAGTAACCATATAGACATACTGTCAGTTTGGTGTACCATCCTCGGAGGACAACCACATCTGTGGCAGACTGTAAACAATGAAGATAAGTTAACTGATTAACTGGAGTAAAATCTTGACTTAATGAAATCTTAATCGACACATTCTCATGATTCGCATGTGAACATGAAACAACAACATTACCTCAGACTGAGTGGTCAGGTTGTAATTCATTACTTCATGAAAATCCAGCCTAAAATGTAGTAATTTAAATATACAAGTCAGTCCAAAACTCCCAATCAAACTACAATGCCAGCTCCCAATGATCTGATCTAGATTTGATTTCAGGCCTAATTCCAGGGGAGCTTTGCACTTAAGGAAATGCAGAGGTCCACTTTTAAAACCATCTTTCTCACAGATTCATTCAACTTACACGCCAAGCTTGTCGAATGTCACAGCTTGACATTTATTGAGATTTCTGATGAATAATTCCAGTTTAAACGATGATGGATGAGTTTCTCTACAAAGATATGCACAGCTAAGCATTGTCACAAATGTCTAGGGATGGATTAAGATATTTGTATATAAATCTACAGTACAACCCTATCCGTTTACTGGATGCAATGAATGATCTTATATGTGATCGTTAAAACTATGGCAGGAACTGATCTATGTATCAAATTTGTGATCTCAAAACGGCAAGACCCAAAACAAACCTTTCTGAATAAGAAAGACAGTGTGATGGGTAGCATGGAGAAAGGGGCTTTAATACCTCGTAATGATGAATGAATGCGAGAGGTTTTAGACAAAATATATTTGCAATCTACGATCCATACTTCCAGATAAGATGAAATCAGGATTAATAGATAGTATTATCATACTTACCCTACTCTATCAATAGCTAAATGAGGTCTTCCGCCACGAGGAATAACGCGAACTTCACTGATACACACTGGGCGAGGAAAACTTACCAAATCCAAATGCATTTCCTGCAATCGAGACGCACATTTTAAAGCGATCGCCAAATCTAACCCTTTTGAACGAAGCCGGAGACAATCCCCGATACCTCAAAAGAAATCTCACCTCGTTTTGCTCATGATTAAAAGTGTCACAGAACAATAAAAAGTGGCCATGTCTTCCTTGGCCTTCCATTTGGGCCGCCATATTGGAGTTTATGTTTCCACTTGGCATTTTAGCAAAAATAGCATTTTCATTGAAGATATTTCTCTCCAGCTCAAGCTCTATATATAAAAGTCACGCCATGATTTATCGTGATGCATTCTGGTCAAACTATAGAAAATTTAGTTTTAGAGTGGGGTTAAATCTCAAGTGTTTTTTCATGTAATCATGTTCACCTACGGGTTGTAATCGGGCTCACCTGTATTCTCCCCTCTGTTCCCTGAAAGTCGTCGACAAGGTATGCAAATTGTAGGGAATGCAATTAAAATTCTTTCAAATACAGTGCTCAGTCTCCCACACCAGTCTCAGCTTGTTTAATTCTTAAACGTCAGTGTTCTGGGAATTCAACCCAGAAGCCAAACACACGCGTTTATGTCCAAATAGGATTTCTCGATTTTTTGTGTAAAGTGTGCAAAAAGTCTTTTCACCATCAACGAACACGTTTTGGTTTGGCCCCAGACATGGACACTGTTTTTAAAGCCAAACGAAAGGGAGGGAAACCGGAGTGCCCGGTGAAAAACCCTCCAAGGTAACCTGAGTTTCAGGTTACCTGACCGGCGGTCCGATTTTAGTATTTTCATTTACAAATCGTCCGCAATGATAGTCCTGGTTTTATCTATAGTTCACCGTTAAATTCCGATCATACGAACTCTGCCCAGGAATTGCCATGCAATTCTTGGGCTTCGTCAGTTTCGATCCTGGTGGTGGTCTAACGTTCGCAGCGCGCGCATAACGACCGCGGTAAAACAGCAGGCTCAGTGAAAGCAAACTGCGTGCGCTTTGTCCGACAGTGGCAACAAAAATCCTTTCAATCATTCAAATGCTCGTTTATGATCATGCTGTTTTGAAAATCATGCATTGTGGAAAGAAATTCATGACTTGCATGCTTTTTTTTAACACTCCTTTTAATCCCTTCTTAAATCATGCACCGTTTTCGTCTCTTTTATACGTCCTGAACTGTAGTTGGCCGAAAATGAGGCGGAAAATAAACGTAATCGGGTTCAGCATGCAACTTACTCAATATCTAGTAATACAGGAATCAAAGTGCCTTACCTTTCGCACCGATAATTACTTTTGATAAAACAATTAACAATGTTCTTCACCTTTTATCGCTCAATTCACCGTTCTTCTCTTCTCTTCTTCAACACCATCTCGACGTTTGGGCGTGCAAGGAATGAAAAAACATAGTAAGTGTGTCAAAATTTAAACGGGGTCTTCGTTAAAGGGGATCAGGTTTGCAGACAAAGAGTACTATACAATATTAACATACAGTCAAACAGTATACCCCCGGATACTCCCAGATACTCCCAGACACCAAGTCCCGTTATCGTGCAATGTAATATACCATGTAATATACGAGGTTTACTTTTTCTTCTTATAGAAACTTGAGATTTAGATGGATTACCAGATTACGTTTATTTCAGTGTTTCATGCTTGAGATCAAACGGATTTTGAGAGCTTAAACTGTAATCCGAAAAATTAATACCAAGAAGGGAAACAGAGGAGTGATAGTGTCAAAATATCCAATAGTCGTTTCACAATTCAATAATTCAATTCAATTCAATTCAATTCAATTGTTCGTCTTTGAAAGACTGAAGTATTATTTTTGTTGCCACTGACGGACGGTCCTTCGAAGCGGTCGCATTATGACAGGCTGAACAGAGAACTTATATAATCATATAAGTACTCGCGATTACCTTCGTATTAATCTAAAATTAGGCCAATACGAATTCTGTTATATTTTCTCGCTGCGTGCGCGTCGACCATTGCTACTGCATTTTGTTGCTTTCATTTCAACGCTTTCAGCGTTTGCATCTTCCGCGGGCGTTAAGGTGGGTCTTATACTTCTCAATCGAATCTTGATAATGTTTTCACCGAATTGTTATATATCTATTACGGTTTTACCCCCGGAGCAAAGAAAACTTATTCATTGCCTTATTCTATTGTTTCATTGTTCTATACGGCCTGACTTATCCACACATTTTCTAGGACACGAACTATCATAATTGTATTTCATTGAGATGCAGTAAAATGGTGATGATTTTTGTCAGATAGGTGGGTAACATTGTTTTTATAGCTTTTGAAATAAAAGAAAAACGTTTTTTGCATAAGACCACCTTAAGTCGTTAAAATTCACACACAAGTGACAAGACTAGGGATGTTTCATCGAGAAACCTCGAAAACGTCTCATAAGAGTCGTGAGAAATTTCCTGTTATCATGCATTGTCGAAAAGGGTGAAATGTGATGTCACTTGATGTGTGAATATACTAGGTTAGACCACCAGGAGGAATCAATCCGAGAATAAAACATGCACTAACATTAATCATGTATTACTATAATGAGTATATCTACAGTATATGTACCTCTTCCAGCTTCTACTTGTACATCCGTCCATCATCTGATCCTGCGACGATCCTTCATCATCTGATCCTGCGACGATCCTTCATCATCTGATCCTGCGACGATCCTTCTGAAATGATAGGAAAACTGAATAATCATATGTTCAGGTTCTTCTGTTCCTGATCCTGCGACGATCCCTCACCTTGACATCTGATCCTGCGACGACCTCTCATCATCTGATCCTGCGACGATCCTTCAACACAAAAATATGATAACATTACCTTCCAAGTCAGAAATGTCACTTATGTATAAAGCATTCATGATGAAATGATCACTCAAAACTAGATTGTAGAGACCTTCAACATCTCCCACGCTACTTGTCCAAGGCCTTCGCATTGCGCGCGCGAATACAAAATTTCATGCACGTTTTGTGGGAAATATTCATCGTTTTTTAATGGTCCTAAGTAAACTAAAACACTCGACTATTATCTCCTTTTAAGAAATACAAACTCTCATGCATTTTTATGTTTTAGGCGCTCGGTCAGCGATATTTTTTGTTCCGTACTATTGTCGTTCAAGATGGAGAAACTACAAGTGATTGGGGCCCCAGAATCACTTGTATTTACTCCGCATGCGCTTGACACGACTAGGTTAACACATGCAAAAACCGCAATCCGAAAAGTTGAAAATCAAGGAGGGAAACAGAAGAGTGTTCAGCATATCTCAGCCAAAAAAGCCAAATCCCATGCATATTTTACTCATGCATATTTTCACCGAAATCGAGTTTTGTATTTGCGTGCATTAATGTTCCAAGGCAGCTCCGACATCTCTCCACTCCGACGATTCTTTCATTCTAAAAGAAAGAAAACGTCGGTAAAACAAAACATTCACGGGCATATAAAGCCTAGTAGTAATAAAGGAATTTGCTTTCCTACTTTTTATTTTGTGGTAAAACTAATTGACATCACATGGGAAGCAAAGAATCACTACAGTACGATAAGACACTTTGGACTAGAAAACACACTCCGGACTATGAACTACAAAATAGGACAGGCTGAAATCAGTGGCCTAGCCAACCCGACAATTCAGTCATGCTATGCTAATATTTTGGTGTTCACTTTACTGTGAAAACAATGAATTTTAAAAGAAATGAATAATGGCATAAGTATGACATACTAACTCTCCTGACGAAGGCCCTTAGGTCGAAACGTCGAGAAGTGTTTTGTCCATTTTAGGCAGTTGTTATTGATGCTAAGTTGTTTGAAGACGCTGCCACGCTGCTCCTTGGTTAAAATTTGACTAAATCTTCAAGCTGGCTACGCCACTGGCTGAAATAACTGTCGGGTAATACGGGTAATTATAGGCATTCAATTTCAGTTTGTGTCCGTCTTTCCAAGTTTCCCTGTCAAAAACTAAGCGGCTGACCGCTGATGGACGAGTATTCACGATACGACAACTGTGTCTGAAAAGTGCATCGTGCTAGACGGAAAAGTTTCCAGCAAAGAAAAGTCCAGAAAATTTTTATTAAGCTAGTATACTCTAGTTTCGCCCACCGCGACCAAACGTGTTATTTCAACCATCACAAATGCAAAATACACGTACATGATTAGAATAATACCTATTATTCGCTGCAAGCAAGCGTTTGTGTTTCGCGTTCGCAAAACCAAAGATCAAGCCAACGAGATTCTTTAAACCAGCCATGACCATGTTCCTGAGCAAGATTCTTCCAACTTTTCCCTAAACTTCTTCGACTGGTCGAGTCAAACACGTATTATGAGCATCGTCTAGAATTCAATCACATTTTATTACCTCAAGAACATTCCAACGGACAATGCACTTTAAGGCGGATTTCCACTTACAGCGAAATCGTTCGCCAGCGAAATATTTGCATATTTTCTTTTGAATTTTAACAGCATAAATAAATTAGTTCGACTTGACTGTTCTCAATTCAAAAGAAAATATGCAAATATTTCGCTAGCGAACGATTTCGCTGTAAGTGGAAATCCGCCTTTACGCATCGTTCACACTTACCAGTAAACCCTATTTCAAACATCGTGCTTCTCACTTGCTGAATGCATTAACAACAATAGATAATGAGGCATCTCAATTGATTAACTATTGTTTTAAATGCGTTCGTCAGAAATGAATTAGCCAAGCAAAGTTTTGCAGTCTCTGGGCAAAATCTTTCGCATATTTTTATTATCCGTTGCGCCCATGACTTTTTGGGATTGCGATGACAATTTACTTTGTTAAGTTTGTTTATGTAATTCATCTTGGAGGGTGGGAATTTTTTATTTGATTAAGCAATACTGATGTCTAATAGCCGCAAACATTGAAACTTTTTAGAAACTTTGAAAATAAAATACAAATTTGTAAGTTATGTGCTACAATCTCTGCCGCATTCCGTGTTTCTTTACTGGTTTTAATACTGTAGTTCAATATACGCCACAAGAAATGGTGGTCGCGATGAAAGGCCATAAATGGTCAAATTCTGGTCAATTAACAATATAACCATGCCTTGGTTATGATGTCAAATATTTTGACAAGGATAACCACGCTGTTTTAATGGTCAAATGCTTGTCCTATGTAAAGTTTCCAGCATGTTTGGCGCTCATATACAAACATTAAACAATATAACCATGCTTTGGTT